TATATTTAGTATTAGCTTTAAACTACCTATTTTAATTTAGTATTAGCTTAAAACTTTCTATTTTAATTTAGTATTAGCTTAAAACTATTTAATTAAGATTAGCTCTATCTAACTATTTCTAAATAAAAAATAGTAAATAACTCTTTAAATTTAAGAGATATTATATTAAAACTTTTATAAAAGAAAGTATAGAATAAAATATATATAATAGTAGTAGTATAGTATTCTAAATCTAAGTTCTAACTATAATATTATTACTATTAAACCTCTATTTATATTTTAATTTCTGCTATATTCTACTAAATTTTAGAAGTATCTATAACCTAATAGAGTATAATAGAAAAGAGAGCTTTACTAAGATAAAGTATAAAGGTATTACTATAAGAGTTTATAAATTTAGGTAGTTAGATATTAGCCTAAAAAGAAAGAAAGTTATTAGTATCTTTTTTACTACTATTAGTTTCTACTTATTACTATATATATACTAGAAGCTATAGTTCTTTTATATCTATTTATTTTATAATTAAGCTTATAGTATTACTTATTACTATAGTACTATATAGACTTAAATATATTACTACTATAAACTTCTACTAAGAGGTAGTATTTTATTAAGTTAAAGGTAGAAGAAACCTCTTAGTAATTTATATACTAAGACTATTTATCTCTATTTATAATTTAAGTAATAATAGTAGAGAAAAATATAATATACTTACTACTTAAAAGTTATCTTTACTTATATATTAGCCTAAGCTCTACTATAGTAAATAGTAATAAATATTATATATATTAAGAGGCTATAAGTAGTATATAAGTAGAATATTAAAGTAATTTATTAATATAGTCTTCTTTTTAACTATACCTACTATTTTTTTTTTTATTACCTAGCTCTACTATTTACTCTACTCTTTAGCTACTTAACTTTATACTTTTTAAGTAATTTACCTCTTTTAATATAGTTTTACTTTTACTATAGCTTTTACTTTATTATTTTATTTTACTTACCTTTACTTTACTATATAGTGTTTCTTTACTCTAGATAGGTACCTTTATAGTAGTATTTATTTACTAGATAAGGCTTATATAAATAACCTACTAGGTATTTTAAAGCTAGATATTAATTAAGTTTAATATAGTATAGGTTTTTTCTTTTTACTTTTATATATAATAGTATTAAAGCTAATATTTTTTATAGTATTAGCTTAAGTTATTTAGTATAATAACTACTAACTTTTACTTACTACTATATCTTAGTAGCTTTAAAATAGCCTATAGTACCTAGGCTAGCTTACTTTATTACTTATATACTACTTTTAAAGATAAAATCTACTTATTACTATTAGTTTATAGGTTACTAGCTACTTTTAAAACTAGTACCTTATATATATACTTTAGAGTTAATAGTATAGTTATTTCTTTTAAAGTAGAGAGTTCTTTAACTATATTTTTAAATAATTTTTTTTTTCTTTTTAACCTATTAACTAAGCTACTGTATTTAGTATACGTAATACCTTTATTACGTAAAATATCTATAGCGTAATTCTTATTAGATTTAATAAAAATAATAATACTATTTCAATAGTACTATATTCTGCTAAAGAGAAATAACTTATAGTTATAACTAATATACTATACTATACTTTAGTCTATTTATTTTATATTTATATAGATATATTAAACGTTTAATAGGATGCTAGTATTATAACTATTAATAAAATTATGTAGTAGAATAATATATTTATAGGTAAAGGTAGCGTAAAAGTAATATAAAAGAAGGCCTATAATATAGTTATTATTAAATATAATAATTACTTCTAGGCCTAGAAGTAGAATAATTTGTTTATAAATACTTAGAAGCTAATTAAAAATAATTTAGTTAATAATTTTATAAATCTAGGATAGTGTTAAGCTAAAGAGGTTTAAGAGGTTAAAAAGTATATAAATAGTAAAAATAATAAAAAAAGTAAGAAGTATAATAAATATAATAAGAATAAGTATAATAAGAATAATAAGTATAATAAGTATAAAATAGAAAAGGAGTATAAGTAGTATAAGAGAAATAATAGATAATATAGGTAAAGGTTATAATATAGAATCTTATAATCTACTTTATTAGAGATATAGTAGCTATTAATTTTACTCTAGCCTACTTATAGATTATTCTAATATATATTTTACTTATACTTAGGCTTACTATTATTCTTATCTTTATTACTACTTTTCTTTTTACTATTTTTATTATACTTATATATCTTTTTTTTATACTCTATATACTTAATATTTATAAGTACTAATAGTTTAGGTATTACTTAGAAATACTGCTACCTATTAGTAAAACAGTTAATATACTCTAATAGTTTAAATACCTAATATTTTAGGTTAGACTTAAGCTAAGATATATAATAGTAATATTAAAATAAACTATATTAATATTAGTATAGCTTATATTAGTAGGACTTAATAGGTATAAAAAGAATTTTCTTTATATACTAGAATACTACTATAAAGAGATAATACTAATTAAGAATAAATAGCTTATTAATAATATCTTTAAAGTTAATTATTAAAGAAGTATATATAAGCTCTTATACTATATATATATTATTACTACGCTAGATAGAGTTTAAGATAATAAAGGCTAGTTTATTATATAAAGTATAGCTAATTATATATAGTACTTTAGAAATAAAGTAGGTAATTTTAAGTAATATATAATTTCTTTATTACTATAAACGAAAGTAATAATTTTAAATTAACTTAGATATTATAAGGTTTTAAATTATAGTTATATAGTATATCTTTATAATTTAAGTATTTTATATTTAGATATCTATAAAAAGTTTAGCTTTAAAGAAATTTTATATTATAGTAAAGTTAGAATATAGCTAGTATTAGTAAAAGCTACTTATAATTCTATTAAAATATTATAAGCTCTTACTTATAGCTACTATTACTATTTACTTTATATTTAGAGTCTAGGCTAGTACTATAGTTTTTTAGTTTAATATTTTTTAACTTTTATTTATCTTCTAGTAAAGAAGCTTAATTTCTATAGCTAGATTTATTATTTAATCTAGACAAATTAATTACCTCTATAGGTATATAGTAGTAGTTATAATAAGCTAACAAAGAAAGTAAGTTAGAAATAAGTATAAGGTATAAAAAAGAAAAAGGAGAATTATATAGTAAAGTAAAATAAAAAAAGTACTTAATATAGGTATAGTTTTATTAGCTAATACTTTTACTTTAGAGTTTAATAAGTTAAAACTAAGTTAGTAAAATAAATTTATATTAAATTATTACTATACTTTTATTATTATTATTATATTTAAACTTATATTCTAAATATTCTAGTATAAGAAAAGGTATTTCTAGTATTATTATAGGTTAAAATTATTTTACTTTTTTTAATTTACTTTTATATTTTAACTCTTTAATCTTATAAAATTAAAAGGAGACTATTATATTCTAACTTTTACCTTTTAACTTATATATTTTGCTAGGCTAAGAGTATACTTTTATATTTTAACTTTTAAACTTTACTAAGTTAAAGGTAAACTTTTATATTTTAACTTTTAAATTTTACTATATTAAAGGTATACTTTTATATCTTAACTTCTGCTTTTTAACTTATATATTTTACTATATTAGAAGTAGACTTTTATATTTTAACTTTTAACTTTTACTAGGTTAAGAAAAGACTTCTATATCTTACCTTTTAAATTTTACCTAGTTAAAAGTAAACTTTAGTATCTTACCTTTTAAATTTTACTAGGTTAAGAGTAGACTTTTATATTTTAACTTTTAAATTTTACTAGGTTAAAAGTAGACTTTTATATCTCTACTTTTAAATTTTACCTAGTTAAAAGTAGACTTTTATATCTTAACTTTTAAATTTTATACTAGTAATATATATTATATATATACCTATTCTATAAGGATTTTAAGCTAAAATCCCTAATCCTAATATATATAGAGGCCTGTAACCTGCGTATTATATATAACTACTTATTACTAGAGTGCATATAATAGCGCTGTATTTATCTACTACCTTAATAAGTTCTATAATATTACCTATAGCTAACCTATAACAGCGCTTAAATATGCGTATATTTCTTTTACCTATAATTTCTAGGCGCTTAACATCTAGCTATACTAGCGCGAGCTAAACACTGCTAGTGCTGTAATATACTACATAAAGAGTATCTTTAATTACACCTTGTCTAATAATAAGTAACTTCTTAAAGCGCGGGAGCTACTGCGGAACTATATTGATTATGCGCTAAACAGCCGACTGCGCTCGCTGAAAGGTGTACCCTACTCTTTCTGCACTGAGTTTCCTAAGCGGAAGTTCAAGACCACCAAGGCCGTCGGCTGCTCCAGTGCCTCCGTTCAATCCGATTCCATAGCCTTCGCCTCGACCTCCCTGCCACCTACACCCTCGTCCAATCATAATGAGCTCGAACTAGTCAAACGGTCCAGCAAGCGGCTGCGGACGGAAGAGAATGCTGATAGATGAAGTCAGTAAATGCGGCATCATCGTGTTTTCTTGCACTTTGCATCTCTGATGTGCGGAGACCATTGAGTCTCATTAGATGGGATGCGAGAAGCCTGCGCTGAGTAGCAAGAACAGAGCGCCAGTACTCAAGGCACCTCATAGGAATAGCCCGGCGGACATGTGGGTCATTCGGTCGGTTTCGCAGATAGACGACCACGACCGACCTCCACGCTCTGTTTGCCCTACAGAGCTGCGCGCTCGCTTATGTCATTGCTTGCCATGGACGAGTGGGTGGGGCACAGTTGTACTCTGGACTTCGATGACTGTTGTTCTGGATACCTCTCGTATTACTCTCGCATTACTTTTCCACAGTGCAACAACCCTATGCTATGATGTCACGTGACTTTGCGGGGTAGTGGGGACAACTTTACTAAAGATAGCACTACTCGCGCCACGCACCTCCTCGATTAAAGACACCACTTCTTTACTCTGTTCTCAAATTATGGATACCTTTGAGCGTGAGTTCCTCGTCGTTCCCGACGGTGTATTACCGGAAGGTGTCGGGCTCCTTCTTGGTGGCCAAAACCACCAATCCAGATTTCCACCTCTTGATCCAGCATCAAATTTTACACGATTCCTTCCTCCAAATGCAACCGACACTCCCGAAACTCTATTTATGCCTGGATTCACCAAGTCCTCGATTCCAGCCCCGCGTTTTACCCGCCAGTCGAATCTATCTGAGTTTCTCATCTACACGGATGGGGCCTGTAGTGAGAACGGAGATCAAGATGCCAGAGGAGGTTGTGCCTTTGTCTATCGTCCCGAAACATCTCCCTCGATGATTCCGTCAAAAACCTATTCTGGGCATTCCACTCGTTCTATGAACCTTCATGAACTTGGCGCTTCTAGATTTCGACTTGAGTCCCGCAGCCGAACGGGAGAAGCTGTACCTCAGACCAGTAACCGTGCCGAGCTCCGTGCCGTTATCGCTGCTCTCGGATTTCGGCTGTGGAATAACGAGGGATGCCAACGCCTTGTGATCGCAACAGACTCATCTTACGTAGTTGACGGATCTACAGAATGGATCAAGAAATGGAAGCGAAATGGATGGCAGACATCAACACACAAGCCGGTGAAGAATCAGGACCTCTGGAAAGAGCTCGTTAAAGCACTCGAGAGATGGAGTGAAGCAGGGGTAGCAGTACTGTTTTGGCTTATTCCGAGAAAGCTAAACACAGTGGCAGATCGTTTAGCAAAGGAAGCTACCGCTCTTACTGACGAAGAGGATTGGGTAGAAATCCAGGGAGTATTGTGCTAATCTAGTATAAGAGTTAACATCAGTTTCAATTGTAATGGCAGATTGGAAAAATATTATAAACGATAACATTCAAATCATGAGTGTAATAGTTATGTATCTTTCTAGTTAATAGGCCCAGCTTGTAGCTTAACCTTTCAAGTGCTCGGGCTGGAAATTGTCTCTAGTGCTATACCACTTTTAGTTTTCTATAAGTCCCTGCTGGTAACTTAAGTAAGTTTACTAATTTGGCATGTAGACCGTATAGAAGTGTTACTACCTCTTAGATTCCATTAGTACGCTCGGTATAGAGTCTCGCTATTCCCATCTATAAGTCACAGAGTTTTCCAAGGGAATGCAAATACTTTCCTACAAGCACAAGGTTACCTAGCACAACTCTTTTGCGATAATCAACGCGGAAGGTTGAACTGCGCAGTAGGGAGAAGCTAACTGAAGTAGACAAGAAAGGACACATCTAACTCCTAGTTTAACGATTGTTAGAAGTGTCCCGGCACGTAGAGAAGCACGATACTCGGAATCGATCGCGATAATCTAAGTTTCGGCTTCGCTCTTAATCTCCTTGGTATAAGTCTTAGCGAGCAACTCCACATCTAACTTTGCAGCATAGAGTTCCGCTCGCAAGTTCAACCGAAATAGGAAGTTGTCTACTATGTGCATAATAGGTTTCAACAGTTTACTGCCGTTCTTAACGTCATCTGGTGCTTGTTTACGCACTATCAGTGGAAGTGACATAAGGTAATAGTAAAGTTTAGTAGACTAAGGAAACGGCTTAGGGCCCCTATTTACCAAAAGTTGAATGCAGAGTTAAAGGATACGAGTCGTAAAGCAAGCCAACACCGAATACAAATGCTCCTTCCATATGCGCCCAACCGAGTATGCCTCAAGTAGCGACTCCTTCCGCGTCCTCCATCGCGCTCGACACTTGACGTGGACTTCGCCGCTTACGAAGTATTTCCTCACTCCTCTCTCAGGGAAGCCGAGCTTAGATCTCAGAGCGTGAAGAATACAGTAGCAGCGAATGCGACTGCAAAGCTCATTGCGGCGCTTGCTGTGAGCTTTCCGCCTGCACCATGGATGCCTAGAACCTCATCTTGTCTCGTGAACGTAACGTTCTGCGGGATGGTTGAGTTCAAGCAGTTGCCGTTGGCAATGTCCAGCCCCGCCAGATCATCCGGCACGTGGAAGAACATGTACGATCGCGTGTTCAAGCCCTTGAAGCCTTCGGTGTTGTACGGGAACCAATCACTCGAGTCCGTTGACGATGTGTTGCGCAGGAAGATGCATTGCACCTGGTTTGGGTAGTCGTGCGCGAGCTCGGGATAGGCTGCCATGACATCGGCGTTGGACGTGTCGGCCATGAGGACAAACTTTCTCTGCGGGAAAGTTTGGAAGACCTTAGTGAGGAGGAATTTGCGAATGGACAGCGTGGCGCTGATATCGGAGAAGTTCAAGGGACGTGTGTCAAACGAACCGCCAGGGTATGTCTTGTAGATGAAGTCCATGTAGTTGCGCGTCGCCTGTTCGGGCGTCGTTGTCAGGTAGTGGAAATGTGTGTTGTTGGGGAGAGTCTGCGACCAGTTGGCGTAGATCTCGGGCATGTTCATCCAAGGCACGAAGTCGTGAGCAAAACTGTTCAGTAGACCTTCCTTAGGATCGTAGATCTTGGTCACGCGCAGAATGTCGTCAATGTCGGAGATGAACGTGATACCCTCGGTGGGCACAAGGTAGGCAGTGGCGTTGCCAGTCAGGGTACCAGTAGTGTGGACGTTGAGTCGCTGCACGTTGTTTGTCTCGTTTCCATTCAGCAAGCCATTGCTCTTTATGGGAACAAAGACGTCAAAGTCGCCAAGATCGGTCGTCTCGTAGGGAAGCGTGAGGTTCTGAGTGCCGCCTGGTGCTGTGATGGCATTGCCGCCGCCCGGTTCACCATCGCCACCCTGCGTCGATGCAGGCTCGAGGGACATGGACACGTTCACGTTGCCTTGCTGGACGATGAAGATGGACCGCGTAAGGTTGCGCGCGTTCGCCTTCTCTTCATCTGGCAGCTCTGCAACACTGGTGCCGATGAGGAAGACGTCGGCCAGGTCGTCAATCTTGCTTTGCGAGATGTTCGGCAGCTTGTAGACGTTGCCGTGGAAGCGCACATTCCAGCCCTGGTCGGTCCAGTTGGCATATGGGGGGACGTTGAGCACCGAGGTCGGTATGGCATCAAGGTCGCTGTCCTTGATTCCGAGCTTTGACAAGACTTGCGTGCCTGTGGGGAGTGATTCTTGCCATTCTTGAATGCCTGTTGTGAGAGTCAGTATGGCGTTGTAGCACGGCGGAGGCATCGGATGTACCGTCGGTGAAGTAGCTTGGCAAGTCTGAGCCCAAGACGCTCGCCCACGACTTTGCTACGCCATCTACGCCACTCGCGATGTCACTGAGAATGTTGCGTCTCTCAATATAACTGTATCTGCCATCGAACGATATGGCTGCAGGCGTGACAATCGGTGCACGAACCTCGACTCGAACGGGTACAGCCGTCGGATCAGGGAGCGCAACGGCATTGGCGAGGCTGATAGCCGCACACAGCAGCAGTGCGCACTGCGAGGAATGCATCGGGGCCATCTCGGTGGTCTTCAGCTCCCGTTGTATTGTTCGCGACGATGTGGAGAGGTACACGCGTCGTGGGCGGCCCGGTTTGGCGAAAGGGGAAGGGAGTGGAAAAAGAGCGACAGACTGCAGGGGAGAGAAGAGGAAAGGGGAACGTAGGCTCTTCAAGCGAAAACGGCAGGCAAATTGAAGGTCGTCCCTGTCCTGATATCCGACAGGTTTCAAAGGCCTGTTTGTTGTTGTTAATGCAGGCGGCTGATCCTGCAAACAGTGATGTCAGGACGCCCCTTACAAAGCTTGATTTCTGAAACAAGTGTGAAGCAGAACGCAGTGATTGGTTTGCCGCAGCTTGGTACACTAATGAATACGATGGGGATTTGCAACGATCAGTGCACAGCCACAATGCGCTACAGACTCCACAACACTCCGATGCTCCCGCAACGGCGATTGCATCGACCTGGAGGTTGACGTCTCAAGTGCTTAGTATCAAAGCATTTGGATTGCCCTTATGCGTCATTGCGCCACACGAAAACATCCAGGCTCAATGCGATCATCGGTATCCTACAATTTCGGGGATATTGGCCTTCGATGAGATTAACTCAAGTGGTGTTTAGACTTGTGTAGTAATTGCGTTGACGAGCAAAAGGCAACCGTGGTTTTCTGCACATCAATTTGGAGGCTTGGGACAGCTCACGTGTCTGAAATCTCGATGTCAACTGTCACCAGATCTCTATTCAGCCAAGCGCAAAAGATTGCTCTCAAGTACGTACTATCATTATCACCAGAATTTCCAAATCCAGTCGTTGATGTCACAAGAAAGAGAATCGATCAAACACACAGTAGTACTTGCCAATACGGCTCCATCATTGACAACATTTTATCTCGCTTGACCCCCGAGGCCCTGAGTAGGTTTCATTGATGAAAATACTACTGGTTCCCATCCAACCACGACGTGCGCCGTCCTGAAGCATGTGCGACATCGTACAACATATCGCCAAACCCATTAAATGAATTCGGCACGGCTTCTCATGCGATAATTCTCACTTAGATGACCGCCCCAATCTTTAGGTCCTTCAAAAAGAGTTCGAACATGTGATGTGGACAAACACGCCTAGCAATCTTGGAACCCAGACGGATTGTTCAGTGATAGAAGGCGCACCACGAACATTCGGTCCCATTGTCAGTAACGACCCCGCAACTGTACCGTACCTGATAAAGCTTCCAGAACTCCCCACACGAACGAACTTTCTTCTCACCACTACTTCTTCATCAAGCTCATTGAACATTTTCCACGAAGTCTTTCTCGAGGTCTCTCGCAAAACCACCCAGTATGAGTATCTCCACTACATCCCTCCACTCACCTTCTTCGGGCCTAGTCGACGACGAACTCATAGCCTTGAACCTGCAACTTGAGGAACTCGGAGTGCTGTCGCAGACTAGCAAGGGAAAGCACGCTGTCAACAATCCTCCTGACTATGAGGTTGCGTTCGCCAGCTTCCAAGCCGAGCTCCAAGACTACAAGACTTTCTTGGATGACCAAAAACTGGCCCAGAGCATTGGTGCCGCTGTTCACACTGATGGCGTACTCATTGGTGACATCACGACGCAGGATCTCCAAGCCCACGAAGATCGCCGTTATGCTGTTCAACTGAGCAACAATGACCCCGAGATCGAGGGCCCGCCGCGCTCGGTGCGTGATGAGCTTCAAGGTCAGATCTCAAGTTGGATGTCCACCATGGCCAGCACTGTCGCCGCCAATTCAGTGATTGAATTCTCCGATGATGAGTCTGAAGCCGGACCGTCGATGGGCTTTGCTGAGCGTCAAGCCGAGACCATCAAGAAGCTCTCAGCTGAGTTTCAATGCAGTGCTTGTACCGATCGCTTTCCACGAGCACACATGATTACTGCGAAGTGTAGCCATCGTTACTGCACTGCTTGCATCAAGCATCTCTTTATGCGTTCTACGAACGATGAGAGTCTCTATCCTCCTCGATGCTGCAAACAGGAAATACCTCTTGCCCTGGTGTCCAAGCACATGAATCCCGAGGAACTGGCGACATTCCAGCTGGCCAGGGTAGAACACGCGACAGTAAACAAGACCTACTGCAGCGACCATGCATGTGGCGAGTTCATAATCCCCGACAACATTGAGCCTGGCACGCATCGGGCGACCTGTACTAAGTGCGGCACCACCACCTGTTCCATTTGCAAGAACGGAGTCCATGCAGGAGATTGCCCGGATGATGAATCTCTTCGTCAAACGAGGGAGATGGCTCGCGTATTGGGATGGCAAGCTTGCTATTCTTGCAACAGAGTGGTGCAGCTTCGGAGTGGATGCAACCACATAACGTGAGTACTATATCTGGACTATCACAAAACTTTCTCTAATACTCACAGGTGTCGCTGTCGCGCAGAGTTCTGCTACGTTTGCGGTGCAGCTTGGAAAACCTGCGCATGTGCCAACGCAGACATCAATCGCATTGAGGAACGTGCAGAAGAAGTCGTGGATCGAGATGCTCCGCGTTATCTGCCTCCTGCTGAACGACGCGCGCGCGTGGATCAAGTGTTTGCTGACCTCCAGGAGAACCATGAGTGCACACATTCCCGACGATTTCAGCGCCTAACAAATGCGCCCAGGAGAGGCTATCGCTGTGAGTTGTGCGATGCTCAACACTACAAGTACATCTTGCAGTGTCGGCAGTGCTATGTCAACGTCTGCGAGGAATGCCGTCGCAATCGCATCTAGATGCCTCGCTCTGTTCGTAGCCAAGAATTGCGACACTTTCTTCTGAGCTTGCGAGTCTTTGATCTCTTCAAGGCCCCTTAGGCTACAATGTGATTGTCGTGACCATGGGAAGACTTGGGCTGAGCTGATCTTGGCCGGAGACTGGTTTTCAAGTCATTCAACACCAAGGGAATAACTTGCGGCACGATGGCTTGTAATGCTTCTCAGTAGATTATCTACTTTGTAAATATATTCCAAATCGAGTCTACTAGTGCTGCAACTGCTCCATTTATCCGCCGTCCAGTGATTGCCAGTGTAATTGCAGGATAGAACTCTTTACTATGCTATCGGCTATTTGGCGTACCTAGATGTCTACTCACGTGTTACTGCACATATCGAGAAGGGCAATTCTTCTACATCACAATCACATTTCGTGTTCCGGGGTTATTGAGTAGGTTTGGAACTCAAGTGTATGAACGAAGCAACAAAAATAACAATGAGTGTGAATTTATAGAGAGCTGCGCCATATACTTGGCTCCAAATTCCAGTTGTCCTCTATTAAATATTACGTCTATGTATTGGATCGAACTCGAAGCTTGCAAGTTGTCGCGTTGATTCTCTAGTAGAAAAATGTTCCCACAAAGAGCACAGTGGTGTACGCTGTCAAGAGGAAATACTGCATCTCGTGCAAAACGTTGTTCTTCTCCCACTTCAGTTTCTTGGAGCTCTCCTTGGGGTAGGCAATGCCGGTCTTTGGGTCCCTGTCCAACAATTCCTCGCGGTCGGGCATGTTCGGGGGCCAGATTGCATAGTGGATTGGCGCCCAGCAGGAATTGAGCGCAATCAGCCATAGCAGTGGTGGCCAGCAAGCATGGGTAAGCATGAACAACAGGGTCTGTTCTACGGAGCTCTTGTTGATGATGATTCCGTGTGCAGTAGACACTGTCACTGCAGCAATGCAGAACAGAATGAAGAAGAGGTGAATGAACACGCCAGAGCCGAAGATGATAACGCGGAGGCGGCGAAACAGGCCAGCGCGGTGGATCGGGTCACGCTCGTTGAGCTCGGATTGTTGGGAGCCTGATGAAGAGAACGCGCTGGTCTTGCCACCGAGGAACTTGGGAAGGAAAAAGGCTCGGATGATCGTAATAGCGTGGTCTGGATTTGCAGGTTAGTGAAGGATACATGGTGTGCGGTAGGGGTATACTGACAAGGAGCCATCCACATCATGGCGCCCGCATCACGCTGGCCGAGTCGGTAACCAGCAGGAAGAGTCATGACCCATTCATTCAGACGGTTGGCAACCAATGCAACAAAGCATAGTCTGAGCAACAATCGAAGCTGTTCGTTGTTTGCGTAGGCGATCAATGTACCACCGGAGACCAGCACAATTGGCATCGTGAGCAACGATGCTGTCAGGAAAATGGTGAACAGCGAGGAGATCGTGTAGACGAAGCCAGAGAGACGTTGGAAGATAGACATGTGGGTGACCAGCGGTCCCCAGAGGCAGAAGTTCAGCTTCATCGAGGTTTGAACTGTGCCGATTGTCTAGAAAGAAACAGATTAGCTTCATGCATATTACTACATCGTTGACGTGAAACTTACCCAGCGTGTGCGTTGTTTGATATGTCCACCGAACGACTCAGGAACAGTACCGTACTGGAGAGGTTCGTGAACGTAGGCAGTCTTCCATCCAGCTCCAAGGAGAACACTTGAGCAGCAGACGTCCTCGGCGAGGGAGCCTGTGGGGAATCCGCCAATACCATCGAGCGCAGCGCGGCGAATAGCATAGCCTGAGCCAGTGCACCACTGATTACAGTTAGTCGATGAACGTTGGATCGATTCGGGGTCTTCCTTACAGCAACACCTGCCGCATCCTTGACAGGCTCGGAAATGTGGACAAACGAGTCCAAACTTTGCATCAAGGGGTCGTTCTTAGGGACGTTGTAGAACAGCTGGAAAATGTTAACGTTGTCTTGCTGAGCAAGATTCAGTGCACCTACCTGAGGGGGGCAAGACAGAGCAAGCTGAGGTTCGATGACCAAGTGGGCTAGAACAGCCCTGAGCCATTCTGGTTCCGGGATCATGTCTGCATCGAGAGCTGCGATGTATGTTGAGGCGCCTCCTGGGAGTGCGGCCACCCATTCCAAACCGTGGTTCAAGTTACCAGCTTTGAAGTGATGCGGTACACCCTTGATCTTCTGGCGAGCAGTGTAGTAAACATTAGGATACAGTAGTGAAACGTCGTTGACGGCGGCCGCAAGCTCAGCGTCTGCACCATCGTCGAGAACAATGACGCGGAACGACTCGGTGGGCCAGTCAACCGCGGCCGCAGCTCGAACAGTGTCGGTTATGATCCCCACGTCTTCCTTGCAGCACGTGACGAATACGTCAACCGTCGGCGTGGTGTCTCCAACGATACGAAGTTTCTCACGTCGTCGGCCCTTGATAAGGAACAGTTGCCAAAACTGATGGCACAGCATAGGTACTATTCAGCGTGTCAGTTGGCAACGATCAGAAATCGCTTTCCCGTGTTTACTTACAGGCGACACCCATCTCAACTGCGATGAAAGTCCAAGCCATTGCAAAAACCCTGTTGGCTACAGCTTGTGCGGCAAGAGTGTACTTGATCCTGAAGACGAAGTAGACCCAGTAGGATGCAACGGCAACGAGAGAGAAGAGTGGTGTGCATTTGTTGATACGACGCTTCCATGTGGGAAGGTGGTCAATATCGTCTGATGCATGCACTCTCTCAACCAAGCAAAGAGGATCAGTAGAGACAGGAGGTTGCTTGTCCATGTGTCCCTGCATGTAGCTTGAGGCCTGTCTGTGTGTTAGCAAAGGTTTCACTCATCGTCTCCAGTGATAGATTGTTGAAATAATTTGCACTGGGATAGGCTTACCCTGGAGTAGCTGCCGGGCAGTTTATCCACCTGTTCAGTGCTTGTTGCCGGAGTCTGCTTCAGAGGAGTTCCATACACAGTGGTAGAGCCATACCGGGGGGTAAGATTACCACAGTGAGTGCAACTACTGTGAGACTTTTGGCCGTAGGATATGGGACGTTGGAAGGATGGCATAGGTGATGCCAATCCCCCATGGGGTCCATTCTGGAAACGATCCGAGTCGGAATCGAAACTGATGGGCCTCTGGATCTCCTGGTTCGGAGGGAAGAAGTGAGGACGATCGTCCTGAGTTGAGTAATCCATTATATGATAAGGACAAAAGCGATTGTGTTGCGATACAAAAGTGAATTCGATATGGGCATTTCACGACGAGCGCAGAGCCTCCCTAAATGAGAGTCTGTGGCAGGTCCTGACAGGTTGGCAAGTTGGATTTCGTCATCCATACTGTCCCGCAGCGTCCAACTCAGCCGTATGGATTCAGCCGCGTGGCGTAGGTGATACTTCCTCATGTATCGAATGTCCCAACGTTTGAAACACAATTACTCAATTGGGATTGACATATCTCGTTGTTCATGGTACCATTTAGCTCGGCAGTTGCGTTTTCCGAGCGCCTGGCTAGGTTCATGGGGGCAACTATCAAGGTACATCACCATGACTGGTCGTTTCCTGGCTCAACAAACACCTAGGGCTAGGTGCTTCGCTACGCTACGGTAAGGAAAGCAGGTTGATCCAGCATCCTTACAGATCCTGCAGGTACTCGAACTATTGAAAATGCGGATCGACAGTAATTTGTCGGCGTACAAATCCGTGTCGGCAGGGCTGGACATGGATGCTTATCTGGAGTTGTGTACTCACCCCCAATACATACCTTCGGCGTATGCACCGCCTTGTCATCTAGCCGCTTGGCTGTACTGTTACAGTACTACGAGGAGATAATTATAGGTATAGCAGTCCACTGCTTGCACAGTTCACTATCATTCAATCGCTAAGGCTCGCGTACGATAGGCACCGTATCGAGTCAATCTCTCTGAGCCTTGTAGTATCCTTGCGCGCGCGTACTAGACTTCCGTGCATGCAGTTCAGTTGCAGTACAATGTTGTTAGAGGTTCAGGGAAGCGATCAAATGTGACAACAGTGGTTCCTATGGACTTCGAGAGGACCATAACAGTTTTAATTTTACTCGCTATCGCGGAGGTAAATGTCGTTAGAGAGTTACTAGGCAAGATTTCCTTTGATCAGGGCTTCTGAAACGTTGTACCTTGACGATAACTACAGAGGTGGTGTCGTTTCGCACCATGTGCCAAGTTAGGTAGCGGTTGTCGGATACACGTGGCCAGTGAAGGTCTTTACCAAAATGGCGGGATATTTTAGCGGCGTCATTGGCTGGGCATCTTGAGATAGAGTTTGTTCGTAGATAAGAAAGATAGATACCACCTCCGACCCTTGCTGAGGCGTCGGATGTGACGAACAATAAGCTATGGAACTAGTTGCGGTTAAGCTTCGTGTTAGCATAGCTTCTTCGGGAACTCGCGCCTCCCGTCAACCGTCGGAGTTACTTTAGTGCTGCCTCAACGGCGTCGATAGTCTAGAAACGCTACAGCGTTTTGTGTAGTTGAGAATCTAGATGCGACCTATGCAACTATGTGCATCAGCAAAAATACAAGGGCCAGAGTAGAAATATGTATAATCTAGATTGGATCTGTGGCAGATCGGACACCCCTTTGCCAAGATTACTCGTATCCGGTACAGCGCTTATGTATCTACCCTGTTCTGGGGCGACCGCATGGTTGATCGTGATTTCCTGTTTTCAAGTTCCGTCGGGAAATTCAGGGATATGTGTCCGAGCACTGGAAAAAGCACGTTTGTCGATCAATAGACCACCACAGGCGCGGGTGTTGCCGTCTTTCCAATCGGATTTTAACCTCCATCCATGGATCCACGCTAGGCCAGCACATTACTATTACCAAGCCACTATCTCAGCCTTATGGTCGATAGTTGACCGTGCCCTTACGAGGGTGCGATAAACACTGCATACGCTGATCGCCATGATACGTTTTTCGCGGTGTGGTGGCTTGTTCCAAAGGTACCGGCCTAAGATGCCGTGCCGACATTCGCCACGTTCGATTGACCCTTTTGGTCCAAGTAGTCGCCGTTGAGCTTTCAAAACCGATACTTCAACTGCACGTTATTCTTAGCCTGCTGGGCATGCTAGTTCGGCACCTTCGATGTCATCAAGCCGTCAGTGGATCATCATAGCATACTACCCAGAATCATCGACATATGTGCGGTAATATTGAGTTCCCTGGAGCCGATCTGGCTGGGCAAGTTCTCAACACATTCTATGTTACTGCGCCTTTCGGTTGAGAATCAGACCCATGTCTATCCTTCTTTGCGGACATTCCTCGTAAACCAGCAAGAAACTTAGAGCTGAGGCCAAGATTCTTATCTCTGGATGAAACGGGGCCAACGCATTGCTTGCGAGACGTGGTGGAGATGATCAGGTTTTCAGGTCGCTATCTTTAGGCCTATGATTGTCAGAGCAGCGCAAGGAAGGTACCGGCGATAGCGCCTGGCTGTCAAATCAGCTCCTCTCCGTTTAAGTCACTTCGGACGTGAACAAGCACTGCAGTCTCTCACCTCCTGGCGTAACTTGGGCTTTTGCACTGACTTAGACAATTCACCTTCTCAGCCGGTTTGAACATTTTCTCGACCTTCGATCTGGCTTTGCAATAACATCCTTTCATAATGAGACTTGTGATGCCCAATTCCCTTCCAGGGTTTGCTGCAGTCTGTCTGATTGCTGCGCTCGTCCGCGCCGAGCCCGATGTGACGTTATGTGGACAGTATGAAAATGTCACAGATCCTTCGGATACATACAGACGTACGTTCCCTTGAGCTTGTTCTTGATCGATGAACCAACTTCAATCACTTGCTTATTCTGCTTGGCTGACACTTTGTTTATAGTGAGCACCAACGTCTGGGGTCGCGACAGCAGTGGCGCATCGTGTGTCGATGTCACAGACAACGCAACTGTCTTATCATCGACATGGTCCTGGTCAGCGAACGACACGCTCGTCCATGCGTACCCAAACATCAACTTCAATCCCGTCCAGCGTGATCCCATCCAAATATCGAATCTGTCCTCGATCGATGTCAAGGTGTCGTGGTCGATGAAACCGACAATGAGTACATCTAAGTCAGCATTTGACATGGATGGCCTTGCGGTCGTAAACGCCAAAACCAACGTGGCTTTCGATTTCTTCTTCGACACTGATATAGAGAACGCAGTCAACACCACTGCACCTAAATATGAAGTCATGGTATGGATTGGCAAGTTCGGCTCGATCCTACCGATAGGGGCGTCGGACAATGGGCAGACAAGCAAGCTACCTACGCAGAATATTGGGAAAGAGAAGTTGTAAGTGCCACTCTATGTCACTATCTGCACCAGAGGGTCGATGTCTTGTTTCCTCGTTTGACTGCATGGCTAACGTTTTTCCTTATGTCCTAGTACACTCTATCAAGGTGCCAACGACAATGGACAGCAGGTATTCTCCTGGCTCTCCAACTCGAACAAAACAGAATTCGAGGGCGATCTCTCGCCTCTAGTTCATTACCTCTGGCGCCACGGCTTCGTTCTGGCCGCGAACTACATCGGTGTTATCCAATTTGGCACCGAACAAAAGCACGCAACGTCGAACATAACATTCTCCGTAGATGAGTTCTCTATAGGCGCGACAAGAGGCACACCGAAAGCAGCAGCCGGATTCACAATCAAACTCCCTCGAGTGGAGTTCATATGCGTGTTGGCTGTTATGGTGGTACTTGGTACTTTATAGATTCCAAGTTAGGCATATGGGCTGCAATAGATATCCCAGCGTTAATACCAATAGATTAGAGTTAATATTATTCCCTAAATGTTCTTACCGCGAGCATTGTTAGGTCGGTACTCGGATGAAACTCTTATGTTTAGGTGGATTTCCTCATGTGAGCCGACGCACAAAATTATATCCCGGAACCTGAAGCTCGACAGACTTTACGATGTCATTGATCGTAGCTGAGTAAGGAATTGGTCAAAGTCTGACGCAAGTAGATTCGCAGCTCGTCTTGAGCTGATTTATCAAAAAAGTGAAGCACTTCGGCCAACATGGCCTGATTTTATGACTATGAAACTTCGAAGCCCAGCCAACCCCCAGACTGCTAACTTGTGATCTATAGCATCAACATCTCTATGACAGCTACTTACTGATATTAAACCCTTGTTACATGCGAAACTATCAGATAGGCTGCGATTCAATCTCGCTTGGATGAAGCGATCCGATGTGATGAAATCAGAGCAGGATGGACAATCGAAACAATCTATCCACTATTCACCAAATTTGGGGGACCTAAGCTTATCTTGTAACAAATCGCCATTGAGTGGGTGACATGCTCCAAAATGACATCTAGGGAAGCGAGCGCGAAAGATGGTGGCCCCACTAGGTAAGGCCAACGGGCAACGGAAGTCACTAAAAATATGCGAAGCGAAAGTTCGACTATGAACCAGGCACCACATAGTTTACTAGTGGACGAAGGACGACAAGTGCGATCTAGTTCTAGAGCAACATTTTGTGTATCTGTAGTTGCCCCAGGGTCTCATCCAATCACTCCATCTCATCACGCTGATTTGTCGGATAACAAACCATTGGCTCCTTGCCGTACGTCTCAACCTGCAACCTAAATCCTTCTGCATCATTATGCATGCAGCAAAGCCTCCTGGCCAAGTTGTCCCCCTGGTCAGCTCTCAGTATCTTTCCTTTTGGTCGGCCGACCCTGCATCTTTTCTTTTTCGGGTCAAGGGTTGGCGCCACTGCGTAGTTGGCTGTTGAATCGAGTCTCTTTGCGTGGGGGACGATGTGAGTAAGACCATCGTTGTGCAATTGCTGGATGAACTCCTCGTGAGATACATGGGGGGTTTCTGCCTTTGCCTGGCTGAAGTGAAGAGTCAAGATGTGCTCCCAGAGCGAATCGATGTTGTGTTTCTCAAGCTCGACGGAGACGCGCTTTTCGATGAGTCTGTCTTGAGCGTCTTTGATAGCTTTGATTGTGTTCCTAATACTCCCTAGCAGATCGATAGTGTCCTCGGTGGGGTACTCAGCCCCGGGCAATACCCGCGGAGTGATTGGGAGTGAAGGTTGCTCGCCACCAGAGAGCTCAAAGATATCTGCTTTTTGAGATTCGCTCTCTTGTACCTTGCCGCGACGTGCTGTATCTGTGGAGAGAGCGTAGTTTTGGCACTGTGAGCAGTCAGAATTGTAACCACCAAAGCAACCTGTACCATGGGCCAAAGTTTCCGAGCAGGAAAATGGACGTAACAGTCGATGCTGAGAATCTACTTCATTGTCAGGCATAAGATGGATCCTTGAATTATGCGGAGGTGGCAGCGATCGTTGTATTGTGTAATCCGCATAACGCCTGTCTTGTGTGGAGCTGAACTGAGCGACTGTCTGGAGTTCACAGTCACCCTCCTTCTGGAGGTGATTGGTAAAATCTCTGGGGTTCATCTTTCACGTTATTGATTGGTAGAATGCAGGACTTTAGAATAGAGCATAACGATGACTATATATATATATATAGCCCAGCGCTGCGTGTGCCTGACACAGGTGGTGATATCCTATGCTCAGCAACATGTCACACGATGAGATAGCTAGCTGGACAGTTGGCAGGCAATTCGATCTTTCTCTTGACAACGAACATCAAGTGTGGACATTGACAGCTCCTAATCACTGGTGTCAAAGCAAGTTGTCGGGCAGTGATTCATATCAGATGTCGAGCCACTGTTCTGTTCTTCATCTCGAACGTCAAGCTGTAGGTACTGTGCTGCTACCTGAATCACCATCTTTTTGTAATACGTGTTGCACACTGAATATGAGAAAGTGAAGAATATACGTTTAGTGTAACCTCCGTCGTAAGTTCTCGTAGTGATGAAGTAGCACTACGTCGCGCACTGCAGCGAATGTTACGCATACGAAAACAATCACCCATTGGCTGCCTACCATGGCCGCAGGTAGTTCAAAAGGTCTCGGATCTAACAATCTGCATCAAAAAGTCTTAACCAGGGTCATTGCTACGCCACTAACACCGGTCTCCCCACTCTCGCCGTCGTCTAACATCTGAGTACAGATCTGGAACCCGATCTTGTCGTAGAACCTCCTCCCATTCGTGTTAGTCCGTATCATGTCCAGGTGCACCCCTGCCGCGCCCAACTCTTTCACAGCTTCGAAGAAAGCATGAATCAGAGTCCTTCCCCAACCCTTTCCCTGATACTCTGGCAACACGTTGATGTGTATGTGCGCTGGATGCCGCTGCAGCACCTGTGGCCAGCTCTGCAGCATACTGCAATCGGCTTCGTACACTGCTTTTCTGAAGTGCTGGACATCTGGTCCCTCCATGAGCGGGGTTCCAGTTTGCACATCCGGCCTGGGGACGTGTTCGGGGTCCACAGAGGGAGCGAAGTCATCGCGCCAACGCTGTGCGAACGCTTTGGTGTCATCTGTGCCAATGCAGTAGCCGACCACGTGTCCAATGCCGTCGTCGAGCACGAAACATGTGCTGGGAGACAGGATGACGTAGGGCCTGTACCAGAGATACGTTCCGATGGTTCGAGCTGGCTCCCAGTCTAACCCCTGGTCAATGGTCACGAAGTACTGTCGACGTGGTCAGAACAACATTCCACGAAGGTGATGAATACAGCTGGATGGATTACCACGTGTAGGCCAGCTTCAAAATCGTGTGCCTTGTCATATGGACGCACGAACGGTATAGACATGCTAGCGACGATGAAACGGGATATGGAATTGACAATGTGCGTTTGTATCCTGTAGCCAGGAAGAGTCAACAGAACATGATACTTGCACAGAGATGGTTTATATGATATATCCAAACTTGCAAACTATCGATTTCGACGAGCTTCACCAAGCTGCGGGATCAAGGGCCGCGGGAAGCTGCAGCTGTCCACTACAACAGTTCGTATGTCAGATACATCTCAGATGTATCTCAGATTCGGGATTCGGCACGGAAATGCAGGACCGTCGAACCGACATACAGTCACGTTTGATGAACATTCACTTGAACAATGTTGATGGTTGAAGCTCAGCGATGGTAGAACTCTCCAATCACTGCTGGCTGCGCTAACGTTGACCGGTGCTGACTAAGATCCGGTGAAACTTTCGCAAGCACTCCCTCAACAGGCACTCTGCGCGAACTGCATCAATCCATCATCTGATGAGAAATCTAATCAACCAAACACAATCCTCTGTAATATCGTTCACACTCCAAGTAGTGTTCAATCGCAGGAAGCCAACCATGGCAGAGCACAGTCTCCTAGGCCTCCCCCGCGAACTGAGGGACATGATCTACTCGCTCGTATTACCAAAACGAGTGCGACTAGCCCGACGCGCCTCAACAAAGAGCCACGCATTCTACGACAATCACGGCATCCTCCTCGTGAATCATCAATTGCGAGCAGAAGCCCTGGATGCCCTGCTACCGCACACAACCTTCATCATCAGCGCAGATGAGGACAGCAGAACCCTAGAGACGCGCGATTGTCCCAACCGGGCGAGGATGAAAAATCTGCTTATCAAAGTGTGGTGCAAGAAGCGGAATCTGCACGACTTTGCGTTGTCGCATGTGTCTGGGCTGTGGAGCACGACGACGTTGGGGGACCTGCACGTGACGCTGCCGGGCTTGGAGAAAGTTGTGTTCGACTTGTCGTGGAAGGTTGAGGCACCGTGGTGCTCGTGGACGCGTCATACGCGCGAGTGGATGCTGCAATATCTTAGGGACTCTGTTGAGGCACAGCGCATCTGGACGGGGTGGGATGCCGACTATGCGCTGTGTGCAAAGGCTGTGGGCGGTTCCGTGACGCTAACTAGACGGCAGAGATGACTCAAAAGTATTGAGATCTGCGAGTGTGCTGGACGAGTTGAGGCGGTAAGATCGAGACGGAATCTTCGATATCCGCTGACGGCCTGGACCTGGGGCCCGTAGACATCACTCGTAGCGCATGTGCGTGCAACTCGTCCCTGCCCACATTGTTGAAGTGGATCTATCTCCATGGTGCAGATCTGGACGAGCTGTGATTAGTTATCTTCGCATGTTGAATACATCCATTCCGTCTCATCCGTTCTATCGAGGAGAGAAACCTCTCGAAGTTAGAGCCGGAAATAGCGTTGTGTTGGGATGTGACCAACAAGGTCCTAACAGCTAGAACAACTCTAATCAGTAGGATTCTAGGAATTGCATAATTTTAAAGGATTCCGAGAAATGCATAATTCCAGCAGTGCTTACTTGGTGTTGTTATGTTGCCTTTAGTTGTGTTTGTGTAGTGCTGTGGTAATATCAAGGTGATGTTGCTCTTGCAGACACTGAACTCAGGATTTCTTGCAAGAGCGAGAGAAAATGTTGGGCTTGGCTAATACACCAAAAATAGGTACACATCTCCTTCCATGATTATTAAGCATGTCTGGCATAGTGGACAGCAAGGTCAGGACTTTGCTTAGGATGTGTTTCAACCCAGACTTACCGTCTGGCTATTTGTAAAACAAGTCTACGCACCTGCACCTCTTCATCCCATTTAACTCACATACTTGCACAACTCATCTCTCATCGATGAAGATCAAACACGATTCGCAAGCCCCGGCACACCTAGTCTCTGTGGCCGTTCATCCCCACTCTTCTCATCCTCACTCGTCCCCTTCTCCTCGACCATCACACCCTCCATCCCCGCATCGCTACTCGCCCTCGCCTTCCCACTCCCACTCCCCTCACTTCGCGCCGGACTTAAACTCCTCAATCGTTCCACAGGCATGCGCTTCTGCAATATCTTCGCCGCGGAAGGCTCAAACTCCGCAATTGCAACCGGCGTAGCAATAGCCAGCAGGTTGCCCACGGCGCCGAGATCCGTATTCATCACCGATTCCAGGGAAGGTTGTTGCTGATTTTGCTGGACCACAGCAGGGGCAGGCATGACGGCGAGTTCAGGCAGCCATCTGCGGACCAGTGCGCGCTTCACACGGCTCAAGGCACCAAACTCCTCGACTGCAGGATCATACCCGGGCGTGAGCAGTAGTCTATCTGCGTTGAACCACGATTTGATGAGGCGCCACTTAAGGCTGCCCCACCAGCCCACCGGCACGATATTGGACTGTGGGCCGCGCCGTGTCCATAGCGACGGGTGCGATGTTGCTAGGTCGTTGTACAGCGCCTCGTAGACTCCGCGGCGCATTGGACTTTGGCGCTGCGAGGCCAGTGTGTGCTTTACGCCATACCAGAGGATGAGGACTACGAATAGGATTGGGACGGAGGATATGAACCAGTACTTTATAGGGGGCATTGGGTCGGCGAATGTGGATACGTTCATGCCGAAAAAACCTACTGTGACTGGGGGGCGGTTAGTGAGGAACCGTGAAAGGAAGTAAGGAGGGGTGTGCTTGAAATAGGTTGGGATGGGACATATCTACGTACAAGTCAATGGCAAGAAGATGAACGTAATCCAACTCAGTCTCCACATAGACAGGCCCAGCTGCAGCGAATGCCGCGCATCCCTGATCCCCACACTCTTGTACATCAGGTCTGACAGCGCACTCGTCGGCAGCACAACATCCCTCTCCCACACACCAGGCAGTCGCTCCAGCTCCCCCGGCACACTCCCCAGCCACTTCTCATCCTCCGTGGGATTCGCATTGGCCAGCTCATACAGATGAGCACGCATCTCCTTGACAATGTCGACGTGTATGTAGAGCAAGCGCTCGACTTTGAGCCACAGGGAACTGTTCTTCCACAGCTCAGGGGCGCGCGACTCATCAGCTGGGTTCTCGTAGATTTTGTCCTCGAGGATACCGACGTGGGTTTCGCATATGGAAAGGAACTTTTCCCAGGAAAAGGCCACTGCTTTGAATATGTCGCGCAAGATAAAGTCCATGCATTCTGTGGCGAGCGTGGAGTCGTCGTTCATGTTCTCACGCGGTAGATAGAATGTCAGTCGCCGCCAACGCGATTCGAGCTCTTGCCGCGCACCGATCAGCGTGTCCTTTACAGAGCCGGTTGGTGACGTTTCGAAGATAATGATTGTGTTGCCGTTATCGAGGGAGCGCAGCTTGGGAATGTAAGCATTCTGCTTTTTGTCTGCATCGACGTTTCCGTATTGTTTCTTCAGGCGCTGGTATTCCAAGTACGCATCTTCATCATAGGGGTTTGGAATATCCGGGTCCACTGCTAGAACGGGTGTCTGGAGTCAATTCTTAGCGTCGCGCAATCATGAAACGTGAATATACGTACCCCATCGTTAAGTTGCACGTACACACTCAACCGCTGAACATGGACATCGAATCCATAACACGGCATATCATCCTCATCATACCGATTGAGCTCCATAATCTTCAACGCCTCATCTTCCCTGCGCCCCACACTTCCCTTATCGTAGTATCTCAAGTACTCGCACCCAAACGCCGTTCGGCCAATGCCCCGCCACGGGTCCCGTTGCGCGCGAAACGTCTTCCCGCCCAGCACGGGCTTCCCGCCGCGCATTTGGGGGCGCTCGTAGCGTGCCCACCGGCCAAACGCCGTCCCCACCAAGTCGTCATTGGCGTCGATGTTGAACTTGCGCAATAGATAGTGCGTCGCCCATGGCGCATTCTGCACGTGAATGACGCGCAGCGCCGCCTGCGACGAGAGGTCTGAGGTGTTGTAGAAACGGCGCAGGCCGTGAATGTCGGAGAACTCCTGGGACATGATCTTGCGGCGGTGCAATGTGGTGTGGGATTGTGCGACGTAGTCGATCAGCAGCACGCGCCCGTGGTCCCAGCTGTCTCTCGTCCATGGCAGGTGCCATTCGATGTTTGAAATGTGCTTGCGTTTGCGACGGTCGCGGATCGGGGGTGCGGGTACGTGGGTCGATGTAGACGTGGACGTGGATGAGGTCGGGGTGCTGGTTGTCTGCGCGTGCTCTGGGATACGTCAGTCCAACATCCTCAACCTCCATTCCACCCGACAAGTACCAGAACTCACTTGGAGGATCCATCGGCGGCTGATCTGTATCCGTATCCTCGACCACAACCCGCGGAGGATCGCTCTTCGAGCGACTCATCCTGATACTCGCACTCATCTTCCTTTCTTCTTTTCACCAAGTATCCACACAATAAGAAGCCAGAGACTCAATCAGCAAATCATTCCATCAGTCGTCGTAATCGTAGTCGTCGTCAAAGAACACAATCCTAGAAAAGAAGAAGGCAACGTGAGGCGAGCAAACAAACGAAGACGATCCGTGAAGCGAACGAGTGAGCGACATGACATGGCAAACAATATGACTCCCCACCTCGTGCGTGCTGCCTGATTTAATAAGAGTAGACACCGGAACACCCCCAGCCACATTCATCCAGGCACGTAGGAGGCCTTGCGCTGCGCCTCGTATATGTGTGGTGTGTGGTGTGGGGGCGAGAAGTCACGGCAAGGGAAGGTGTGTGATCATATGTACATACCCATGACCATCAAGCGAGGGTTCGGCACGCCAGTTCCGAGTTAAGCGGTTGGCTTCTTTCCTTCTGCTTGTTCAACTTATCCACGATAACGATGCAGCCCTATTCATTCTTGGAATCACTGGAGATATATAAGAGACCAGGTAAAGCAGTGGGACGCTGTGAGTGTGTCTATGCTCAGGGGAAGGATCGTTGAATCAGAAACACATACACTTGGTTTCTTACAAGATGATAGTACCTTCACAGATCAGAATGTACAGATTTGTGCTAAACACCATACTAACTGTGTTATACACAAGCCTGCCTGAACGCGCTCACCATGTAGTGAAATACTCAACGCGTAGCTAGGAAGTAGGAAACTCCATCAGCCATCACTCGTTAGGAAAAATCGACCATCAATGACAACAATCACACCAAAGACACCAAAGACACACACTAAAGCACCATCCAAGCAACGAGCACAACCAACCCCGGCAGCACCAAACCCTTAACCACCGTCTCCAGCCCCCTCCTCAACTCCCTCATCTGAACCCCACGCATCCATATTGCAAACTCCCTACTCTCATTCTTGAACGGAAACGCACAAGCCGGCACCTCCCTACCCAGAAACCCACACAAAGGCTCCCACCCACTACCCAGCCTATACTCCAACAACCTCCCCGCATCCACCCTACTCTTAACAAACGCGTAATGCCTTCGATACGTATCCCGCGCATTGGCGCGAAACCCCGCTTGATCACGACAGTCGAACATGGCGTACTGCATCTTGCGCATTGTGGTGGCTGGGCGCATACTGAGACACCAGGGTTCGAACACGTTGAGCAGGAGCCACGCCATGGGCGTTTCTAGGGCGGAGATGAGTTGCGAGTCGAAGCTGTGGTACCATTTCTCCATGTCGCGGTGCACGAGGATCACTTTGGCCTGAGGGGGGGGAGAGGGGATTGTCAGTCTTCTTTCACTGTGTTCAACGCTGCTCTGCTTGACCCCCAACATACATCAGGATACCACTCTAAGAACTCCTCCGTGAAGGCCAAACATGGAAAATCGCTCAGCACTTCAAACTCGCCTAGGAAGTCGTCTTGGTCAAAGTCCTCCTTGGTGTATGGGCGGCCTTTTTCGTAGAATTTCGCATCGATTGCGGCTTCCCACTTCGGTAAGTTGTGGCGGCGCGAGGGGTCGATGTAGTCGAAGCCGTGGTACTTTGTGTAGCCGAGGATTTTGTAGGCCTCCATCATGGATACGGAGCCTGTTCGGGGCATGGCTAGATGGAGGATCTTTACGGGAACTTTGCGGGTGGGCTGGGACATAGTGGAGGGTGATGGTGATGATGGTGATGTTAATGATTCTGTGTTCGATTGAGTGTGTGTATACTCCTGCTTGAGTAATAGTCGCCCTAGAGGTCGAGGTTAAAGTGGAGTCTGTGTGGACAGGTATCGTCAGCACAATGAGGTGCACGTCCAAAAAGTAAGCGCTGACTGTAGGATTCAACTACGCCGCACGTGGCGGGTTACCTTACCTACTACCTCTCAACATCACCTTTTGTGCGGAAAATTCACATGCTGGGCGCGTTGAGGCAGCATTTTCTTCGAGATCGAATCGACTATTAAGGTGTCTGACGTAGTGATCAGGCCTCTGACGAATGAAGCGATAATGTACAACCTACGGCTAGAGTTATGCTCAAGGAGGAACCATAAAGACTAGGACATCCAACACACATCTAGCATACTATTGTAGGCTGATGATTCCTTAAATGTACCATGAAGAGAGATAATTTCTGCTTGGGTCCAAAACCACAACAAATCTTCTCATTCACCGGGATTCGTTCCGTGCAAGGTGGCGATTCGAGGAGTCGTGTTTGGATTTCAAGTTTCACAGTCAATTTTCCACCCCCTCTTACCCCATCCCCAACCACCGAAAGCAATCTCCAAAACCCCCTTCACAATGAAAGCCGGTTCGACCACAAAACTAATCTGCAAACAACCCAACCATCGCTGCTTCCAAAACGACATAACCACTACCCTTACCTCTATAGAGCAGGCCCCGCACTCCACCGACCACGTGACGAGAAGCGTAACAGCAAGCGGCCTAGGCGGCTTCACCACGCACATATCGCTCATCGAAGCAAACGCCGTGTCCATCGACTACTACGTGACATGATTCGGCACTGTGCTCTCTGTCGCCGCGTCAGATGGGAACTATGCATGGGTCAAGTTCTGCCGGGAAAACGGCGCGGATGCAAATTACTCCATGGTTGTTGGTGAGTGTAATTCTATATCGGCGGGCGCGGCGGAGAACGGTAAGGGGGGGTTATGGAACTGCTGCTTGAGTATGGGGCGGCGCTATCGTGATTGCTGCGGAGGCGGGGGAGACGGAGGCGGTTAGACTTTTGCTGGAGAGGGGGGAGGATGTGAATGAGGTGGGAGTAGGTCACCCGACGGATCCGAGAGTGATTGAGGAAATGGGGACTGCGCTGCACAAGTCGGTTACTGAGGGACACGTGGGGACTGTTAAACTGTTGCTTGAGCATAGCTCTGATGTTAACCTCCAGGATATACAAAGGCGCACACCATTAGCCTTAGCCACACGTCCGGAGATTGCTGTTTTGCATCGAGATAGCGGTACGAAGCAGGGACGCGGAAGAGCAGATATACCTGAGCAGGATGCAAATTAAGTGTTTTCGTGCTACGAGACTTCTTCACTGTGTTTGTTTCGCTCACTCGTGCAAAAACTATTCAGTGCAAGACTATCTTACGAGTTACTCATCAACGCCAACCGATACTGACTTCACTGAGATCCCAAGTAATTCTTCCACAACACACGCAGCACAAACTCCTGTATTCCACACACATCCCACAGCCAGCGTCACCCAACAATGCGTAAGCCTCCAACCCATCACCACGGCACAAACACCATCTTCCGAATCCAAAAACCTCGCAGCGAAAAAGCGGGATTTCTCTTCACTGGTTACGCCACTAAACCTTCGTAGTGGAGTAAAATCTGGATAACTTGGTAACCGTAGTGTACACAGCACACAACCCAGGCGCCTAAGCAGAGTGAGTACCAATCACTGCTCTACCGAACCAAAAAAAAGTCCACCAGACCACACCCGCCCATGTAAAACCGCTGAGACCCCGTCTAAAAGATGGGCAAGCACTTTCGGCAGCTAGGTTTCTGTTTAGCTAGGTTTGAGGGCGTACTATCCCATTCTATTTCACGCAGTACACCAAATCACATACTACACCCCGCGCCATGCTTCCTCTCCAGAAAACTGCAGGTAGTAGCGGTATTTTGGGTGAGATATGTAGGCTGTAACGATTGAAATCTGGTCTGCGTGGGGTTTGAAAGGACTGCTTATCTAGTGAAGTGATGTGTAGGATCTTGGAGTGTATGGTATATTTTCTCGGTGAGATCTGGATCTGTAAGGCATGGTATCAAGTCTGGTATGGTGTGGTATGGTATGGTATCGATCCACCACATAATATGCGCCAAAAAACAAAATGCAGAGAAACGCCATCTCGCAGAGTGGAGAGATAGAAGAAGAGAGGAAGAGAAGGAAGAGAAGAAAAAGGACGCATAAACACGCGCCAACCACGACACGGAAACAACTCCTCATCCACCAAATCAGACCAGGTCAGGTCAGATCCGATCCGATCAGATAATCTCATGCCTCTCCCACCCCGTCGGTTTAGGATGAGCCAGATCCTTCCCCGGATGCGGTTTCTCCACATCCCTATACTCGCTGACAAACGGATTCGGGTCCTCATTCTGATCGAGGTTGCCAAACGTATGATTGACCTCTCGATGTTTACTCTCATCCGCACGAACTACACCGTATCAGCACACCATCCATGCCCAGACATCCCCTCTCGTAGAAAAAAAACTCACTATAAAGCAGCAAATCGCGCATCGTCCTCCTACCCTCCGGCATATTCCAGTAATCGACCGCAATATCCGGGGCCTGCATACCCGCCCACTTCGGCAGACGGCCCGCGTCCAGATCCTGAATCTGGCGCGTATACGTAATGACTGCTTCTTCCTCGAGGTAGCCGACGAAGCGGTGGACGGTGCGCGGGCTGATCAAGTACGCGAAGAAAAGCGCGTTGCACCATACGCCCTGCGCGGCGAGCACCATGAAGCGCATGAAGCGGCCGGGTTGCTGCATCTTGAGGAAGACGAGGAGGTGCATGCGTTCGTTGTAGCTTTCTTCGAGGAGGGATTCGATCCTGGGGGTGTTAGAGGCGTAGGGGGTTAGGGGGTGGGAAGGGAGGAAGGGGCGCACCATCCGTTGTCGCGCTTCATGCGTCTCATGGAATGGAGGTGGCGTAGCATACCGGCGACCATGCCGGGCACGCCGGCAACGCTCTCGAGGAACACGTTGCGGATCATGTATTTTTCCTCCGTCATGGCGTATTTTTTGCGTGCGGCTTCGGGGTTCTGCGCATTGAGGTCTTGGGCTTTTTCGTGCTTGTAGCCCGTGGCGAAGTCGAGGCCGAAGCGGAGGAGCTTGACGGCTTTGAGGGCGACTTTGTCGGAGAGGGTTTTTGCTTCACGGTGGGCTATGACGACGGAGTTCATCTGCTCCTCGTTGTAGACTGGGGGTGGGTCAGTGACTGCGTATCGTCTTTGTGGTGTTGGTGGGCGTACCTGGATGGGGCCATGCTGCTGGTGTTGTTCGCACCTTGGCTGTCTGCACATGTTCGAAGAACTTCTGGTCTTTGACGTCGCGTGGTGAAGAGGAGAAGTGGCGTTGACCGAGTGGCGAGCGCTGTACCACGATCAAGACAGGTTGGAGTCTGAGGTTAGAACACTTGAAAAGTTGGGCAACGGCACGGTTTGAGGCTAGTGATCCTCGTGTTGCTGTTCTGGTGGATAGCATTGACGTTGTATATCAGAGGGGAGATGTGTGTATGAATGGAGATGTAGTGATGGATGCTGAATACAAACAACAACCAAGCTGAGGCAACAACTGTCTTTATACAATGAACGCATTCCTCTTATTTGACGCCAACATGCTAGATAAAATTGTGCACGAGATTTCAGCCGCTTGGAGCCAGCAAGTTGCGGCACAGTAAGCATAGGGTGAATCAGGGACGTGGGGACTCGGGGAGCAAAACATGGCGTCTAAGAGGCTAGAAAGGGCTTCGTGTATGTCAGATCGGGAATAGGAGGGTTTTCGAGGTCGCGTGCAGTATCATGTTTGAAGTGGCTGTGAGGATGGTGGTTGTTCAGCTGGGCGTCTGCGAGAACGGGCCGGGTGGGGAGCCTTCCAGCGAGTTGCCCCTCCGAAAGATTCTCGTCGGTGACTCGGTGATCCACCATAACAGGGCTGACTACTGATGTCGATGCTACGGTTCGCGACGTCCAACTGGATCTTGCTCATGTCTAGGCTTGGTCGAAGCGGCACGTATTACGAATTCTTCGTCGCTAGGCTTGGTCGTGCTAATTATACACATGCAAATGCTTGTTCAAGACATGCGGCCAGTCAGGTAGTCAGGCCTCGATTTTGATACCTCCGAGGGGGAAAGAGACAGAGTACACCTCACTTGACATTGAACCCGCTCTCTCCAGACTTTGTCGAGATGTCGTCGTGCTTGACGCCAGAGACACTCGCCGCTGATGGACCCTTGTTCAGGTGCTGGACAAACTCCTTGATGGCGTCCTCGCTGCCCTGAGCCTCGCCTTGGACCTACACAGCGTCAGGATGTCGAACGTCATAGCAGAGATTGTGAGAGCTGTGAGACTGACCGAACCGTCAGAGGCATTCGTCACGTAGCCAGTGACGCCAATGCTCTTGGCCTGCTTCTGGGTGAAGTTCCTGAAGTTGACACCTGCATGCGTGAGCTTGAGTGAGGAACGGTGGGAGGGCACGAAGCCGACGCACCCTGCACCTCGCCCTTGACAGTGTATGAGATCTGCTCGGGTCAGTCTTGCTACTATGCACAGCAGATGTTGGGGGTTGTCGCACTCGCTGGGTGGACATTTTGGCGGTGGTTGAGAGGAATCTCTTCATTCAGTTTCTTTTTCCAGAAAAGAAGTGACACGCAACGGTATTGCAGCCCTGCAGCCCACGTCGCGCTTCAGCAGGCGGGCGACGTCATGGCGGCGCACGTTAGTGGTGAAGCTGCTGGAGCGTTAAGCAAGTCGCACCCCTGCAAGCAGTAGATGGCGGGGCGCATGGCGAGTCGCGACTGCAGGCACAAGTGAAGGGGCGAGGGCTGCTTGCTTTTGCCGTGTCGTTATTCTCCGGCCTCAGCCTGTCCATCCTGCCCATCACTCACTCGACGGTGCGGCGCCCAGTGTGCGTGTGCACGTGGGGTACGAGGAGCGGACGACGCTAATCGCGCGTTGTTTTGCTTCAATCTCGCGTCGACCTGAAACCAATGAGTCTACGTTAATCAAACCCCTTACCTGGCAACAACCGCGAAACACCCAGGCCGCCCGCAAACACGCCTACGCCACCCAGGTCTGCTGCTGCTGTCGCTGATGCCCGCTCAACTCGACCGCTGCTCCTGCCTCAGTCTGTAGCCTGCCTCCCCTATCCACCGCCCACCATGGACCCAACCGCCGTCTCCCCGCCCGCCCGCCTGTCTTCGCCAGAGCCATGGGCCACGCCGTCGCTCGCCCTCAACGCCGTCCCGCAACTCGACCGCTCCGTGTCCACCGAGTCGTCGCGGTCCTCCGTCTCCGGGCGCTCGGTGAGCTCGAGGGTCTCGGAGAGTGGCATACCCAGACGACGCGGCTACATGCGCCCGGAAGGCACCCAATTTTCCGACTCGGCCAAGAACAGAGAGAGCGTCATGAACCTCGGCACCATTGCGCACCTGCAGTACTACTTTGCGCGCACCGGACTGCTGGACACGGCCACGGGGCGCGTCGCAAAGGGACGGAGGCCGGGCTCACGGACGCCGAGTGGGAATGAGCGCCCGCTGTCAGAGGGCGACCTGTCGACGATGCTGTCGCTGGCCTCGCCCACAGGCACCATCGACCATATGGGCGAGAGCTTTGTCGAGTCGCCCCTCGACGACATGGCCTCGATGAGCTGGGAGGACAACGAGCCCATGATGTTGCCGCCGACCGTCAGCACCTACAAGAACAACCCCGTCTATGTGCCGCCACCACCCGACATGACAGTCCTCCGCCGCGAACTGCGCGAGTCGCTCGCCGAAGCCGCAAAGCACCTGAAAGAGATCGAGAAAGGCTTCCCCACCGCGCCACAGAGCGACGACAACACTGATGGAAAGCGACGCTCGGCCGACGCAGCAGGCTGGTATCAAATACAAGGCCTGAACCTGCTCGACGTGACGACATTAGCCATCAGAGCCGCGAAGAACTACTACACCGCACACGAAGCGCCGCAACGACTCTACGCCATCAAACCCGAACGCCAGATCCGCAAAGAGCTCTACCAAGTACTCGAAGTGCTGAAACGGTTGGCGATACGCAACTTTGCCAACGGTGTGCAACTGTATGAAGTTTCTCAGATCAGGCAATGGATAGTAGACATCAGCCAACTGCTCGACACTGAAGAAGAACTGGAGATTGTCGAGCACGAGGAGCGCGAGAGCTGGACATGGCGCGAGGGCGACTGGACAGGCAGAGAACGAGAGCGGGAACTCCTATTTCTCCGGTCGTTTGACAGCAGTACAGACGTCCTCCCCGAATGGACAGAAGCCAGCGACACAAACATCCCCACACCCTTCCTCTCCGCGTTACAGAACGGCCTACGTCTAGTACACCTGCACAACACGCTCGTGCGCAAGTCACGGCGCCAATTCGAAGAAATCAAGCAGTTCCACACCGACACAGCGAAACCATACCGATGTGCAGATAATCTGCGCTACTGGGTCAAGGCTGCCGAACTGCGCTGGGACATCAAGCTCGACGTCGACGTCATGGGCATTGTGCATGGCACGGATGCGGTGGCCTGGCAGAAGTTCGATGCTGCCGTGCTGACGTGGTGTCAGGGCGTCAGGGCAGAAATCACAGCAGAGTGGGCCAAGGAGAAGCAGAAGCAGAAGAAACGCACGCCCACGCTGCATCTGAGAACGCCCACGCTGCAGGACAGTTCCGATCCTGGCTTTGAGATCGTCGATGCTAGTGTTGCGGCATAGTCCCCAACTCTGACTTCAAGGCTGAGGCCTGAACTGTGTAAAGGGGAACACGCGGATATGAACATGGAGTTTATGTCGAGGGCGGATTCTGTCATCTCATCTCATCTTTTCACCTAACATCTACATCTCCTTCTCCTTCACTGTCAAAGTGTGTGTCTTTTTCTTACACCATATCTACCCTTCTAATTGACCCCGTCGAGTATAGCATCAGGATGTTTGGACGCGCGCGCAGGCTTTTCCTTTCTTACCCTTCTTCTTCGTGTCTCGGTCGACAGGTCAGTGTGTGTGTGGTGCTGGATGGAGACTTGAGTTAGATACCCCATATTACGCAGGGAGAGGACTGCAGCTTTTGCTTTGTTTCGTTGTTTATAGTTGGGGCTACATGCATGGTAGATTGATAGGTTGATAGGTCGATATAGAGACTCCACTCACAGACTTGCTTGATGTCCTCATTTTGTACAACAGTGCATGTGGATGTGAACGACCGGCCAAGCTAAGCAACAAACGAACACATATTACATGGGTCATGCCAGCTAAGCACATAACGCGGACACGCTTCCGATGTATCGTTCGCAGCAGAGCAGGACACGGACGCAGTGGCGCTGGGCTATGGTTGTCTGTCAGGGGTTTGCTGGGCAATTTAGGTACAGGACCCTGGGTAATCAAAAGGGATCCCCGGCGGACCCGACCGTTGGAATCTGAGGAGCGTGTTTCATGATGATGATGTGGTTTTAGATATGATCTGGACCGGTTCTTTGTTGGATGTGTTTGATATGTCTTGACTTGACTTGGGGACTTGTTCATCCACTGCTCACTCGTTGACTGATTTGTTGTTGATCCATTCGCTCCCACTACTGTGACACACAGCTGCATGCATTGTCAATGGTTGGCTCCCCACGCACGCGTAGCTGTTAGCCCGACGCGACTTTCCTCAGCGTTCCACGGAGCACTCTGTGGTGTGGGCAAGCAACAGCAGTGCACGCAGCAATTCCTCGAGCTGAGCCGAGCCTTGCCTTCTCCTGGCCCACATACACCTGACCTGGCACAGTCCACCGGCACACTCCAAAGTATGCTCAATGAGCAGCTCGTCGCCGCCGCCTCTGGTCAACAGCAACCCCGCGAGTGGTGAGCTGGCACGGCCACCACCAACACGGCAAGATCCTCCCCCAACGCCGCCGTCGGCACGCACCGCACCAACATCGCCGCGCCAGTCGCCCAGCAGCAACGTCCTCGACAGAAGTAATAGCACGAGCAGCAGCAGCAGTGGTAGGAAGTTGGCGAGAAACGTCGCGCCCGGCCTGCTTGCGCGCATGAAGTTTCTCAACCAGGGCGCCGACAGCAAGACGACGACGGCCACGCCTGCCATTGGCCGCATCTCCGAGCACAAGATCCGGCACCTCGACGAATTCCACAAGGACCGCAACGTGCGCATTGAGCGTCGCGGCACCGCCTGGAACGGCACCACGGCCAGCCAGGCGGGCACGCCGCTGATTCCCCAGCTCACGGGCGAGAGCGTCCCCGCGCTGCACATGGAGCCCGACATCGAGAGCGACTACAGCGACGTGACTAAAAGTGACAGGGTGCTGCCTGAGGAGGGTGAGCGCCATGGCTTGGACGTGCAGGCGTATAAACTGCCCGACGTCGCCGCCGACGCCGCCAAAGAGCTGCCGGACGTTGATGTCATAACGTCAACAACAGCAACAACAATAACACCACCACCTCCAACACCACCAACCACATCCATCGCCGCCGACATGTCGCGTCCGCCCACGCCCCCGCCCAAGGACACGCCCCCCCTCGAGGAAGTCTCGGTCCTCGACGACGTAAATGGCATCGACGTCGCCGCCTACTTCTCCCGCCGCCACCACCTCCACCGCACAAACTCCGTCTACACCCTCTCCAAGGCCAGCTTCACCAACCAGATCCAGCAGCTGACGTCGATGAAGCTGCCCCCCACGACTATCGCCTCGGAAATCACCGCCCTCCCCTCGTCGACGCTCGCCGGCCGCGCCCTGCACAAGGCCGCCAACGACATCCGCCTGTGGATGACAAAGGCGACAGAGGTTCTCGAAGGCCTCGACGCTGAGGATGACGTCGAGTGGGCTGCTGCTGCCGGACGGGAAGGGTTGGCAGAAGTGGACTCCGCAATCAGCAAGTTCGAGGGCCTCATCACCGTCTACATCACCGCCATCGAGGACCTGCAGTCGCGACCCGACATTGCGCTGCTACCGGCCAGGGACCAGGAAACGCTCGTGAGCCAAATGGAGGATGTCGTCAACAACTGGTCGGAGATCAAGAAGACGCTCAGGGGCATCAAGAACCAGGTCGAGGTTGCCATGGAGTGGGAAGAGCTGTGGAACACGGTGCTTGGCGAAATTGGTCTTGAAGTCGAGAATCTGAGCCGGCTGGTTTTTGAGATGGAGGAGCGCCGCCACCGCGTCATATCTGACTCTGTTGCTGAGTCGGCGGAGAAATTCGACATTGCGGAGCTCGAGACGATTGTTGAGGAATTGCCGCGACAGGCCAAGATTCTCAGCCATCGGTTTAGTATGCCGCCAACGCTTGCAGTTCTGTCGCCTACCTCGCCTATTCCATTGATTGAGCAGGAAAATACAAAGCTGCTGGCTCTGTTTGCAAAACTACAACCACTACGCGCATCGCTTGACTTCCTGCCTATGCGTCTAGCTTCTTTCCAGCACCGTGCGGGCAATATATTTCCTTCAGCGTGTGAGGAGCTGATGGAGAGGAAAGAGCAGCTGGAGCAGCAGGAGAAGCAACTCGAAGCAGAAGCAGATGCGCTGCGAGAAGAGCTGGGCGAGGACAAGTGGGTGCACAGCTTCAGGCAAGCGGGCAGCAAAGCCGTGGCGATGTACGACTCCTGCATCAAGAGCATCCAGAGACTGCGACAGGCCATTGATGAGGGCGACGACGAAAAGCTGACCTCGCGCATCGCAACATACAAAGACAAGAGGGACCACTATCCGCCGTCGATGAAGCGCGTGTTGGAGTTGATTGACATTGAGATGAAGCACAGGTCGACAGTCAATGGCGAGATTTTGCGAATTCAGCAGGATGTGAGACAGAAGGTGTCTCACCTGGAGACGGAGACCACCGACATGGATGCGCTTTTGGATGAATTCAAGGCGTCGCGCAAGCTTCGCGACTCGGTGTCTACAGTTCTGTCTGCTCGCACAGAGGCCTCACTGTCAGGATCCGCCGTCGACACACCAAACAGCTCCCCTGCATCCAGTATCATCATGAGCCGCAAGAGCAGCGACTACGACACGACAACATTATCAGGGAAGAAGGTCCGCCAGGCTCCCGGCACCGCCTCGAAACCTCTGAATCGCCGCTACTCCAGCATGCCCATTGGCATGAGTCCCGCTCCTCGCAAATCCCTCCAACCAACCACCCATCTCCAGCCCCCAGCACCATCCCGCACCACATACCACACCCCCGTCCGCGCCGCCCGCGAAATAACCCCCCCACCCGACCGGCCCGCCAACCGCCCCTCCAACAAACCACGCTGGAACTCCAGCACAAATATGAGCGACACAGTCGTAGGCCACAACTTCAAGCCCCTAAGCCTCACCTCTCCCTCGCCTTACCAGCGCCGCCTAGAAACCCCACGCAGCCTATCGAGCTACTCGTCCATCCCCGTCCGCAGCCCACTAAGTCGCTCCTCGCCCCTCTCCCCCCCGCCCCCACGCCCAATGTCCACGAAACCCACCACTCTTCGCCGTCCAGTCGCAAATCCCATGCAGGGCCCGTCTACCCCGGCGAAGAACTCACACTCCATGCCCACTACGCCTCTCTCTGCTTCACATACACCCGCCGGCACCCCGTCGTCGTCGCGCCGCGTCAGCATCGCGCCCCAGGATCACGACGCAAGAGACGAGAGTCCCGTCCCGAGACGCGCAAGTCGGCCTACGAGCGCGATGAATGCGCGTAGGAGCAGCATGATGCTTCCTGCGCCTAGGACGCAGATGCGCACTTCTTCCGCGTTGAGTGTTAGTCCTGCTCAGGGTGGGGGGTTGGGCAGTATTGATGAGGGGAGGAAGAGTCGTGGGAGTGGGGGTGCGAGGGGGGATGGGAATGGACGGCAGAGTAGTGCGGGGGAGAGGAGGGTGTGGAAGTGAGGCTTGGGGTTCTTCGGTTTTTTTCTTCTTTTTTCGTCTTTTTGGACGGTTTTTTGAGCGAGCGAGCGAGCGAGCGAGTTTCTTTCTTCGGTGTCGTGTTGTGGCGTGGCGTGCTTTTCACTCCCCCTCCTTAGCTTTTTTTCCGTTGGGGATGGGATGGGCATGGCATTAGGGATTTTTCATGGCGTTTTTTGGGGGGTTGTCCTGTTTGTACGGAAACAGGAACGGGAACAAGCATAGGGCTGTGTTGGGGCAGGGCAGGACTTGGTGGGGGTGGGCAGGGGCTTGGTAGGGAAGGCAAGGCAAGTGTACTTTTATACCCTGGTGTTTCTTTTTTCTGTGTGTGTCTTTCTTCTTCTTCTCTTCTCTTCTGCGAAGTGCAGAGGGAGGTTTTACTGGGTTTTGGTGACTTGGAGGGGACGAAGGGGGAGGGGGGAGGGAGAAGTAATACCATTGTGGATGGAGAGGGTTGGAGGGGGAGGGGGAGGGGGAGGGGGGGCGGAGTAGGTAGAGAAAGAGAGAGAGAGAAAGGAAGATGAAAGAAGAGATGTATAATCAATTGCTAAACTTGATGTTTTTGCTTGCTTGCTGTGTATCCCCCCCTCTTTCTCTCCCTTCTAATCCCTACATTTTTTCCTCTTACCCTTCTACTTCCCCTCTAAACCCGCACTGCCTTGCCTTGCCTTAAACAGTATCCATCCACCGTACCGCACTGCACCACATCACCCCGCCCAGCAAACCCTCGCGCAAAGAAGACATTGATACCTATACCATTCCCCTCTCCCCCTCTCTTCTACCTGTTATACTCTACTCTAGTCCAGCAGCCACACAACAACGAACCGCCTGGTAAACATAGGGTGCTTGTATATCACATATTTCCAGTCTTTCCTGTTTCTGATTTTTAGAAGACTGCTTACAGTGGCGTGATCTTGCGTGTGTGTATGTCAAGGTAGGAAGTTATTGTAGATAGGTGGAGAGATGTGTAGTAGATGCTATGCTGTGATGTGTAGGAAAGTATACATGGAGCCACATGTTATCTCGCACTGTTACCATATGAAGTGTCTTTCTTTAATGCTACTATGCCCTTCCCACTTGGCTTATCTATCTACTTCGATGTTCTATAGTCTTACAGCTCTGAGCTGACGAGAAGCCGAGGGCGAACGACGCAGTGACACTCAATATTACTACGCTTCGCGGTTTAATATCTATGCTTGTCTCTTTCAACATTTAATCCAGTCTACACCTTCTACGCGCGCCTTATAGTAGTCCCCTAACATATATCCCTCTATAACACACACCCCTTTCTCCCAAAATCATCTCGGTCAATTCCAAAGGACTTGTGCACTCAGTAAGCGTTACCATCTAACTGGTAGAACCATTATAAATTCTAGTAATAGATCGATGCTTAGCCAGTGTTCTACGGCTAGGTAGGTACCAGGGCATGATTAGTACAATTAGTATGAACTACTACCGGTATTCTTACCACACTAGATACTAGGTCACAACTTATCCGACGATTGACAAACACCTAGGGATGAACTCCAGTAGACAAACCCCGAGATTCTGATTCTTGGTAACGGCCTACGCAAAGTTCCCACTGAATTCCACGTAGCATTTACACATAAGAACCCGCAAATCCTACAATCTCCAAATCTACATTCTTCCATCAACACAACTCACTACATCGATCACATCATGTCCTCCTTTATCCCTTTTGTCTAGCAGTACATAGAGAATGCAAAAAGCGCTAATACATCACCCCGATTTCGCCCTAGAACTTCGTTTTCCACGCGCCGCTATATCGCATTCACTTTCTGATACCCTCCCCTCGTATATCGAGAATCGCTGCGCCGTGAACACCGTCTAGCCTCGCCCCGGGGCCCGTCTTATGCGCAGATTCCCAACCGCTTAATCGGCGCATATATCTGATCGAGCTCACATCCTTCAACCTGGGTGCCACCATGAACGCCCTTTTACAGCTATATAAATCATCAGCCCTATAACCGAGCAGCCTCCTTCCCATCCCCTCCGGCCTAGAGCGCTAAGACCTGCTCTCCCTATCCCTATCCCTCACGTGTGAAGCAGAACCCCCAACTCAACCACGTGAAACCTAACCCCGTACTACGGACCTATCTACACGGCCATCATGTCGCCCTTCTACATCCTCGGCTCGAGGTACGCTCAGACCTCATGGCTTGCGTATGCACACCACAGCTGTGATGCGATGCGGAGAAATGGACCGCCTTGGACGCAGAATGCACGAGCATGGAAAGGAAGGGAAGGATAACATGTTCAATGAGTGAAATCTTACCAGCAAACAACGCAAAGTGACGGAATCCGCGTATTAGCTTTTCCTAGCACGCAGACCACGGGGTGGTTCGAGGATGACGTGTATGCTGCGCGGGTTTGGGAGGGGGTGTTGTGTTTAGATGCTGGAAAGGGGAGCTTTCTTGAGTTTGGTGGGGATTGGAGGAATCGTCCATAGAGCCGAGTTGTGCATGATTATATCAGAGGTGGTGCACCGGTCAATACATATTAGTGGTTCTAATTCTCGCGTGACTAAAAAATATCTGTGCTGCTTTAGTGCTGAACAGTGTCGGGAAGATAGTGGTATGTGGAACGCAGAAGGAGAAATCAAGTGAAGACGAGTGAGGATAACATTACTAGATACAGAAGCCATCGAAAAACGACGCTCGATGCGCAGAAACAATCCGCAATGACGAACAAAGTAAGTAAAGTAAAGTAGCGTAAAGTAGTGGGGGTATATGCAACACGCAACCATCTCTCCAACTCCACCCAGCCCTTCCCATGCCATCCCACCATTCCCATCCCACCCCCAAACACAAGAAACCCAATCCACCCCACCCCATCCCATCCTCCCCTTTCCAAGATACAAAAAGAAAAAACTCAAGCCTCACAAACCCTACTCCTCCTCCCAATCTCCTCATCACTCAGCGCCGCCATCCAAAGACACTTACTCAACACCTCAGGCACAACCGTGAAATTATACTTCGAGCTCGCCTCCAGCAGTCTAAGCAAATTCTTAACAATCATAGCAGCAGTATGGTGGCGTTCAAAGTTGACGAGGCGTTCGCCCGCGACGGGGGCAGCGTCGATGAAGGCTGGTTTTTGCGCGTTGTAGATGAGGTCGCGGGTGTATATGCCTAGTTTTTAAGTTTTAGCGTGGGTTTGGATTAGATGGGGGGATGGGATGATATGGGGGAGACGAACCGATAAAGGGAATACACCCGTCGTCCACGGTAGCAGTTTCCATCTCCAAGCGCAGATTATGGAAGTTACGCAGCGGCTGGACCAGCGCCTCCAGTTCCTTCATAGTCTGCAGTTCAGCCGGCGGGACGAGTGCCCAAGTTTTACGCAAACGGGAGACGTCGTTAGAAATAAGTGCGATGGCGATCTGGTACATGGTAGCGTAGTTGCGCAGTCGTCGCGCGTGGGTGGCGATGTGTATGTACTTCACGATACATTGTGCGCGCTCCTCGATGTTTTCGGTCAGCACGCACTCCGACACGGCCCATTTGACGACGAGGTTGAAGCGCGCGATGACCACGTCGACGCCCTTTGCTTCCTGCGTTTGTAGATATTGTACCCAGTCGCGGATTTGGGGCGAGGACTGCTTCCAGCGCAGCTCGATGAGCTCTTTCCAGTCTATTTCGTCGAGGGCGTCTTTTTCCACGACGGTGAACTGCTGGGCTAGAAGCTCTGAGTCGTAGGCTAGCACGAAGGGGAGATGGGCAGGCGGGGTTAGTGTCTTGTCGCGGGCGAGGTCTTGCAGCTCGGCCGAGGACTGGAGCTGGCCGGCCTGTACGAATGTCTGGTCGTTGGATCGGAAGGCGTTGGGGGTAAAGCCTGACGTATTCGGTCTGCCCTCGGAAGCAGTCGTACCGGTCATTGGATCCTTGACCAGATGTGCGCTGAGCGGTGGCGTGAGGGGCTGTCGCGCAGAATGCATCGGCAGATCCATTTGCTCCTTATCCAGATCCGCTGGTTCGTCGTCAAAGAAGCTTCTCACGCCATGGCTAGTCTGGTCCGACCTAGCGTCTGTCGTCGTTTCGACATCACTAAGCTCCTCATCTTCGTCAAGAAGAAACGACTCCCGCGTTATCGTAGATGAAGGTTTAGTCCCGCCATGGGGAATCCTCTTCATACTCTCCGTCTCCACCACATACTCGACAGACGAGTTGGCAGAAGCCGTACCCATCGAAGCGTGTGGGTTCACCAACGACGGGAGACTAGTAAAATGCAGGGGCGAGGGTTTTGCTGAAGATCTCATGGTGTCGAGCGTCTGCCTTTGCTGCGTAGCAGTCATAATGCTCAGCCCGCGATCGAGAAGCGGAATCGAAGAGTACGAGTCGTCCGACTCCCCGACAGAATTGACCGCAGGTACGCGGCCGTTGAAGTTTTCCTCCGACGAGCGGTATATGCTTTCGTTAGCTTCAGGCGGCGTGAGTGGTCGGGGTTGAACATTATCCGTCTGAACATATGTGACATACTCCAATGGCTCGTAGACGGTTGGGCTGGGAGCTCCGCTTGGTCGGTAAACAGTTGGTGCGATGGTAGCCAGTGGAGAGGACTCGCTAGGGGACCTCCTCTCATACCGACCTTCCAGCTTCATCAAAGCAGACTCGACCCCACCCTCATCATCCGTATCATCTGGCAGAGCAGCGAGTTTCGCAACTTCGACCTCAAACGAAGGCCTTAGATTAGGTTGTGAGGAGTGTGTGTCCACCATGGAGATTTTCTTCTTCTTCGGAGTCTGTTGGTCATCAACCTCGCCCACTCGCGGACTGCTTTCAGTCTCCGAATCGCCATAACGATCAGAGCGCAGGACAACCGAGTTTGCAATCGAATGTGTGCAATTCGACACCGAACCAGTAGAGTGAGGGCGTTGGATGTACTCGAGATCGTGGACATTACCAGCGGCTCGCAGGTCGCCACCTGGTCTCCGACGAAGTTGGCGTGCGGGGCCTGTTGATTCCTCAGTCCGATGGCGGTCGAGGAAAAAGGGGTCGTTATCCGATGACATGGTCTGGAATGTTGAAATGCTCTCGGGGCCCATCAGTCGGCTCAGTCGGCTCAGTCCACTGTTGTATGACGCGTGCCGCCGTAGAGAGCCGGACCGTGCGATGGAATTCTTGGTCGACCCGCGGCGTCTGAAGGAGTGCATGTGCCCACGCCCCTCGGATATGGACCTCCTCCACCCAGTGACTGAAGGCCGCGTCGTTGCTCGCGATGTGCGCTGCTCTTCCTTCGGCATCTGAGCCTGTAGATCATTGAAGAGTTCCGGATGTGGAGAGATGGGAATATTGCCCTCGGTCATTTTGTCGTCAATAGACGCGTTTCGAGAACAATCTTCCTGTGGCGCACTTTCAACACCTTCTCCATCAGCCTTGGAGGCAGGCAGAGCCCCAGACATGAGCGGGAGAGGCGGAGCCCCCGTATCGTCGTAGATCATGATAGATTTACTGCCACTCGTGATATTGCTGTGGACTCTTGGATTGGGGTTGCGGGACGCATTGATGCGGTCGTCAGGTGTTGGCGCCCGGCGGTTCTCGAATTCAAACTCAAACCCACCCAAGTCAGGCGGGTTGGAACTGTACTGCTGTTCACCCGTGAGCTGTGCCTCGACTGCCTCCTTGAAACTTTCCGCAACCGCGCAAGCCAGAAGATCGATGCGCGTCTGTGGTCTTGACGGGGCAGTGCGCCGTTTGTGCGGCCCCGCAGTGCCAGGCGCGGTGGTACTCGAGTTGGAAGACCGAGCATACGAGGCGTGTCGCTGCTGCCCAACACTCCCTATGTAAGGACTTGCATTGGGTGAGTGCCGAGTGCTCAATGCACGACGTACAGTGCCAAAGATCTTCTTCATTCCTGGCGTCGTCACATGTCCGCTTCGTTCTTGCAGTTCGTGTGCATAAATATCGTCGGTGACCAGCTGAAGCTGCGAGCGTGCGGGACGCGAGCTGCTACGCGGAACCTCCATGTAGGGTGAGTTTGGCTGGAACAGCCCACCGTGGACCAAACTCCCTGGCATATTGGCCAACGCCGAGCTCGCGAGATCTACGGAGGCGTTCTTTGGAATTGCCAGATGTGCTCTACTATCCCTCAGCGCGTCCGAGAAGCTACCACTCCGCTTGTGGTTATGCGTAGGTCGGCCGGACTTTTTGACAGAAATATTCCGTTGCGGACTAGCTGCCAGGCGAGCAGGAGCCACGGCAACAGGATGAGGCACTGGGTGCGGATAGAGAGGCAGATCTGTGCCACGGTCTGCTTTGTACATGCCCTTCCTTGGGATGGAGCATGAGAGGACGTGTATGCTTGCCTCGCTTTCTGGCGACAAAGGCACCCGTGTCGTCTCGTACTCAAGCGAGGACATATACGGCGAGCTGATTGAGTTCTGCGGTGTGTGGCGAGACCTCTGCGCCCAGTCCATGTGTCGGCTCGCGAAGTGGTCGCTTGGATTCGACCCGATGGTCTCTTTGGTGTCACGTGCTGTTTGTCGCTTGGGGCTATTCGGTGTAGCCGGCATGCAGTAGGGCTCTTCAACGGTAAGGTTTGGATCAGCCGGTCCACCGGGCAGCAGTTTTTTGTCTGCGGGGTCCTTCCCAATCCCCTCCTCCGTCTCCCAATACAAGGCGCAAGTACGCCTCCAGCACTTCTTCAGCTCGCCCACAATCTTGATATCGCCCCCCCCTCCATCCTCACGACGCTGCAGATCCTCGTAGAGGCCATTCACGAGATTGCAAAAATAGATGCGCAGAAAGTCGTTTGACGTGAAGTCGTCGACGAAGTAGTTCAGGATCCAGTGACGCAGGGCTACGAAGGTGCGCACACGCACGATGCGGCCAAAGTCATCCTGCCTGTCGACTGCCCACCGTAAGCGGGAGATGAGATACGCCACCAGGTCTCTAGGGCACAAAAAAGCACGGAAAGTGAGGAAGAAGTCGGAGAGGAGCTCGTAGTCGAGGAAGCTCGGCGAGGTGATGTGGGCGACCAGACGCGAGGGGGTGGCTGCGAGCAGCTCGCCCGAGGGGGAGAAGCGCACAACGGTGGTGTCGTCCGGGTCGGTGGTGAGGGCGTCGAACAGCCTGGGCCCAATGGGACTCTGCGACACGCGGGCGGACGAGGGGGCCGAGTTTGGCAGTGGCGGGCGTTCCATTGTGGCGCGGTAGCGGGCGGGCACGGGCGAGTAGGCGTCCGAGTGGGGGCGCGAGGACAGGAACGAGTGGCTGCCGGCGCGCTGGGGGGTCAGCAGCGAATTGGTGAAGTTGTCGGTGCCTGAGGAGCGCGTGTAGCTGGAGCTGCGGAAGTCGAGGGTGCCGCGGGTGCTGAAGCGCGGGGTGCCCAGGCGGTAGTTGGGGATGGGCACCTGCAGCAGGGGGAACGACGACGTGTCGGCCGTCTTGGGGCGGCCAAAGGGCGAGCGCTCAATGACGATCTTGAAGGTGCCCGGCTCGTTTGTGCACGAGGCCGCCGTGTGGTTGTCGGACGTGGAGAAGGAGTGGGCGCGGGCGTGTTGGGCGGGGCGCGTGACCGAGGCCGAGTCTTCTGCTGCAGGCGCGGGTTGCGGGGATGCATCGTCCACGGTCACGGGCTGGGGCAGCGGCGGCGGCGGTGTGGACTCGGCTGACGGGGACCTCGAGCCGTACAGACTGTGCTCCCATTCATTGCTCAGCGAGCGCAGGCGGGAGTCGGCCGTCGCGCTGTCGGGCGGCGTCTGGGGCGGGAAGACAAAGGGATCGGGCAGCGCGTGGGAGCGTTGGTTTCCGGGGCGGACGACGGGCCTGCGAGGTCAGCGATGCAGTGCACGGCGGTTGCTTTTCGCGCGGCGTGGTCGGTGCAGACGAGTGTCGTCGTATAGGCAGATGTATAGACATGAACATACCTCAGGTAGATGACGCCGTTGTGCACGTTGGCAACCGTGTAGGAGCGGCCGGCCGAGGTGCCCGCGCTGGTCGTCGTGTCGATGGTGGCGCTGCTGGCGGCGCGAGTCCTGGAGCGCTGCTTGAGCTGCTCGCGCGAGTCCTTTACGCGGCGCAGACGTCGCGGGTCGTCAGCGCGTCGCTTGGCCGTGTTGTTGTCTGCAGAGGGTGGTAGCAGCAGGCCTGCAGCAGCAGGGGAGCCGGGGGAGCCATGGAGCGAGCCATGATGCAATATCGGTAGGGCCATGCTGCCATAATTTCTGCGCAGCGCACTACGGCCACCGCGGCACAAGGACAGGGCAGACGGTTGCTCCGGTTGTTGATCTTCGTGGTTCGTCGTTGTCGTCGTCGGCGGCGTCGTCAGCGGGATCGAGGGCGGAGCATGGCCAGCGCCCAGGACAATGCAGACATGCTGATAGTATGGTTCTTCTATGGAATGAGGCGGAGAAGAAAGATAGCCACGGCCAGAACAATCGCCCTCAACGCCCTGCCACCCAAAAGTCCACCGAACGCCATCACGTCGGCCTTCACCACTCAGCGTCTGGCTCCCCGCCAAGCACTTCTCTCTTCCTCGGTACACTCCGGGGGCTCCACTGAACCACCAGATTAGATCCCATCACCTGCGCAGCCACAGCCCTCACACAACAAGAGACTGCAAATAGCAGCACCTCCCCTACAGACACTGCCCGCGGATGCCACACCCCCCATCCGCCCGCCATCTACCCGCCCCCAACGCCCACATCTATCCTGATCCTGATCGCATCGTCGCAGCCTCGGCGATCCACCCGATCAGCACCCTGCATTGCGTCTCGCCACCACCACCAATTGCCGTGCGCGAACGGGTGCATTTGCCATCACGAGACTGCACAGGTGGGGTCCCTGCAGCCAGCACTGTCGAGGTTTGATGTCTCCCACCGGTGAACGATAATATAAGAAGTTATCCACCCCCAGGGATCCTTCCCCCCCTTCCATCATCTCGCTTGTCTTCCACCCGACTCGAGCACTACCTGCTGTCGTCGTCATCAGGACCCTTTTTCGACGTTGGCCAAGACGCGATTCGCGTCCATGTCGTGCATGCATGTCTAATCTCAAACTTGGCGTCGTCGTCTAATTTTGAACAACCTTCCATTTCCGATCGCGTTACGAGATGATACCCACGCGTGTTGAGATTTGCAGTGAACTGCCCATGATGAATAAATGACGATTGAGTGATGGTTCTAGGAATAAGAAAGCATTAGCGGAACAATCTAGATAGTGCATCACGGAAGTATAATATGTGGATCCAACTGGGTTGTGTGTGTATATTTGGTTCAAGTACACCGGTAGCGATGACGAGTGTTGTTGACCGGGTAGACTACAATGTGGGGATACTGTATTCAATGTTGACAGCCGTCTACCGGTGTATAGTAGTGCTAGTGGGACGGCGGTGAGGACTAGTCTACGGGAACAATGTGCTATCTGATGTGCGTCCATCTCAAGCAGCTGAGTGTCTTATTGTTGAGGCGACAGAGAAAATATTTCCAACGCGTATGGTTCTGCTGCAAAGACGTGATAGTGTGATGGTCACAGTCCGCATCCGCCTGTATGGAGCATTACCATTCCAACACCAATTGAACATCACTAGCCATCATTCACTGATCGTACTGAGCATCCTCAACTACGCTTTACGTCTGAGTAGACAGTAATCGCCCCACTGCCTCCTATACCGTACCGGAATAAGCGGCGAGTTAGGAATCCAGATCAGGCGCCCGAGTATATGCGTCTGACTGGCGTCGAGAAAGGGCACGCATTTCAGCGTCTCCCATGTCTTCGTATCTGCGATATAATCTGGCTCAAGCTCCGACGGCGAGGATCCAGGGAGGCGCGAGTCGACAAGGAAGTCGCACTGCTTGATATCGACCTGTTGAGTATTAGCATCCGTGAGCTAGAAGAAAAGTGTGAACTTGCGTATTTCCCCATATCCTCCTGGTTCTCGTCGTTCATACCAGCGGGGACAAGCCATGTGCCGGGAAATAGTCCGGGGTTGGTCTTGTCTTCGCTGAACTCGCCGGGGAGCAGGCCGGAGAAATCGCTTTTGATGAACTTGGCATGCACCCCGTCTGGTAGATGGTATGACGAGGGGAAGCGATACCATTCCTTGCCCAGACATACTTTGTCTCCAGGGCTGGTGACACCTGATTGGGACAAAGGTGTGTACACGTTCAGGGGAGCTGCGTAACCAGTGAGTGTGCCGATTGTGCGCAGCATTCCCACGTTAAAGGACGCCAGCAGTGGGAGCATGACAATGACGAGTTTGACCATCGGGGGGATCTTGCTGACGAGGTGGCGAGGGTCGGCCGAGCCAAAGTTCCCAAGCAAAATGTGCAGAGATATGGCTGCATTCAGTGCCAGTGCTGGGTACGCGGGGTACATGAAGCGTTCCTCTTTGTGGGGCTGCAGTGTGAAGATCCCAAGCCAGAGGTAGAAGGGACCGGAAAACACCACGTTACGGAGTATGGTCTGCTTGGAGACGGACTTTTGGACGACGAGGTGCTGCAGCAGAAGCAAGGGCAGGGCACCGAGAGCAAGGAAGAACCAGATGTTGAAGTTGAGAGCGAGGTTGCGGATGTAAAAGTGCCATGGCTCCACGCCGTAGATGTTCGGCCCTTTGCTGCCACCACTGAAGACGTTGTACAGGACTATGTTCAACGGTACACAGGTGAGTTTTTTGTAGAAGAACGAGTCGATACCTGTTTGTGCAGCCTGGCTATATGTAAGCGTCACAGACGTCAATTGTCAATTGTGCTTCAGACTCACCAAAATAATGAAGGATCTGACTGCGCCATCCAGAAGTCGTCGGAAGCATTGTGAGATTTCGCCAGATGCGACTGCTAGAATCAATTCCTCGGCAACAAACGGCAACACCAGAGCGCCTGCAAACGGCCATCCAAGTGAGCTTCCAATGGCGAACCACATGATGCCCTGAGCGGTCTTGAGACCTCCTCTCCAGTCCATAAAGGCCGAGAAGCCCAACATCGTCGTATACATGGCGAAGCTGGACGGGAGATACGCGGGCGCAGCATGATACATGCCTGGACTAAAGACGAGAGCAAACATGAAGTACACGGCCACCCTCTCGTTAATGGTCCGAGATATGACCGAGTAAAAGCGTGTCTGGCACAGTGTACACACAAGCGCGAGGATTACGCGGAGGAAGTAGAACTCCACCGTTTTGGAACTGACAATGAAGAGCATGCGGAATGGGAAGAGTCCAAGCCAGATGATGAGTGAGTGTATGCCACTGTAGGCCCAGCTCCGGATTGCGTACTCGGGCGAGTACTCCCATGTCTGCAGGCCATATTGGTGGTTTAGGTAGTGCGTTGGTTCCCAGTAGTTGAAGACCTCGTCGCAATCCTGGATGGGAGAGAATATGGCAGCTGTGATGTTGGCGCAGGCAAATATGTAGAAAGCGATGCGAGGTTTGAGTTCAGGAGGCTTCTCAGACTGGTTCCTGAGGGAGGTGTTAGCACGTGAAAGTGACGCAGAAAATGTTACTCCCACCTTGTCACTTTCTGTGGCAAAGGCTGTGCTGCAGAAGCTGATTGGTTTGTTGATGAAGACATTTCGCAGATTGCAGACGTCTTGCAACTGTGTGGATAGTTTGAGCAGTTTCAATTCGTTGTGAGGACACGAGACGATGATGAAACTTGAAGTAACGACGGAAGAAGGATATTTGTCCTCGTGCATAAGATAAGAACAACTAGGCAATACTCGGTTCCAAGACGATATTAAAAGCCCGAAGCAGCATCTCAATAACGAAGATGCACCCACAATGCGGTCGAAGTCTCGAAATGCCGTCACCGATTCAACGCGAACGCGAACTCCATGATTCGCAGGGCTGCCAAGAGGCACTAAAACTCAAGCTTGCATCAAAAACAACCCTGACCTCACGTTCTCACCAGACACATCACCACGGCATCTAAGCATACTGGTGCAGGCCGCAGTTGATTCCGCTGCAGCAAAACGCGTGCTTCAAACACTGCAAAGAAGGGCAAACATGTCTGATTCTTTGGAACCGCCAGCAAAGAGAGCGCGGTTGGAGGCGGACGCTCCATACAATGGCGCTTCAGCGCTCGACGCGCCGGGCTCGCCCATCGATGACATGGACGACGACTTCTACGACACAGCACCCGTCAATTCCGCCGTGCACTCTGTAGCTGTGCATGGGCCGTTGTCTGTTGCTGCGGCTGCTCCTGCGCCAACAAGCTTCCAGCTTCCTGGGCTCGGTTGCATGAACGAGACCCCTGCCCATCCAACATCGCAAAAGATTACAGACACCCGTGCAAATGAAGAAGCCTCAGAGGACGGTGAGCTCTCCGACTCAGACGCCTTTTACAACAATGAGAACGCCGCGGAGCCCGCTGCAACTAACACGCAGCTGGCCCTGGGCGCGGCTGCACAGCACGGTAAGCCGTCATATCCCGAGCAGCCTGCTGTGTACCTGACGCCTGTGCAAGATGTCTCTGCACGCGATGCTACTATGCCCGATGTCGACGATGGGGAGCTCGTGACTGAGCTCGATCGGGCTCTCGACGCCCAGACCAAAGCACAAGATATCGCTACCAACCAGCCTACCACTCAAGCTGGCGCTGCGACAGAAGACGATGGCAAAGTCGAGTTTCTTCTCGCGGCAGAAGCGAACAAAGACAACAAGGAAGCCGAGTGGCAGCTGGACTCGGACGCGTCAGACTCTGATTCGTCCTCAGACTCGAGCTCAGACTCCGACTCTGATGAAGGCTCAGACAGCGGCGTGTTGCTTGACCCTGAGGAGCAGGTCCGCCTGTTGATGGCGGAGGTGGCTGATGAGCCCGCCGGCAAAGCAAAGGTCAAGACTCTGAACGAAGTCGAAGAGCAGTACGAGAAGCCAAACATCACCGTCACACAAGACACGAAGATCACCGAGCTTGGCAAGGTTGAGATGATTGTCGAGAACATTGTGGTAATCAAAGCCAGCCTGTCTGGAGACTTTCAGGTACTCGAGTCTGGGTCTGCGCTTTGCCTGCAGAACCGCACAGTCATTGGCAAGATTTCTGAGCAGATCGGACGCGTCGAAGAGCCTAGGTATGCCATGGGCTTTACTGACCCTTCTGAAATCACAACTCTAGGAATCGCAAAAGATACGCTTATCTACTACGTCAACGAACACTCAACATCCATCTTCACAGAGCCCCTGAGAGCGCAGAAGCACACCGACGCATCGAACCTTCACGACGAAGAGACCAACGAGGTCGAGTTCTCAGACGATGAGAAGGAGGCAGAGTTTAAGCGAGACCAGAAGGCTATGAAGAGGGCAAAGATGGAAGCCACTCGCGATCCACAATCGCAGTCGCAGTCACAGCCGCAGGAAATCCCCCAACAACCAAAGGCACACTATGATGCTCCCGCCATCTATCGAACCACCGAGTACCAGGGAGGCGGTCTCAAATACAGTGACGATGAAGACGAGGACTTGGGCATGTACAAGCCTCTCGCCAGGCCAGACCACTTCGAACAGATTGTGGGGCAAGGAGCGCCGCTCGAGGATCGCAGTCACGTACGTAGAGGAAGAGGTGGTTGGGGTGACCGCGGTCGTGGTTTCCGTGGAAGAGGGGATTTCGGTGGTGGACGAGGCAACTTTGGAGGTGGGCGGGGCGATAGAGGAGGATATGGGGGTGCACGAGGCGACCACGGCAACAATCGAGGCGACAGAGGAGGCTTTGGTGGCGGTCGAGGTGATCGGGGAGGGCGGGGTGGTCGCGGCGACCGAGGTGGCGACAGGGGCGGACGTGTCTTCAGGGGCCAGTCGGACAGAGGAAGACCTAACGACCGACACTTCGATCGCCAACAACACGACAACGGGCAAAGGAATGGGTCCGCTACGTCTGCATCGCCTGCTCGGCAGCAAGATCGCGGGCAGTCTCAGCACTCGCAGCCGGCGCAAGCTTCTCCTCGTGGCGGTGGCAAGAACAAGGGTCGGAAGCAGAAGTTGAAAGAGAAGAGGGAGCGAGAACGAGAGCAGAACCAACAGAACCAGCAGAATCAGCAAGGTCAACAGGGACAGCAGGGACAGCAGGGACAGCAGCACGCCTCTCCTGCACCTCCCGCGGCGTCAAATGCTAACTCTTATGCCAACAACAACGCTGGCTGGCCTGCCACATTCCCAGGTCCCTCTGGGCCAGGTGCCACTCAGCCTGTAGCTCCTCCACCCCCACCGGCGGCGGCAGCACCGTACGCGAATCCGTACTATGCCCAGCAAAACGCAGCGCCAGTTCCACAACCGCAACAGCAGCCGCAGCAATCGCAGCAACCGTCACAGGCAAACTGGGCAGCATGGGCTCAATGGTTTCAAGTTGTTGGAGCAATGAGCCAGCAACCGCAACAGCAGCAGCAGGCGCATGTCCAGCCACAAGCGCAAGTGCAAGCAGCACCCCCACCCCCACCGCAGCTCCAGCAGCAGCCTCAAGCCCAGTATGCGTACCCGTATCAGTACCAGCAGAACGCGGCACCGGCAGCCAACCCACCGCAACAGAATGCTCAGGGTGGAGGCCAGTCGCTGCAGGACATTCTCCGGGCACTGGGGGGTGGCGGTGCGGGGCAGTGAGATTGATGGGTGATGATGTATGTGCATTTGTATAATTACATAGCTTCGCGTACTGTTTCCGTCGCAGTACGAGATGCTTTTTTTCTCTCTTGTTGAGCTATCGTGGTACCTTTCTGCGCACATGATGTTCGCGCTCTGTGGACCCTCCCAAGTCATCAGGCGAGGAGGGGGAGTGTGTGACAACCAGACAGGCAGGCAGAGCACTGGGTAGCTAAAACGGAGTTATGGAGCATGGAATATGGGGGCACGTGGAGTAGGTATAAACATAAAGGCAGGTAGGTTACTTTGTAGATGCCAATTCCTTGTGTGGGATTTTAGCAATATGCATGGATTCGTTCTCCTTTTTCTCCCGAGGCGTTTCATTCGTCCGGTTGGGTGGCCTGCAGGCAGGTGTGCCACGCCTTGTTCATCAGCGTGAGCCTTGTTTATCAGCGTTCGCGCAACGGCATACCTGTGTAGGGTTTGCCGTCTCTGGCCGTGTGTGGCTGGGCGATGAGGGTGGGTGGGATGCCTTGGTCGGTTATGTGCGGGTCTGTATCTGTATGCGAGATGAGAGGGCAGAGGGGGATGGTGGATGGTGGAAGTTCCATCAATCACGGCAAAGGTTGGAGTAGGTATGTTGGGGATGCATTATTTCTATTCTAAATTATAGCTCCGAGGTTGACTGTTGGTAAGTGACAGATGATGTGTGGAGGTCAACGTGCTGTCATGTGGATTGGCGGTTTAGACGGAGGGTCGGATGCTGCACGGCGGGAACGCCACACGTGGCTTGTGAGTGAGCGAGCGGGGAACTGCCTGCCTGTTGTCGCATGCAAGCAAGCAAGCAACTCAGCAAGTCGCAGCCTCGCTCGTCTGCACAGTCCAACGTCTGCAACGTGAGACAAGCCCCCAGACGGAACGTTTCAGCGCTTGACGTCGACGGCCAGCATGACTAGCCCGCGTCGCCGAGTGCCGGGAGCTGTTCAAGCACTGCCGGGGGGGCCCACGCACGGCACGGTAGATAGGTATCTAGGTGGATTTGTTGCTGGCGGTTCGTTCTAGATGGGGTCGCGGTGCGTGGATGGGGGCAGGTGGCGCGTCTGGGCTCGAGAGCCCGGTGGGTGGACAGCCGCCGCCCGTCTGGGTTGTGGAGTCGGGCCATGTGGATGGATGGACGGACGGCTTGGAAGCTCGAACCCCAATCCCAATCCTATCCTATCCCATCCCATCCCATACCATCCCATCTTGACGACGTCTGCGAATGCGTCTCGCCCCGCCGCCCTGTGCCGTTGCCTTCACCTTCACGTCCTGCTCTGCTGCTCTGTACCGCCACTGCTGCCCCGCTTCTGAGCTCCCGCTTCTCGCTCTGCCGCGCATCGTCCTGCCCGTGGCCGCCTCGATGAAGCAGCCGTCCTAGTCGTCGACTCTTTGTGCGCCCACCCGCCCACGCCCACGCCGCCGCCGCCGCCGCCCTCACCACGACCCCGCTGCCGCCACGACAATGGTCCGCAACGAGCAGAGCGTCGCCCGCCACGGCTCCATCGAGAGCTCGTGGAGCGCGCGCTCCGGCGACACGATCCGGCCCCACGGCCGCCCGTCGCGCGGCACCCCCGTGACCATCAACACGACCCCGGACCCCAAGCAGCAGTACGTGTGTTGTGGAGTCGTGTCGCAGCCTGCTAACACGCCGACGCAGGCCTGACAAGGAGGCGCCCATCTCGCCCGGCACGCTGCCGCCCGCCCCGCCGCCCAAGGACGTCGTGCACAAGCCGCAGAAGTACACGGCCTGGGAGGGCCCGCAGAGCAGCGACTTCGGCGACTACCGCAAGCAGCTGGCCGTGCTGGAGACGGGCGGCGGCAGAGTGCCCTCCATCTCGCGCAACCCGCCGACCGCGGCGAGCGCCACCTCGCAGACGGCGCCGTGGGGGGCCGCGGGTGCCAATGGGACTGCTATGGCTAATACCGTCTGGAGCAGCTTCTTCAACGACTCGGCCGAGGACGTGGCGCAGCACCCGCCGGGCCTCGCGCGCGCCGGCAGCGGCCAGGAGGACGGCATGGGCTTCCCGCTGCGCGACGACCGGCGGCCGTCTGTCGCGAGCGCCACGACGGTGAGCAGCACCGGCTCCAAGTCGAGCCTGGGCCGCGGCTTCCACAAGCGCCTGCAGAACGTCTTCGGCGAGGACTTCTCCAGCAACCCCACGCCAACCGCCGACCGCCAGCACTCCGACTCCAGCCTGAACTCGCCCTACGTGACCGAGACGCAGTCGCTGCGCGGGAGCAGGCACCGCGGCAACTCGCTCAACAACACCACCACCCTGAGCAGCAGCTACCACTCGCGCTCGGGCTCGCCCATGGGATCGCGCCCGCGCACCCCGCAGGCCTCGTCCGAAGTCACCCCGTGGGAGTTCCAAGACTCGAAGGTTAGTTGTGCCGTGTTGATGTTGATGTTGCTGTTGCTGTTGCTGTTGTTTTTGGTTCCTGGACGCAGTGGCCTCGCCTTCCCCGCCGCACCTCTGCCACTCCTTCCGAAGCCGCTCGCCGCGCTGCCATGCGCCTGCTAGCCCCGTGGAAGCGTCTGTCGCTGACTCGTACAGGAAATCCCGCCCCCCGCTGAGAATGGGCGCCGCTCGTCCGTCGAGCAGCGATCGATCAAGTCGGTGACGCGCTCGCACAAGCTCAGGCTGCCCGGCCATCGCCACCACCGCAGCAAAGAGGAGAAGACGGCGGATGTCATCCAGCCCTACACGCTGCGCCCCGCCACCAGCCGCGACGACTCGGCCTACAGCATTCGCCAGAACCAGCAGTACCCGTCCGCCCTCAGCTCCGCCTTCGCCTCCAAGACAAACCTCACACGCCCGCCCAGTCCCACGCCTAGCTCCTTCTCCGATATGACGCGGGACTCGTCGCAGCAGTCACCTAGTATCAGTAGACCGCACGGCCTCTTTGCACGATTTCGAGGGAAGGATAAGACGTCTGATAATTTGAAGAAGTTGACTGCTTCGGGAGCTACCTCTACTGTGTCGCTGAATCCCTCCATCGCCACGGCGAAGACTGCACGCGCTGAGCCTTCGCCCGCGACGCTGCTGGGGAAGAAGAAAGTCACTACTGAGGGGCAGGAGGATAAGGGGCACGCCACAGGTCGCAAGAGGGAGCACATGCATCCTCGACTGCCCACGTTCAAACGAGACAAGCGCGGCATGGCTTACGACCAGCCAATGGGCAAAGATCCCAACGAAGCAAAGGCAGACCGCGTCGGTAATGAGGCGCTGTGGATGTTGGATAAAAACTTGGACGATATGAGCGGGATTGTCAACACGCAGCAACCCCCCATGACACCCCCCACCGAAGGGCTGAAACCCCCAGCAACTTTTGGCGGGGAAGAAGTCATAACGACGATTGTGGAGAAAGACGACCCCATGGCGGTTTGGGATGCTCCGGATTCCTGGGCTGTTAAGCGGCTGGCGGATGAGAACTTTCTCAGAGACGAAGAGCTCGACGATATCGATGTGCCTGCGAAAGAAGAAAACCATTCCAAGACGTACTGTTTACGGATATTCCGGGTTGATTCTACCTATGCGACGTTGACGGCCACGCTGAGTACGACGGTCCAGGACATTATACAGATTCTGGGTAAGAAGACTGTTTTGCAGGATGAGCTGGACAACTACCACATTGTGATGCGCAAGCATGATGTGTCACGGTCGCTGGACACGCATGAGCGGCCGTTGCTGATTCAGAAACGTCTCCTGGAGCAAGCGGGATACACGGGAGCAGATCGGTTGGAGGATGTCGGGCGGGAAGATAATAGCTACCTATGCAGGTTCACATTCCTGCCTGCCAAGATGAGCGGCTACTCTAGTCTGGAGAGGGATCCCGGGTTTGGCAAGATGCAAAAGTTCAGTCACATCGACCTCCAAGGTCGCAACTTGATCACCATCCCCATCACCCTGTACCAGAAGGCGACTGAAATAATATCTCTCAACCTCTCTCGTAACCTGTCGCTCGACGTTCCAAAGGACTTTATTCAGGCTTGCACAAATCTCAGGGAAATCAAGTATACCAGCAATGATGCGCGTAGGCTGCCGCCCAGTATCAGCTTGGCGAGCCGTCTGACTATGCTTGATATTTCGAACAATCGTCTTCAGTCCCTCGACAAGGCGGAGCTGTACAATCTGGAGAGTCTGCAGGGTCTGCGTCTGTCTAATAACGGGCTGACGCAGTTGCCCCCTTACTTTGGCCAGTACCGCGCCCTCCGCAGCCTCAATCTCAGCTCCAACTCGCTGACCGAATTCCCCGACTTTCTGTGCGAGGTGCGCACGCTGGTCGACCTTGACATTAGCTTCAACTCCATCTCCAGCCTCCCCAAGATAGGCCAGCTGACATGTCTGGAACGCCTCTGGGCCACCAACAACAAACTCGCCTACAGCTTTCCGTCCACGCTGAGCAACCTGGTCAACCTACGCGAGATCGACGTGCGGTTCAACGCCCTGGATAGCATGGACGTCATGTCGCAGCTGCCGCGGCTGGAATACCTCATGATCGGCCACAACTCCATCTCCGTCTTCGAAGGCTACTTCCCCAAGATCCGCGTCCTGCACATGAACCACAACCCCGTCACGCGCTTCGGACTCAGTCAGCCCGTGCCCTCGCTCTCCGTGCTCAATCTCGCGTCGGCCAAGCTGGCGCAGTTGCCGGAGGATCTGTTCGGGAAGATCACGGGCCTGACCAAGCTCATCCTCGATAAGAACCACTTTACCTCGATTTCTAATAATATCGGCAGACTGTTCAGGCTCGAACATCTCAGTATGGCACGCAACTCGCTGGATGAACTTCCAGTTGAGGTGGGCCGGTTGGTCGAGCTGCGGTATCTGGATGTACGGGAGAATAATCTCAGTCGCTTGCCGCCGGAGATTTGGTATGCGCGGCGCCTCGAGACGCTGAATGTGTCGTCGAATGTTCTCGATGCGTTTCCGAAGCCGGGTGCTGCTCCGCCGGCGGTGACGAATGGGGATGTCTCGACGATGGATGGCGCGCCCCCCATGCTGATGCCTAACCTCGGATCGAGCCCGAGTTTTGAGGAGCTGGGCAAGTTGGAAGACTTCCAGAATCGGCGGCCTAGCCAGGCGTCTGGTGGGCAGTATAGCTCCTCGCCGGCGTCGTCGAATCGGAAGGGGTCGGCGGCTTCGTATAGCACGACGAGCACAGCGCGGAAACCGTCGATGCCGACAAGGACGGCTACTGAGGGGACGTTTGCGCCCATGTCCCGCAAGGATTCGAGTCTGTCTAGTCGGTTGGTCACGACGTTTGCAGGGTCGTTGCGGCACTTGTTCCTGGCTGATAATAGGCTCAACGATGATGTTTTCGACGAGCTGTGTCAGCTGCCGGAGCTGAGGATCGTTAATCTCGCGTACAATCTCATCTACGACGTTCCGCCGCGCACAATCAGGAGGTGGCAGCATCTGGCCGAATTGTATCTCTCCGGCAACGATTTGTCGTCTCTGCCGTCGGAGGATTTGGAGGAAGTCGGCTCGCTGAAGGTCCTCCATATCAACAATAATAAGTTCCAGGTGCTTCCGGCGGAACTGGGCAAGGTTGCGCAACTTGCTGTGCTGGACGTCGCTAGCAACTCGCTCAAGTATAACGTGTCGAATTGGCCGTACGATTGGAATTGGAACTGGAACCACAAACTGCGATACCTCAATCTGTCGGGCAACAAACGACTTGAGATCAAACCTAGTGGTTCTTACAGCGGCAGTGGAGCTAATATGCGGGAGGGACGTGACTTGACGGATTTCAGCTCGCTGACCAATCTGCGGGTCTTGGGCCTCATGGATGTCACGATGATGGTGCCATCTGTGCCCGAGCAGTCGGAGAACCGCAGAGTGCGCACTGCGGGGTCTGCCGTTGGGTCCATGGCGTACGGCATGGCGGACAGCCTGGGACGCACCGAGCACATCTCGACTATGGATATGGTGATACCGCGCTTCCGGAGCCATGACGATGAGCAGATCCTAGGACTTTTCGATGCCCAGCCGCTCGCGGGGGGTGGGTCGAAAATCGCAAAATACCTCTACGACCACTTTAAGAACCGGTTCGCGGATGAGTTGGATAAGCTGAGGCCGCAGGAGTCGCCGGTCGATGCGCTGCGGAGGACGTATCTCGGCCTCAATAAGGAGCTCGCGACGGCGGCGTCGCAGACGCTGGAGAAGGCGCCTTTTACGGCGCCGACGCAGGGGCGGTCCGCGGTCCCGGAGATGGCGGATGATGATCTGACGTCGGGGAGTGTGGCGACGGTTCTCTACCTCAAGGAGATGGAACTGTATATCTCGAATGTGGGCGATGCGCAGGCACTTCTTATACGGTCAGAGGGCGGGTATAAAATCCTCACGCGAAAGCATGACCCCGCCGAACCTAGCGAGCGGGCCAGGATACGGGAGGCTGGTGGTTTCGTCTCGCGGCAGGGTAAGTTGAACGACGTGCTCGAGGTGTCGAGGGCGTTTGGCTACGTGCAAATGTCGCCGTCTGTCATTGCTTCTCCGCATATTTTCAACCTCACGCTTGGCGATACCGACGAGATGATACTGGTTGCGTCGCGCGAGCTGTGGGAGTACCTCACTCCTGACTTCGCCGTTGATGTTGCACGATCAGAGCGCAACGACCTCATGCGTGCGGCGCAGAAACTGCGCGACCTGGCTATCGCGTTCGGCGCTACTAACAAGATCATGGTCATGCTGCTGGGTGTCAGCGACCTCAAGAGCAAACAGCGTGCTAGGTGGCGCACGCCCAGCATGTCGATGGGCCCGTCGGGTTCGCCAGACGACTTCTTCTCGCAGCGCAGACCGGGCAAGCGGTCCAAGAACATGGTGGGTGACAGCAAGCTCGCCATTCTCGACAACGAAGTAGACGCACCAACAGGCGAGGTCAGCTTGGTGTTTACCGACATCAAGAGCTCCACGCTGCTATGGGAGACGTACCCAATCGCCATGCGCTCCGCCATCAAAATGCACAACGTGCTCATGCGCCGACAACTACGCATCATCGGCGGCTACGAAGTCAAAACCGAAGGCGACGCCTTCATGGTCGCCTTCCGCACCGTCACCTCCGCCCTCCTCTGGTGCTTCACCATCCAAAGCGAGCTCCTCAACGTGCAATGGCCGCAGGAAATCCTCAACAGCGTCAACGGGCAAGAAGTCGTCGACTCGGACGGCAACGTCATCTTCCGCGGCCTGTCAGTCCGCATGGGCATCCACTGGGGCACCCCCGTGTGCGAAGTCGACCCCGTGACAAAACGCATGGACTACTTCGGCCCCATGGTCAACCGCGCCTCGCGCATCTCCTCCGTCGCGGACGGCGGCCAAATCACAGTCTCCTCGGACTTCATCGCCGAAATCCAACGCCTGCTTGAAACCCACATCGAAGGCGACCGCAGCAACTCCATCGGCTCGGATGACGCCTACGGCGAAGACGCAAACTCCCAGCTCATACGCCAGGAACTCCGCTCCCTCAGCAGCCAAGGCTTCGAAGTCAAAGACCTCGGTGAGCGCCGCCTGAAAGGGCTGGAGAACCCAGAGTACATCTACCTGATGTATCCGCACTCGCTGGCCAGCCGGCTTGCGGTGCAGCGCCAGATGGAAGAGAAGCCGCAGCCGCAGGCGAATGAAGATGGGGCTGGCACCAAGATGCGCGACTCCCAGCTCACGATTGATACCGAGGATGTGTGGGATCTGTGGAATATTAGCCTCAGGCTGGAGATGCTGTGTAGTTCGCTCGAGAATCCGGGGAGTGCGGAACTTAAACCCCCGGAGACGGCGTTGCTGGAGCGTATGAAGAGTCGCGGGGGGGAGATTACGGATCGGTTTTTGGTTAATTTTGTGGAGCATCAGATTAGTAGGATTGAGGTATGTTTTTGCATTTCTTTTCTTTTTTTTTGCTGCCATCCCCTACGCAGCCTTCTTGTTTGACTTGTTGGGATACGTTTGGCTAACAACGTCGATGATAATAGTCCTGCGCAACTACACTCGCCCTCCGCCACCGTATTCGTCCCTTTGGCGCGGCCCCCATTCTGCAACAAGCGTGCCATATGGGCGATATTTTCGCGGAACTGGATGCGAAACTTAAAAGGCTGGAGCAGTATGAGAATGAGGCTATGGAGGGGATGGCGCCTTCTTAGCTGTTCGGGTGGGTGGTAAAGCGTGGGGTAAATGGAGGTAAAGGGGGAAGGGGGGAAGGGGGAGTCGGGATTCGCATTATGAAAGGGTTGGGTTGGGATGGGATGGGAGGCGTTTAAGAGCTCAGTGGTGTTCTGGCGTTTGGGTCGGGTTTCGTTGGGGCTGGTGTGGTGTGGTTTTCTCTCGGTTCTGAGGGTGTTGGGTTGCATCGTTGGTTGGTTGTCTGTCTGTCTGTTGGTTGTTTGGGTGGCTGTACGTATATATTCTTACCATGTCATTCCCTATCGTCTTGGGGAAGAGCGTGGAGTGGAGTGGGGTGGGGTGGAGTGGGATGGGATATAGCTATCTGGTAGTAAAGATATACGGATATGAGGATATACGAGGGGAAGGGATGATGTATCAACTTGATTTGATATATACATCTAAATATCTACCTACTTGTTTGTATATATATCGCAGCTTTTCCAGGTGGGTGTGTTGTCGTGTAGCGGCTGTTGTGCAGGGTAATGGGAAAGAGAGAAACGATTTTTTTTTTGCCTGCGCTTGGCGCGAGGGGAATACAACTTAAACAGATTAGACTGGCTATATATACACACTAACACACGCAGTATATAAAAGTAGGAAACACGCCCTTTCCTTGCTAGTACTCTATATCCCAGCTTAACTCAACTCAACCCAACTCATCCTATCACGACACTAGTACTTACACATAACACTCCATCTTTCTTACTATACCACTCCAGTCAGGAACCCCGCTAGAAGGAAGAAGAAGAAGAAAGCCGAGTTATACACACAACTAAAGATTCCATTACCCATCTCTCCAACCTCCCTATGCTCTCCCTTCTAAACCCAACAAAAAGTTCTTCGAGATTTTGATGTATACAGCATACTAGATAGTAGTGATGAGGAGGGAATTATTTTTAATGGGGTAAATGGATAAATTTACGGACTAGGACTGAGGATGAGGATGAGGAAAGATGGAAGATGGAAGAAAAAAGACAAAAAAGAGAGCAGAAAAGGAGGTAGGTAATAGGTAAGAATTCTACATGACAGCGTGAGATGGGCGAGGCGAAGACGTAGAAAGGCGTTTAAGTAGGAGGAGAGAAAGGGGAAGAAGAGGGAGGTATAATAATAAAATTAATTAGGCGGGTATTCTAATCTTAAATAATTTTGTAAGCTCCTCTCCTCTATTCTTATATCCTTCTCCGGTCTAGATGTCAAGATAGATTGCTGTGTTTCCTAATACAGAAAATCTATTCATCCAATATGTATGTTGCACTGTGCTGTGTACTACTGCGTTCTTGTAACGTTCTGTTTCTGTTTCTGTTTCTGTTTCGGGGGGAAGATAGGATGGGGTGGGATATAATATAGTAGTAGAAGCACAGTACAACTGTTCTGTAGGTTGGGGGTATAACTGTTTGAGCGCTCGACTAGTTAGTAAGACGGGGGGTCTAGTCTTCTTTCTTATGGCATAGCAAAACAGTTATACAATGATTGCATCTGCAACTACCTCAGAAAGCAATAGTGATAATGCAGGGTAGCCATAAAACTTGCGGATTATTTTAATGTTCAAGGTTATATTGAAAGAGCTTATAGAAGCGTAGGTTAGTTTACATGGAGTAAATAACTCACTGCACAACATCCACAAGCCCAACAATCATCACAGATAGATCAACACATACATATCCCATACAACCCTATACCTTCCCAGTTCCCTCCCAACCCGCCTATCCATCCGCACAACCAGAAATCCATCCTACACCTTACACGTCGAATTTCCCAACGCTGTTATACGCTGAAACGCATGCTCTTTACACGCAGCACCACAAGTAAGAAGAACGCAGTGATACCAAAAGAAAGGCGACTTATAAACTCTAGCTACTCCGCGTACCTATCCAAGCACACGTGTTCGAAAGCTCGGATAGCCCTCGACTTTAAGCATAGGCACGTTTTTAATTTGGTGAGTGGGGTTGAGGAGATTACAGACTTGCAAAATATCAACATTCATTGTACTTTAGGCTTCTTGTGCTGTTTTGCTCTAGTAGGTAGGTTATGAGTTTTGTTACAGGACTGGGGGGGGGGGGGGTTTGGCTGCTTTTGATGGAAGTGTATATTGTGTGGTTCTGAGCGGCGGTTTTGGGTAGATGGTTGAATGGATGGGTGCGCTTTTTATGTACGAGCAAGGTGGTGTATATACAACGGTTGGGAAGATGGGATGGGATGGAGATAGCGAGGCGAGGCGGTGTAGCGGGGAGATAGAGTGTATCTGTGCGTTTCTTGTAATATGCGGTTTGAAACAGATAGTCCAAAGTTATGGGGGGTTTGCGGGTGGTGTGGTGTGCTGTGTGGTGTGCTTGGTTGGGGAGATGGATGGAGTGAGGGTGCGAGGCATGATGTTCTGGGGAATGATGGGTTGTGTATGTAGAAGGGGAAGGAGAAAGGGTGGTGTTGTTTAGGTGAGTGGGAGAGGGGGTGGTAAAAGGGAGGGAAAGTGTGGTGGTTTGTGCTTGTTGATATATATCCTTAATGCTATGAGGGTTTTTTGTGAGATGGCATTCAGTGGCGGTGAGAGTTTATTGAGGAATCAGGATGTGTGCGTGTACTTGTCAGAGGTAAGGATGAAAAAGGGCAGCGGATGATTGCGAAGACAGTGAGCGAAAATGTCATGTGAGAAAAAAGAGGCCAGAAATATACGAAAGAACAAGGAAAATCATGTCACAGTCAAGGCAAAATATGAAGAAATGTCTATTCAATCGGCCATGTGGGTATCGAGCCTATCAAATCCCCGACACTCAGAAGGTAAAAAGTACGCCGCGGTCCAGAAACCATAAGAAGAGAACCATGTCATTGTCTTGCCGACCCCTTCCCAACAGCCAGGATCTAGAAACATATGCCAACCGAATTACAAGCCAATAATCCCCCTAGAACTGACAAGCTAATACCTGTCCGTGTCATGATGTAAACCCTAAGATCGTTACCCATGAAGCAATCAATGCCCTTGTAGAAATAGCAGACTCGAAAACCGTCTGATGTTGTCCGTGCAAGACTTCAACAAACTACTCGAAGCTGGCTGTTTACAAGAAAGCAGCGACGGCGCCAATGACAGCGAGCATACCAACACCCATCTGCGCAGCAGCGCCGGTGGACTCGGGAAGAGTGGGCTTGGTGGAGCTGGGGGCACCGGTACCGGTAGCCTTGGGGGGCGTGTACGAGGTGCCGTTGGAGGGGACGGGGTAGTAGGGAACAACGGGGACGGAGCTGGCGCCGGAGGTACCGGTGCTGGCCCAGACGGGCTTGGAAGCGCTGCCAGCGGGAACGTAAGGCATGGAGGAGCTGCCAGCGGCCATGGAGGAGACGGCCTTGGAGGAGCTACCAGCGGCCATGCTGGATGGCATGTAGACAGCGCCGGAGGACTTGGCGGAAGCGTAGACGGGGACAGTGGTCGTGCAGGGCTCCTCGATGATCAACTTGGTGCTCTTGGTGACGGTGTAGGTCTTCTTGTTCCAGGTGACGGTGGTGGGCTCCGGGCAGTCAGTCTCGTACTTGGAGATGACGGTGGTGGAGTAGCCGACGGGGGTCTCGTAGGTGGGGACCTCGGTGGAGGTGGAGTACGAGTCGTAGACGGGGGTGGACGAGGGGTAGCTGTCGTACATGGCCTCGGATGAGGAGGACGCGTAGTAAGCAGCCTCGGTGGAGGAAGCGTAGTAAGCGGCTTCAGTAGAGGAAGCGTAGTAGGCAGCCTCGGTGGAGGACTCGTAATAGGCAGCCTCCGACTCGTAGGGAGTGGCAACGAGGGCGTTGGCAGCGGCGGCGAAGCCAGCAATGACGGCGAAGGAACGCATCTTGATGTTGGTTGGAGAGGTGGTGGTTGGTGGTGGTGGGTGAGGGTTTGGTAGTGGGATTAGGTTATTAGGTATAGAGAGCGAGTTCGTTGGAAACGAGTGTGATCGGTGATAACCGGTTGATTAAAGAATGTAATTGTTTGGATGATTCGAAAAGCAATGCACTGGGAAAGCAACTTTATAGCAAGAAGACCTCGCAGCAAGACAGAGAAGGCTTAGGGGTTTTTGGAATATTGCCTCCATACATCCGCATCTGGAGTGTCTAACTCTATGGGTGGCGCGCTTGGTGGACATTGGTGGACATGACTTGAAATTACGGTTACGGTGCTAGAGAATCGGTAGCTACCTTAGGCTATGAGCTGGCTAGTGATGATTTGCATTGCCCTATCATAGCTCGAGATGTCCCCGAATGGATTGAGGGTCGAGAAGCCAATTTCCCCTGCCAAGGGGCCCCTACTGTGGTATCAGGCAAAAGTAGTGTATGTGGCAGGGGTAGTACAGCCCGGAAATTGCAGTGCGCTAGGATGAAAGGAGAAGATTCTATACACACAAAAGTTATAAATTATTATGCAAATATTAGTATTTTGTATGCCCTCCTTCAGCAGCAATTACTGCCTCGCATCTACCTTTTATACTATCTATCAGAGTTCTAAGGATTTTAATAGAGATAGACTCCTAGGCTTCCTATACAATACTACAAAGTTAATTATATGTACGCTGCTTTCCTGCAGGTAGATCTAGGTAGTAGAGAGCTATCTAATCCTTTATCTTATTCTACACTGCCTTAATAGGGTTAAGATTAGGAGAGAAGGCAGGCTAGTAAATAGAATAGATACCCCTCTCTCTTAGCTCTTCCTGTGTGTAAGCTGCTGCGTGGCTAGGAGCCCTATCTTGCATAAAAGCAAGGGATAGGTACATGCGTAGCTATCTATAAACTAGAGGAACTATCCTCTTACAGTATCTCTCTTTGTTAATAGACCCCCACTCCTTTTTCTAAAAGAGAGATAGACCTTTAGATACACCTAAGAAGCAGCCCTAGAATATCCACCCTCGCTTCTTGTGTACCTTGTCTACAAGGTAAGTACTCTTTAGCTCCTCCCTAGGCATCTGTGTTACCTAAATCCTTCTGTGTCTCCCTCCTGTAACCCAGGTTTTATTACTCTACAGTATCTGCTACCACTGATCTGGGGTCCAATCCATATGGGCTAGAGCCTACTCTAGGCGAATCTTCTTGTTGGCATTAGAGAGAGGAGGTTTAGCAAGAGCTATCCTGCGTATAAATCCTCTCCCTTAGAGGGCGTAGCGGATAGGATATTCAGAGACTCCCTAATAACTAAAAGGCCCGTAGGCAAGGGCCAGATAGCTTATCTATTAGGTAGTACAGCTCTGGTACACATAGTGTACCAGCTTATTAACCTAAGCTTTAGTAAGTTAAGGTAGGCGGCCAGAACGTCGTTGTAGAGTAGGGGGGTAATAAATAGCATATTAAACTTGTTAATACGTAACACTAAGATAGTTAGCTATCTACTATTGCTTATAGCCAGCGTAAGATAGAGTTTGGCAGTTGCGTCTCTAATTACAGGTAAGATAGCAGTAGCGTAGTGTAGATAGTGTAGATAGTGGCATAGCTAGTTAATAATGCTGGAGAGACACGGTAGCAGCAGGAACACAAGATATAATACAAATTACTATGGTTTAGAATGTATTATTGCCTGGTACAACTATTTAGAAACTCCGGCTTGGCACATGAATTATACCCCTGCCACATACACTACTTTTGCCTGATACCACAGTACAGGCCCAACAGATGATTGATCAAGTGATCGTCTGAAGGCTGACTGGAGAGTGATCCATGCACAGCCCGTACTAACCTTGTCGGTGCGACAGTGTAGTTCACCGCTGCGTGCAAGTCGGCAATGCGACGTGTTGCAAAGATCAGCCTCATCCAAGAGCTATTCTGTTTTGTAGACCCGGCAGTTCCGGCCCACGAAGCATTTGTGAGGAGTTGTCCGACGTGTTTGGTGGATGCTCCATCCCTCAACTCAAGCTTGACGGGTATCGCGACGCGAGCAGAAATTCATTGACAGCCACGATTGGACTAGAGCTGGGCGCCTGGGCCAATAGGGGTAGGGTCCAGCCAAATGCTTTTGCTCACTTCGGGAGAGCTGTTGGCTGAGGTGGAGTGGAGACGAACGGGTTCCTGCGTTCACGACTCCTGGATAGAGCTGGTGTGGGGTTAGCGGGGATGGTTGTCTGTGCACCTTTACATCGTTGTTGTTTGTTTACTCCTCTCACTCGCATATTTTCTCTGCGAAAGAAACAGCAGGAGGCTCTGTAATCGGCATAACACAGATTCATCCTGTTCGTTTGTACAAACGCACAACTCATCATGCAGTAGCTGATCTTCCCGGCGCAGCTGAATCGTGGCGGTCTGACCAAAAAAGACTAAGTCAAGCCCTATCTAATCAGTCTCGGGCCATCAACCGGTGTGCAATTTCGCGTAGATATGCTTTAACGCGCTACATGTCACTGCACAACTCGAATAACACAGGCGTAAGCAGGGGTTTGTTTATCGATTGAAAGTCTATCGCCCTAAGACTTCGCGCAACATTGGACTGAACATGTTCTTCAATTCAGAGTTGCGTGCAATCGCTGCGATGGTCGGCCCGCTCGTCGTTCCGATATGCAGCCGGCGAGTCCGCTATTATCACTCGTCTCCCTGAACACACCTCCACCTCACTCAACAGAAGTTGCTAAATACGTCCCGGTTTCAATGCGCTGCTCGTATTCCTGATAACCTATATTCCGCTAAACTAAAGACCCGTTCGGCATCTACTGCAAGTCTCCGAGGGACCGCCACGTACCAATATTCTCACAGAGTGCTTTACCCATCTCAGTTGGACCTCCGCTGTCAACACCAATTCATGCCTCTATCCAAGGTACAGGCAGGCATACCCAAGGAATGGCCAGACCAAACTGTGTACCTACGAACATCTGCATATTCCAAAAAACTTGATCAACACAAGATGGGAGCACTTGTGTTGTCCGCGACAAACTTACCACCTAGCGAGAAGACTTACAAGACAAGCAGTCCCTACACCAACGTCAAGATCACAGCAGTCTCAAATGCCTCCCATCCTGCCTATGGCCAATACGGTCTCTACGCCAACCAGCATCTACCACCTGATTCCTTTATTCTGCCTTACATGGGCTTTGTTCATGATCAGGCAGATACAGACGTAACCTCTGACTACGATTTATCTTTGGATCGCGACTTGGGCGTTGGTGTTGACGCCTCGAAAATGGGAAACGAGGCAAGATTCATCAACGATTATCGTGGTGTTTCCTCCGGACCCAATGCGGAGTTCCGTGACATCTTCGTGGATACTGGGAATGGCAAGGTGGAAAGGAGAGTAGGGGTATTTGTACTCAGTGCTGGCAAGAGTGGGAAAAGAGCAAAGGGGGTCGGTCGTGGACAGGAAATTCTCGTCAGCTATGGCAAGGGTTTCTGGACGGAGCGCCAGCCGGCTGAGGAGTGATCGTTCCCGATGTCACTCATGGCATGACAAGCCACATCGTGTAGCTTGCATCCTGCAATTTGAACGCTCGGCGATACAAGTGTTTCTCCACATAGATTTGCGCACCATGAGTCTTATCAAACGCTCAGGCGAGTTGATACACGAAACTAGTCGTACTTGGTCTCCTACGCCCTGCTACCTACTGCTAAAGACGGGCCCCGCCGACAAAGAAAATGATGTTAGTGAGTGGCCAAGAGTCCCTGCGCAGAACCATTGATCAATAGACTCAATATTGCGCAGATCAAAGTTCTGCTTCGCTTAGCGTTATTACACCCCCACACAGCTCCAGCGCTGGAACAACTTAATGATACATCGTGCAGACGACGAACCCACACGACCACGACGCTGAGGTCTTTACAGCACATCACAGTTTAGCCACGTGCAGTAGTAAGACAAGTGATGGGAGGTCTGGCCTCCGATCTTGTCGCTTCAGAGTCAAGCCACGGTGTGAGGCGTCATGCGGAGGTGTGGGGAATGTCGCGAATGTCGCGAAAGTTGGCCTGTCACTAGGAAGCCAAGTGACGTCGCCCCTCCACTCTGGGCTCAGTTGAGAATTCTAACGTGGCAGAGACATGATGTGCCTGTTTCAGCTGGGCGTCATTCCCTGTTGAGACCACATAGTATATTGCCCTGCTGATGGGATTCTTGAGATTTGGCGATTCAGACGTGGAAGTCTCGCTCACGGAAATAATTTATTTCCCTTAAAGCCTGCTACAAGAGGGATCTGATCCATGGGCAGTTGCACACATGCAGGTACGGTGCACAAAAGATTTTCAGGGTCAAGCGTTTTGTTTAGTATGTAGGGGGATCAGGATCGCGATTCTGCACCGATGCCTGCCTCCCTGTGACGTATGGAGCTTCACTCGGTCAGCCCAAACAAGCTTTCTTTGTCCAATCAACGTGCATACACACCTAAATCCTGGTCAGCCTACCGGTTTGCAAACCTCAAAGGCGTCCGAGCACAGAGACTGGCGGTCTCAGCCGCGCGCAGCCACAACACTCTTCACGGTTCCACGTCATGGCCCAATTTCCAGATTTAATTGACATATGGTACTTAGAAGCGCCCGTTCCTGGGCTATTGACTTACCATCTCCTTACTTCTCGGCAAACAAACTGACCAACACTATTCGAAACTATCCCACCCAACGGCTTGCGCGTCTTTACATCAATACGACGACCGTATCCCACCTTTATCGGATCACTCCACCGAGTTGACGCACCACCTCCAACTTGTGCCGACTCCACAACGCCACACTTCTAGAGCTCCTTGGAAGCCAAGCCCGACAATTCACTGTTTATATTGCTACCGTCCCCGCTTCAAACAATTTCTCATACCACATCTTATAAACCCCACAACCAAATCCCCAACATACTTCGTTCAGATACTATCAACGTCAATCTACAATGGCTCCTATGACAAGACCTGCTTTGAGTAGGGTAAGCAATACCAACAGTTGTTCCTTGGAAACTTGACTAACGTGATCACCAGAACGAGTCGATGCAAAAGTACATGTTGCTATCAGCCCAGAAGGAAGCCCTACAACGGCGAATGTCTCTTCAAATCCCTTCCAACGAACCCATGACGAGTTCCTCGCCAGAATTCCAGTCCTTGTCGTCGTCACCAACCGATTCTCTGAAATTCACTACGCCATTTCCTGCTTCCGAGCCTGTTCCCATGAGGATAGGCATGTCGTCTCGTCACAGCATCGACGACATACATACCGAAGAGTCCCACAAGCTTTTTGAAATCAACCAGCAAATAGTAGCTACTCTGACCGAGTTGCTGAACACCCAATCTGTTCGCTCCGATGACAAGCACCGAGCGTGGATCCAAGAACGGCTCATGGAGGCCGAGCACCAGAGCCGCCGGCAACGACGTCGCCATGGATCCAACAGCGAGAGGGACTTTGCGTCTTCCATTGCGCAGCACCTGGAGCTCAACCTCCATACTGCAAAAACTTGGGCTTGAGTTGGACGCTTCAGCTTTGCTTCTGATGGCTTGTCAAACGATTCGCTGTCGCTTGTTTTCTATCCACTAATTGCATGGAGAGTTGTGTGCGAGGTCATGTTGTTATGAGATCACGTCTCCTCTTATTTTGGCGCAGGGTTGGATATGGCGTAACGGTTGCTTCTGAGATGAAGTGCTCAGATCAGAAATTATTCACCTAATGCATGCATGCCTCACCGTTGAGCGTAATGTTTGTGCTGGACAGGTGATCCCTTCCGCACTTGTAGAGCCTCTAATCGAAACTTGATCTTTACTTCTTTTTACTCGCCCGGGTCAAGGAGTCGAGATAACAGCTGCACCCTGAACTTAGCTAGGCAATTACTTTGGTCTCTGACCTTCCTTATCTGTCCCAGCGTTCTCGCAAGAGACATGTTTGGTACCTTTGATTGTGAGAGCGGCGTAGCATGTTTTAGCACGTCCGCCCGTTCCACGACCCTTGTCGCTTAGCACATGTCGACTTCGCACGCAAGCGCAGGGAAGTGTTTTCTGAAATCACAATGATTTCAGTCCAGATCCTTCGCCCCACACTGTACACGACTCACGCATGGCAAAATCTTGAACTAAGAGCTCTCAAAATAAACCAGCAATCAAACACCTCCAACTCCATTCTCGGCGGACGCCGTAGACTAAATGCACTATCTTCAGTATACCTAAAATGCTCCGATAACCAACGCGACACAAAGAGTTCAGACATCGAACACGACATACATCGCCGATGTTCCGTCGAAATGACATCATACTACCTACACTTCAACGCAGCGCATTCAACAGAAGTCGGCGCGACAACTTCATGCTCTCGAATACGAACACATCGAGCCAGACAAATTCGACCGCTCAAAGAAGATGATTGATGTTACCAATTCAACCCCGCATGTAGTCAGTGATCGACCCACGCCCCTCTTTTCGACATTCAACGCCGTGGAGCCCCCTCTCATGGACACAATGCGGGTGAGCGCAAAACGCACAAGCTGAGTGTTGGACACATGCAGGGTTCTGTATGGAGCCAGAGCTCAACTGTGCCTCCAAGGATGCCTCGGTGAGGCATTTGGGTGCGGTCGGTACGGAATGATGAGGAAGAGAAGGACTGGGCACCCGGTGCTGCCGAAGAACGTACAACTAACAGCGTGATGCGAGGAAACATAACATGCAACATCGGTTTCGTTACTTCACGAACCGACGTCTAAATTGACTTCCAACTAACGGGTCATCCCACAAGATCACGCTTCTCGGGTCGGCTTTGCAAACCGGGGCCACTGCATTTCGCAATCGGCTCTGCGGGGTGCATTAATATCAGACTCCTGTACCCCGCGCCATATCCTTGCGAGATACTTCCGAATCAAACGCGTTGGTATGGTCCTATCCTCTCACGCATATTCAGCATCCCAGTTCCATCCTGGCCTGTTCATCAAGGGCCTTGCGCCGACAGACTGTGTACACGCGAATGAACCGGGGAGTTTCGATCGCGCGGCAGATCTTACTTTATATTCGGGCCGTGGACACACAAGGGTACCGAGGGCTCAACAAGTCTTTCGACCCCGGCAAGAGCCTTTGTCGCAATCGTGACTAGAGAATGGCATGATGGTCTCCAGTTCGCTCGGGTCTGGATCTTTCTCGGTCTTGCGAAGGAAGAAGACGCGTGTTACGATCCCCTCGCTTTACCTGGTACCAACTGGTCACACAGACTCGGCATATCAGCTTGATAGACTCTGCACGATTGGCGACTCTATGCGGCCTTCTCTATCCGATCCTATCGCGGTCGACAACTGGCTGTCTTGCATGAAATCTTGGACAAACCTCGTAACACGTAGACGTTGGTGACCGGTGATAAGTTCATTCGTCCGGCTTGCCACTATCTTGTGTCCAGGTTTTGATGGATGTGTTGGCTCTTGGTGTAGGGCAGTGCTCAGCCCTGTCATGAACGGTAGTTCTTTCGCCGGAACAAGAAGGGGGTGTTAGAAACAAGCTTTTCGATCGCTAACAGCTGCTCTCGTGTAAAACTACCTACGGAGATAAATGGCTCGCGCTTATGCATTGGTCGTACGAGTGCTAGAATGCTGAGGAGTATGCATCTTGAAGCCAGTAAGACGAAGTGCATACTCTCAACTACAAACAGAACAATATATATCTTGCTAATTCTTGTATCACACTCAGTCAATTCCGTGTGGATGTAGACGGTTAAATGTTATGGACAAAGCTTGAAGGTAGTATGCGACGACGCGAAGTCTTGAGATAATCATGCAAAAACCAACGTCCACGTAGGTCAGCTTCTGTTTTTTAAATGTCTGCAAAATACAATCCTAATTGCTGCAACACGTTGCAAGTCACTTGACATCGTCGGAAGACATGTCTTTCAAGCTCAATTCCAAGTCCATACGGAACACCTTACAATGTGTATAAGGAAGTATTGACTCGTTGATTCCGATCCGTAGCTCAAATACAATTTGTAGGTACGTGTGGGCGCTGAGATTAGGGGTAACATGCACGAAATCTGTGGGAAAAGGTATGAGCGATTAACGGGTTTGGGGGACATGGTTTCGAGAGATGTATAGACGCATTTTGAATTGTGATGTTAGAATTTAAGAAACTGTTGGTTTCAGAAGATATGCGTGGGCAAGATGAACTGCTTCTTTCTGCTCAAAACTTTCACCAGATCTTTTTGGTGTTGCAGGAAAAGCTGGATAGGTTCGATATTGTAATGGTGTAGCGGGCCAGTTTACGGCCATGTGAACGTGTATACAAGCGCCAAAAAGGTGCGCTTGGAATGGTAGCTAGACATAGTACACATCAAGGCTGGCGACAAGAGAGATGCATAGGATATGAAGGCAACGCGTGCATAACTACTATGTACAGTTGGGCCCTGTGCAACATGGTGGTCTTCTTTGTAGATGTTCTGCGCCTCGAGTTATGTGTATCGCAACGCCTAGGTTCAACTGCTTTGAAACATGAGGACCAGATAGCCTACGGCATCATCTTTGGACGTAATCTTCGGGTAGTGCAAATCGTCTTGCGTATGTTTTCGAGATGCGCGTGGAGGTTAAGCTTCCCTTCGCCTCGCGTTTTGCTCTAGAAACCTTAGAATGTGATAGAACTGGATACTGTTGAAGTGTATTTGTATGCTCTACACAGTTCGATCTTGACGAGTCGATGAGTCATTTTCGCACGTCCAACAGAGACAGAGTCGAAAGTTTAAAGTCTTTGAGAGCTAGCAAGTGAACTTGATTAATTCTGACTGAGCGTATATTATGAGTGAGAGAAGAAAGTAGCGGATGTAAGCGTTGAGATGTCTAAGTTGGGCAGCTGCGGAGACTTGTTACGCGCCTACCTCACCATCTGGGTTCCCCAGCCTCGCTTCAGCACCATCCCCAACCACCTCATCCGCGGCTAGATCGGCGCCTTCGTTCTAGTGTCGCATAACTATGCCTGATGATATAATTGTCCAAAAATTATGTGTTCCGTCCCAGGTAATACCGTGTCCGACTTGCCATCAGCTTGATGATGCGGCTTCTTCGCTTCTCGCTCGGCAGCCTGAACAGTTCAAGCTTCGTCCCGTAGAGCTTATCTCTGGTCAAACCCTATATGAGCCGGCAGACGATGCCGATGGAATAGACATATGCGTTGGAGAGCAACTCATCGAGAGTTCGAAGAACTGCACAACATGTAGAACTCTAGTAACCGCCATCACGCAAAGACTTCCGGGGCAGTCTCCTGACCCTCCCTTCACCTGGGCGTCTGCCAGAATCTGGCTATTCGGCCCTATGTGTTCTGCAGGGTGCTTTACCCTGCTCTCTCCTGATGTAAGTTTGCAAAGCTGTGCCAAGGCGGCCTTGGAATTTACTGGCTGTAGGTCGAAAGCGACGATGAGGACAACTTGTACGAACTGCGCCTCGTTCCTTCATCACTTGCGAAATCATCAACTGATGGAATCTCACTGGTTGATCTTGATATGATTCGAGGCTGGGTGGAATTATGCGATACGCAGCACAAAGAACAATGCTACTCGTTATCGAACAATCAAAAACGCTGGGCTATCAACTTCCGAATGATAAACGTAGTGGAGGCTTGCTTAGTCCCTTTCACGGATGACGACATCGTACCCCGATATATAGCGCTGAGCTATGTCTGGGGCAGGGCTGAAACACTTCTCTGCACGAAAGCAAATTACAGAGACTTAACAACCCCAGGGAGTCTTAACAAGGCACATTTCTCCTCTAAATTAGCACGAACAATCAGCGACGCCATGGTGTTGACAAAGGGGCTTGGGTTGAGATACCTGTGGGCCGACATGCTTTGTATAACTCAAGATGATCCGTCCGACAAAGTTATCCAGCTCCCCAACATGGCAGCGATATACGGGGATTCATACCTCAACATCTTCGCGGTCGATGGAGCCGATTCTCAAAGCGGTATTCGAGGGATCAGCGATGGGCTGCCTCGCACATTTCAACCTGCTTTGCTGCGTTTGAGTGACCATCTCAGCTTCGCCATCAGGCCCGCGTCGGAGACAACCCGAGAGAAGCTTTGGCACACACGTGCCTGGACAATGCAAGAGCGTGCTTTATCGCATCGAAGTCTGATTTTCCTTGACCAAGCGGTGAGCTGGAGTTGTATGCGGTCCTCTTTTGACGAAATAACATACATTCCAGGGGTGAGTGAAAGCGACGCAACGTGCTACATGTGCCAGGCGGGAAGCTCTGAGGATATCTGCTACGTCAGGAAAACGAAGTACCCTTTTCTTGATAATTACCTCGACCTCGTTCGAATGCTTACAGAGCGCTCGTTGTCATATCCTGAGGATATCCTCAATGCATTCGCGGGGATCCTTACTGAGCTATCTGGTTCATTCCCTCACGGTTTCTACCAAGGCATCCCAGAGTTTTACTTTGATCTCGCGATTTTGTGGTGTAGATATGAGTATGACGAAGTTCGGCGAGCACGCCGTATAACTCGTCGATGCCCAATACCAGGCAAACGGTGGGCATCAAGCAAGTTCGCAAGTTGGTCATGGGCTGGATGGGAAAACTGCCGCGTGGGGTGGTCGACAAATCTTGAGGACTCGCTTGAGGATGCATACAAAGTGGTTCCTATCTTTCCTGTAATAGAATGGGGAAAGACAGATGGTCATCGTGATCTGGGGTTCATCAGGAACGATTTCCATCACTATTGCGAGGCAGCAAAATCATACCCTAACTCGGAGCTGACGAAGGGCTGGGAGAAAGTGTACGAAGCGCCAGATCCAGAATCTACTGAGGATGACAATTTCCACTTCGAACACTCCAGTGTTCCAGATCGAAAGTTCCGTACTCCACTCCCTGTCGAACAAAGTTCCTCAGAGCTACCTACGTTGGACCTGCAGTCAATGTACCTAGTTATTAGCGGCAAGGTCTGTAGCTTCTCCTTCCGTGAAGAAGAGTATGAGTCTTTGTTATTCCATTCGTCAGCATTAGGGTCTCTGTATTCAACAGATGAAGTATGGTCGGGCATTATTTACGACATCCAAAGTCCCACCTCATCCATCGATCTTGAGCCACTCGCATGTCAGGTTCTCGCCATTAGCACTGGATCACTGGAACTGGGAGCTTCGCGACCGGACAAGAGAAAATATCTCATGAGCGCTGAGCAAGACTTTCCAGAGTTGAGTCTCGTACCACACCTCAAAGAAGCCAGAGTATACGAATTTTACAACGTCCTGTGGCTAGCCTGGGAGGATGGGATTGCGTATCGACGCGGCATTGGACGAGTGTGGAAGCCAGTGTGGGAGGGACAGAAGTTGATAGAGATGAAGATTACGCTTGGCTGATGTGGTAACTGAAAGCGGAGCAGAGACTCAATGGGCATATACTACCAAGTGCGAGATTGCATCTTTCAACTTTTTCACATAGTCTGACACTAGCGTCAAGCCTACAAGATGTGCGGTGTTGAATCACCACTGAAGTACTTGTTTGAGAGGGCGAAAGGGTTGCAAACAGAGTAAAGGTTATTACAACCCCAAGACCAAACACTGTCGGCATACAACAGCTGATCTTCTTGTCTAGTGTTCCTACCGAGACCTCTGTCAAATTATGCAATTACGTCATTTTGTCTCTTTTCGGCATTATTGATCTATCATGCGTCAAGCCCAGCGCCACATGTTCCCTTTTGCTGCATGATAACGACAAAGCCTGCCACACGGATTTCTTCAGTTTGGGTTCAGCCTGAACCATGTGTCCGTAACACATGCTGTTAACTTGCGTCCCCCACGCTGCAAGCTGGACATAGAGAACACTCCTGTGGAACATTGTTCCTGTTCGGCGAAAGATTAAGTGTCGAACCAACACTTAACGAGTTCTTATAGAGTAAAGAGCCAGACCAACTGCAAACTTCAGCCTTGCCGGCTTTTAAGTTTGTGTGGCTGAACTAGCTGAGTTTCTGCAAGCATTTGTGCTACAAGGTTGGTATTCTGGAGCCCATCTAGACACTTCGTGTCCCGATAGTGGCTTTCTATGGCTTGCAGTTTGCCAATAGCTTCGCATGAAGCTTCGACTGTTCTTTGCAGATTGACGGAACTGCTTTCTACTTGTGGTAAGCTGTTCAGCTTTCCATGCAATAGTCTGAACTCGACGACCAAGGCTGAAACTCAGCCTTCCACCCAAGAGCTATTAAGGGACACGGACTTCACGTATGCCTGCTACCCGAGAAGACTTATATCCTTCGCAGCTCTCGTTAATTGATCTGCAAGATTTTCCAGTTTCCGTATCGAAATGGCTAACTCAATGTACAGAAAGCCGCCCGATCTGCCTCTTTCGGTACGGCCCCCTTCTTACACGGCAGAAATTCCTGTCATCAGGACTTCCAGATCGGATATGTTCAGGAATGCGGGCCAGCGTGGTGGTTCAGCCTCTGCCAGCATATCTAGAGATACATCAACAAAGGTTCATTCCAAAACCACGCTCCCTAGCCCGCGCGACCATCAAGAAACGAACTTCGAGGACACGCAACTGCAAGTTTGCGACGACTGCAAACTCGAAAAGTCGCCGATATGGGATTGCTCATATTGCGGCATGAGTTTCTGCGACCAGTGTTGGGACGAGCAGGGTCCACACCAGTCAGGTCGGACCGGCCCTGATGGGTTACCACACGAGAAAGCAAACCCGACAATCGTGAAGAGATTGAAGAATATCTTGACACCACCTCAGGCTCACGGCGAACAGCAGACACTTCATGTAGAAGACGAAGATACGACGTGGTTTGGATTAGCCCGGGACAACCAAAATCGCCCCATCTTCCAAGACTATGGTCGTTATTCTGCCATCATGGCAGATAGCAATTCTGGCGAGTATAAGCTTCGGTACCCTCAGCTGGTGTCTTTTATTGGCCAAACTGGTGCGGGGAAAAGTACACTTATCAAGATGCTCATTGATCAACAAGAGAGAAAACACCGCCCTAGCGATTGGAATTTCCCCTCGCCAGTTGCAGGGTCGTTATCCAACGGTAGTGTACCAACATCCGGTGACGTTCACCTGTACAGCGATCCCAGTACATATGCTGCGGAGTATCCCATGCTCTATGCCGACTGTGAGGGTTTGGAGGGCGGCGAAAGTATTCCGATGGCGATGCAGTATCGCAATAGTGCATCGACTCCATCAAAAGAGAAAGGGAAAGACAATCACCCAGTCAGGGAGCATCGCAAACGTCGGAGGGTGACCAAAAGTCTTCATTCCAGACAAATAGACATCAAGTGGGCAAACTCTCCGGACAAACTGAAACGGCAGTATGCCGTTACCGAACTCTACCCCCGTCTACTATACACGTTCTCCGACGTAATCGTGTTTGTCCTGCGCAACCCAAAGTACGTACAAATTTCAGTTGACGTTGCCTTTAGATGTACAGGCAATATGCTGCTGTAACAGATGCTACGGTTTCTATGGGCAGCCCAAGAGTCATTCAACCAATAACGAATAGAAGCGAGGAGATCTTCCGTCAAAAAGCTCCACGCAATCATTCCAACAATTTTGTAAATATGCTGACTCGATTGCCTTAGAACGTTTGAGTCCACAGTCCTATCGTTACTGATTACTTGGGCATCGTCTTCGATTGAGAAGTCGCTCAATCAACCCACACTTCCACATGCTGTGATAGCACTCAACGCAACAGACACAAAGGTAGATCAACAGGAGTGGGATCCTGAACACGCGACGAAACTGCTTATGTCTAATGTTTCAGACGCTGTCAACCGAAATCCGACCTATTGCGAGCTAAGAGAGTACTGGACTAACCAAGGCAAACCCATTCGGACAATGGAAGACCTTTTGAAGTGTTACTATTCCTCCGTTACGGTAGTAAGAATTCCTGGAGAAGGCCGTTATATGATGATCGACGAACAAGTCAAGAAACTCCACGACGTAGTCAGCAAACGGTGCACCGAATCCTTCAATGCTAAACGCAAGTCCCGGATGCTTTCCAACTCAGATGCCCTCAACGTCTATCTGCAATGTGCATTTGACCACTTTGCCCAGGATCTTCATACTCCTTTCAACTTCATGGACATCTCATTCAAGATTAACCCTATACCTCTGGATTTTGGTGGTAATATCCTCAAACTAGCCGTTGCTATGAAGAGTCAATACAACGATCCCACGAGAATCTTCCAGGAACTGAGCTTTATGGTTTCTTCTTGTATACTGCTCGACATTGCCCGTCAGAGCTTAAAAGGTATGTATTCTTCACGTTGGTACACGTTCGAGCTCTTAGTATTACTCGACCACTACTAACTTTAGCTAACACCTATTCCGCAGGACCTACGGAACAGCTTCTGAAAAAGCAATACCTGTACCATTGCGATAGCGCACTCGATGACTTTTGTGCGATCTTTTGGCCATGCACGTTCCGAAACAAACGTGATGATAGATGTGTCAACTTCAAGGAACGTCACACGAAAGGACATCAAAACCAACGCGGAAACATCATTGGTACCGGTCCTTATGAATCAGGATTCACGTTTAACAACTTCGCAGACAGCTGGCTTCGTTATCTCCTCGACTCCCTATCTGGTTTTCAGAAAGATCTTAGTTCCAAGTTGATAACGTCTAAGTCAGCTGATGAAATAGTTATCACCACTAAGCTCCACCATGCCAACGTAAACAACTTCTATCACCACGTAGGTGGTGCTCAAAAGTTTGTTAGCCATACAACCTGCTTTTGCTGTTTGAGAGAGTTGGCTGAACACCCACTCCCTTGCGGGCATGTGCTCTGCGCACCCTGTATCAAGGGTTATGGCAAACCCCATAGTGAGCTTTCGGGCTCATACACAATTGCTTTCTGTCCTCTTCATGAGTACGACACTGTTTTCCCCGCCCCTTGGGAGATCTACTTTAAGCCGCCGCTTGCAGGTGTGCGTGTCTTGTCTCTGGATGGGTAAGTGTATATGTTGAGCAAATTCCAGCCCCTCGCTGATAGTTGTAGGGGCGGCATGAGAGGCATCGTCATTCTTGAAGTGCTTCGGCAAGTTCAGGAGGAACTCGGTGGTCGTATTCCAATCCAAGACTTCTTTGATCTTGTTGTGGGCACCAGGTCAGTAACTCCAACTCACTCTAATGTTGACGTCGTGTCAGATATTCGAAGGACAAATTTAGACTAACCTCAACTATAGTACTGGAGGTATCCTAGCACTTGGCCTTGGGATCAAGAACTGGTCAGTGAACCACTGCATAAGCCTTTTTCTAAGGCTAGTAGAGAAGGCATTCACTCCCAAATTCCTTGGTGGTGTGAGTTTCGGTACTACAAAGTTCCGTACTCAGCCTCTCGAGGAAGCGTTGAGTGAGTGTTTCGGTGACGAAGCCATTTTTGGCGGTGTACCCGAGGCATCTGTTGGCTGCGCACGTAAAGTTGCTGTGACCGCCGCTACCGACACTGGTGAGCAGGCTGTGATTTTCACGAATTACAACCGAGTGGATGATGAACAAAGTAGGCCTCACACTGTGTTCCATGGGTTGCTTTTGCTAATCCTCTTCAAGTTGGCTATCAGTTGGTTCGACCTGATGATCCAAAAAACGACCTCATGATACGAGAAGCGTGAGTTCCTACGGAAAGGTAGTCACTACGAGCATGGTTTAGCTGACTTTGAATTAGTGCTCGGGCAACCTCAGCTGCACCGACGTTTTTCAAACCCTTTAGAAATACACGTACCATGGAGGGCTTCTTGGATGGGGCGGTATTTCACAATAACCCAGTAAGGATAGCCAACTATGAGAGCAAGCTTCTTTGGCCTGAAGCCGAAGAACGTCATCCCGACATTCTGCTCTCGATAGGTACCGGCCGACATGAAGACGATACCGATGGCTTCCTCCATGGTACAAGATCCGATCGTAGACGCTTGCAAGTTCGCGATCAGACCAAGCCCACTACGCAGGATAGGCGCTTCATACCTGGGCTAAGAGCTTTCAATGAGGTTGAGGGCTGGCTCAATATCTTCAAGAAGCGCGTTGAGAGTGTTCTGGACGCTGAGCTGACATGGAAGGAGTTCCGTAAAGATGTTGTTGGAACGTCCTCCCCTGTCGCAGCTGAAAGATACATACGCATCAACCCGACGACGAAGTCTCGCACTCCTAAGATGGATGACAAGACGCAGATTCACATCTTACGAAATGAGATCAAGTCTGATCTACGCACACGTGGCATGCAGATGAATATTGAGAAGATTGCGCATAGGCTTGTTGCCAGTTCATTCTATTTCGAGAAGTCTGGTCCATCGAGAGACGCTGGAGATCACATCATCATACAAGGTGAGTATAAAACACATTAACGTAAGTCTACAAGCTAACATACCTCAGGCACTCTCCAATGCAGATTCGCCGCTGGTTCTGACAATCTACGCAACTTGGGTGACTACATACGCAAACACCAGCGGCCACACTTCCAGCCCTTCTTCCAGGTACAAGAAGTCAAGCACAACCAAAGTGCTCAAAAGATCTACATCACAGCTCATATCGTTCATGAGATGATCGACAGGGGGCTTTTCCACCTGGATTCCATTGTCATGCCCGTGACTTCAGAGGCGTCGTTGTTATCAATAGACTTACACCTGACCGACGATCGAAGAAAGCGACACGTGTGTTATGGGTTTCCTATCAGTGGCTTTCCACGAAGTCTGGCTGACGGCGAGCCCCTGAAGAGAACCGGTAAGCTTTTCTTCCCCAATCCCTCACGAGACTGACTGATCATGATAGCCTCAATCACTTCACCGAATCCTGAGCGTCCAAAGATAGCTAACAAAAGGCACTCCCTCCGTGAGAAACTCAACGCAAAGAGTCGTATCTCGTTAGATCGCCCAGTTAGTGACAGCAACATCACCTACGCGCTACACAACGAGGCTACCACCGCACAGAACAATAGTCTTGGTGTTGTCTTACCTGAGACGCCCGAAGATATAACAGACTGGGCCCGACGCCGTATCGAGACAAGTCGTTGCCCTCCTAAGCCAGTGCAGGTATCAGTAGATTATGAGGTGCGCCGCATTCCGCAGCCGTTTCCGGATGAGCAGCTGCACGAAGTCGATGCTGGACCTGCATTGCCGCTTGATGAGGATGATGAGGCACTTGTGTACGCCTTTACGCTAAGTCAGAAAGACGATATCCTTCCAGTACCGAGAACTATGAGTGAGACCGACGCGGATTTGGCGCGGGCCTTGGAGCGCAGTCAACATGACATGCGTCCGTCGCCAAGAAGGACGACCACAGGAACTGATGAGGATGAGTTGGCCAAGGTGTTGTCGTTGTCTTTGCATGTTCGCTGAGTGCGTGGAGTATGAGAGGTTTCTTCTCCCGGAATCGGATTGTCAATGTCTCTCTCTTTTCTTGATGCATGATGAATCAATACACAAATTCCAGAGCAAAATATCGTCAGCGACGCTGAAACCATCCAGGTTCGCATTCGTCGGTCTTTACATTCATCCATATTTTCCTTCATCCAACAATTCAAACAGAACAACCTTGTCTACCTATTAGCCAGGGCACACTCTTCATCGCATCTGAAGTCACCTCTAAATCCCGTCGTACCTGTTACTGTCACATTCCAAGGCTTGCAGGTTTCGCAGCCATTTCAATCCTCATGGGATAAATGCAAGCGTCCCCACATTACTCAATCAAATCTTCTCAACCAAGTCCATCCACACTATATTGAACTCCAGTGACCGCGTCTCAGTAAGCTGCCAGCCTAAAACTGACCTTCGCGATCCACTCCAGCACAACTGATACCGCATTCTTACATTACGCCCCCAGCGGCTTTGCGTTGCAGAAGACATCTGTAAACGCAAGAGCAGAAGCGGAACAAATGACTACAAATCTTTATAAAACTCAGAACTAAAGACTTACACTTAGATACCAAACTTCCTCGTTAAACTCGGCATCTCAGACGGAAGCTTTCCGTGAATCCCTCCAGACCGCGGAACACTACCCCGCGTCCGAGGAACCATCAAGGTACAAGCCGAGAGGTGGAGATATACTCTACCAAATACATTACCCTGAATTTTGAGATTGAATCTATCCCTCGAGCGATCATGGCAGCCACAAAAGTAGCTCTAATAACAGCCAGTTCGGCGGGCCTAGGCGCCCAAATCGCGCGCGTCTTCGCGCCAGATTTCCGAGTCGTACGTGTGCCACAGCTCGAACCTCACACTCCTTTGAAGTATCAATATGACAAACCTCATCCACTAACACGCCCCAGGTCATAAACTACTCCTCGAACTCAGAGCGTGCGCAATCCCTCCTCAAAGAGCTGTTCTCCCTGCCAGGCAGCTCCTCCCAAGCAAGCCCACGCATCCACGTCATCCAAGCCGACATGTCCTCGAAGCCATCCGTAGAGAATCTCGTCAAAGAAACGCTCAGCGTAATGGGCCGCCTGGACGTTGTCGTGTCGAACGCAGGCTGGACGCGCATGACGACCTTCACGGACATCGAGCAGCAGGTCAACGAGGAGGATTGGGATAGATGCTTCGTCATGAACGTCAAGACACACCTGTGGCTTGCGTACGCGGCGAAAGACGCGCTGGCCGAAACAGAGGGGACGTTTATTTCTACGGCGAGTGTGGCGGGCGTCAAGCCGTCGGGGTCCAGCGTGCCGTATGCGGTTACCAAGGCGGCGCAGATTCATCTCATGAAGAGTTTGGCTGTTATACTCGCGCCGAAGATTAGGGTGAATGCTGTGAGTCCCGGGTTGATGCTGACGGAGTGGGGGCTCAAGTTTCCTGAGGCGAAGAGGAACGCGGCGGTTAATAATACCAAGTTGAAGAGGTTGGCGACGGTGGAGGATGTTGCGGATCAGGTTAGGACGTTGGCGTTGAGTCGAAGTATTACTGGGCAGAATATCTCTATTGATGGGGGGTCGTCGTTGTAGGGTGAATGAGAGACGCATGCCCGTCCGGGGAAGGGGTTGAATATTAGTTAGAAATCAACCCAAAACTTCTGTTCTATCAAAATAGCTATGATACAACATCTTGTCTTCTGTTGTTGCGTTGTCTGATCGCGAGGAAGCCATCTTTGCTTTGGAGGTGACGGAGTTATACTGTTACTACACGTACAAGGAGCGAAAGTGACGCGAACGGCACGACGCTAATGCTTCTTGAGTAAGCGTGAGAATGACGCGACGCGACTTCATTCAGATCTCTTCAGTCCAGGGCGATACCAAACCCCAAAAGAAAAGGTACCAAAAATACGAACTGCTCGAACATCAAGCTACATCGACCAAGCATAACTAATCGTTGCTACCCCAGACCATGCACCAGAACGCCAGGCCTATGAACCCAACCCGACGCAAATCCCAAGGTATCTTAGCCATCATACAAGTTCATTACAAAACAACACAAAACAGATCAAGCCGCCGCGTGAACAACCTTGAACCCATCTGCCACCATCTTCTGAATCTCTTCGTCCTTGTGTTGAAGAAGGCCCAGCGTGTAAGTGACGTCGCTCCACTGTCTCTCGTTCTCTGCCCTCGGCAGTCTGTCAGCGAGCTTCTTGGAGAGCTGTTTGGCGTGTTTGTCCTATAATTTGTTAGCTTGTCGGAGTCTAAGTTTTTTGGTAATGCACAACAACATACCTTCTCGATAAAGCCTGCCAGGAATTTGATAATTTTCTTAAAAGCATCCTCGTTCAATCCAGTGTCGGCGCTCAGGATACTGAACATATCGATGAACTGGTTGTACACTTGGTTGTCCTTGGTCGAAAGCTCCGTGAAGAACATCTTGGCCATGTCTGCGATCTTCCTGTCACTATCTTCGATGCACTTAGCCATCTCTCCCAACTGGCCCTTGACCTTGACTTGACCAGCCAAGATCAGGAAGGTCAGGGTCATGAGACATGTTCGCTTGACGCTTGGATCGCCATCGTTCAGTCGCCGGTAAAGGAAGTCGGTGTTCTCGTCCATGAGATGGTTGAAACAGACCGCCATATCGCCAAGAGCAACAACGAGATTACTGCGGACCACGGCATCCTGACTGCGCTCAAGGATAGTAAGGAGAAGACCCAGGTTTTTCTCGCAGTACTCCGCGCTCACGCACATAAGCTTAGCCAAGCACAGTGCCGCTTGCGCTTGCAGAGTGGGGTGGTTGTATGAGGTGTTGTTTGCACAGATGTCTGACACCAGAGCACCAAAATTGGCGAGGAGAGACTGTGGGCCGTAGAGGAGCTCTTTCTCACGAACATGTGCGATAGCGTCAGTAAAGTCGTCCTCTGTCGTGCCCGCCATGAGGTCCAGTTCGTCCACAGTTTCCTCGGGCGCTGGTGCTTTCTCCTTGGCGGCTCCCCTCTTGCGCCCCTTCTTCATGGGCGTGGGCTCTACCGCTGACGAGCCTGCTGACGGCCGTGGTGTTGGGCCGGTCGTCTTCTCCTTTTCAGACTTTCGGCGCTTGAACTCAAGCTCGCATAGCTCCAGATGTACTATCTGCTTGATAGCGACATGCCCGACAACAAACAACAGTTGTGAGAGTGCCAAAGCTGAGTTCTGTTGCTTTGGCTGAGTGTCATTCACCAAGGGAGCTTCCGGGTCAGCTTCGTCTGTAGGTGGTGTACCAGCCTCGACAGCACTAGAGCTCGATGTAGGCCGCGAGGATCCTTGCGATGCAAAAACACGCTTCGTCACCCGTCGGATGATGTCTGAGCAGAGGACGTCCGGGTGCTTCGAAAGAACATATATCGCACTGATGGCTTGCTCTGCGACTCCGTACCACTCTTTGCTGTCCGAAACGATCTCGGTAATCGCAGCTAGTCTCACCAAGACCGCATGATCGTTGGGAAGTTTGACGACTTGCGTTGGAGTAGCGCCAGCGGACTGCTTCCCTGGAGGAGGACTCATTCGGCGAAGAGCAATGCAAGTATAACGAGCCAAACCCAGATCTCGTCTCCCGAGTTCCCCCAAGCCGATCCGCAAACATGCCTCCATCTCTTGTACAACGATATCTGGGGACGAAAGAGCGAGCATGCCGAGGACGATGATGGCTCCCCGACGTGATTTCTTGGAGATCTCCTTCCTCTGAAATCCGTAAATCTGCCAAAGCTTCTGGATGACTAGGTCGTTGATGAGCCCTTGCTTCATCATGGTGCTGAGAAGTTGCTCAAGGGAGGTAAGCTCCGCGGGCGTGGTGTCGAACGTCAAGCTCATCATGTTCTTCGAGACGAAGTTGGCAACGGCATTCGCGTCAAACCCTGGTGGTGCATCGAAGAACAAGCCCTTGTAGCACTCAATCAGGTGGGTCTGGACGCCTTTGCCCTCGTCGCTGTTGCCCTTTGTCCAAATGAGGCGTAACATTCTCCGAATACCGACCTTCGCGTTCTCAATCTTGTAGGCGTCTATTGTCGTGAAAAAGTCCATAGCTTCGGTGACTTCGCTCTTGTTTTTCGATGCCAGAAGTTGAGTTACGACTATGGCAGCGTCGTTGATAGTGTCTATGAACTCGAGCGCATCCAGCAATAATTTCCGCATCATTTGAGCCTTTTCAAGATTCTGGAGATCCCGAGTTGCCTTTTGAGCCTGTTCAATGGCGGCAGCCCTTTCTTCTTCGGTCATTTCTGAGGGATGCTTCGGTTCAGCGCCTGCGTTTTCGACTTGTGTTGCATCTTGTAGTAACGATTCATCTACAGTCTCATCACCCGGCGCGCGCTCCCGCAGTTCTTCTGGAGGCTGTAATGCGTCAATCTGCTGATCACATTCATCGAGTCTTTTTGTCCACTGCTTGGTCGACAGCAGTCCATTTTCGAAAGCGCTAAATGGGTGTGTTGAGACCAGCTTTGCAAGCAATTTGATGGCCGTTCGACGTGCAGTACTGCTCTTGTCCTCGAGACTGCGTGCAGCAAGTTGAGCGACCTTCAGCCGTCGCTTGGAGTACTTCTGGTCAAGGTCGCAAAGCTTGACATACACCATCATGACTCGAGCTCGACAGTAAGGATTTGTGTCCAGGAACCGCTCCTCGAGCACATCAAAAAATATGTCGATCTGCGCCTCAAGATTTTCACTGCGATCGTCTTGACTTCGTTTGGTCAGCATGACAATCAGGTTCCCGCATACTTCGATAAGTGCGCATCGGAGAGTGTAAGACTATGAACATGTTAGTAGTTGCTTGCACATAGAATCACAATGCCAGTACCTCGCTGTCCAATAAGTTTGCCAGTAGAGTCATTTGCCTGATTATGAGATGCGGGTTCAGTTCGGATATCTTCGTCAGGAACGTTGAGATGGATTTTGGCCCCTTCAAGTCTGTGGCGCTGAACTCCTTGCCGCTGATGTCTTTCAGTACATCCTCGGTCAGCTGAGGGAAGTCGTAGGCGTCGGCCAGAGTGAAAAGGAACTCGGCCATGGGTTCGGCGAGATGCTCAAAGTACGTAAGACACTGGTTGATCGAAGTCTGCGCGGCTGCCATATTGTTAGCCATGAACCTGCAGATTGCCTAGAGACAACGCACTATATGCATGTCCGTGGTGCTTGATCGCAATACACAACACCCTGAAGCAGTGGTTTCGGATGGCGTTGCTCTTGACTCTCGTCTCGTTTTCGAGGATGTGGTACACTGGTTTCGTGAAAAGCCCAATGAACGTGTCTCGTTCCGACGTCGTGACGAAGATGCGACCCAGTTTGAGCTTCAACACTTTGCTCATCCTGTCCAGAGCCGCTTCCAATTGCGCCGAAGGATCCCAGCTAGCATCCTTGCCCCCTCCTGACTTTGCCTTTGCACCCTTACCCCGCGCTTTTACTGGTGCTGAAGCCGACTTCTCCAGCGCTCTCGTCTCGGCTGCTGATATGGTCCACCGGAGAAGGAAGCCATACATCTCCAGGATTTGCTTGTGGTGTGGTATCGCATCTTGCTCTTCTGCCTCGAGGTCTGCGTGGATGATGTCTGCTTGTGTCGATAGTGCGGAAGCTATGAGATCGAGAATCTTGGTGAGGGTCGCGGGAGGGATCTGTGAAGAGTTCCTAGATGGTTGACAAAAGTCAGACTCTGTGCTGTACGTTCTCGAGTGCACGGGATATGCTGAACGCACTTGAGTAGGAACTGCAGTGTGTCAAAGATCGAACTGCGCGTGATTGCATCTGGGCTCTCTGCGATAGCGTCGACCACAGGATTTAGCTCCCTGTTGATCACCGCCGGCGACGACAGCGATTCGGGGTCATCTTCACATTCCTGCAACGCTTTGGGTGCTTCGGGCGTGGGGATGGTGGAGGGGTCGCTGTCGAATAGCTTGATCGCCTCGTTGATGTCAAAATCGACTTGCGCCTCCATGATGCGCAGAGTCGCAGAAAGAAAAGACCAAAGATAACAAGAGACCAAAAGTAGGTCGAGGATGTGTGCGCTGCGTAAAGGTGAATGATGCGGGCACCACGGCAGGCGCGTTCGGTGTTTAGTGTTGACATTTAGCCCCTCTGGGAATAGCGCTATACAACATTCCGCGTACATCGGAACGAAACGCTCGAACAAACGTTCTTCCACAACAAAATATCTCGACAATGGCGAGACCACGCGTATCGCTGCAGCGCCATGTAGAAGACTTCGAAGTCCACGAGGACGCCAAGGAGGAGGACGCTGAGGAGACACTGGACGAGAGCATGGATCCGCTCGAGGAAAGCGGCCCCATAATGGACGACAGCGACGAGGACGTCGAGGAATCCGTCGCAGACGACATGGCGCGCTTTGAAGAGACGTTTGTCGGCATAAACAAGCGGTTTCGACTGATCAACCGCATCGGTGAGGGTATGTTTGAAATTATTAGCATGTTGCATGCAGGGGTAGACTAGACTCACGCGTTCTCTTAGGCACTTTTTCGACGGTGTACAAAGCAGAGGACCTGGAATACGATAAATATGGCAACACCTGGGACATGGACGAGCATGACGACCCCAAATGGGCGACGAAACGACCCGCCAGGCGGCCCCATTATGTTGCTATCAAGAAGATCTATGTCACAAGCAGTCCCATACGCATCTTCAACGAGCTCGAACTACTCCACGACCTGAGAGACTCGGACTCGGTATGTCCGCTGATCACCGCCTTCCGCCATCTGGACCAGGTCGTCGCTGTGTTACCTTACTTCCAACACCACGATTTCCGTGACTACTACCGCGACATGAAGATTCCCGAGATGCGCCTCTACTTCCGCAGCCTGTTTACTGCACTGCGATCAGTGCATGCGAAGAAGATCATCCATCGCGACGTCAAGCCAACCAACTTTCTCTACAATCCCTCCCAGTTGCGCGGCGTCCTTGTCGACTTTGGTCTTGCTGAGCGGGAGGGTACCGACTGGCACCAATGTGCTTGCCATCTGCCAGAGGAGGACCGTCGCTACAAGCTTGCTCATAGTGTCTATGCACAGACTCAATCGGCCGGCCACAATGCCTCCAGCTACCCCAAGAACGACACACGGAACAGCCGTCGGGCGAATCGAGCCGGCACGCGTGGATTCCGAGCGCCCGAGGTGCTGCTCAAATGCACACAGCAGACCTGCTCACTCGACATGTGGAGTGTCGGCGTCATCTTGCTGACGATGCTTTCGCACCGCTTTCCGTTCTTCCACAGCGCGGACGACGTCGACGCACTGCTGGAGATCACGACCATTTTCGGCCGCAAGAAGATGCGGGAGACGTCTCTCCTACACGGCCAGGTCTTCGAGACCAACATACCTAGCTACAGCGAAGGCGGACATACACTGGAAAAGATCATCCTTTGGTGCACGGGACGGACAGGAGACAAGACGCAACCGAAGAAAGAGCTGGAAGACGAAGAGAAGGAGGCAGTGCAGTTCTTGCATCGTCTATTGGAATGCAACCCAGCCAAGCGTATCACAGCCGACGAGGCCCTTCGGCATCCATTCATCGCAAAGGCATGCATGGAGGGCGAGGAGGTCGAGGATATGAATGGTCTGGTTGAGGCGTAAGAGTAAAACAATTGTTATGCGTTAATGAGGCACGTTTATCAGCATGGGAGGCGCATGCATAGTAATTGGAGTTTTTTTGGTCATGTTCTTATCTAGGAATGGCGGTTTGATGAGTTATTGCGATACCCTTCCAACCCGTACGCTATCGTACGCATGGTTACCCTTAGAACTTCAACAATTCTACACAAGACATGGCCTCGGGACGTGATAAATGTCGGGCTAATCATACAGCATCCTCATTCCCTCCATTTCTCCCACACAACACGGGAATATCCTACACCACCATCCAAATCTTATATCGTCTGTTTTCGCGCATCTTTAACCTTCTCTTCCGCTTTCTTCTCATTCTTCGTCTTCACGCCCTCCCTAGCCCTCCTCTGCTTCGCCGTCAACATCTGCCCACTCTGCCCCCTATGCTTCTCCCGCTTCGCGCCCTTGCCCTCACTCTCCCTTCTCACGCGCTCCTCCTCCTCGAACGCGCGCATACTCCGCTCGGCCTCCTCCAGCGACGGGATCTGCAGCCCCTGTTTCCGCGCCAGCGCCAGGCGGTGCACACTTGTCTCGCGGCCCCGCGCGGCGGCCCGCACGTCCTTCAACAAACGGTCCTTGACGCGCTGCTCGTCGAGCTGCGCCTGCGAGAGCACGGGCGGGCGGTTCTCGACCGGCTCGCCGAACGGCGCGACGATCGAGGTCACGACGTGGCGCACGGCGGGGGACGTGCGGTGTCCGGATGTGATGCGGACGACGTCGCCTTCGACGAGGGAGTTGTTGGGGTCGCGGACGAGGTAGGTTTTTGGGGCGGGGAAGTGCTGCGGGGGTGGGTTAGATATATGTGCGGATGTATATATGTTGGGTGTGTGCGGGGAAGTCGTACTTTTCTAAACTGCTTGTTCCATTCTTGCTCTGCTACGCGGACTTTTACCGCCCGCGACATTTTCCCGGCGGAGACTACGACGCCGATGCGCTGGCTGGATATGAAGCTTTGCACGATGGGCGTGGCGGCTCGCGCTGCGGACGCCATCTTGGGTATGTGTGGTTGTGGTTTGGGGGGTTCGTTGAGGGTTGTGGGCGCCCGGGGCGCGTTACGGCGGGGTTTGCGGCGGTCGACTGGATTTTATCTCTGTGGATGCGATTCGGTTGGAGGGATACAGGCGTGAAGGGTCAATTCAATGGTGCTGCTGCGATACACGGCATCGGCTGTCGTTGACGATGTTCCTTGCGGATTTTCAGATGCTCGGCCAAGCTTTACTCCGATTGGTTGCAGCGTTCCGCGTCTCGAGTTGCTATCGTGTCCCGAAGCTACGTTGACTTGACCTGCTCCTCCAAATTCCACACTTGAAGCTGCGCTTCTCACATTTCCCTCCTTTCACCGGGAATTTCGCTCGGGAGTCGCGACTACCTTTATGTAGACTTCTTGCGCAAGGCTTTTCTTCGACTGATCTTTTGCGCTGCGTCCGCTTTCTTTCAACCTCCGGGTGAGATTGAACGAGCAAGATGCTTTTGAGGATAGCGTTGTTTTTTGTCCTGGCACTGCTGGTGCTGGGCGCAGAGGACTACTATAAGGTGCGTGAAACTTGGACACTCCGCCTCCAAACTCTATACATTGATTCAGTCATTCGCAAAGAAAAAGATCACTGACGTAGTGCCATACAGTTACTGGGACTGAAGAAAGATTCCTCTGAGCGCGAGATCAAGAAGGCATACCGAAATCTCAGCAAAAAATACCACCCAGACAAGAATCCGTATGCTCAAGAACCACTGTTTTCGGTCGCAAACACGGCTAACACAATTCAGTGGAGATGAAACAGCAGGAGAGAAATTCGTCCAGGTAGCAGAGGCCTACGAAGTGCTCAGCGACGAGGCGACACGCAAAATCTACGACCAATACGGTCACGAGGGCATCGAGCAACACAAGCAAGGCAAAGGCCCACGCCAGAACAACGACCCCTTCGACCTCTTCTCGCGCTTCTTTGGCGGCTCAGGACACTTTGGACACCATGGCGGGGAACGAAGGGGGCCAAACATGGAAGTCCGCATTGCGCTTCCTCTTCGCGATTTCTACAACGGGCGGAAGACGGAGTTCTCGATAGAGAAGCAGGCGATTTGTTCTGCTTGCGAGGGCTCAGGTTCGGCAGACGGACATGTAGAGCAATGTAACACCTGCGGCGGGCGCGGAGTACGGATACAGAGGCAACAACTGGCACCAGGACTGTTCCAGCAGGTGCAAGTACACTGCGACAAATGTGGCGGAAAGGGAAAGACGATCAAACACCCATGCAAGGTCTGCAGCGGCAGCAGAGTGGTCCGCGAAGCCGAAACCCACGAACTCGAGATCGAAAAGGGAATGCCCAAGGGCGTGCGCATCACCTACGAGAACGAAGCCGACGAGAGCCCCGACTACGTCGCCGGCGACCTGGTTGTCCACCTCGTCGAAGGCGACGCCGCACTCGGCGCCCAAGACTTCGAACGCACAGACGGCACATTCTTCCGCCGTCGCGGCAGGGACCTCTACTGGCGCGAAGTGCTTTCCCTACGCGAAGCCTGGATGGGCGACTGGACACGCAACATCACCCACCTCGACGGCCACATCGTGCAACTCTCGCGTAAGCGCGGCCAAGTCGTTCAACCCAACACTGTCGAAATCATCAAGGACGAGGGCATGCCCGTGTGGCACCAGGAACTCGAGAATAACGAGGGTCTGCAGTGGGGCAGCCTGCATGTCGAGTACATCGTTGTGCTGCCCGATCAGATGCAGAAGGGCATGGAGAAGGAGTTCTGGGGCGTGTGGGACAAGTACAGGAAGAAGAGTGGGGTTAAACTTGATGACGCTTGGGGGAGACCGACGGAGCCTATCAAGATGCCGAATGCGGAGGAGCATAGCGAGTTGTAGGTTCTGGGGGCGGCTATGTGAAATATGAATCTTGCAGAGTGGTGGTTTGGGAGTATGTTGGGGGTCGTGATACCCGTGGGTAGTTTGGCTGGATGGAGTCGAGGAGTTGGTGTGTATGCATTGGTTGCGTGGTCTGGTCTGATCTGGTCGTTGCGTATAGACGATATTGTATAGAGATATGGCTTTTTCTATCACCTTCTGGTCTTTTCTTGTGTACGTCTTCACTGCCGCTTTGGGTGGGCTCTCGACACTCTTTCTCTACTGGCGTATCTTCACTTTGTCGAGACTTAGGCTTGCTACGGGTGGTGTGTCGTGTTCAATATCTTTCTTCTGTGGACAGTGGCTTGTATTGTTGATCGCACTCCAGAGCGTGGGAGCAGTGCACGAGTTTGGGATTCCAAGCTCTGCGTATACATCACAGGCCTTGTCAAGTAACACCCTCGAGAAGTAGAAGAGAGACACTGAACAAACTAACCCAGTTCATAGGATGGGAGCAAGAGTGTAACGTTCTCCAAAGACGTGCGCGCATGAGCTCTCGACAGTGACATGCACCTCTTCAGAATATTGCAGCAGCATAACAGTGTCCATCTGGGCTGCAGAAGGAGTTCCTTAAAAGACTGCTTATCGACGACGTGAGAGTTCTTATCTTCCATGTCGCGACTGCCAGACCGGAATTTCGACGTCACGGGAGGTAAACAAACAGACAAACACGCCTATCTCACCCCGCGACGCTCTCACGTTCTCTCACCTCAACACCACGCTATAGACTCGACGTCCAGCATGACACCGACTACGAGAGCAGTGAACAGGGAGATGCCTCCCTTGCCTTCGACAACGATGGAAGCAGAGTCTATCAAGTTGCAGTCTACCTCGGGGCCTACGCAACCAGAGCTCTCTGTCCTCGAGCAGGTCGAGGTGAAGGTCCACGTCAAGCACGATTCATCACCTCGGCTCAAGCGGTGTTCTTCGCTACCACCTTTTGTTGATTCTCTTTCTCCCTTCATCGACTCTCCGTCCCCCTTCATCGACTCTCCCCTGCCTCTCACTGAGCACTCCTCGGGTGTCTTGGGAGGAAATAGCAACACTGAGCTCCTAGCTGAAGTCACCTCACTATGCCGTAAACACATCCTCAACCCACCTCTCTATATCCTAGCTGACCTGTGCTCAGACGACCTGCAGTTGTCAACTTACGAGTATGCCACCCTCGAAGACCGCTACGGGAAGCTATGGAGCCGACACCTTGAGCTCCGGAAGACAGCTTCTGCATACGATGATATCATTCGAGGCTTTCCTTCCCATGAAGGACAGACCGTCAGTATCGATCAGTTACAATCTGAAGCTGGCCGTGAGGGTCTGCGAGCGAAAGCTCTCGAGGCAGACATTCTCAGGCCCACCATACGAGAGGCTGGTGGATTGCAGGCTCTAGTGTCGCAGGCGAACCTTGTAAACTCGCTGATTGAACAAGCAGGCGGTTTACAAAAGTTGGTAGAGTCATTATCAGAGACGCACACACTTCGAAAGAAAGTGGAAGACATGGCCGAGACGTCTAGGCACGAGTCCCAACAACACACCTCGTTGATGTGCGAACTGGCGGAGGTCAGAACCAAGGCTCAAAAGTACGAGAAACTTCAGCAAGCATTCGCCACGATCCAGAAGGAGCCTGCCGATTCTCACTCTAAACAACAAGGCCTCGCGTATCCAAGCTTGACCGTCGGCCGGGATATGAACCAGTCTCGGAAAGCTTCCATGCTCGCCAGTTCGCAGTCTACGAGAAGCAACGCATCATCTGTGTCTATAACCATGAACCCCGAACGAGCAAGACTGTTGTCTGGTGCCTCCTTCGATAGCGGTTTCGGGCGCGACTTGCACAATACATCACCTCCTCCTGTATTCCAACCTGAGAGAAAGACAGGCGCAAACAGTGTGCCGCTGAGAGCTCCTCTCGGCCTTCCATGGCGGGCCGATTTGAATTACGGACGCCTGAATGCAAAGCGCAAAGAGCCAGGAGAAGCATCAGGAAACGTAGCAAAGCGGCCACGTCTCAATGTTGAGCGAGCTTCGGCTATGGTTCACGGATCATTGGCAGGACAAGCTCAGCCCAACACCAACAACTTCGACTCTCTTCTGAAGCAGCACAGTCGAATCCCTGGTAACACTCCAGAGACACACGCTCGTGTAGACAAGCTGGCGTTCCAATTGTTACCTATGGCTTGGCCTATTTCAATGTCACTGCCAGTGTTGATGTCCCAAAAGGTTGGTGTTGCATCTGATATCAAACCGGGTGGTTGGATTGTCGAGCATGTACCTCGAGTGCATACAATAACGACCGAGCCTATTCAGACCACTTCGACAGAGGAGACTAACGTCAAGTTGGAGGAGGGCGAGTTAGAGGATGACGATCAGAAGCCACAGATTATGGCGCTCTCAAAGTGCCAGTTGTCCGTCCAGGCTGCTATGGGGCTCAAGCGCTATCCTATTGCGTTCTTTCATGGGGCGCCCGATCCAAAGCAAGGTATCTGTAAAGGGCTAAAAGCTGGCAACATTCCTTCTCACGTAGCAGACTTTCTTGCCAATGAATTGTCAAAATTCATCAGCAACTCGAACGTTCACTTGTGGAACTCGATGCCCCCGAACAAGAACATATGTATCCTCAGTTACCTGATCGACGGTCATAGACCTTCAGATCAACCTCAACCACGTAGGGCCTGTTCGGTATGTTCATCTGAAGACCAACAGCCCAGACCATGCGCCATGCTCCAGGACTTCTTCGGTGCTCGGATAGTTATCTTCCTACCGCTACACGAAAAACAAAGGAACAAGATTGGCTGTAAGGACAGAGGGTTTTGGGTATTGGGTGCTCAGTAGGCCAACGGTTGGACGATATTCTTGACTGTGGGATTATCGATGTTGAGCAATTCTTCAGCAAGGATGGGTTTGCTATATCGGCACCAGCTAGATGTTTTGTTGGTCTGGTGCACGATTGCCAGTGGGCTATAGTTCGACTTGCCGTCTGTACCATAGTCGAGACTGCAGATGTCTGCTTTCTGCTCACTTGCGGCCTTACGCTCTACGTAGAAAATGGATACTCGCTTTACGTGCTCGTCTTCTAGCTGGCTACATTCGAGATCACTGTGTGTATGCTCACGATCTCATAAGGCGAAGTCCAATGCCTAACGGGGCCGCAGGGCTTTATTACCTTATTATTGCCTACAAGCAGTGATGGCGAGGATCCACCATCCAACCACTCATCCCACTCCCACCTCTCAAGCCACAACCCCCTCATGTCCCATGTCCCCACCATACTCAGGCCTCTTCAACGCAGCCCCCTCCTTCAAATACAGAATCAACCTAAACGCCGTATTCCCATTCAAATAATACCGATGCAGCCGCTTACTCCGTATAAACCCCAACCTCTCATACAGCTTCAAACTCGCCGTATTGCTGACCTCAGTCTCCAGCACGATCTCGTCCGCGTCGCGCGCTTTCATCGCGTCGATGGCGAGGCGCACGAGCTGTGTTGCGATGCCTTGCCCGCGGTGCGAGGACTGCACGGCTAGCATGGCGATGTAGCCGCGGTTTGTGCCTGAGCGGTGGGGTTCGAGCTTTGAGACTATTACGCCGAGGAGGGAGGGTGGGGTTGTGGAGGGAGGTGAGAGGGCCTGGATAGCTCAGTAGGTGAGATGGGTAGTGGAGGGATAGACACACCATGTAGCATAAATCACCCCATTGGTAGAGGAAATATCTGTACACGTAGATGCTGTATGGTTCCGAGAGGTCTTTTGAGATTAGTTGGCGGATGGCGGGCAGGTATTGCTCTTCTTGTGAGGCGTCGTATTGGATGTAGTGTGGTTGTTGGGGGTCCGTGACCGTGGTTGTAGGGGGTTGTTGCTCGTCAGACATGGTGGTGAGTGGAGTGCTGAGGTGGGTTGTTGCATGCAGCGTCGCGTTGTTCCGAGCGGTTCGGAAATAAAACGCAGCGTAGCGGGGTGACGTGACGCGTTGCGGCGGATCCTAGTCCGAGATCGTCATCACATGCTGGTTACATGTTTTTGAGGTCGGATGGCTGCGGGCTTTTTTTGCGGCTGTGGTAACTGATCCAGTACACACATCCCCTCATTGACAGATTTCTGAAATGTCCTTCTTGAGACGCCGCTTTGGCGCCGCAGAGGACGACTCGTCGGTCGAAGTGTCGCGCGAATCGTCGCCTGCGCCCACGCCTACGTCAGATGAGCCGGCAGACTTGCGCCTCGTCACGGCGGAGCGGCTACAGGCGCTGAAGAAGAAATCAAAGGACAAGCGCGGGAAGAGGAAGACGGCATGGATCTTTGGGCTGGGCGGGCTGTTCGGGCTGTGCGTTGCCGCCTTCTTCGTGGGCAGCAATGAGATGATCGACTTGAAGGCCCTGCAGGACGTCAATCTGGAGAGCGTGTGGGAGGCGCTTCCTACGGCGTTTATACGGGATGCGCAGAAGCTGCAGGTAGGTATCTCTGTGATATGAGGGCGGTTGCGGAGTGCTGATTTGCACGGCTCAGTAGAAGCAAGAACGTGAGGCAGTTAACTACGACTCCTTCATGGTTGGATTGCATGCTCGTAAACAAGGCATCAAGGCCCATCACCCCGTCATCATGATTCCCGGCGTCATCTCTACGGGTCTCGAGTCCTGGAGCACCGAGGAAGGGTCGAGGCAGTACTTCCGCAAGAGGCTTTGGGGCTCGTGGACCATGATGCGCGCCCTCGTGCTGGACAAGGCCGGCTGGAAGAAGCACATCATGCTGGACAAGGCTACAGGACTGGACCCACCTGGGGTGAAACTCAGAGCAGCCCAGGGCTTCGATGCCGCAGACTTTTTTATCACGGGTTATTGGATATGGAACAAGATCCTCGAGAACCTGGCCACCATTGGATACGATCCGGGGAATTCCTTCACCGCGGCGTACGACTGGCGCATGACATACATGAACTACGAGATCCGCGACCAGTACTTCACCCGCCTCAAGGCACACATCGAAGTCGCAGTCCACGTGTCCAACAAGAAAGTCGTCCTCCTCTCGCACTCCATGGGCTCGCAGGTCCTCTACTACTTCTTCCACTGGGTCGAGGCTAAAGGCTACGGTAACGGCGGCACCGGTTGGGTAGACAAGCACGTCGACTCGTGGATCAACATCAGCGGGTGCATGCTGGGCGCGCTGAAAGACATGCCCGCCGTACTCTCCGGCGAGATGAAAGACACCGCCCAGCTCAACGCCTTCGCAGTCTACGGCCTCGAGCGCTTCCTCTCCCGCTACGAGCGCGCGGAGATCTTCCGCGCCATGCCGGGCCTCTCCTCCATGCTGCCCATCGGCGGCAACGCCGTCTGGGGCGACGCAACATGGGCGCCCGACGACAAACCCAACCAAAACGTCTCCTACGGCAGCTTCATCCGCTTCCGCGACGCAAACTCGTCCCTCACCCAGCGAAACCTCACCGTCGAATCCAGCCTCCCCTTCCTCTTCCAGAACAGCGAGCAATGGTTCAAAGACATGATCACATCCTCGTACTCGTACGGCGTCGCCCACACGGCAAAAGACGTAGAGCGCAACCAGCGAATCCCCGCTACGTGGATGAATCCCCTCGAGTCCCGGCTGCCGCTCGCCCCCAACTTTAAAATCTACTGCTTCTACGGCGTGGGTAAAGATACGGAACGCGCGTATTATTATCGGTCTGATGAGGATCCGCTCAGTGGGCTGAATGTCACGCTCGATACGGCGTATATGGCGAATGGCGTTGATCATGGCGTTGTGATGGGTGAGGGCGATGGGACGGTTAATCTGCTGTCCAGTGGGTATATGTGTAATCGTGGGTGGAAGATTAAGAGGTATAATCCCGCGGGCGTGCAGGTTAAGACTTTTGAAATGCTGCATGAGCCGGATCGGTTTAGTCCTCGTGGGGGGCCGAATACTGGTATGTCGTTCCTTTTCTTTATACCTACTTACTTTTCTGTCTCTCCTTTATTTTTGGCATGGGATGGGATGTGGGCTAATTGTATGCAAGCTGATCATGTGGATATCCTGGGCCGCTCGTCACTTAACGATCTTATTTTGCAGGTTGCTGGCGGGAGGGGCGAGCTTATTGAGGAGACGGTTGTTTCGAATATTAGGGAGTATGCGGATAAGGTTAGGATTTATGAGGAGTGAGTGCGTGGGTGGGTTGGCGAGCTGGCGAGCTGACGAGCGGGGTGTGCGGACATGGGGGAAAGGGGGGATGAGAGGAAGTAGCAGGGAAGTGGGTCTTTTTTGGGTGTATAGATTGACCTAATGTGGTTCTTATAGATCTCTTTATCTCGTTGCTGGAACATAGATGGATGGCGGTATTGGGTGGGATGTGATCTTTATGAATTCCATGTTAACCCATGAGTTACGTGTATTCGAGACTGATACGGGTTCGAGCTACTATCTGTTTTCATCTCTAGTCTATGTTGGGATATACTCACTCCTAGACACTTTCCCTTGCGCTGACTTATTAACAAACTTATTCTGTTATATTAGTCTCGTCGTACCAACACTATATTCCCACCTTACTACACTGTTATGCTAACGGGATGGGTTGATGTGAAGAGTATTCTATATTCCACTTCATGCCTTCCTCACATTGCGTAGTAATTTGATGTCATTTAGTCCAATTTGATTGGTATAAACTACCTTATTGTATCTCCACATTCCTGTATGTGTTGCGTGTATATGTAGATTTACACATCCTGTAGCATACAGGAGAGGATTTATACAGCGAGATGTAGTTATTTTTGTTGCGGATTTAGATGCGAAAGGGGAGGAAAGGAGAGTAGAGGAGAGTAGAGGAGAGTAGAGGAGAGATACTGATTGACAGGACGGACATGAAGTGTTTATGCAGGTTTGGATTCGAATAGAGGGTTCTACGTGGTTTGAACAAGTAGGCATGTTGGTTTCCTGTAGCAGTTTCCATATCTGCGTTTGTCTTGCTTATATGTAGATTTCTAGGTAACTTGCAGATACATCATTTGAGCATTTTATCTTATATGACTAGAGCTTCTGTGTTGCTTTGAGAGTGTGGGAGGGTTTTATCAAGTTTTGTTTTGTTGTAGTTTGACGGGGGATGATGGAGGCGAAAAGATGGAAAGATATATAGGATATACAAGTCACGATACTACCGCGTACTCTTACCGATGATTACTGTGTACAAGGCGGTTTGTGTTTTATGTCTCTTATATTACGTTAGAGTATTGGACTTTCTACTGTGTTGTGTCTATTTCCTTCTATGACCTAGAGGAATACGCTGAGGATGAATTAAACCCATAACAAGCAACAACACAAGGCTTGCCTGTACATATTCATACTCGGATCACTCTTCCGTCCAGACATGCACACACACCCCGTGCAACCCCTCCGCATTCACCCAAGAACCCAGAACCCAGCACAACACCACCTTATCAATCACAGCAATGATTTGGAATGCCCCTTCAGCCCATCTTACTAAGACCCATATCTCCCTCTCTCGCCCAACACCCTCGCCGCCGCGCATTTCACATAAAGCCCCACCCCCGACTCGTCGCCCAGGACATGACTTGCCATACCGCCGAGAACAAGCGCCGCCCGACACCACTTATCCATTCGTCCGTTCATCCCTCCACCCATCTATTCACAGCGCCAGGCAATGCCATGCCGAGCCTGTCATGTACTGGTATGTACGTTATTCGGAGGATTCAACGGTCGTACATGCTTGCTTGCTTGCTTGCTTGCATGTACGTCGATCTGTGGCGCTGGTCCACGTAGACCAAGTTCTTACCCACCCAAGACCAAGACTGGGAATAGCTATCGTGTCGTTATCGCATCGTATTGCATCGCGTGAGCATGCAGACAGGCATGTATGTCTTCGTGTGAGAGATTCATGGAGGAATGGGGGTATTGTGGTACCGAGGAGATTTTGTCACGCGGCGAATCCTGCAAAGGTAAGGGTTTGACTTTTTTCTGGTCGTATGATCGCTTGGTTGGGTTGGTGATTTGAGGCGAGTGGTCTGGAAGGAACAATACGAATGTTGCGTGATTGAAGGAGAGGATTAGACGCGACGCACATCGCAGCGCATCGAATCGCATCGCATCCTTCACAGCAACGTGTACGGTAGCTCTGCATGGCGATATCAATATATCTCGGCTGTTAACCGACGACCAAACACAAACCAACGTCTTTCTCTCCACAAGCGACGCGACACGACACGACACAACCTCCACCCATCCCATCCCACCGGTCCACGCCTCACAGTTTCTCCTCGCCCTTGATAACATCGCGCACCAACCGCAGCCCCTCAACAGCAAACCGCACCATATTGGCCTCGCGATCCACACTCCCCGTCTCCACCTCCCTTGTGGCAACCCCCTTGTCACTCGCAACCGCCAGCGCCACATACCCAGGCGTGCGGTTCCTCGTCTGCCCACCGGTCGGCCCAGCAGTGCCACTCTCGCTGACGGTGTACGTGCTGCCGAGCGTCTGGCGAGTGTGCGCCGCCAGCCCGGACACAATGTCCGGCGTCGGGCCTTTGTAGTCCTTGATGGCGTCTTCGGTCCAGCCGGCATACGCAATGCGTGATTGTAGCGTGTAGAGTGTTAGCCCGCCGGAGTAGAAGCCCGATGCGCCTGGGAACGAGAGGAGCGACGCCGAGATGAGTCCGCCTGCTGCCTGGGGGGTGTGAGTGTGGGTCTGGGGTCGGTAGGTTTGGGGGGGTGGGACTTGCTGTTTCTGCGACTGAGATTGTTTCTGAGCGTTCTTTTAGAAGGGTGGCTACTTCTTTTACTATTTCACGGAGCTCTGCGGGGGGGAATGTGGAGGATGACATGTTTGGGGGTTTTGTGGGGGTTGTTGGAATCACAGTGTTAGATGGGACGAAAGTGCTGCTGGTTGGTGAATGGAGCAATATGTTGTCAAGGCCGAAGGAGCTATGCAAAAGGAGCTGTCGTCGCGGGGTAGCTTCTTGACGTGACGTAATGCAGGGATGTGGAAGTGTAATAAAGCATGTACTAAATACAGCATTAACATTATCAAGAACTCTCCAACAATCTATGCTCGCACACCTAACACGAACCAACGATTCTATTCAAAGGTGAACCGTTCTTCACCTCGCCTCACTAGTCGAATTGGGATCGACGTGCCTCTCAACTGCAGCGTGATGATACTCGCCATCTTAGTGTTGATCGCCTCATCTGCCTTGTTCACAGCCTTCATGTACAACTCTTTCCTTTCCGCACCGCCCTTGGGCATCTTCTCCACCACGTCGTCGCTCGCGTAGTCATCAACAGCAAGCTCGACGCTATACTGTGAGAAGATAGCGGCCAGAACGGCAAGGATCTCAACCTGGGCGAAGCGTCGGCCGATGCAAGACCGAGCCCCGTCGCTGAATGGGATGTATGAGCCTTTGACAGGTCGGAAGAGTTTCGCCGACGTGTCCTCGCCCGACGGCCCTCGTAGCTCCTCGTCGTCGTATTTGATGTCCTCGAATGTATCCGCAGTCTTGGTCTGCGCGAGCCAGCGCTCGGGGCGGAATCGACTGACATCCTGGGCTGCTTCGGCCTCTGATACGTTAGCCGGCGCAGGCCAGTACCGGGGGTTTCGGTGGATGGCTGCATTGAGGAATATGTGCGTGCTTCCGGGCATCGTGTACTGTTGCCCGTCCATGGTGAACTGCTGAGATCGACCTGGGGCGGTTGACTTGGGTATGTTGAGGATAGGCTGTAGGAGACGGAGAGTCTCGTTCATGACTGCTGCTGCCATTCCACTGAACAGCTTTGGGAAATCTTCTTCGTAGTCTAATTGTGCGATTGGTCTGCCCTGTACTACCTCATCGATGTCGTCCTGCAATCGCTTTTGTGAGGCCCAGTTCATGGCGAGATAGATTAAAGAGTAGTGAAGCGTATTGGCAGTTGTTTCATGTCCTGCCAGCATGATAACAAAGGCGTTTCCCAGCAAATCACTCTTTTGCAGGCTGCTGTTCTTCTCGTCCAGAACACCGCTGGCGCGAATCATGGCGTTAAAGAGGTCCATGCCTGTTTTGTTCTCTCCGGACATGACTTGAGCCTTTTTGGCCTCATACATCTGATCCATATACTTGCCCCATTCCTTGACTGCTACACCGACAGTGCGATGTACTTTGACTGGAGACCATGCTGGTTGAACAAGTTAGTATCAAGCTGGAAATTAGTGAGATAGTAGACTTACGCAGATACTTTGGTGGTATGACCTGAGTCCACATGATGTTATGGAGCAACTCGCCCAAAGCTTCACGGTAGTTCATCGTATGGCCTGGCGGTACGCTTGAGCCCCCTAGTACTTTCGCTTGACTTTTGCCCTCCAGAATACGTTTTTCCTCCTCATGGGGCCACACAACGCGTACATCAAAGCCAGCACTGCTAATAACGTATAGTGCAAAGTTCATCGCGCCTGCAGCGGGATCAACCACTGTCAGGTTACCATGTCCATCAGGTCCAGCCCACAGCCCGAGCAGAGATTGTGCGTGATGCAGTGTTTCGGTGAAAACCAACTCATTGTTCTTTTCGCCGAAGCTTGGTGCAGCGAGTTTTCGATGCACCCGCCAATCTGCACCTTCAGTCGACACAAGATTCTTTCCGTAGATATCAAGCGCTCCATACATCTCGAGCGGCTTGGGAAAATCATTACGGCGCTGGGTCATCTGGGTCACTGCTTCGGCATTGGCAACAAACGCAATGAGCCCAGATGGGGAAGCAACGATAAAGACATCTGAGCCAAGTTTTGCATATGGCGAATGTCCAATTCTATATGGCCACTCCGGATCTAAAAGACTAAGATCACAGGCGGTCAGCACTGATATGCTGGAAACATCGCGTGAACATACTCTAACCAAACACCTCGAAGAAAGGATGGCAAACACAGGTTCAGCACCGGCGTGAATATGTAATGCGTTGACAACCAGAGCACACTGAAAATATGGACTGGCGTTATTACAACGGGTAGACCCGAGCTCTTCGCCAATGCGATATTGCGTGAGAGGCCACGATATGTGGTAAGGGCAAAATACAGGACAATGGCTGCAACCGCGCTTAGAACGAGTGACGGCATGATGCCTAGCAGGTATGAATGACTCTGTAGCCAAGAGAAACAATAATAGACAACAGGGCGCTGGGATGAAGTTTGTTGTGAATTGGAGAATGTTACGCGTGGGCAATAACGCCACATGAGGCGATGTTGTGACGTCTACATAGCGCGCATCACCGTCCGCGATCGAAGCGGCTCATCGCACATCTTGATCAACTCGCAGATCTGAAAATCCTACCCGAGACATATGAAGTACATCAGGACTATTGCAATGATAGGTTGCGACAGTCTGGAGAAGCCGAAGATCCTAATAGCAAATACTGCAAGTAAGACCGATATATATAGCTTAGTCAGCTACTGCAAGTCATCGATGGACCTCACCCAATGCGGTTGAGTGCACTCAAGGTCGTCTTGCCTGCAACGACCCTCCCAGATGAATGAATTTAACTGCTCACCGCAACAACGGTCAACGCCGAAATCTACAAAACTTACCTACTGCACGCAATCGTCATTATACGCCATCTTTGCACGCGAAGAGAGGGTATCCCTAACACAAGAAAAGGATAGAAGAGATCCCTGCCTCCAATGTCAAAACCAGACAAGCTTCCAAGTTTGTCGTTTCGAGCGCCGCCAGCCAGGACGAAAATCACTCGCGATGGAGAAAATGCTCACCGTCTCCCGCAACTTTACCGCACTCCAGGACATGTGTCAGGTCGCCGCGGAGACGAACTCGGCGAATCATGCAGACAGTACCACTTTCAATCTGACGCGCATTCAGGTGTTCTGACAGAAAGGTCGACCTAATGAATCAATCTCGCGTTGCCCTGTCGCAAGGCGATGCTTCCATGACACTTCCACCCCGTTCGATGGCAATTCAACAATCTAATCGTGAGTCGGCGCAGTATCGACGCTTGGACGTCCAAACCGAGGCGCACTACTTTGGGCGAGTGTTGGCCATTTTATTGGACGCTTCGGAGCCTCGTGGCCGATGATCCACGTGCGAGCCACCGTTTCCTTGAGCACCGCATGTCAGGGGTGTCCGCGGACATCAGGTTTACCAGCAGTGCCAGGAAAGAGTCCTCGCCTTTTAGAGAACCGCCAAGAGGCGTTGCACGACAATGATGAAATTTTCAAGACACACCGCACCCTGGCATGTTTCCAGTAAAAGTGAAGCCGGCAGAGATCGGCTCGTTGTTTGACATTCGACCCGGGACATTAAACTCTTCCAAGGTAGTTGTTATACTTTCCGTGACCGGTTCCGAGGTTAGCATCAACAGATCGCCTGCCTCTTTGGCGAAGGCGAAAGAGAAGCTGACCGCTCCGACACGGCATATGCGTTATCCGTGTTCGGCTGTCTTGCATGTCCTAAGACGCGCAGGAAGGTTCAGCATGGCAGCCAACGACTTGCGTTTGACGTTGACGCCATTCTGGCGGTCTCGAGATGGGGCACGCTAGGTGGATGTCTGAGTTCGGCATTTGTTCGGAGTCACATACCTGGGTGTTCATAATAGTCAGACTCATGGGTGCCACAAGCATTTACACAGGGCGGACAGGGTGCATATAATCTGCTTGCCGCAGCGATACGAATGCGACTCGAGGGTGCAGATCTTGGGCGACAGCCGTTGGCTGCGAAGGGCTGATGCTCTTACAGAGCCGCAGGACCTACATGGCGACATGTGGCAGGGTGGCGGGTGTGAAGAGCGGTGTCGTACTGAATCGTGACAAACGATTCGTAACGAGGAAATGATGGCGAAAGGTTCATGACAAAGAACGTTAACGCTCGGCCACGGTAGCCACCAGAAGCACATCAGTTCCACGGGAGCTTCTCGAAGACGGCGATGCCTCAATGCAGGGGTCGGCCCATCAATCATGTCCAGCGACTGGCCGTGCACCGGTGTCGAGCTAATTGTCCGACACCACCGCCCAAATAGATTGGCGAGACAGTGATGGCCTGTTCCTGCTCATGAACGGAGGTGGCGGAGAAGCGCGCATAGCGACCGAAACAGCAGCGCAGCGCGGGGCTCGCATTCGTGTTCAGTCGTTACGTTACCTCAGCCAGGGCTCTAGTATTCACCAGGCACGCAGCGATAACGCGTGACGGCGGCCTGGGGGGGGTGCAGCTTTACGCGATCGCGTCAGCAGCGGGAACGACGTTTGCTACGCTCGACGGGGCCTTTATACGCGTCCCAGCAGATGGGAGGAGGCATCGAGGTGTTTGATCAGAGGCTGCTCGTCGTCGATGAGATGGCATCTTGCACGGCGCGCCGACCGGCCCTAGTCCAGCCTCTCGGGTTGATGGCTTGCGACTTGCGACCACTGTGCACAAGCGAGCTGCAGAGGCAGCTGGGCAGCCCTGAATCGTGTTCGGCACTTACTTACTCGTCCTTACGTCGTTGAATCACACTGTCCTGCTCCACCAGCGTCCGCTGCACCGCCTAGCCCCCTCTGCTGTCTATCAAACTTTGTGTCGGCGCGTTTTAGCCCTCGAAGGTGCGCCCCGTCCCCAACCTCGACCCTCGTGTCTAGGCAGAGTGCCCACCAGCCAGTGCCGGACCTGCGCCCTCGTTTTTCGCGTGACCTGCGATCTGCTAGCGCTCAGCACGTTCCCAGTCCTTCCTGCCCAGCTACGCCGTTCAAGGAGTGTTGATTGCTTTCGTTCGCACGGCCCGTCTCAACGCCACTTTTTGCCGACGAGCACCAAACGTCAACGCATAGACTGTCCGCGATTCACCCTGACTGGGCCTTGCCTGCTTCGGATAGTTCTCTCCAATCCTACCATAGGGACTTCGTGCTCCAGGCTAGGTTTTCCTCGCGCGGCTTGAGCAAAGCTCCCGTCCTGCATCCCACTCTGGCCTCCGAGCTCTGCCCTGCGACGCTCCCAAACGCTGCTCTCACCTCCCAGGCGATGACGCGGATTGGGCTGTCTTCCGCAAATCCCTCCCAGCCAACCACCTGCTAACGCACTGGTGAATTGGACCCCTTCTGTCCTTGCGACTGCCGAGGCCGCCCTCTGCACCAGCTGCCCCCCGCGACCTGGCTATCGCCGTTTGACGGCGACCCTCGTACGTAGTAGCTCCAGTGCTCTTGTCATACCTAGTAGCCGCATGGTCTGAGCAAATCCTGTCTACCACATGTGAGCATGGCCGATCCGGACGCGCCTGCCCAGAAAAGGCCTCGTTTGGACTCGGGCAACCCAGTGTATAACGGCCACGGCCGACCACCCCCTCCGCCGCCTCACACCCAACAACCTTCTCGTCATCCGTCACACCCCATCCCGGTCCAGGCCTCTTCTCCCCCTCCATCCCGTTACTACCCACCACACAGCCTGCCGCCTCCATCTCAGCCATACGCTCCTCAGCCCCAACCATATCCAGGACCACTACCTTCACCGTCGCTGCCGCCCACTGACATCCGTCTCTTCTCCGACCCAAGGAACATTCCCTCGCCTGGCCATCGCCCTCATGGCGTCGCCGGCCAGCTTCCGGTAACAGTTTCACAAGACAGCATCTCCACCTACCGTGCGCCACCGACTCCACAGTCTACCGCACCACCGGAACCCCAGAGCTCCAGGTCTACCAGTATCAGCGTCGACGTCAGGTCCCAGCTTCCACCTCACGGTATGGAGAATGGCGGGCATCAAAGCCCTTGGCAGATGACCCCAGATCATCGACCCAACGGCATGTCCAATGGCTACGGCCATACCATCAGTCCGCCAAATTCTAACGAGTCTGCCTTTCACCCACCACCTGGCCCGCCGTACAGTCAGCCTGTTGGCGCTTACACGCCTGGTTCTTACATGAGCCAGTACTCAAGCGCAGCACAACAAGTGAGGCGCAAACAGGTTCGCGCCACACAGGCATGTAATCATTGCCGTGCACGCAAACAAAAATGCGACGAAGCCAGGCCTTGCCAGTTCTGCAGAGAGAACAACTTCGACTGTCAATACAAAGATGTCCCGCCACCAAAGTGCGTAACGCCCTTGTTAGAAACGATCTGATACTAACAATTCACAGACAAGATAGAAGCATGATGCAGCTCCAGGATAGCGTCAACTCTATCACTGACGTTCTGAAAGATTTTGTGGGTGAATTTAGCACGTGGAGACAAAGTGTCGAGAGTAGACTCCCGCCAGCGCGAGGTCTCGAACTGACATCAAATCATGCCTCGCCGGAAGCAACTTTCTCTGCTCCTTTGAAAGATCACAGCGCATCGACTTGGCCCACACCGATCCAAGGACGAGGCCAGAATCTTCGAGTTAGCAGCATGAAAATGGAATCTCCTGTTGTCCCGTACTCAACTATGTCGCCTGGTGCCGGCCAAGTTTCGACCCCAGGTAGGCATGAAACTATGCTCGCTCCCCCACAACAGCCAGCAACTCCGGCCGATAGCGTAAGGAGCGATCGTAGTCGCGTCGCAGAAGGAGTTTCGAAAGAGAAAAGTGGTCTACAAAGTGATCACACAACGCCTGCACATAAGCTACTCGAGGAATGGCCATCTATGAACGCCTTCTACAGAAATGTGGACTATCTCAATCGCCTGGTCGAAAATGGCCATGAGGTATCGGATTATCCTATGCAACTCGAACAGAATCGTGGTCTCATCCGTGTCTGGGGTGTTGGGGAGGGTCAAGACTTGAACGATGGTGCGCAAGGCCCCGGTAGCCCAGAAAGCAACGAGTCCGATGCGCCTTCGCCAGCACCTGGTAGAGAAGGCTTATGGGGCCACCCGCCTATCGACCACTCTAGCCCAGCTACCGCTAATGGCGATACACCTCGCGATCATCCAGGATACGATGGTGGGCTCGGACCAGATGGAAGACCCAATTTCCACTCACGCACACTGTGGGAATTGCATGACTCATATATCACGAACATGCATAACTTGCATCCATTTCTGAATCCTAGCAAACTACGAAGGATGATCCGAGAATTCAGCGAGCAGTACAGTCCTGATGTAAAAGCGGCGAACACCTCTTCACCTGCTACTCATCAACTGAATCCAGGCATCAAGAGGAAGCGGTCGGTTAGTGCGTTCAATGAGCCTTATCTGGCTAAAGGCGCAATCGAGCGCTCCCTTCGCAACGCCATCGTTTTGTTAGTTCTTGCGCTTGGAAAGGTTTGCGCGTACAATGAGAAGCTACCTGCACCTCAAAGCGACAAGACACCTTCTGCCAATGGTTCGTGGGGATACACCCGGGATCCCCAGTATTCCAATGCCAGTTTCACAAGTGACATTTCCGATGATAGCCGGCCACGCAACATCGACACCTTGCCTGGTATGGCGTACTTTGCTTACGCCACTGACATTCTCGGCAACCAACAAGGAGGCAACACGGTAGCGCATGCGCAAGCCATGATTCTTGCCGCTCTGTATTTGAGCCAGTATGCTAGGGTTTTGGAGAGTTGGAGCTGGATCAACAATGCCTGTCGCATCACTCTGGTTCTCATCAAAGCGTAAGCTTGTGTTTTCCAACTTCTACTTAGAGCGTACTGACATTTTTCGAACAGCGACTATCACAAGCTTCACCGCGATTTCCATTTTGGCCCAGACAGTGACCAAAACAAACGGTCGTTGTCTCCCAAAGAGCGGTATAGACTGAACTTGGTCATGTGTGTTTACTGGACCTGCCTGCAACTAGAATCGTCAGTTCCCCTCCTTTCAGGTGGTGTTACCTACTGACTGTTCGCGATAGGGATATCCTGGCTGAGATGAGTACTCTTCCAACTAGTGGCATCTCTAGACATCAGAGTGATATCATGTATCCGGAAGGCGTTTACGAGAATGTCCCTGTTGAGAATGGTGACTCTAGGGATGGCAGACAAGAGGAGGACCGTCGGGAAAGCGGGCGCACTGACGATCCAATGCTCATGTACTCAAGTCAGATCTGGCTTCGTGTTATCCTGAACGAGGCCCATAACGCTTTGTACGGGGCTGGTGAGTGCATAGAAGTATTTCCAAGACTTCCCAGCTGACTTGAATCCAGGCGGCCGCAAGGGCTTCGACACCACCAACATCAATGAGGTCACCGAACACGCAAAGAGCCATGTTAACGTTCTGGAGAGTTGGCGACGAGTGCTACCACCTACTTTGGCCTGGTCAGACGACGATCCTCCGGCCACAGATCTCAACATCGCGCGTCTTCGAGCCAAGTACTATGGAGGACTCTACATGATTCTGCGACCCTACCTACGAATTGCAAACCACACTATCGAACTTCCTCCTGCCAGCATGTCCTGGTCTTCTCAGCAAAACTCGCCGGCACCAGATTCCGTTGCTACCCCTACCAGCAGGGGCATGCATTTGGTGGAGTTAACAGAGAGTCAACGAAAAATCATAGCAGTCGCCGCTCAGTGTATCGACTGTGCTTTCCGGAGTACTATCGCCTTCGACCGCATCGGCGCCGCCCCCGAAAGCCCGTACCATGGCTTCAAGAGTACGCGCCAACGCAGACTTGTGGTGACAAATATTTTCGGCACTCTTCACGCGTAAGTCTTGGAACTGATGTGGTAACCATGCAGTCATTGACAAATTCTAGACAATTCGGAAATATGCTTGTTCTCGCTGCCGTCTACAAGTCAAATCTTCACAAGTACCTGCCGAACCAAGCACAGCTCACAAAGGCCAACCTCACCGCCCTCCTCGCACGGACGATCGATATCCTCTCCGAAGTTGAGCCGAACTCACCGATCCTAAAGATGGACTTGGAGATTCTATCCAACGTCCGACGTCAACACAACCTCTACTAAGAGGTTGGTTTAGCTTGGAAGTCTCACCGCATCCTCTGATCTTTGCATCGCCCATCCGTCACGGCTATTCGCGCATCGCAACCTGTTTTTCATATATCCTTCCTGTGCAATCCGGAGCGGTTAGCATCCGAGTGTCACATCCGCACGTAGTGTACTTCCATGTATATCTTTTTCATCCTCGCATCTCTTGGCGTACATTATCCGTTGTTGGCGGTTTTTCCTTGGTATAAGTACATTCGCATAGGGCGGCTAGCACTGGAACTTTTTTCCGCATTTGTCGCCAGCAAGGCTTGACTTTTCCTTTTTCCGCCATTGAATCTATACCCTAGATAGTTGCAAAGCGGGTGCGGCTGATTGAGATCAACCGTTAACACTGTCTGCACAACGCCATGTTTCGGGGCTCGAGCTCCACTTTGGTCGCGTTCGCATTCCCATTTGGTTATGGCTAGCTCTTCCGATTTTTCTGCTAACGGCCGTTTCTCGGTGTATATGCTAAACTTATGCCTTGGACGAGGTAGATGGTTGGCTGTGGATGTCTCAGCTATTATGAGTATCTCACATGTTTCCCGCATATATGTAACTTAATGGAATATGAAAACAGAGCTATCAAACTTGATGACGACGCCTACGAAGGTAGATAACAAACTCAATGTGTTGCTATCAGATCAACAGTACGCGTCCGACTGGCTTAGCAACTGCCGCGCACATGCACCCCAGGTTGTGTTGAGATTGCATTTCACTGTAACGTTCCGGTACATCTGATTTGGCAGTCATACACCTTGTACCAACAACTTCTATTCGTGCGCGTACAACAGCCACGTGCCTGAGCGCGAAGGTTTGAACGAAAACGCTATCACAGCCTGTGGCATTTGCGTAACTTTTCACCGCACATAACCGCGGCACAGTCCGCAGCTAGGTGAAGGAACCTAAATATCCGACACCACCTCAACTAGCCCACACCGTCTTTATCCCGACACGGTATCTTTTGTTCCAAGAAAATGTCATCCTGCTATTATCTTCGTATCGCGGCCCAACCCAAGATAGAGCTCATGGTGCCCTCACCCCTCACACTAGATCGACAACTACGGCGGGGTCTCGAAGGCTGTCAGTTCCTGGATTGTAAGCCACTGCGTGCCCAGCCGCAGCTAGAACTGGGCTCACCCCAGCCCCTGCTCGTACTACCTAATGCATGCCCAGTTGACGTCGTTGATACATGCAAAATGGTTCGACATTGAAGCTGAAGACAGCCCTGCATCGTACGATTGCGGGGGCCCTAATTGTAATTTCTAGCAAGCTGAGACGGAGGCGTAATGACTGGGGTCGGAATAAATTGAGGTCGCAGCTCCGTGATACAGAGTTTACTGCGTGCTGAAGTCTTCTGAGCGTTAGGCACAAGTGCCGTCGATCAGCTGGGGCAGATCGGACTACAACTGGCCCTTGTTGATGATCTTCAATGCATCACGAGGAGACACGCTGCGTAACCGCGTAAAATCGCGTCAGCTCCGGTACAACTCCGGCCCCATCAGATCAACTCTTTATCTGTGCTTGACCACCCTGGGTGCACCTCGGGTTCTAGATCTTGCACACCGTGCACCTGAAACATAGATCGGCCTATTACAGAAATACAGCTCCACAAAAGCAGATTTGATGATTGGCGAGACAGCCGATCGAGAATACACGATTGGCTGGATAACTTAAAACCATATTGGTATAAACCAGCCTCGCAATTGGACGGACGGCACAACGTTTGGCACGTGGGAAACGATGTACATGCACAAAGCTTGATATTCCAGCGCCTAATCGAGTAATACTCTGCAGAGTTTTCGTAATCCCTGCCAGGAAGAATTGGAAGGCGTTGGCAGTGCTCGCTGTTGCTACAACTACAATCAACCTCTTTGAACTTCAAGTTGTGTGAAGCTTGACCAAAGATAGAGCAGTTTTAGTGTTCTGCTAATGTCCGCCGGTTTAAGTCCTAATCCTAGCCCTCAATGATCCACGTGGTTGGGCACCAGCCGACCCAAATTGTTGGGATGAGCGAAGATGGACTAGCGAATGATGTATAACGGCTTTTCCTCCGCCTCATAATAAGCACTAGGACAAGCTGGGACAGTAAGCGAAAAAGTAATATCAAGGACCCGTTCGTGGTTGGCGTGTATCGTATTGTGATCCTTTAATACAATACACCGTGTATTGATCCTTTGGGTTCGAAGCTCTGCGCGCCTTAAACGCTGAATAAATATCATCCCCTACACAGTGGTGATCTCTTTTTATGCGTAGCATTACAATGCTGAGCTGTGGCCTTCTTCAAAGACCATGTTCGATGCTTGGACGTGATTGTTCGGCTCATGATCCGTTATCTTGAGGCATGTACTGCCACACATACCCCAGGCCGTGGGGAGCCCGTTGTCGATGATCCCCCAGGCGCGCGCAATGGCCTGATTTATACATCTTTCAGGATGTCATGAGCGCACCACAGCCAACAACCGCTAAATTTAAAAACTATACACAGTAAAAAATCACGAAAATCACCTGCAGTACGCCTCACTCGGACCTCGCGCGCCTCCTACAATTTATCGCCTCCCCGAGGATCTCTTGCAGATCATGCACCCGGCACCCCAGTCTCAGACGGAATTCCAGAACGACAGGTCAAATCCTGCATCGTACGCGTCCACTGTCGATCATACCACGGCCCCGCGAAACAAGCAAAGTCTATGCAAGATCTAGCCACTCTGTACATCTCCCTCGACCTCTCACCGATGAGATCCTCTGCCGCAACAGTCGGCGTGCAGCCAGCGATCCTGGCGCCTGCAGGCGGTTTGAGGCGACAATCCCTCGGCTCGCTGCAGCATATCCATTACAGACGTCCAGGACCACGTCTACAGGACAGTGAATTGTGCAGATTCAAGGGCAGTGCCGGGGTGCCTGTATCGCGAGGTAAGTTAAAGTGTGACCTGACGCTTTGCTTTTTGTTGGTGGCGCTCCATGTCGACTTTCAAAATTGGAGGAATACGAAAACGACGACGTCACGACTCGCACAAAGTACCGTCAGTACTGTCTCATGATTCTCAAACAAGAACTTGTACGACAAGCGTCGAATACCAGGGTAAAGAGCTGTTTGCGAGGCGAAGAGTCGCTGCCTACGTGAGCTAATATGCGGGAAGCAGAAGACAGTAGGTAGTAGGTACCCGATACGAGCCATTCAGGACGCATTGCATGTTTCAAATGGTAGCAGACATATGAAAACCTTTCACAAGGTACCACAGTGTAACGCAACATGCCGTCTTTTTCTCATTTCCTCCTCTGATCTCTCTCCGCGACGACAGTTCGCTGGCAACTTCCCCATGATGTAAGTTTCCGGTCACACCAACCGTTATTGCGCCATTCCACCACATTTTTTCCCAACACCGTTGAAAATTCTGAACCTTCCAAGCGCATTCGCAAGCCCGTTCACGTTCGGCGCTCAGGACTAATGCAAGAAGGCGTCAGCCTCAATCTGTCAAACTATGTCGTTGGGCTCGTTGGGCTTCGACGACGAACACATAGCCGCGGGGGTTCGCGTGGGCGTTGGACGTTGTGCATAAGTAACATACAACAGCCGTTTGTGACACGTCTGACATGTTTGACACGTCTGACTCGGTGGGAGGCTGAGATTGGGTTCCTAGTGCGAAAGGATACTCTCACGATGATTGAAGTCGTTCATGATGCATAGTCACTTTTTCTTGCGAAGTGCGGTCATTTACTATCTGTTTTTGTCATATTCACGCTACTCTCTCATACAATTGACAGTGAGGCTGTATGTTGGTAACACGCCAAATTCCCAAGAAGACAAGTAACGACTCGATGGTCGAAGAATGGAGAGTATTCTTAAGATCATCAAATAGGAGTCTAGATATAGTATCAGGACAACTTCGACATCGTTGAGTTATTCGAAGGGTACTAGCATGGAATGGAGGTTTGTATAATTGAACACTGTTCATATCAAGACCCAGTCGTACTTCTGTCCCTTCCTCGTTCGAAGGTTTTCACCTCAGCAACTGACCTCATCCTTCCGTACTTCCCTCTCAATTGCAACCGCCTTCCAAACACATGTTGCTCTTTCTCCAGTCTCCTAAGATCGCACGTACGACCCATCAATATGACATGGTTCAGCATTCGCATCCACGCAAAGCGAAGCGCACTGCCGTACAATCGTTCCACGAGCCATGCCTGCCTATGGGCGCCATGTGCTACGATTGAATCTATGGTCGAAGCGCTTCTTATCACTTCTTCAGCAAACACAACTCTCAACCCTATTCCTAGGCCCTAGTTCCCCCTCTGAGCGTCCTTTTCGAGACTTCACGATCCTCTTGATTCAAGCCGAACTCTAACCCTACCTCTGATACGATTCCACTTGTGCCTCTGTCTGCGATACTAAGCACCAATATCCTGCGAAACGATCCCTCGAATTCTGCACAGCGCTCTGGGGTCCTGAGTGAGCGAGCGAGCAAGTGAACATATTGTCTTTGTCGAAACAGCGTCACAAAGGCTCAATGTCCTGTCGTCCGGTCCATGCGGGTTGGAGGCCCTCCGGACACGCGCGTCCAGTTTTACAGCAACCGCATAGCGAATCCACGTACATATCACTTCCTCCTCGCTCGTATCCCACGCACCATCAATCCGATTTCCAAGTTCTACATCCAGCACCCAGTGTTTGGCCACTCACCTCGCTCACAAGAACGCCAACGCGACAGCAGGGCAGCCGTGAGATGGACTCCCGACATGTGCATTTCGACCTCATCCCCCGAGGGAGGACACAATACACCAGACACGACGAAGAGTACACATACCAAAGCAGTCGAGAGGGTGTCTGCGAGGACACCCCCTCCCACCTCCTAACACGGCACTCACATTCACGCGTATCTCCACTTCTCCTCCCCGTGTCCGACTCGCACTCCTCCCAGCCAACAATCTACATAGTAACCTTCAGCAACGTGCAGACACCCACACTCCAGGCGCTAAACCACCTCCTCACAGACCATCTGCCTCACCGCGATCCTCCCATTCCTCACCTATATACCATCGACGCATCGAACATGACGCCTCCGCCGTCCCAGATATGCGCAGCATACTCGGGCTTATCACCCGTTGTGCAAGAATACGTCATGCAGGATGCTCGCGCACGAGAAGCGGTGCGGCGCGCGGTTAAGGAATTGCTTGCGTTTGGAGAGCGGAAGAGAGGGGGAAGGGGAAGAAACGAGGTGGCACTCAGTGTATGCTGTGTTGCAGGGACACATCGCAGTGTGTCTATTGCGGAGCGGATTGCAAGGGAGGTCAATACCGAAGTGCGGAGACTAGGGGGCGGGGATGGAGTGAGGGTTGTGGCAAGACATGTGCATCGTGTCAGGGGGAAGAGGGATCCATTTTAAGGCGTTGAAATGGTTGAGACGAGTCTTCGTTTGAAGAAAAGTAAACTGGAGGACGGAAGTATTTGAATTGACAAGATGGCTAATAGCAACTCCTAACCCATATGATACGCCGTTTGAAGAATCTCAAAAATGCAGAGAGTATCTACCATTTAAACACACACAAACAGTTTTCAAACCCCTCACTCACTCTGCGTCAACTCTTTACACGCAGTTGCTCTGTCCAGCGTGGAACACACCATCCGAGCTCTCGCATCCACACTTGCCGTCATCAGGGCTCTTGATGCACCCCGCTCCCTCGCCGGACGACGCTCCCTGGGAACTCCAGAAGAACGTCCACTTGTCCGTGCTGGCGGTCATCGCCGTTCCAGGAGCACATGAGTACGCCTGGCAGGTTCCGTAGGGCGCACCGTAGACCTTGTCGTACTGGTGGTCTGTCGTGAAGACGGCGAAAGTCTGGCTCGTAACGCGGGTGTTGTGGCTGCACTCGGCGGCTTGGATGGCCTTGGAGGTTTTGCCGGCTGGGTGGATGTTAGTTTGGTGGTTGATGATGGTGAGGGGATGGGATGGGGAGCATACGGGAGCAGGCGAGGGTCGATGGGGCCTTGCCCTTGGTGTTTGAGAGGGCTGGGCTGAGAGTTGCGGAGACGGCTGTCGCGAGGACGAAGACGCTGAGGATGGAGGAGTGGATGTACATGTTGGGCTGTTGGATTTTGATGTTCTTGGTGGTGAATTGGTGTATTGTTTGAAGTAGTGAATCAATGGTAGTGGGCAACGAAGTCTTTTATAGGGAACGTCCTGCACGGTCTCGGCCATTCTTTTCATCTCGCGGAATATGGAGTAGGGCCTGATCTTCACCGCTTGAACCCGCGAAGCCGCGAAGCCGCGTTGCTTGTCAGGCTTGTTTTAGTGCACGGAGATTATTTCGTTTCAGCTTGCGATGTTTCAGAACATGTTGAGCATGGGAATAATGGTATGACGTGAAGCTTGGATCATCCATAGGTACACCTGTCAGTACTTCCATTTCAAGAAGCTCAAGCGACCACAGCGTACTGTGGTGGTACATGTGAGTAGTCGATGTACTTATCCCAGCGATGCCCTAGTAACGTTCAAAACGCAACATACGCCACCAATCAGAACTCCAGATTCTTGGGTGGACAAGCTTTACTTGACGATCATTGTGTGTTTGATGTATAGATATCCATGCTTAGCGACCCACTTTTACTACTACTTCCATTGCAGTACTACCACCTATAATGATCTGCGTTGAAAACATCCACCATTCTTTTGTACTGTGCAACCACAACAGATCCTCTGTGCTGGGAATGTCTGCTGATTAGCCCCGACACGAAGATGCTTGCGTGAAAGTGACGTCCTTTACGATGTGGTCAGATTCCTGCTCGGAGTTGCCGTGATATGCACCCCCCTGATGTTTCCTCAACTCGCCACATTCATGAGCTACTTAGGAGCTATTTACACTAAACGGAAGTGAGAGCTGCAATTGGCGCTTGAGGCTATAAGTGTTCTTCTAATTCGCCGAGACTTGTATACAGACGGTCTGTGCGGAGGACGGCAATTTGGGAAGACATCGGGTGGATACTATAGTATGCACTTAGCAACGAAGGTCCGATTCCTTCTCGAAAGATAGTATACAATCGCACGACAATCCAATTTCTAATGTGCGTGATCCGTCTGCATGCATTCGCGCATCCTCCTTAGACCGGTCGATCCAACGATTTCCTTCAGCGATCTCTCTTGAATTCCTTCTCCGGCTTTGCATTCCACTTTTTTGGTTCGTACTCCACGGCTGCCCCTGAATGGCGTGTGCGACGAGATCGCTCGGAAGGTTCTCTACTGAGAGACGTTTGTGAGCGATTACTGGACGTGAACGCTGGCTTCACACCATCGATGCTAGTACTGTCTGGCAGGCCCGATAAAGAGGCCGAAGTGGCGTTGTGATCCGCATCATGTCTAGCCTTCTTTCTCGGACCCTCATGCGCGTAGGGCGTCGTTGAACTTCCACTTCCATCCATCTCAGCTGTGTTTTCTTTCCTTCCGCGTTTCGAATGTACCGGTACGGGCTTCGAGGACGACGAAAGTGGTGAGACTTCTATCCTTTCGGAGCTTTCTACGCGAGTTCGAGATTGGTGAGCAGTCTGTGGGTTTTCAATGACAGGCTTTTCGAACGGAGTCGAGCATTGTCCACAGCCGCGCAATGGCAATGATACCCCAGGGGCAAGGGAGTCAACTGTACATTTCGGTTCTGCTAACCCTTCGGTCTCAAACTGATGTCCAGAAGGTACTGAAGTTGAGCTTGACTGCGGAATATCGACCGTCTGGTGCGGTGGTATGTATACATCTATACAAGATAGAGTCGAACTAGACTCATAGCCCAGGTCTTCGTTCTGATCAGACACAACTGTGCTGGTCCGGTTGCTCGAAATGGGTGCTTGATCGGAATCATTCGCCATTGCTTTACGTAGAGCAAGTCCCAGCGCAAAAGAGACCTTTCTATCCACCCCATTCCCGACGATTCTCCATTGTTCACAGAGTGATCCAATGATGGGTTCAAAGTCTAGATACCCTTGTGCACGTCTAGCTTCAAGAATACTGAGAGGTCTGTCTTGCGACCAATGTACTATGCTGCCGTTTCGCGCATCTTGCAGATTGACGTAAGTAGTGATGGTTGGAATTAGGCCAGCTGCCTTTATTCGCCGGTAAGATTTCCCTACCTCTCTCTTTTCCCGTTGTAGAGATGGAGGGATAAGACCAAGACGATGAGCTTCTGCATAACCGGACCCGGCTGGAGACTTGGGTATCCTCTCCAGAATACCGCGGTCTCTTGTGTTAGTTGCGCGGCAAATCCGATGGTCGGGAACCTCGACACAGGTTTGATTGTTTCCATTGCCAATGTAAGGCAGATCTGCTGTAACCTCCAATGCGGAAACATGAGCAAATGGCGTTGCGTAATGCTCTCGTTGACCGAATCGCTGTCCGTTTGGAAGTTTGCCGAGGCTGGCTGAGAGTGTGTCCTCTGATCGTTTGCTGTGTGTATGGCAAGGTTGTATGATAGGCGTGCGCCCCGGGGCCGCGATGGTGATGAAGATACGTGACCTTTGTTGGGCGCTACCAACATTCCACGCGTCCGTGATAAACTGGTTAACTTGGTAACCCAGCGAAACGAGACAGGATACTAGTTGCGATAGCACGTTTTGATCTTCGAGGCCTTTACGCGTTGAGGCCATTCTAACGACATTCTCTAGCAGGCCGAACTGTGGACGATATATGTCAACAAAAGAGCAAAACGTGCTGATATGAGATGCGTTTCTCAAAGAGCCGTCGCTGAGGTGGTTTTGCTGCAATGCCGAGAATCCTAAAAAACCTGTAAGCAAGCGCTAAATTTGTATGGACTAATGAACGAGTAAATATACCTGGACATGGAGATCCTGCAGCAATGAACTGCACTTCCCCGACATGCGCGATGAATTTGTCGTTCTGTCCAGAAAGCAACTGGCAGAAATAGTCATCCACCGAACCCTGGTAGAGTTTCATTGTGGCAGGGTTCTGCGCGTTTGCTTTTTGTGTATGCATAGCATGTGCACTGAAGTCGACCACAGTTTTGAACTCAACTGCGCCTCCTTCTTCCAAACCTCGATCGAGATTGCCACCGCCAGAGAAAATACTCAGTCCATTCAGTTTTTCGAATGAAGTCTTAGCATCAAAGTCAGTACCAGGATTGATGCAGTCAGGTAGCTTCTCAACACAAGTCAAATATCGAGAGTTTATCGTACTGGTCAGGCGTGTTGAAAAGAACCAGAAATCTCCACACCCTCTACGATTGTATGGAAAGGGGACGTTTCCGCGAAGTACTTCGCCTTTAGGTACAAATCGGACATTGCATCTTCGTCGAAGTCGCGCTACTGGTATCGCCTCAAACTCGTCGGTGAATACCAGCTCGTTGGGCGCAATCTCATTTCGTTGCATATCTCCCAGCAGATCCTTACAGTCTCGCTCCAGACGTAATAGTTTCCGAACAGTTACTTTTCGAGCCGCTTTGTCAACTTCGTGAATGATAACAGGGTCCAGGAACTCTGACTGCTTTCGTATAGATCGGGTCATATATATCGTATCTCCTGGGTGGTATTTGTCGATAGGATCAACGTTCGCTTGTTGACACGTGCATGTCAAGTGATCTCTGGTCCATGTTACGAAGGCAGTCTTGTCTGCTAGATATGTCTGCCGGATGAAATAGTCCTTCGGCGTGTCGAGCTTGTCAGGCAGCCAATCTACGCTGTACTTCCTGATTATATCTGAGGAGAAGAGACTTGCCGCAGAATCGCAGTTGCAGTGATTTGAGAAGAAAATCTCTTTCTCGAAAGGATATCTTGCTCCACATATGTTGGTGTGCTGTGGTAAATAAAGCCAGGTCACTAACAGTCGCTCTAAGCCGCTGTCTGTCCGCTCAATCTTCTGCACGTAAGCTAGCCATTCCTGGTCCTCTTTGTTCCACAGCGTCGTTTTAGTATCATCAGGGTTTATAGCGACTACATCTCCGACCTTGACTGGCCCAACATTTTCCAGACCCCAAGCGCGTGGTTTCGATCCCAAAGTGATTGGGTCTTCTGGGAACTTAAGCTTCTCCTTTAGAAGCTGTTGTGCTTGTGCCACTGAATTGCATGGATCCATGCTCTTCAACTTACTGCCAAAGTACATATGGCTGAAACAACGATAGACGGCTGGAGTTGCAAGAGTGACCTTTACGACCTCCTTTTGCCGTTTGATGCTTGTTGCCCCCTTGACCATGCAGTCGCCCCATAGAGGATGAGCCAGTAGGCCATCAGAATTGGGTAGATTGGAAGCTTGAAGATGAATAAACTCGATATGAGCGTTGACGATGACTCGAAAGTCGGTTGCACTTCGGACTGCAACATGCCACAGCTTGAATACGTCGTCGCAGAATCGACTCGTGAGCCAAAGATGAAAGTAATGACGAAACACTTCGAGGCCTACCGAGCGTACAGGCTGACTCTCTAGAAAATCGACAACGTGTTTCGCTAGTTGGGCGACCCAGATGGAAGGTTCATGGAATCTTCGGTACAGGCTTGCTGGCTTCTTCAATCGATACCAAATGTCGACCTTTTTGTCTGTGTAGGCGAGCGATGACTGGACAAACAGAGTTACAGACGGGTCTGTGTCATCGCCGTACCCTTCGACAGAAGTATGCTGAATTGAAACTTCCTCAACATAGTGTCTAACGTTGCCCAGAGATACAAAACCGTTGAAACTGAGCTCTGTTACTTTTAGGTTGTGCAGATACAGGCTTGTGAGTTCCAGTGATCGTTTATTATCTTTAAGCAGAGACCTGTAGATTTCGAAATCGTGCAAGTCTGCAATTATGAGTTCTCGATTACTCTTGTAACCTTCGTAGCTTGTCGACTCTCGTGGTATGCGGCACCATTCATCCTGCAGCAATGGTCAGCAACTCTCAAATTCCTCGTATGTCGACGTACTCACCTTAAGGCTCTGGAGGGCATCTAGCTCGCAGGTCACAGACACTGGAGGATTCCAGTTAGCAGCACATGATCGCGGATAATCCGACGGCGAGGGCGCTATCTTCACTGTGCTGACAGAGGACGAAACGATGTTGGATTGGGCGACTGCGATCGTATCGCTCGATGAAACCATTACGTCCAAAAAAGACTGTGAAGATCTCAACCAGCGGTATAGAACGATGAACCTGCGGAAGGCTGCACTTTCAAGGGCGAAAGAAACGATGTTAGAGGATCGTGTGCGTGTAGTGCGAAGCGAGTACAATCGCGAAACTCCTCGTTAGGCGCCTCTCAGGCGGCCATTGCCCAAAGATCCCTGAAGCGAATTCGACGGTGAAAGTGAGTTGTGAAAACCTGTTCTCAATCTTCTCTTTCTGACAACAGCGCGACTTCGCGGTCGAAAACAAGCGAACGCGTCGCGTCGATGTGCCAAGGGGAAATATGAGTCAACATGGACAAAGCCGTCTGAACGAGCGACATATACAACAAAGACTAGCGAAAGTAGAAGACGTTCATATCGTGTCCTGAAAAGTATTGTAGTAGAGATTGACCGCTGTTGTGGTCCGGCACGCGTCAAGCGGAGGTGAGACCAAATGCAGCCTCGCGAAACTCGGGGCCACATTGATGGTCCTAGCCACCTGTATTATGGAAAGTGAGAGAAGGCACTCGAAATAGCGGGCGTTTGTTCCATGGCTCACGAACTCGCAGACCGCCATGTTTGAGCCCAGAAGTACTGCAAGGTAAGAGAAAGGGCGGGGCAACATTCCTAGGGACCATGAGCACGTGCACATCGTAGTAAACGAACAAACGGCATGGAGTGAGAGAAGAACCCCTCCCGCGGGGTAGATCCCAAATATACGCGTGGGGAAGAAAGAGGAACATGTATTGAGTCACTCAGCCTGAGCATGACAGCAAACTCCCAGAGTTGTACAAACAAACAACGATGTGAGAAATTGCATTGAAACGTTGACCGTGTACCAGCATCTAAGCGTTTCTTTTGGTCATACCCCAAAAAGTAATAAACCAATAAGATAAGACGCCCACGAGCCCCCTGCCCAAACGCCAAACATTATGCTCTGCCTTCATGTACCCAGGAAACCTCTATTGATTCCCATGTGGTGCATACTCCCAAATGTGCGAGCTGTCATAAGTCTCCGTTTCCTCCATCCTTGCTTTAGGGTCCTTGCCTCTCTTCATCGCCTCTTGCCTTAATCCTTCCATCTCCATATCCATGGCTCTAATCTCCGTGTTCAGGTCCTGCCTGGCCGTCTTTTCCTCCTCCGTAAAGTCTGGCTCCTTTCCTTCTTCTTTTGCTTTGTCTTCGCGCTTGTTGTATTCGTCCAGCTTCCCGAATTTGGCGTTCCGATCGTCCTGCATCTTGATAAATTCGTCGAACTTTGCGCGTCCGCCGAGGCAGATGCCATAGCCGTCGCAATAACATGTGTTCATTGCAGGGCAGTAAACCTCATGGCCCGTGAAGATGTAGTGCCAAATGTACTCGAAGATGCGGCCGGAGAACTGGTCGTCCATGGCTGTTGTGAGGAGCCATTTCCGGTAATGTATGAATCGCTCGATGGGCACCTGTCTAATCCTGTCTCTTGAAACGGCGAATTGCGCGCAGCAGATTCCCGACAACGAGGGTGGAATGGACGCGCCAGGGTGTATCTCCTCCCATATACTTTTGCGCCAGTAGATTTCCTCGGGCTTGCGGAAGAAGTCAAAGTCGCCGCCGGGGCGGTCCATGTGAATCCAATCGGGACAGCCTGGGTCGTGATGACATCGCACGTTCATATAGCCCATGCGTGCGACTCGCCCGTGGTTCAGGCGGTTGACAATCTGGGCAGCATCGATGCCCATGAGTTGGTTATTGTGCCATGCGTGACGGTGCGAGTGCATGAAGAGCGAGGTGTCGGGGAGGTCGTTGTAGTTGTCGATGATGTATGTGAGGTATACCTGGCGTCTTGATTAGCCTGTGTTGCACCAGCCTGCTGGCTCAACCATACCATTGCCTCGCGACCTTTATTCTTGGGGACCTTGTTCTCAGCCTTGGGATTGTCCACCTCATATACAACTATCGGCGCATGTGGTATCTCCTCCGCCATCCAACTAATATCTTCCTTCATCGTCTTCGGTATCACAATCTTGAAGGTATAATTGTTGCCTTGTGGCTTCGGTTGCCCATCTGTGAATCGTAGCGGTATGCCAAAATCGAGCGGGTCGCCGCGGTATGTTGGTGTCGACTGTAGCGAATTCCCGGGTTGTCGTATTGGAATCGCCGGACCCGTCTGAAGATACCACCATCCTAGAACGAGGATTATGGCGATGAAGACGAGGGGAACGATGCGAGGAGGGCCGCTGAGCATAATGGCGGAGCGAATGGACTCGCGATTAGAGATTGGTGTTGCTCGCCGTGAGGATTGAATCGGTTGGGAAAAGACGCGTGGAAGATGCGGTCATGCTTAGGGAGGGTCGAAAAGCACGTAAGCACGCCTACGCCGTTTCAAGAGACAGGACAGGTACAGAAGCCTAAGTTGTAGATCTAGGGACGCCTGGTTAAGCGATGCCCCGTGGAAAGCTTGATTGGCGGGGTCGCAGCATCTATGCAGGGGTAATGAACACGTATAAATTCATCGTTCAACGCTACGAGATCGGTCTCCTAAGGAAAGGTGATCAAAACGACATTTATTCCCTCTTCACACCGACCTTCCCGATTCCCCTGAGTCCCCACAAAAACAACATACCCGTAGCACAGCTCAGAGCAAACAAATACCAAAACGCAGCGCGAAACCCATCCATAAGTGCCATTGGACTCTCCTTGTCATGGTACCTCGACCGCGCAGTGACACTAGAGGCGATGACAGCACTTGTTGCCAAACCCACACTTTTCCCAATTTGAGCAATTGTGTTGAATACACCACCCGCGATCCCTTGCGTTCGCGACGGAAACACCGACGTGATGACGAGATTCGAGACCGTAAACAGAACATCAGCTCCAATGGCGTTGAGAATACACGCAAAAAATGCTGCGGACCAGTATGTCCATTCTGGCTTCATCACGCACATTAGCAGACCCCCCACGGCACTCAACGATGCACCGATGATAACGGCCCAATTGGCGTGGACTCTATGGACCACCAAGCCCATGATGAGATTGGTGATGGCACCAGCAACGGGAGTAGGCAGGAAGCGGAGTGAGGTCTGAATTGCGGATATCTGCTGGACGTCCTGGAAGAAGAGCGTGAGATAAGACTCCAAGGCATTAAAGACGCCCCATGTGATGAAGACGCCGACGCAAATCACGCTGAAGATTCGGTTACGCCAGAGAGAGTTGGGAATGATGGCTGGTCTTCCGAGCTTCTCTTGCCGCCCCACCCAAAAGACGAAGGATGGTATGAGTGCTACGGCAATGGTTAGGAGAGCGATGGTTTGAGCTTCTTTGATTTTCGCGGTTTCTTCTGAGATCAGACTGGTGGGTTGTCAGCAGTTGCAGCTGTGACCAAGAGGGAGGACTAACGCAAAACAGTACGACAGCAGAGCCAGAGATGCACTTCCCATGGCGATGCCGACCCAGTCGATCTCACTTTTGAGACGAGACAGGATTTGAGTTTTTTTCTTCTCAGATTTAGGCAATCCAATGAAGGCAACAACAAAGACGATGGTGTTGACGGCAGCACTGACGTGGAATCCCCATCTCCACCCTATTGTGTCAGTGAACACACCCCCAAGGACGAGCCCAAGGGAAAACCCGATAGGCTGCCCGCCACCCATCGAGGCGAATGCGATGTTTCTGCTCCTACCTTCAGGAAATGTGCTGGTAATGATACTGACAGCCGAGGGAAGACAGAACGAGATCGCAACTCCAGCGAAAGCACGGAAAACAATCATCTGTGTGCCATTCTGAGCCAGACCGCAAGCCAGTGTGAACCCAGATTGGAGGAAACATCCGATCAAGTACATAGGCCTGGAACCCACAACATCGGCCACGGAGCCGAGAAGAAGGAGAGTACAACCACATGTCAGTGCATAGATTGAGATTGGCCTGAGCTCGTCAGTGTCATTCAAACGACCTCTTCAAGGAGACATATTACCACAAGAGTACGTTGGGCGCTAAAGGTAACTCTCGCGCCATAGTCGGTAACGCAATAGCAACGACTCCAGATAGCATTGTACTGATCATTGTCACACATACTACCGTGACTAACACGATTGCTGTTGTTCCTTTTCCTGGGGTTGGTATGTGTTCAACTGGTATTGTATGGTCCGGCACATCAGTTGGCTGGAGACTCTCATGGTGAGATGGTAAGTCGTTGTCCTTTGCATGAACATGAACACCAGGCGGCTCAGTAAAAGCCAAAGGAGTCGACGGGTATTCCGCAAGTTCAATAGATGTCGAGGTGCGCGACATTTCGAACAATTGGCGAGGATCTGGGGGAGAGATGCAGCAAAGTTAGGGTTGGGGCACAGTGTCTCTTGTATCCTGTATCTACACAAGACGCGATCGTTCCTTAATTGATAAGGCAAGCATGAACTTGCGTTCTATTGGTTTTCCACACAAGCCTTCGAACATGCTGACACCCTCATTGGCGGATTTATGCCTTTCAGGCGCTCAGTAAGATCGACACTAGATGTATAAGGCAGGTTCATTGCGGAACGGAAGCGCGTTCATAATCGGTATATCATGTGTGATTGTGATAATTGATGTCCGATGGGCTTCGAACATGTCTGAATTTCCTGGTGGAGTATGAAACAATGCTCGGAACTCTTCCCCATTGATTAGTCAGGGAAGCGGGAAGTAAGCTGTAGTCAAATCTTGCAAACACCTTGACAACTGCAACCTAGACTATTAGAGGGCTTGTGTGCCTTGGTCACTACTAGTATACGTTAAACATTTATCGTATGTAGCATATATTCTCACGGGTTTGTTGCGTTGTGTATTACGATGAATGCATTCTACTTTCGTCATCAGGTACCCTATCGATAGCGACAGTCTAGACAGGGATCTTGTTCCGAGATTTGGGACACCTTTCGAAAGCGTGGGAACATAGCAGTTTCACAATCGAGACAGTACATTGCTCTTGACGATTTCACCAATATCTTCACGCTTGATGCGTTGATCTTTCAATTCACTTTGGCCGCGTAAAGAGTCATTTCCTTGGCCTGGAGCGAAATGCTATACGTTGCAACCTCTTGATACCTGTTGGAGCTTGCCCTCAGCCCTGGACCCCGAGTACGACCTCCCTTTCCAAGAAACCGAGAATAGGGTAAAAATCCAAGGTATAGCACCGCATCATGCGGGCTTCTGCGTCTTTGTTGAGCGCGAAGACTCTCTTTGCGCTCAGCACACTCAAACACATCGGCGCCCTTGCAAGTCCGAGCATCAACGTTGCTCTCGAAGCTTCGTTTAGTCCAGCACCCTTTCTAGTAGAGCTTTTGTATGTTATATCCACTAAATTACTCCGACCACAGTTGACAGGATGCAGAGAAACTGCCGCAGAAGAGAACGCGACCGCATACTATCCCATCCTCGACCAGCTAGCTCGAGGCTACTTCGACGAGAAAGACACAGACAAGGAGATATATGATGCTTTTGTAGACTTGTTGAAGAACGATGGACACATTACCGATCCCGAGACGTTCGCCTCCTTCGAATTTGCGCTTTCCGTCCATTCGGCCGCACCGCGCATAGAAGCACACTATCAGTTCTACAGGACTTCGGTGGAGCCTTCGTTAGTAGCGGAACAAAAGAAGCAATGCCAGATCTGGGTATCGTTCGGTGGGAAGCAGTACTGCTCGCCGCACTTGGATGAGCCATACGGCGATATCGAGAGCGAACGGTGTGTATTCAACTCAATTGATTGTGAAGAGCCATGCTGACGTATTAACAGCTTAGATGAACTACCTTTTGATCGCATAGCTGGCAACAGCTCTGGCTTACCCTCGATAGTGTATGCTGATATCACTTCGCCTCGTTTCAAAAAGTTCCACAGCACGGTAAGCAGGACAGCCAAGGAAGGCAAGACATCGTACCGAATCCGGCATAAACCGTCACTCAAGGCACCGAAGACCCCACTCGTAGTCAACGGTTATGGTGTCGGGCTCCAATTGAAGCGGACCGACTATATTGTTATCGACGACCGGCAGACCGAACAAACGGACAAGGTTGCTGAACAAAAGCCACTGGGCATGGAGCTTCGTGACGATGAGGAGGTTACAGATCTGAAGCCCTTGTCCAAGGATGAGGTATCAGATCTCGGCCTAAAAGCTGCCAGCTTTGTTATGAAGAGTGAACAGCCGATGGATACGCTCTTGAAGCTCAGCCAGGATTTTCCAAAGTACTCGTCGGTCATCGCTGCTCAAAACACGTCTGAGAAGTTCTTAGAAGAGTACATGATGAATCGCGAACAGCTCCTTCCGTCAGGATCGAGTGTGATTTGGATCAACGGCGTACAGATCCCAGCCCGTGACGTGAACCCGTACTCGCTTTTGGCACATCTGCGTCGCGAGAGGAAGTTGATCAATGGGGTTCGGAGCCAAGGCCTTTCAGCTCCTGATGCTATTTCACTTTTGTCGCACTCGGCCATCACAGATACCCAGGCAGGAGACGAGCCCCAACGCTACGACTTCAGAGATGAGACCGAGGGAGGCAATGTAATCGTTTGGATGAACAACATAGAAAAAGATTCCAGATACCAGCAATGGCCCAATGGGTTGAGATCTGTAAGCACATGCTTCAATTTGTGGTAAGCAAGAGCTAACATTCCTATAGCTCCTCCAGCGGACTTATCCAGGCCAACTACCTCAAGTTCGCCGAGATATTCACAATGCGATCTTATCTGTCGACTTCACTTCCGCGGACGATGTTTCAACCATCATCAACACTGTTCTTGGTCTCATCAAACGCCACATCTCTATACGATGGGGTTTCGTACCCCAGACACTGACTGCAGGAGCCGTAGAGCAAGCGAAGGTTATCTACCATTTGCAAAGCACTTACGGACTGTCTACCGTCATCGCATATCTTGATGCTGTAAGTCCAATGCGCTATACACGCACCGCTCAACTAATCAGAGGCATATAGTCAAAAGAAGCCAAGAAGCTAGCAAAGCCTGACAAGGCCATATTTGATTCGAGCGTTGAAGGCGCCAAGCTCCGCAACGAACGTCAAGCACGCGAGCTGGCAGATGTTTTGAAATCAGAGGACCTTGAAGAGAGAATCGACAGATCCAGGAGATACCTGGGACGCCTGGCAGCAGCTGGATCAAATGCCCCAATCTTCGTCAATGGAGCTCCCATCCCTAAAGGCGATGATTGGTTATCCCCGCTCAGCCAGAGAGTTAGTATGGATCTCCGTCAAATACAGAAAGGCGTCTATGAAGGCGACATCCTCGAAGACAGTTGGGTGCCGTCAAACTTCCTGTCACGGGCCGCCGCCAAGCGCAATCCTCTCATTATTCCAGAAAAAGAGAAAGACATCACGCTCGTGAATATGGCCGAGTTTGAACAGAATCACGGAGAATCGTTCCAGAAGATGCCGCGCATACAGGCAGCAGATTCGGCAAGCAAGAAGGACTGGGTGCATCTCACGATTGTTGGTGATTTCGACTCGGAGTCTGGACTTGAGCTGCTCACATCTGCGGTCAAGTACCGCGAGGAGAACCCAAATGCTGAGATAGTCCTGGTCCATAATCCTCAGACTGGCGCGGACCAGACAAGCACTGCAGAGGAGCTTTTGGACGCGTATATCAAGTCTGGCCGTAAGCTCACAACCGATGCCTTGTTGGCTGTCTTGGCACAGAAGCCAGCGTCCTCTTCAATCCCTTCACGATCCAAGCGTTTCTGGGGAGCTGCAGAGCCACTGGTTGAAGCTCTCGGTTTCAAGTCTGGTCAGTTTGGCGTTGTCATAAATGGCCGAAAGGTGGGACCCATCCCTATGGATCAAATTTTTTCAAAGGTTGATATGGACACTCTCGTGACGTACGAAACGTCCAGACGCATTCAGCCCCTGAACCAAGCTCTCGAGGACCTGGAACTTACAGCAAAAATCGCATCGCCGTTCAGTCTTGCGAAGATCCAGTCTCTTGTGGCACTTTCCACAATTTCTGATGTCCCCGAAGGCATGTTCGAAACAGCATCGACACTGAGGATGAACACGTTCAAGACTTGGGCTGACGAGCATACCGCGATCATCAGAGGAGACAACAGGACGGCCATCTTCCAGGTTGTGGCCTCTATCGATCCAGCTACTGAGCTCGCTCAGAAGTGGATTCCTATCCTGAAGACACTCAGCGATATGAAGGGTGTCCACCTCAAACTGTTTTTGAACCCCGTCCAGAGACTGCAGGAACTGCCGGTCAAGCGCTTCTACAGATACCTCCTTGATTCCAAACCTACGTTCAAGCCTGATGGTTTCGTCGGCAGTCTGGAGGCCCACTTTTCTGGCATTCCCAAAGAGGCTCTGTTGAATTTGGACATGGACGTCCCACCTTCGTGGCTTGTGGCGCCGAAAGAATCCGTTCACGATCTCGACAACATCAAGCTGAGCACTCTGCCAGCCGGTGCCAACATCGATGCCATATACGGACTGGAGAGTATTCTCATCGAAGGTCACTCTCGTGACACGTCTAACAGTGGTCAACCACCTCGCGGCGCGGAGATTGTCCTTGCTACTGAAAAGGATCCCCACTTCGCCGACACCATCATCATGGCCAACCTAGGCTACTTCCAGTTCAAAGCCAACCCCGGCATCTACAACATCCAGCTCAAGAGTGGCCGATCGCATGACATTTTCAGCCTCGACAGCGCAGGCTCGCAAGGCTGGGTACCACAGCCCGGCGACGAGACAACGGAGATTGCGCTCATGAGCTTCCAGGGCGCCACGCTCTTCCCTCGCCTCTCACGCAAGCCCGGCCAGGAAGAAGCCGACGTGCTTGTTGTCGAAGAATCCGCCGCGTCGGAACTCGTAGCCAAAGGCATGCAGAAAGTGAACCAGCTACTCGGTAAAATGGGCATCAACTTCAACAGTGAGAAGATATTCCAAAAGGGCGCCGAGCTCCTCGCCGGCAACAAAGCTGGTGGAAAAAAGACCACCCAAGCCGACATCAACATCTTCTCCGTCGCGTCCGGCCACCTCTACGAGCGCATGCTAAACATCATGATGCTCTCCGTCATGAAGCACACCAACCACAGCGTGAAATTCTGGTTCATAGAGCAATTCCTGTCCCCGTCATTCAAAGCCTTCCTCCCCACCATGGCAGCAGAATACAACTTCACCTACGAAATGGTAACATACAAATGGCCGCACTGGCTGCGCGGGCAAACCGAAAAACAGCGCGAAATCTGGGGCTACAAGATCCTCTTCCTCGACGTCCTGTTCCCCCTCGACCTCCACAAAGTCATCTTCGTCGACGCAGACCAAATCGTCCGCACCGATATGCACGACCTCGTCACGCACGACCTGCACGGCGCACCCTACGGCTTCACCCCCATGGGCGACTCGCGCACAGAAATGGAAGGCTTCCGCTTCTGGAAAACAGGATACTGGGCGAACTTCCTGCGCGGCCGGCCATACCATATATCAGCCCTATACGTCGTCGACCTCGTGCGCTTCCGCCAGCTCGCTGCGGGCGATCGGCTGCGCCAGCAGTACCACAGCTTATCTGCTGATCCGAATAGTCTGTCCAATCTCGACCAGGATCTGCCGAATAATATGCAGTTTAACCTCCCGATTCATAGCCTCCCGAGAGAGTGGCTGTGGTGCGAGACTTGGTGTGCGGATGAGGATTTGGCGGAGGCGAAGACGATTGATCTTTGTAATAATCCGCTTACCAAGGAACCTAAGCTTGAGAGGGCGCGCAGGCAGATTCCGGAGTGGAATTTGTATGATGGGGAGGTTGCGGCGTTGGCGGGGAGGGTGAGGGGGGAGGGAGTTGGGGGTGGGGCGGATGTGCAGGAGGAGGAGCAGGTTAGGGAGAGGGAGAGGGAGAGAAGGGGGAGGAAAGATGAGTTATAGATGGGGGGTTTGCAAGATGGAAGAGTGCTGTGTTGCTTGCCAAGCCAAGCCTTGAAAATGCATTATCAATACCCTTCTCTACACCCATCCATATCCATATCCATACATATTCCTCCCCCCAACGCCCTTGCTCAAACACACCATCACCCATCCCCCTCTTCCCAACCCCTAAAAATCCGTCTTCCCCCCCATAACCTTCGCCGCATTAACCGCCTTCATCTTCTCGACCCAACCCGTCGCCGGCACAATCTTCCTCACCGTCCTGACCTCATCTGACGCATACCCGGGGATACGAATATTATAATTGCGCTCGAGAATGAGCTGCATATCGCGGATATCCAGCTGCGGCGATTCACGGAGTTTGCTAAGTTTACACGCGGAGCTGATGACGTTGTCGACGAAGTCGTCTGCTAGCTGCATTACCGCCTGTTTTATTCGCATAAACATTAGCATAGCTCAGCACAACACATGGGGATAGTATAGTGTAGTTGAAAAGAAAGGAGGGTAATATACATACCTCCTCAACCTCAGGAGTAAGCGCCTCCTCCCCCCCACCCGTAACCTGGCGCACAAGCTCATCCAGTTTCCGTTTACTCAGCACCCTCTCCCCTTCACCCTCGAGTTGAAACGGCGGCGGCCTCGGAATAACAGGCTGCCCCATTGGTCCCGGCGCGCCATTCGTAGGCCCGCTCATCGTAGGTCGCGCGTGGCCCATGTTGACAGGCAGCGGGGCGGCGACGTTGAGGTGCCGCGGGATGGGCATTTTGGGGTTGTTGAGCTGCTCGCGCTCGCGGCTGCCGGGGGCGTGGAAATTGCCTTGTTGCGCGCCGGAGGCCATGGGGGTGTTTGTGCGGGGGCCGCCGTCGGTGTAGGAGCGGTTTGCTGCGCTGACGGCGGCTTGGTGGGAGAGGGGGACTGGGGGGCCGGCGGTGGTGGCGGACTGTGGGTGGGGGGAGTTGTTTTGTGGGTGCTGGTGTGCGTTGTTGGCTTGGTGGGGGTTGATTTGGGGTCGGGGGTGTTGTTGGGGGAGTTGCTGCTGTTGTTGTTGCTGTTGCTGCTGTTGCTGGCCGGGCGCAAACTGCTGGTTCTGGTTTGGCGGCATTTGCTGCGCGTGTGGCGCGGGTGGCTGGCGGGGGAATTGTTGCTGTTGCTGATGCTGTTGTTGGGGGAGTGAATGCGTGGGCGCCTGTTGATGCATATTCTGCTGCTGCTGCATGTTGAATTGCGCCGCGGGCTGTGGTTGCGCGGCCAGGCCGCCCTCGATTTTAATTTGCGGCTCGTCGTTCATCTGGCCCTGCGGCGGCATGACAGGCTGGTTCGGGTGGCGTTGTGGCTGCTGCTGATGTGGTGGTGGTTGCTGCTGCTGTTGTTGTGCCATGTGCTGAGGTGTCGGCTGTTGCGGTTGCGCTTGAGCCTGAGATTGCTGTCCCTGCCCCTGCTGTTGCGCTTCTTTCTGCTCCCGCTCCTCCTTCCACGACTTTTGCATCGCCCGGAACTTGTCCACCTGGTTCTTGGCCTGCGTGTATTCCCGCTCCACGCGCTCTTTTGCGCCAAATAGCTCCTGCGGCACCTCTTGCCCGGCTCTCTGCCGCTCCTGGATCTGCGTGTTGAGCTTGCCCATCTGCGTCGTGAAGTTGGCCGACTTGGCCAGCAGATTCAGGTACATGGACTTGAGCTCCTTCAGCTTGGCCTCGCCCTCTGCTGTGCCCAGGTTCGGTCCGCCCGGTGGCAGCGCAAAGGGGAATTCGTGGACGTGCTTCACAATAGACGGATCGACGTGTGGTGTGGTGTTTGCTGTTGGCGGCCGCGCCTGGCCTTGGTTCTGAGCCTGTTGCCCTTGATTCTGATTCTGCAGAGGCGCGCTGGCATTGTTTGCCATCTGATTGGGAGGCTGTGGCTGTTCCTGCATGGCCGTGTTTGGTTGTGCAGGTTGACTACTCTGACCCGCCTGGCCCTGCGTCTGCTGCTGCTGGGCCCTCATCTTCCCGCGATACTGGCGCTCTCTCGCAATCAGTCGTGTCGAGTACTCGGTCAACTTTTGACGCGCCTGAGCGTATTCGGTGCTACCTTGCGGGTGCTGCTGTGTCATGCCCCACAGGCTCTGCATTACCACACGGTGCTTCTGCTTCTCGTCATCTCCCAGACATTGCAACCGCAGGATATCGTCGGCTCGGAGTAGTTGTTGTGCTTGTTGTTGGGCGCCGCCGGCGGGCTGGGGCTGGGCGTCGCTCATGGTCGAGTACTACGCGGGTATGCGGACTCCCGAAGTCAACAAACTACGTGTCGTGTCGCCTGCGATGACGGTGTGGAAAAAGTAAAAGTAAAGGTAGTTTCAGTCTGATTGCGCTGCGATCGGGTATATGCAGGGCGGGCGGGGTATCGTTTGCAGGCGAGAGAGGAGGGATTGAGGTGGTGAGGCCTGCGTGATTGAGAGATGGGGTCTGGCTGGCCTAAGCGACCCAGCTCCATGTCGCGCCTTTTGTACGATAGCACGTGTCTCACTTGCTGCCGAACATGTCAAGCTATCTTGTGTATTCGTGGCTATACGTTCCTCACATCTGCAACGATGGTTTCCCTTGCTCGGCCAGCGCTCGCGTCCTAGCATTCCTGACCTCCCACTCGAACTCTCTCAGCGCCCTCAACTCACTCCCTACGAACAAGAGCCCCATCAGCCCGTCGATGACACCCACGCTCAATCCAACTGAGCTCAACAGCATGAGCAAGAACGAGACGTAGTTGCGCGGTGCCCACCACACACCTACCATACATCCGATCGACAAAGAAAGCTGGTAGAAAAAGTGGCCTATGCGCAACTTGCGCTGTATCCTCTCACGCACCTCGTACTTGAGAATCGTTGCCAGGATCTGGTCATACGTCTCGATGGGCAAGTACCGGTCTGGCAGCTCCCAGGGATTGACCTGGACGGCTGATGGCGCAGCGGTGCTCCGTGTGAGAGTTGCTTCGACAGAGAAGTGGTCGCTCAGTGAGCAGTGGAGCGTGGGGTGTCGCATCTCCATGCCCACCTTGGTGTCCTGTAGCTCCCATTCCGACGTCTCGTCCCCAGTCTCGGCATCCCGATACTTCCCACTACCGACGAAGATGTAGTCGAGTCGCTTCGCGCTGGGGTCCTCGACGGTAGGCTCGATCTGCACGTTCTCACCTCTCTTGAGGCGCTTCTGGTGTGCTTTGTTCCAGCGCCAGGAATTGAGTGCGCTGTCGCATGTCGCCCCATTCTCCGTCATGTTGAAGTGCGCAGTGGGCATGGCAACACCACGGAGCTGTTCCACTTTGTCTTTGGCAGCACCGACCGAGGAGTCAGGATGTAGTATGCGCCACACATCTCGAACCGGTGCGTGTGTTTCTATTATGCGGTGCGCGAGTGACAACGGGATCATGTTGAAGTCTCCCAGTCCGATGACCAGATGACCACGCTCAGAAGCTGCGCGCATGAGCTTCGTAATCTCCCACGCCTGGGCTGTGCGGTGGCAGATGTAAGAGTCGTGGGGTTCGCGTTCGTACGGGGCGTGCAGCTACATCAATTATATCAGCACACCTCCATCTACGGTGAGAGGTGGAACAGTACATGAGTGCAGAACACCTCAGCGACGTCCCTCTTCGACGGCCCAATGCGTATCCGCGCGCAGGCTACCCCCTTCCCGACAAACCAGTCTCCGCGGTAGAAAGCAGCAGGCCGTCCGTTCAGCGGATAGCGCACCATGTTGCTCTCCTCAATGGGCCATCGCGACAGGATGACGAGCCCGCCGCCGAAGACGCCGCTGTAGTAGAACTTCCCATACGGCAGGATCTTGGCCGTCTTCTCGCGGATGGCCTCGTAGTCCTGCTTCGTCCAGCATTCCTGGAGACCGACAATGTCTGGCGGCGGGTTTATGGCGGCGATCTGGACGCCGATTTCCGTCAGGCGCTCGTTGCGCAGCGCCGAGATGTACTTGAGGCCCCAGCAATTGAGCGAGAGGATCCGCAGGGTGGAGAGCGGGGGCGCTGCATTCGAAGCCATACTTGTTGGTGTTTACGATTTGGTCGAGATGATGCAACCTCGGAATTGGGAGAAAGCGAGCAGGGATCAGGGATACGACTCCACGCTAAAAAACCAGGCGCGTCGTCCCCCATGTCAAGCAAACACGCAACCAACGTTTCTCGCAATCACCAAACCAAACATGGCCGACACAACCACAACCTCCGCCAAGCGCCAGAGACACAACAACCTCGATAATGACGATAATGACGACTACGACGACGACGCCCCCCCGCGCAAACGCTCCACCACAAACTCCCCTCCCCCGTACCCAACCGAAACCGACAACCCCCCCACGCGCCGCTACACCAGACAAGAAAGCTCAGAAGAGCGGCGCTACTACCGATCACAAACGCGCTCACGCTCCCCCACGCAATCCCCACACGCGGCCCCAAACCCCAGTCCGTCAAAACCCACAGCCCTGCACTACAAGCCCACGCTCCTCCTGCACGGCCACAAAAAACCCATATCCTCCATAAAGTTCTCGCCAGACGGCCGCTACCTCGCCACCGCCTCCGCAGACTGCACCATAAAGCTCTGGGACGCCACGACCGGCCACCTCGAACACACGCTAGAAGGCCACCTAGCAGGAATAAACATCATCTCCTGGGCGCCCGACAGCGCCACCCTCGCCTCAGGCAGCGACGACAAAAGCATCCGCCTCTGGGACGTCAGCACGGGTCTCGCGCACCCCACCCCCTTAATCGGACACCACAATTACGTCTACAGCCTCGCCTTCAGCCCGAAGGGCAACATGCTCGTAAGCGGCAGCTACGACGAAGCCGTTTTCCTATGGGACGTGCGCGCAGCGCGCGTCATGCGCAGTTTACCCGCCCATTCCGACCCCGTCAGCGGCGTGGACTTTGTGCGCGACGGCACGCTCATCGTGTCCTGTTCCCACGACGGCTTGATCCGCATCTGGGACACGGCGACGGGGCAATGTCTGCGCACGCTTGTGCATGAGGATAACGCGCCGGTTAGCTCCGTGCGCTTCTCGCCCAATGGGAAGTACGTGCTCGCCTGGACGCTGGATTCTAGTATCCGGCTGTGGAATTATGCTGAGGGGAAGGGCAAGTGCGTTAAGACGTATCAGGGGCATGTGAATACGGTGTACTCGCTTGCGGGCGCGTTTGGGACGTATGGACATGATGAGGCGTGTTTGTGGGCGTTTGTTGCGTCGGGGAGTGAGGATGGGGGGGTCGTGTTGTGGGATGTTAGTTCGAAGGAGGTCCTGCAGAGACTGGATGGGGGGGGTGAGGCGGTGTTGGCGTGTGATACGCATCCCAGGAGGAGGGTGCTGGCTTGTGGGGGGTTGGATCGGACGGTTAGGGTTTGGAGTGCTGAGGGGGAAGGGGGGGATGAAGGGAGGGAAGGGGAAGGGGGGGATGGCGATGTGGAGATGAACGGTACTGGCGATGGGAGTGTGGATAAGAGTGAAACCGCAGATACGAACGGAAATATTAACGCAAACGAATAAATAAAGATACCCCAGTTTTTCTAGCTAGAAAAACCTCACATTTGAAAACTCTCTTCTTCGTATCATGTCTATCATGTCATGTCATATGCATACTATCTACGTCTACACCTCCACCATGGAACTCGTCATATTCATACAAGATTCACCACTCCAATTCTCCTCCCATCTCTCTTTCCTCACATTCCCTTCCCTATCCCCTCCCCTCTTTTCCCCAGCCCAAGTACACATCCCAGCCCATCCCATCCCAACCCATATCATGAACCTACTTCCTCCTCTTCAAAACCTTATTACACATATCTACCAGCCCATCCTTGGCCTCACTATCGGGAAACCCCTCGATAGCCTCAATCGCCTTATCGACGTATTCCTGCGCGAGGGCGCGCGTCTGCTCGAGTCCAGAGCCAGCGAGTACGATTTCGCGAGCCTTTGCATAAAAGATTAGCGTTTCGTTCTTTATCCCATCACCACCTCCCTTCTCCCCCCAGAAGATAATGAAAGAATTCAAAGACTCACCCTCACCACATCCCCCTCCCCCGAAAACTTCCTCCCAACCAGCCTCCCCAAACTCCCCTCCTCCTTCCACGCAAAAAGCAACGGCGCAGTCGCAAGCCCAAGTTCCAAATCCGCACCAGCCGGCTTCCCCAGCTCCTCCCCACTAACCGTATAATCCAGCATATCATCCACGAGCTGAAACGCGAGGCCCAAATTCTTCCCATAAAGGTAACTCTTCTCCACAACCTCCGGGGAACAACCCCCCAGCAGCGCAGCAGCGCGACAACTCTTACTAATCAAAGACGCGGACTTGAGGTACGTCTTCTGCAGATAGTAGACGAGCGCGTCTTCCGTCCAGACGGGGTTTTTCTCGTCCGAGGCTGTGTTTTTGAGCTGCATGAATTCGCCTTCTACTAGATTGGCGATGACGGTGGCGAGCAGCTCGGTGACTTCTGGGTCGCGCAGGCGGGCGAGCGCGACGGAGGCGCGGCCGAGGAGGAAGTCGCCGGCTAGGACGGCCATTTTGTTGCCGAATTCTATGTTTGCCGAGGGTGCGGAGCGGCGGGAGATGGAGTGGTCGATTACGTCGTCGTGGAGGAGGCTGGCTGTGTGGATGAGTTCTGTGATTTCTGCGAGGCGGCGTTGCGAGGGGAGGATGTCGGAGTCGTCGGGGGTGTAGGCAGTGTCGCGCGCTGAGTTGCTGAGGGGGCTTGTGTCTGGGTTTTGGTCTGCGAGGATCGCGGGGGAGGTGAGTGGGGTGTCGACGCTGCCCCCCGCTGCTGTTGCTGTTGCTGATCTTGTGCCCCGCGGTGTGAGGGCCGTGGCGCGACTCATGAGCAGGACGAGCATGGGCCGGACGTATTTCCCCTCGCTCTGCGTGTAGTACTTTGCCACTGTGTCGAGGGTGGGGTGTCCCGAGCCCAGCAGCTGCCGTATGTTGCCAGTCAGGAACTTCATCTCTCGTGCTACCGTCTGGAAGGGGTCCATTTTCAGCGGCGCATCCGGTGGCGGCATGCTCTTGATGTGCTGGGCGACGTTGACGGCGGCCACCCATGACGACTGGTTCCGCCGCCGCGAGGGGTGGTAGAGGGACGAGCTGGAGACGCGCAGTGCGGCGGTGCTATGGTGCGGACATGTAGTAGCGAGGCGTGAGGCCGAGTGGCGCGCAAACCCCGTCGCCATGCTCTTTGCGGTCGCCATGTAGATATTTTTCCTCCCTATGGTCCTGGAACGGGGGAGCACGGGTGCAATTGGTCCTGTCCTGTCCTGTCCTGTCCCTCTGGCGTACTGGGGCGAAGATAGGTGAGAGACGCAGAGCCGCTTGTGGTTATCGGAAGTTTTGTACGATTAATCATGACGTTGCCAAGAGCGAGTCAGCCCTGCACGTCAACACGCTTTCGCGTCTGTCTTTCCGCCCGTCTCCATCTCCACCACCAGCCATGGTGCTCCTCACAATGACCCCGGGCATCGTCCGGGCCGTCGCCAAAGCAGCAGAACTTTCGCCAGACGCCGTCCACCTCGCCGACCCCAAACCAGGGAACCCCATCTCGCACAGCCAGCTGATCTCCCTCTCGAAGCTCCTCAAAGCACAACCACCCACAGACTCCGACGATGACGCCCCCACCCTCGCCGCCCTCCTCCAAAACACAACCCTTTACACCCCACCACCAGCCCCCAAGCCCGCCCAAACCCCCGCCTACACCGCCTTGATGGCCCGCCTGCGCGCCCAAGAGGAAGCCCGCTCCTACGAACGCATGCTGCACCCGCCGCCGACGCGCGAGTCATTCAACCAGCGTTTCCCCAGCGCCCCGCACTTCTCCGTCGGCGCCCTGCACACGTCCACGTCCGAAGAAGACGACGTGTCGTATGAAGAAGTACATCGCCAGATCATCTTGATCATCAATGTCATTGTGTCGATTGTGTGTGTTGCCGTGTTTGTGTGGGTTGCTGCGCGGCATTGGACTGTGGGGAAACGACTGGGTCTGAGTATGGGGAGTAGTGGCGCTGTTGCCATTGCAGAGGTGGTTGTGTACAGTGGCTATGTGCGGAAGGTGCAGGAGGCGAAGAGGCTGGAGAAGAAGAAGCCCGAGATCAAGGAGATTGTCGCTAGTTGGATCTTGGACAAGAGCGGCGAGGTGAAGGATGCAGCAAGTGCAAAGGAGAAAGAGGGGGATGGAGTGAGATTCAGAAAGGGCAAGCACCGCTGAAAGTCGGAAGGAATGGCATGGATTCAATTAACGCCAGTTATGCCTAAAGGACAAATGCTGTGACTCCCGGAATGCACGTCATCTACATACTTGCGCCGAAGCATCACAACCGAAAGGAATACGTATCAATGTCAAGACGCCCAGCCCCCAATACATCACCCCCGACACATCACCCCCGATACACCCACCCCTAAAAGGCCTACTTTTTCTTCCTCCCAGCCACACCACCAGCGAATCGTCCGAGATTGCTGAGACTGGATCTAGGCTTGTGACCTGGCGGAATACTCGGTCCCGCAGGCGAAGGCGGCGGAGGTCGCATTCCTCCCCCGACAGGAATATTACTCCGTAGCCCAGGATGCTTCGGCGGGATTTCGGGAGGCGACTTCTCTTTCTCATGCACCGAGCCAGGGCCCATGGGCATATCGTCACCCATAGTCGCATGTCGCTGCGATCGTCTTGCCTTCTCCTGCGTCGACTTGAATCGATCCAGCAGCTCGACCCACTTGACGCTGCCTTCATCTCTTGCCTTGAGTCTATTGCCGCGTTCGAAGCCTGGCACCGAAGGGCCTTGTGGCGCACTGGACGGACCAACTTCTGAGCTCTTTTGCCTCAAATGGTTTAGGGAACTGGCAGAGGAGGGGACGTACGTGCTCGTTCGCGGCGCAATGTGCAGGTACCCAATAGCCGACACGCTGTTGAGGCGGTTTTTGAGAGCAGCAAAAGCTGACGATTGGGGGAGGAGCATCAGCACCCCGTACATGCATTTGTACAGGTGCGGGTACTTCTCCGGCTCGAGGAGCTGAATTCGAAGGTCTAGACGTTATAGTTAGACTTTGGGGTGGGAAGGGTGGGTTCTTGAGATCCTACAGGTGAAGACGGGTGACTCGAGCAGTTGGACGAGTTTGTCAATCTGGATGAGCATATTGACGGTCATTTCAAGGTCCGCGCTGTGATAGTTAGTAAGATTTCCAGCAGACCTGACACACCATGACATACAAAACTTGGAGAAGTTGGTAAGCCTGCTCGTACGCCTGCGCAAGAAGACAGAGTGAGAATGTGGCTACGGCATTATGGCACCAGGCCTTGAAGAGAACGACGAAAAACGACTGCCCGTCCTAGTACAGTAAGCTTTGAGTAATTCAGCAGCGTGTTCAATACCTACCTTGTTGTCAAGATTCCTAAGTCGTCTCCTTAGATCTGCCAACTCCGGCGCTGTGATGAGGTTGTTGTTGAGGTTCTGAACCATTATGCTCGCAAACTCGACGTCCTAAGCTTGTCAGCATGTTGACTATTATCAACACCGTAAAGTCAATATCTCACCTCATCTTTGGCGAGGCAATCGGCCATCGTACGGTATATCTTCTCCGCACTAAGGGTGTGGCAAAGCTGTCTGATGATAAGATTTCCTCGAGTTTCCAACAGTCCGCGATCTGTACAGAACAATTTCAGAAGGTTAACCATGAAAGAGTTGAAGTAAGTGTCGTCGCTGTGCAACGAGATCTGAGCGAGAAGGAGCAGATCACGAGTAACGACAGCCTCTGAAGGATCTGAGAGCGTCTTAAGCAGCGCAGGAAAGGTGCCATCGTCTACGGTGAGTATCTATCGATAGCCAGTTAGTATATGAGTTGCGCACGTGCTCGGTGATCACTTACTCTGCCTGGTGCCATTCTATGCAACATTATTAGCCAGGCGATAGCCGCGACCCGAGTGGCTTCGTGCTCGTTGAGAAACTGCAAAGTGAGAGCACTGACGGCTGCTTGATAATCGAGCTCAGGTATTGGGCGCGGTGAGGGGCCACGTTCCTCTGCAGGGGTTGGCGACCGCGTGCCTGGTGTCTCTGCTATCGTTGCTTGTTCGCGAACTACTGCTTTCAGCAACCTCCCTGATAGGTTCGAATCTCGTCGATATGTGCCCGTGAGCTCTTTGCCCAATTCTGAGAGCGATGGCGGTAGCTGGATCCCGCCAGACGTGCCTTCCGATCGCCCACTGTCTTCTGATAGAGACATGATGTAGTCCATGAGTGCACCATTGACCTTGATCGCAGCTTGACGAACAGTGTCCACGTCGTGGGACATCCTTGGCAGTACGTTCGACAGAAGACTTGGGACAAAAGGCATGATATCCTCGGGACAAATAGCGAAGAGACTGTCGATCCAGCGGAGTGCTGTCAACAGTATTTCGTTCTGTTCTTCATCCGGATCTATAACGGTAAGCTTGCTGTCGTCCTGGCAAGAAGTTTGAGGCTTACCTGATGGGATACTAAGATAGCCCACAAGAATCTCCAAGATCTTTGGGTGATCAACGACAACGTCTTGACCTGGCACCCAGTCGCCGTCGCCGTTGACAGACTTTTCACTCCCATCAGTGACTGACCCGCTCTGTCCACTTGCGTCTTCGGTCTCGTCGACGGATGCGCGTTGTTCAAGGGGTGTACCACTTCTGGTGTCGCTCTCGAGTCCTTCACTGTGGGAGCTTGCGGTGGAGGGTCTATGGTCGTCTTTGCTATGACTCTTCTTACTATCCGCTATACCCTTCTTGATCCTCGCGATTTTCTTGATCTCGTTAAGGAATCTGTCCAGCGACACTTGGGTCATGGTATACACATCCTGGTTCGAATCGCTAAGAAATTTAAGGAGGCCGCCAAGGAAGCGTGGGAGGTGAGCAATGAGCTCGAGGTCTGGTATCGAGTCCAGCAGAGTTATCCATGCCACCAAGAATGATCGTGTGAAAGCGTTGAGCACATTTATCCGCTCTTCGAGGAGCGGCAGAAATCGCTCGAGGTTGAAGGCGGTGGGCAGGTCTGACGGATGTTGCGCGTGGTCATCGCTGTGGTCTTGATCGGAAGGCGAAGATGTATGCAGTATCGAAACGTAAGAAGCAGCAGACTCGGAAACAATGTCCTTGACCAGTCGGTCCAGCAGCTCTGCTCCATTCTTGACTGACGGTTCAGAGTCGGCAGCAAGCTACACCAGTCGCATTAGTCGTATGTCAAGTCTATGCCCTCGTGGTATTCCGTACCTTGCAAAGCGCATCGAACACTTGGTTAAAGTAGACAAGGACCTCACCCTTCGCGACCTTTGCGATGTTGTACATGCTCTCGCAAGCGTAGTAGCGGACACGAGCATCCTGATCAGCGAAGCAGGCGAGAACGGGAGGCACGATTTCTTCAAGATAGCGGGCTACATCCTGCAACAGAGTAAGCACACACCAGACATATCCTGGCTTTTTGTACACACGGGTCCTAATGCTATCGAGGCTGCCGCCAGCCCAATCAGTCCGCCATTTCTGGCGTGAGGCTGGTGAACCGCGTACGCATATTCGTGGCAGAGTTGGTGCACGATTTTGGCTATCCTGTCGTGGTCCTGCGAATTGAGCGCATCCCTAATCAGTCCCTCGAGCTCGAGGGCTCCACTCTTGCGCTTGTCGTAGAGCTTGTCGTTGAGCGCCTTGGTAATGCTGGGATCCATGTTGAGATAGTGAGTGAGTAAGCAGGCTGTCTCTACATGCTGCGGCGGGCGTATTGTGTTATGTCAAGCGCAGAGCCATGGTGATGTAAGAGAGGTGATATTGCGGCTTCCCAAAACACGACTCGGCGATGTTCTGGCGGCCCGTTCACACGTCATCGCAGCGCGTGAAAGATGATCCCTGCTAACCTGCCGCCGCCGATGGACAAAACACCCAACAACAATCACCACGTCTGCCTCAATGAGCTCTTTAGATTCGCTGCTGCAAGACAGCTTGCTCTCCACATCAACGGAAATATGGGTCATCCTGCTTAGCAGCCACAGCCCATACCAAAATTAGGCAAGCCCCCTCAGCCGTCGCTCGTAACACACCCGGCGAGGTTGACGCTAACCACACCTGCTCGTGCTGGGTCTGGTTCACCCACGGAAAGACGCGATGGAAAAGTTCAAGAACAAAATACTGCACCCTCGCAAATCGTGGCAAGAGAAAGAGACGAAACAGACTCCTGGAAATCGATCTGCAGGCTTCCAACATTGGGCGATAGCTTTGTGAGTGCTTCCATCACTCTCACTGATCAAGGCTGATTCAAAATAGTATTGTTTGCAACTTCAACGTCGACGTAGGGTAGGTGAGAGAAAGATATCTCACAACATGATCCATGCACTGATATCCTGGCGCAGCCCGGAGATTGAGATTCTCTATCCACCAGATGTCCCGTTCACAACTGTAGACCTTAGTGCAATATGCTTCAACAGGTACATTGTACTCTGTTATTCGAATTCAATACAACCTCTAAGATGTGCCTAGCTTTCCCGAGCAACAAAATACCGAAACTGCAGAAGACCTTACCTTCAACTTTGCCATTACCAACAATTCTCCTGATGTCAAACTGAACTCGCCACATGCTCCGCATGGCAGTGCCAGCACTTTCCATGGCTCATGTGTCTTTCGACAGGAATTTGATGGCACAATGAAGAGAAGTTTCAATCAAAGGACCCTCGTTCTGATATCTCATCATAACTTTCCTGCATTCTACAACCGAGTGTTACAAGAAATGACTGCGTCGGGATCGATCAGTGATCCAACGACTCTGGAGACGGCGTACTCACAGGTCGTTTCATGGCCGCCGCCTTCCATCGGACGGCAAGAGCTCCCCTTCATGGGGAAGATGTTGACTCTAGATATCGCGCCGCATCCATCATTTCCACTGCAAGGCCTGCCCGGACCCACTCCCCTGATCTCAGACACACGTTCTTCGATCTATGCCTACGAACCTGTGGGATCGTGGGATACCATCATGCACTTCATGCCCTGCATTACAGATCTTTACGTCCTGTACGAAAAGCTCATTCTTTGCGAAAGCATCATCGTAATCGCCAAGTCACCGCAGCTAGCGAGTGAAGCAATCTCCTCACTCCTCGACCTCATCTGCCCTGTACCATATGCCGGGGTCATCAAGCCATACATGACGATGCAAGCTGACTTCCGAAGCATTGGCATCGACGGCGGAACACCACGCCCGTTCATCGTCGGCGTCACGAACCCCTTCCTCCTCAAGCGCATCGTAGCAGCAGCAGAAAGCAGCCACCGAGCAAGACCGCACATCCTGTATCTCCAAAACTTCGACGGCCCCGTCCCAACAAGACGACGCCACTCCTTACACCACACATCGAGCCGCAACGCGCTCCTAGACCTACCCGGCGGCGGCATAGAAGTCCACACCCCCTCAAAACGCTTCCTGAAATCCGACTCAACCATAGTCTCCCAAATCGAAGCCCTGCTCAAACTCGGCGACCAGACCCGCGAACTGGACCTCATCGTCCGCCGCCACTTCGCAGAGCTCACGGCCCAGTTCGTCGCCCCCATCAACCGCTACCTCGCCACGTCGAATGTCGTCGCGCCAGGAGGCGGCCACCGTCGGTATGCGAGCTTCTCCGCGCCCGACTTCCTCCAGAGCGTGAGCAAGTACGGCACGAGTGTCAAGTTCCGCGTCCAGGTCCCGATACTGCACCATCGTGCGAAGGACGGCTTGTACGAGAGCTTCTGCAACTCGCCGAACTTTTACTCGTGGTTGGAGATGAAGATGTCGCTGGAGAACGAGGCTTCGGCGGGGTCGTTGGGCGCGGGCGTTGCGTCGTCGAGGACGTGAGGTGGGATGTTTCCATCGTCTTATGGGTAGGGCGTTTGATGGTTTTATTTAATGTTTTTGGGATATATTATATTTAGGTCGCATGTTTGTCTGTTGTAATCTAGACACCATTGGGTATCATGGCTTGTTCGAATTGGAAATGATCAATACTTTTGCCATACCTCTGGGTACTTGGAAGCAAAGAGTTTCTGCCTCTGACTTGAATCTGCTTGTTGAAATAACAAATAGGAGCTGCGAAGTATACCATCTGTTGAGCAAAACACGTAGGAGACTGAATACAGCGTTGGATGATACGTGCTTCATTCTCTCAAGCATATTCTATACCGGCTTGGAGATATTTCTTAACATACTTACTCTCCATCAAGTATAAAAGCCATGGTAGCCCTTGATTTCACTCGAGACTCTTCACAGACGAACAACTCACTGCCATCGCACATTTACTTCTGTGTGCACTCTACAAGTCCCTCAATCTCATTGCATAATAGCTCTACAATCCCAAACCATCACTCTTTCATCCCACCCCGTACTCGCACACCAGCCCTCAGCACCAAACATGCACCAATCCACCCCAGTGACGAACTCTGTATGTCGGCCCATCTTCCCCATCTCTCTCCCACCGCCTAACACCATGGGGTCTTCCAGCATGTTCTCCTGCTTTATCGACCCAACGCCCATAGCGCTACCATCTGTCCACACACGACACGTCATGTCGTAACTAGCACTGAGAAGAATGTCCGAAAGATGCGGCGACCATGTTACCTTCCTCACGGCGTACTCGTGGCCCGGTAGTATGGCAATAGGCCCGGCTTGTGGCATGCGGATGTCGAATGTGCGGATTACGCGGTCTACGCCTGCGGTCGCGACGATCGTGTCGCGGTACTTGTTCCAGTCGTGCGTGAGGGCTTCTGAGGGCGGGATGCCGACGGGCGCTGGAGTGCCCATGCGAGGCTTCGGTGGGGTGTGTATGGGTATATTCATAGTGAGGTGATTACTCGCGCTTGCAGGAGTCCTCAGATCAAAAACGCGCAGATGCGAGTCGGAGCTCACACTGCTCAGTATGCTCGGGCTGTGGGGGCTGAATGCGGCCGAGTATGTGCAGGAATGCGTGGGCAGAGTCATTAGACTAGCGCTCGCATTCGGGTTCCAGATCTTTATTGTGCCGTCCCAACTACTCGATAGAAACGTGTCTTTGGAGACGAGGTTCCAGTGCACGGAGAAGACTTCGCGCGCGTGTTCTTGCCATGACTGGACGGGAAATTGGGAGAGCGTGATGTCGAAGAGTTTCACAGAGCCATCGCCGCCTGCGGTGAGAATCTGGTTCTCGTGCGCTTCCGACCACGTCGAGTCGAAGAGAGAGTCTTGCGTGTCGAACCTATCCACGTCTCGTTAGGGCTGGTGACATGTGACAGCGGACGTTATGGTGGAAGGGAAACGGACTCACCACTTCTCGGCCACAATCCCGTTGGCTGTTAGACCTAAGATGTAGAGTCTCCCATTGCCTACCAAACCGAAGTTGGCTGATGCTGCGACGGCTATGCGCGAATCGAAGAAGGGCGAGTACTTGACGCTGTAGCCGTTATAGCCCTGTGTACGGAATTCGAGCATGGTGCACGTCTCTATGGAATAAAAGTCAAGAACTAATGTCTCGGTCTATGGCGCATGCGATGAATGTTGTGTGCAGCGCATCGTCGCCAGTAAAGAGTTGCTGTTGTTGATGTTTGCGCGGCATGTTTGCTGATGACGGTTCGCGATCGTCGGCCGAGGCTGTCTTCCAGCGGGGTGTATTGGCATCACGTGCTAGCGCGTTCTCGCGTTCAATCGCCACTTGAGGCATCCATGTAATCACGCACTCTATCCAACAACATGGACGCGTTTGTGTCCCGCAAAAGGAGACGGGTTGATGGGTTGCAGGCATATACAGTACCACTAAATCTCACACCTGTCCATGAAGCGCCACCTGTAGAGGAGGAATCCACAGACTTCAAATTGGCTTTATTGGCATCCCTCTATCCGAACTTAGATGGAGCAACTCTACTTGAAGCCCTTCTCGTCTCTGACGGCTCAGTTGAGCAAGCGTCAGAATGCCTTACGGGAAGGCAACTTAAACCCCCGCGCAAGCGACCTGCAGCCGCAATAGGATATCAATCATCACTAACTTCGTTCCGCATAACAACCCAAAGTGGAGGACCGGCGAAGAGGCCCATGGTCAAGAAGGGTGCTACACTGCATTTGTACAGCCCAGAAGATATCGAAGCACACACTCCATGTTCGATCATACACAATTTCTTGCCACCCAAGCAAGCCGACGCGCTGCTGTTACAGCTACTTGAAGATGCACCTACCTACCAAAAGTTAGAGTTCAAACTTTTTGACAGAGTTGTTTGGAGTCCTCACACATTCTGCTTTTACGTCAACAGCCTGGCAGAAGCCGAAGAACAGAAGGCCGAGTACATCTATGATGGACGCAAGGTGGAGGTAGGTATATGCAAATTGCATATTGTATGGCTCTACTAACACTATCCAGGATGTCCGCCAGAGCCTGCCAGAGATGCTCAACGCTTGCCCACAAGTCGAAGAAGCTGTGAATCGCGAAATCCAACGGAGAATCCAGGACTTCTATCCGAACGGCAAGAAACTGAAGTATCAGTCTCCTCATCCCTGGAAAGCCAACACTGCCTTTGTAAATTGCTACGACGGGCCTCAGGAAAACGTAGGATACCACGCCGACCAGCTCACCTACCTGGGCCCCCGAGCAGTTATCGGCAGTCTAAGTCTCGGTGTTGCTCGTGAGTTCCGCGTGCGCAGAATCGTAGCAGAAGGCGACGAATATCGCAAAGCAGACGGGAGCCTGGCAGACGCACAGGGCCAGATATCCATCCACCTACCACACAATTCACTCCTGATCATGCACGCTGAGATGCAGGAGGAATGGAAGCACTCCATTGCCCCGGCGCAAGCTATTGATCCGCACCCTTTGGCGAAAAGCAAGCGGCTCAACATCACGTACCGGTTCTATAAGGATAATCTGCACCCAAAGTTTACACCTATGTGCCATTGTAAGGTTCCAACGGTGCTCAGGTGTGCGACCAGGAAAAAGGAGTCGAGAGGCAGGTATATGTGGATGTGTCATACGAACTATGTTCCAGGTCAGGATGGGTGCTCATTCTTTCAATGGGCGGAGTTCGATGACGATGGAGAGCCGCCATGGGCAGAGAAGGTCAAACTTGATGTGGGACAAAAGGAAGACCCAGCAGTGTCGACGAGTGACCAAGCCAAGAAGTGAACTCGAGGGGATGACAAGATCACATGTCGCAACAGCGCGAGCTCTCTCAGGATCAACAGCTTCCCTAACCACGTTAGTTTTTGAGAAGCACGGTGCGCAGTGAGATGAAATGGAGTAAGATCGACGAAGAAGCTTTCTCCAGGCGTAAGAGCGGAAGTGTCTAACGAGCAGCCGGGGCTAGTAGTCAGAGAAAGAGCAAAGACGGAGAAGCGATCAGGCCAGAAGGTGCGATGCACCTGCACTATAACAACTCCATCTGGCCACACCACCACCAAAACCTCACTATCATCACACAACATCAACACCATCAACAGTACAGCCGCGATCAAACACCACCAGCACCGGCAGTCTATCGTTATCACTACCACCACTCAAACATCAACACGCCTACCCGCAAACATAGCCATCCGCTTCCGTCCACCACCAACCCGCCCACCCCACAACACCCACCATGCCAGTCTTCACAACCCACCAAGCCTTCGTCTTCAACCCCACCCACCCAACCATCACCACCACGCTCAACACCTCCCTTAACTCCCTCCTCGCAACCCTCCTCCTATGGGCCTTCCTCTACCTTATATACCTATCGCTACAATTCGGCACGTGGCTAGGCAACAAAGTACAGAAGTTAGTCGTTAACGCATTTGTTAGTCCAGAGGCATATGTGTTAAGCGCTGTAACGACGACAAGCTTAGAGGAGAGGAGCGGCGAGGGCGTGGTGCAGTGGCGGACTGAGCGCGTTGTGAGGATTCGTGTGTTGGGTCGGCTGGGGGGTGAGGAGAGGGTGTTGGAGGGGAGTGTGGAGGTGCGATGGAAGGATGGGGATGGGGGGTTGTCGACGGGGAAAGAGGCCAGGGTGGGTAAGGTCCGGTGTCGCAGCAAGACTATCTGAGGGCTGTGGGGTTTCTGGTCTGTTGGGTTTGTTGGTGGGTAGGCGGATTAGGCGGGTATTGCTATTACACTGTTCATGCGTGGGGAGATTGGGAAGTCTTGGGGGTCTTGCGGTTAGAGGGTATCATTGTTGTAATGGTCTCTACCGTCTTCTCCTTACTTAGGCTTGAGCTTAGGATTTGGAACCAGAAGTCATATTTTCGATCCCGTATTTGACTTTCCTGCAATGTTGTCACTCGTTGTTATGGGTTGGAGAGTGTGCAAGGTATGATTGTGTAGAGAAGATATTTGCACGGCGGCAGATTAAAAGTCTTGGATAGACTCCCCCTCACTTCTACTTGCGATGATCAAGTTTCTCTCTGTAGGGGCCCCGTTTCACGATGTCTCGCCCGGTCGTCCCGAGTATCTCTATCCTTACTGTGCAAAGTGTGTCTATGATTACTCCCCCTATCGCGGTCTCTACTTCGACTCCTACTCCGCCGCCTTTCCCGTCTCCGCCCAGCGTCAAGATCGTGCTTCCTCTCACGGCTGCGACTCCGACTTCTACGACGAGACCTGTGTCTCGACAACACATCCTTATCACCGTGACGATCAGAGTGATGCGACGAAACCTCCGCACCATCGTCTTGTTTCCTCCTCCTTTTATGCTGCCTACTCCGGTCATCCCTCTCCTGCTCGTTTCGCAGCTCCATCAACTCTCGCTTACGCTCCGCGGCCCATCTCTTCTTGTCCTCTTTTGACTTCTTCAGCTGGGATTGCGCTTTCTGCATGAAAGCAAAGGGGTCGTTGGAGCTTATACGAGCTTGTTCCCTGGTTTTACGTAGCGGGTCTTCGTCGCCCCAGACGTTTTTGCTTTCCAAGGCTGCCAGATTCTCGCTTGGTCTGGCGTCTTGCGACGGCTCTTTGTGTGCCGATAAAGAATACCAGGGCTGGGTTGTTCCCCCTCTGCCGGCTGCGTTCGAGAAGCGCATGGTATATTGGTCCTCGAGTGCTTTTCGCTTCTTCTGCTTCTCTCTCTCGAGCTCGGCGTTCTTCTCGCGTTTCATGGCCTCCTTGACGTCCACGGGGAACAGGTTGATGTTGCCGGCGTGGTCGGTGAGCGGGGCGTCGCTGGCTGAGGTGCGGAGCTTCAGGACTTTTGTTCCGTCGTCGTCGTCGACGCCTTTGGGGGCTGTGATAGACGCTGCTAGTCGGATATCCATGTCTGTGTCGTCTTCGCCGGCGAGTTTCCTCCGCTTCTTGTCATGGCCGCGGTCGCGTTTACCGTTTTCCCTTTCTCGTTCAGCGTCCTTTTCTGGATCTGCTTCGGGGAGTGGCGGGGGTGTGAGACCTCGTAGTATGGCGGCGCGTCGTTCTGCGTCGAGGTCTTGCATGCGCTGCTCATCTGCGGCTTCGCGGGCGGCGGCAGCATCTTCGTCGGCCTTGACGCGGGCGATGTTGGCGGGGTTGTAGACGTTCCATGACTGTGGCGGGTTAGCTGTAGGGGTCGAGAACAAATATATAGTCGATGAGGTACCTTTTTGCCTAGTAAATGTCTGTCATGTCGTTAGCTGTGAGTGACTGTATATAGGATTCGCACAAGCGCAAAAGAACTTACAGAGGCATGTTGTGATAAATTCCGAGCGACTCTAGCAGCGGAAACGTCTCTTTGATGTCTGAGTAGTTAGCCTGTCATTGTGGGGAATAGCTCAGCGCCAACTTTGGGGTGAACGGCGGACAATGGGAAAGCGGAACCGAAGCGCGATCAGTGAACCGCGACCTGCATTAGCTTCCCCAGTTTTCGATCGACATGGACATGCGACCTCCAATCTCCCTATCCACATCATCAGATCGTCACTGCCAGCCAGGACCAGGTCCCTTTGCCGTTGTCCTCCTCTTGTCGCGCAAAACAAACTCCGATTCCACATCATTCGCCAACTCATCCGTTGTTTGCCCTCCAATTCGGAGTCCCGTCCGTCGTCAGGTCCGAGGAGGAAAACGGCCCGGCCGCCCGCCAAACGCATATCGTCGAAACCGTTCGTACAATTTCCGAACGCCTGACCTTTGATGTGTGACAATGTGCAACTCCGCCGTAGAAACTTGATAAAGAAGCAAATTGTCCCATGCAAGCAGCTCATTCGACCTACCACTGCATAGGGAGCTGAGCTGACTTAAGAATACGGATCTCACCGAATTGCTTTTTCCCATCCTCGAGCTGTGTGACGAGCTGTTTGCGTTAAACACCCACCCCACGGACGTGCCATCTGTATTCTTCTGGATATTCTCTCAAAAATGCCTACCTGGCTGGTTCACGGCTTTCGATGGCCCCGCACGCAAATTCGCATTCATACCATACTCCAGAATCTCGACGATGTAGCTCCCGAGTGGCTCATGGCGCCGGCGACCTCGGCCTGCATGCTGGAAAACTTCAAGAAGGAGTACCCGAACGAGATGGAACAGATGCCTGATCTCCGTTTCATCGAGCAATATGACCCCGAAGATCTCACTGTCAAGGACCAGCCGTACGCATATGTTTGCGACAAGGTGCGCGAAGTCAAGCTGGGTGCGGACCTGGATGAGGTGCAAAGCGATGGTTTGAAATATGGCCAACAGGCGCCAATCACAGAGCTGAGAGACAAGGTTGCGCCGGGTGAGAAGCTGGGCTGGTTTGTCGTTGTTAATGGAGATGTGGAGAGATGGGCACCACCGCTGGACGACGATGAGGAAGACTACGAGGATGAAGAATACGAACAAGAAGTACAAGAAGTACAAGAAGTAGAAGATGTGGAAGATGAGAGCGCAGAAACAAACACCATCACCGCTTCGAGTCCACGTAGTAGTGCTGCGAGCTCCTTTCCCACACGACCGCCCGAGCAGGAGAGGCCGTCCACGAGCAAGAGCTTCAAAAACTGGTTTGGAGGAAAGGTCAAGAAAGCGCGAAGGTGAGAATCTTGTAAAACGATGTTTAGTGGACTTGCTAACTGATTATCCTATAGTCTGAGAGACCTAAAGGCCGAACTGGTGCGAAACGAGCCGCCTCCACCGCTGCCGCCCATTTCGCCTAGTGCTGCGCTTCAGCCTCCGAAGTCATCAAATGGAAAGAGGCCTGGGCAGTCGGAGAGCAAGAGTATGAGTTTTAGGACGAGGTGGTTGTCCTCCGAGAAGAATCCGGTGAGCACATGAGGCTGCTGAGAGTTTGTGCGATTAGCTGTTTGAGGTATTTTGGGGATTTTCATGGGGCTCAACAGGCGTTTGGTATTGGGACACTCAGGTATGAGTAAGGATATGCTGGAGTCTCGCAGAGAGATATGTATATTAAGTTGAAGAGTACGCAGTGTATGCTTCTATCGTACTAGTTGCACAGTACGATGTGATTGTCCTTGTTACATAGTAGACTGGCGACTCGAGTAAGCCTATTGGTAGTTTAATTTATTCACCTAGTTTTGATCATAAGATAATATGGCACTGAGCTACAGCAGGTCTTGTCGCATACTCGTCATTCGGGTTAGCGTCTCACGTGATACCGTTCTAGGTGGAAACTTCGTCACGGCTGTTCACCGCGTCCTTCGCATTCGCATATACCTCATTACGACCACACTTTGCTACTCGGGACCGCTTGAGCGCGCCAATCGCTACGACACGTCGAACTTGAAGAAGCTGCAACTCGTATCGTTCGACAGCTTGATACTTCGCCGGACGACAGTGAGAGGACCAATAGAGCATCAAGGGCCTCCACAACCCTCCCGGCCTGCAATTATAACCACCCGTTCAACCACATAAACGCGACAATACCGTCAATATGAGTGGCCGTCGCGACTTCTTGTCGATGCCTGCGCCCGAGAACTACGTAGCTGGTCTCGGGCGTGGTGCTACTGGGTTCACAACTCGAAGTGATTTGGGCCCAGCTCGCGAGGGGCCTTCTGAGGAGCAGATGAAGGAGATGCTGGCAAAACGTGCGGCATCTCTAGGGCAGGCAGCTCCTTCCGCGTATGGCGTGACAGAGAAGAAAGAGGAGGAAGAGGACGAGGAGGAGAAGAGGTTCCAAGATCCCGACAATGAAGTCGGTTTATTTTCAAGCGGCATGAACTACGACAAGGAAGATGACGAGGCAGATCGGATATACCAGGATGTAGAGGAGAAGATGGACAGACGGCGACGAATCAGAAGGTTAGTATCCCTTTTTGCTTTCCCCTCTTTGCCCATACTCTCTTGCCCCTCTATCTATGTTGTCGAAGTATTCATTGTATGTTTTTCCACGAACAGATACCGATGTCCGACCTAGGGAAGCTCGCGAGCAACAAGAACGTGACGAATACGAGAAGAACAACCCGAAGATCCAACTACAATTCGCCGACCTGAAGCGTGCGCTCGGTGCCGTGTCCGAAGAAGAGTGGGCCGCGTTGCCTGAAGTAGGAGACATGACGGGAAAAGCGAAGCGCGCGAGAGAGGCTCGCATGGCAAACTCGAGGTCGTACGCGGTGCCGGATAGTGTACTGCAAGCTGCGAGCAAGTCGGGAGAGCTGGACACGTCAATCTCCTCCAACGACGCCGATTCTGGAACTATGACAAATTTCGCTTCCATCGGAGCCGCACAACTGTCAGCCCTTACTGTCCGATTAGACTCGGCGGCCTCAGCTGCTCCTGGCACACAGACGGCGACAACGTCCGGAACAGCGACAACGGTCGATCCGAAAGGCTACATTACTGCATTGGATAGGAAACAGGCAGCGGGTGATGAAGTGCCTGTGGAGGATATCAACCGTGCGCGAGTGCTGCTTGAGTCGGCTGTCAAGACAAACGTCCACAACGGCCCTGGTTATGTCGCTCTTGCACGTCTCGAAGAGGTAGCAGGCAAGATTCACACCGCCAAGAAGGTCATCCAGAAGGGCTGTGAGATGTGTCCCAAGTCGATAGTTGTGTGGGAGGAAGCTATTCGTCTGAATCGAGAGAACATACACAACGCTAAGATCATCGCGGCGAACGGCATCAAACTCAACCCAAAGGCTATCAGACTATGGCAAGCTGCTATCGAATTGGAACAGACGCCCGCAGCTCGGAAGAAGGTTACTCGGCAAGCCCTCGATCACAACGCGCAGTCAGTGGAACTGTGGAAGACATTGATCAACGACACCGAGGAAATTGAAAATGTCAAGCTTCTGTTCGCCAAGGCTACCGATACTATACCTCTATCGGAAGAGCTGTGGATTTCTTACGCACGCGTAAGTGACGCTGATGCAGCTCAGCAGGTGCTGAACAAAGCGCGTAAAGCAATCCCTACGAGCTGGGCGATCTGGATACATGCTTGTAGGTTGCAAGAAGAGCTAGGGAAGGTTGAAATGTGCGACAGGATCATGGAACGAGCCGTGAAGGCATTGATCAAGGAGAACGCCATGATCAAGCGTGAGGAGTGGTTAGCTCAGGCTGAGATCTGCGAAGAGGAGGGCGACAAAGGCACAGCAGCGTCAATTATCAAAGCCACCGTAGGCTGGACTCTCGACGAGGACGACGATCGACGTGACATATGGCTGGAAGATGCCAAGTCTATTTCGAGTCGTGGCCGCTACGAGTCCGCTCGTGCTATCCTTGGCCATACTGTATCGATATTTCCGTATTCGACTACCGTTTGGCACGCGTCTGCTGATCTAGAGAAACACCACGGCACCACCGAATCCCTTCTTAGCGTCCTTGAACGCGCGGTAAATGCCTGTCCCAATTCAGAATCTCTCTGGCTATTGTACGCCCGAGAAATGTGGCACTCGGGAGATCCTGAAGGTGCTCGCAAGGTTCTTGGACGTTCCTTCGAACAGCTACCCGGTAATGAGAACCTCTACACCCGTGCAGTCGACTTCGAGGTCGATGCCGGTAACTACGAGCAGGCGCGTAGTTTCCTGCAGGTCGCTCGAGAGTCTGCTGCCACTGACAGGATCTTCATGAAATCCGCCGTCCTCGAGCGACAACTGGAGAACTACGAAGCAGCAATCGACATCTGTAACCAGGGCCTGCAAAACTGGCCCGGCAGCTGGAAACTACACGCCGTCAAAGGGCAGATATACGAGCAGCTATCCAAGCTCAAGGAAGCCCAAGAAGCACTGAGCGTCGGCACCCGCGCCGCCCCCAAATCGCCAATCCTCTACATCCTGCTATCGCGCATGCAAGAAAAGTCCGGCGCCGTCGTCAAAGCGCGCTCCACGCTCGACCGTGGGCGCCAACAGAACCCAAAGAACCCCGACCTCCTCTGCGAAGCGGTGCGTCTCGAGCGCCGCCAAAACAACGTGCCCGCCGCGCAGAAAATCATGGCCGCCGCACTCCAAGAATGCCCCACGTCGGGCCTGCTCTGGACAGAGAAGATCATGCACCTCGAGGCCCGCACGCAGCGCAAGCCCCGCGCCCTCGAAGCCATCAAGAAAGTCGAAAAAGACCCGCAGCTCTTCGTCGTCGTGGCGCGCATCTTCTGGGCTGAGCGCCGGCTTGATAAGGCCGCTACGTGGTTTACCAAGGCTATTGTGCTCGACTCGGATTATGGCGATGGGTGGGTTTGGTACTATAAGTTCCTCGAGCAGCATGGTACTGAGGAGAAGAAGCAGGAGGTGCTTTCTAAGGCGGCGATGGCGGAGCCGAAGCATGGTGAGGTTTGGCAGGCGGTTGCTAAGGATCCGAAGAATGCGACAAAGGGCGTGGAAGAGATTCTTAAGCTTGCGGCGGCGAAGGCGGAGTAGACTATGCGTTGTCTGGAAGTAGAGTGCGTGGGTGATGTTGGGAGACGTTTGGGTGTTTGGATCGTCTTATCCTCTTTCCTCGATTGAGGAATGTAGCCTCCATGCACTTCTTCTTCTCTCTTTCCAAGCAAAGAATGGGGATGTGAGAACGAGACTTGGTGTATATCATGTGTAAATAGCTGAATAAGAAACAATGATTTTGTACACCTCTCGCCATAAAGGTGCTACACAACTTTGGATAGATGAACTATGAATATGAGTTTCCAAACAGAATACCGACACCAAGTCCCCTCAACAAGCCCGTCCCATCCTCCCGCGCCATTCATCTAAACACGTTGGATACACACGCACGCACATTCGCAAATAGGGTATCATCCCACACCCAAGCCCAAACGCCAAACAAGCCCTCCGGAACGCCAAAAAAATGCATCAACAAACCAACCCCCACAACATTCTCTCACAAGTCCCCCAGGCTCAAAACGTCATCAAGCGCATCATCCAACGCAGCTAAGTCCTGCACGCTGCCGCCCTGCCATCCAAACCCGAACCCCATGCCCATATCGTCATCGAGGAGCATCGGATCGCCAAAGTCGTCAGCAGCGGCGGGGGGGAAATGCAAAAGCGGCATCGCACTCGCACTCCCATTCAGCCCACCATTCAGCCCCCCATTAATCCCCTGTCTCGGCGCAGCAGGCGGCAGATCAAACCCATCCTCCACACCCACAGTATCCAAAAACTTCGTATTCACAATCGCCCCAGCAATAAGCGGTGTCTGACCCAAAAACGAGTCCCCAAGCTCAAGCGCAAGTCTCAAATCCTCCATACAAAGCACCCTCCTCGTCCGCCGCTCCTCCGTCTCAACAGGCAGCTCGCCATTCCCCGCGCGCGCCAGCTCGCCGCGCTCCACGAGGCGTTCCTCGCGGGCAACGCGCTTTTTGAACTCGCCTGTGCGGATGTAGGAGGGGCCGTTTGCGCAGACTTTGCCCAGGAAGGAGGCGAGGGCTTCTTTGATGTAGGTTTCTGTCGCGAGGTTGAGGTAGTCGGGACAGTCTGGGGTGTGGCCCTGGGCGAGGCCGAATTCGTAGCAGATGGGGAGGAGGCGGTGGGAGATTGTTGTTGCGGTGGGGAATTCGTGGGTTTCGGAGAAGAGGGCGGAGGTGTAGCGTTTGCGGATCTCGAGGTCCCAGTCTGGGTGAAGGTGTTAGTAGGGTGTTGAGACTGGGGAGGTGGGGGAACTTACTCGTCTTCGAGTAGCTGCCGCCTTGGATGTTGGTGGGTCCTGTTTCTGGCTGCTTTACTCTGCGCGCGTCGATGTACTCCTGCACTGTCCCGATGCCCACCACGTCGGGCCCGAAATTAAGAGCGTTATCCGGGGGGATAGTTTTTAATCGCTTCCGTTCTCTGCGGCTCAGCTGCATAACCTCGTACTTGAGCCGCTTCTCGCTCTCATCCCCTGCCCCCTTGGCCGTCCCACTGCTCGGCTTATCGCTACTCGACACCCAGCTCGCGATGCCCGCTTCAGGCACATCGCGCCAGCAGTTCGCATAGATGGCCGTGACGAGCGCGTTGTGTGCGCGTTCCAGGGCGGGTGTGGTTAGAATTCTGCCCAGCCGCCATGAGAGCTCCTCCTGGTTCAGTTCGCCGAGCAGGAAATCCGACAGCGACTTCTTGTAGGTGGTCCAGTCGGCGTCGCTCACGGCGCCCTTGACGGCGGCATACAGGGGCTCGACGTCTATCCGGGGGGTGCGTGGGGCGCTGGGCTTCTTTGCGCTGTCTGCGACGGGGAGCGGGTTGGCGGAGAGGATGGGCGTGATGGAGAGGTTGAGTTCGTTGGGCCGCATGGTGGCCATGCTGGCGGCGAGGATGCGCCGTGGGCGCGCTCAGAGCGTGCTGAGACGTGGTGCGGTCGTGGTTGTTGTTTGTGCTGCGGGCCGAAGCGCGTGATGCTTGTGATGCTTGCGCGCTGGCGGAGCAGGCTGCGGAGGTTGAGCCGGGACCGAGGGCGATTGAGGGCGCTGCACGAGGGCAACGGGGCGTCAAATGGATCGCAGGGGCTGTCGGTAATGTCTGGCGATGGACTCGAGACTCGGCGGGTCGGGTGCGGCGCCTGACGTGATGGAACCGTGTGAGGTTGGGGGTTCGCGTCGGAGGTTGCGGAGTTCACGCCAAGTGCTGGAGCATTCATTCTGGGGTAGCCACCAACATTGTCTCTCTCGCCTCTGGAACAGATCGCCGCCGTGTTCCACAATAATCACCAGACTGTCAAGACATGGACGTGTCCAAGTTCAAAGAATCATTAACTAAACATTCATACACTCGTGGTCAAATGCTCCTGTAAATGCATCCTAACCCATGCCCACAACCTCCCAAACAATCGCTTTTGTGTCGTAAGCATCCTTCATGCCCTGCCTGTCTACGAGTCATCACCAAACACATCCTCCAGGTCCACCTTGCCCACACTCCAGATCTCCCTCTCATCCTCCATCTCATCGCTTGACAGGCCAAGCCCACCAGCACCACCCTCGGCCTCCTTCCTCTCACGCGCTTGTCCAGCGAGCCTGAGCGCTACCCTCTTGAAGTAGTCACCCATGCTGCGTTGCTGTCCAGCGGATAAGCTCTTGCCCGCTCCACTCATATACTTGTCAAACACCTCGCTCTCTTCGTCCACTACCGAGAAGATGGTGAGGAACGCTGCTTCGGCAGAGAGCTTGACTGGAATGACAGGATCGCGAACCGATGCAAACACGGCCGGTACAAAAAGCGGGATGTGGGGGCGAACCAAATCGTTGTGCTTTCGGGCAACGGTACGCAGAACCACAAGGGCTAGACGTCTCGTATCTACTGGGTGGCCCGGCTCAATCAGTGGCGCCAGTGCTTCAAACAAAGGCTTCGTATGGTCAAACGTCTTGTTTGTCTCTTCCCCTAGCAGATATTTGCCCGCAGCTAGAATCGAGTTGTCTGAAATGACAGGCTGCGAGTGACCCATACCTTGGCCGATGACAGACACAGTTTCGTCAGCCAAAGATCCCGTTAGTGCACTTGAAGCATCGAGCAATACGGCATTGAGCGCCAACAGTGAAGATTTGCTGAAGTGGGTCGTGAGAACACGAGACTTGATCAGGCTGGCGGCAGCCTCTTCAGGTAGGCAGCCGATGAGGGCACCCAACAGTCGGGCATACGTTATAGACATGGCATCTTGTACAAGTCAGCTGGCCGTTGCACAAAGTTTCAAAAATCTGCCACATGACTTACCATCAGAGTCGTCTTGCTCGTTATCAATGAGACTCAGAATTGCGTTTCTGCTCGCCTCGCTCATGTTCTTACCAGCCTTGCTCACCACCTCGAACAAGGCCTTCAACATGGCGTTCTTGACTGCCTGATCGCTGGTCTTTGACCCAGTCACAAGTTCTGCAATGAGAGGGTCCACCCTTGGTGTCAACTTGATCAATGTACCAAGAGCCTTTGCTGCTCGTGCTCGCAGAAGATCAGACGACGTGTCGGCAAGCGACTTCGCAAACGTTCGCTGAAGCTGAGGCAAAAATGGCTTGAGGAATGTTGGAATCTTCTCCAACAAGTTATTGAGCGTGAGTAGAATAGCCGCCTTGACTTCCGTCGAACGCTCAGTCACCACACGGATGAGAGGACCGGTAATCTGAGTGACAAAGGGCTGTAGTGCTTTGTCGCTAGTACGGTCAATGACATCTGAGATGGCGAGGGCAGCCTGTGTCCGTTGCTCCACCGAACCGTTCATGAGACCTTGCAGGAAGATGGGAAGAATAGCATTGATACCCTTGGGTAAGGAGAAACCGGGGAGATTTGCGCCAGCAACACCCACTTGGTTGAGTGTCTGCCTGGTTGAGATGACAAGAGATTCCATCTCCTCTTTCCGTAGACGTTTCGTGGTGAGTGTACTGAGTGCGGTCCATGCTGCCTTGAGCACTTCCTGGTCACTATCATCAAAGGATATAAGCAATGCCCGAATGAGGTCAGGGTAGTATCTTGAGAAGTCGACATCCGTTTCGGCGAAGAACTTGGCCAAATGCATGTCGGCTCGCGCACGTCGACGCTCATCATCGTGCTTGGCCAATGCGAGCATGGCGCTCATAGCAGTATTGAGACCGTCATATTCATCGACCGACAAAAGCACCTTGTCGAACGATGACTCGAGCTCTGACCTAAGCTCGTCACTCTTGCAAACGATAATGTTATCCATCATGGTGTTGAGGATGTTTGGTAGTCGTCTCGTCATAGCGGAGCTTGCAACCTCAGCAAGCGAGGCGATAGCTCGTGCGTTGAACGCTGACATCGGTGAAGTAAGAAGCGTTGGCAGGAGGTTTGGTAGAATGACGTTGGACCTCGCTTGATCGGTGAGCAAGGTGAGGAGAGCAGATAGTGCGTTCTGAGCATCGTCTTCGCTACGTAGCAAGTTGAGCAGGTATGGCATGACCTGATCGACGGCTCTCTTGCCAAAGATCTGTTGTAGTGCATCGAAGGCTTCTGCAGCAGCTTCTCGCACGTCGCCATCTGAATCCACCAAAGCAGTCCTTACTACCTGGATCAGGGTCTTCTCGTAGTCCTCTAGCTGCTCTGGTGAAGCCGAGGAGATGAGCTCGCGCAGTGCTATGCAGATACCTTGTTTGGCATCAGTATCGGTGGTGTGCAGACCTTCTTCCAGAGTAGGGAGGAGGGTTGCCAGAACACCATCTCCAGCTTTTCGGATGAGCTCTCCAAGAGCGTTCCCAGCAATGACCTTTTGCTCCATGTTCGAGCTCGCTAGGCGACGGATGATGAATTGAGTAAGCGTAGGAATGAGGTCGCGAAGAGTGCGTGGGGTAGCCACCAAGGCCTTCCAGACGTTGATGGCAGCGGTGCGGACAAGGCCGGATGTATCGCACCTACAGATGTAGAGTGCAGACAAGACCTTGTTCCGTTTGTCTTCACCGAGAACCTCGAGCAGCGACTGGCCAGCCTCCTTGGCTCCTTCTTCGACTTCATCCTCCTCAGCCTTGCCGCTGATACCAGTAAGGTTGAACAGCAAGTCTCCCACAAGCTCCACGGAACTGAGACGAATACGATGACTGTCGTCCGCAAGACCCCGCTCGAGCTCGGGAAGGAGAAGGTCGATGGCTTTGGTAGCAAAATTCTTGACCAGGAGACGACCAGCACGCAGAGCAGTGTCTCGAATCGACTCGACATCATCGGCAAGTCCGCCAAGGATGGGCGGGATGATTTTGCTAAGATAGTTTGCAAAGCTGTTTCCGAAACAAGCTGGCAAGAAGATGAAGAGAGACATGAATCCCTCGCGAACCGAGGCCTTGTTGCTGGCCACGTTCTGCAGAATGCTTGGCAGAGTTTCTTCTAGACGGCCAGTTCCAAGACCAGCCAAAACTTCGGAAAGGGCTTGAGCGGAACCCAATCTGTCTCCAGCTCCAGTATCGGACTTGAGAGTGGTCATAAGGCTTGGGATGAGGTCTGGCAGAGCATCCTCTCCAAGCTTTTCCATAAGGGAACCGAGGGCCTTTGAGGCAGTGGCACGAGTAGTTGGCACCGGATCCACGATCGCTACTCGCAAGCCATCAACCAAGATTGGTAGATGTGATAGGACATCTTTGCGCTCTGTGAGATACGCTAAGCTTCCGATGATTTGAGCAGATTTTCGCTTCGTTGCCGACCGATCTCCTAGACCACGCTCGAGGATACGGACCACAAGTGCAAGAGATGGAGCGTCGAGGAAATGAGCAAACTGAATTTTGATAAGTGCATCGAGCGCATCATCTGTGTATTTCGTCGGGTCGCTGAGTGCCTTGAGGAGAACGCTCACAACGCTCTTTATCTCGGGGTTGCTGATTACCTCTCCAAAGCGCTGCAAGCTCCGATTCGCTGATAGTCGAACTTCTTTGTGACTGTCTGTCAACACTGTAGTCAAAGGCGGGATGATGTCTGGTAAGCTTATAGCCAGTTGGTTCGCATCCAAGTATGCCATGGCACCTAGTGAGTCGCAGGCACCCTTCTTACTTCGCCATTGCTGATCATCGAGACCTTCAAGAAGGATAGGCAAGATCTGCTTCACGCCGAAAGAGCTCAGTGTGGAGAAACATGTCTTTGCAGCGTCAAGGCATGCCTCTCGAACATCTGCACTACTGTCGCCAAAACCAGCGAGTAACTGTGACACAAGCTGAATGACGTACGGTTCGAACAGACGACCCAGGATGAGCGAAAGGAGTTCGTATGCTAAGAATGCACCTTGCCTTTGGTTTATGTCTTTCTTGTTCTCCGTAGCGTTCCTGAGGGTAGACATAATGCGGTACTCCTTGAGTACGCTGAGGCCTTTACCCCGAACGATACCCGCAAGACCGTAGGCAGCCCCACGTCTCGAAGCGTATTTCTTTGCTTGGAGCAATTGCTCCATCATCTGATCGATGTACGCGGAAACCTCCTGATCCGACGTTCGAATCAGAGGTGGAAGGCACTGAGCAACGGCATATTGGACTGTCTCAGAAGGTGTACTCAATGTAGCCAACAGCCTCTGAACTACCTTGGGTACGCGCTCATCCCCTGCTGTCAGATGGCGGCCCAGGGCACCATAGAGAATGATGACAGCTTCGTTCACTTGATCGTACATCTCTGACCCGCGATCGGTTCCTTCAAGCGCATTTTCGAACAGTTCCATCAGTGGTTCTACTTCGGACAGCGCTTTAGTGGTGATGATGGATGTAGCCGCTTCGATCATCTCGTCTCGCACGGCAGCGCTTTGGTCACCCAAGGGGCCATCGTAGACCATGAAAGTCAGGAAGTCTACCAGGTCATCGGGCTTGAAACCTGGCGTCATTTCTTTGAACGCAAGTGCAATACCGTCACGGCCTTCCCAGGGATCTCGCAGGTCGACCTTACGTGGCATACCATATTCGTCACGTTCGGGGACCCTTGGTTTGGCCTTTTCCTTGTAAGAATTCTGGAGACTCTTGAGAAGACCATCAAATGTTTCCGGGAATTTCACAATGATCTCACCCATAGAGCGGGCAGCTGCTCTCCTTAACTGTTTGTCGAGCGAATCAAGGTAAGGTTCCATTTGTGTTCCAGCTTCCGCCTTGAGCTCCAGATCGTTGTCTTCCCAAATGGTTTGTGCAAGCTCTACATTCTCAGGGACGTCATCATGGCATGCGAGCCATATTTCTTCACTGAACTTCAAATCGTTCATGTCGAGTTCAGCATCAATGGCTTGTAGAGCTGCCGTACGAACAGCAGTTTCGGGCACAATCGTTCCTCGGAGCAATGCGCCCAGCTCGTTGTTAGTAATGTTAGGGGATAGACCTCTGGAGAGATCCATCAAACAGTCCTTGATCATCTTGTAGTGTTGTTGATAGCGCTGCATGGACCAAATCAGGATGTCGAGTAAGTCTTTTCGTGGAAGACGATCGTCGGTGCCTATAGACAAGTTAGCTCAACAACTGCTGAAGACGGGATAGCAGAGCTCATACAAGAGTTGGTGTGGAATGCCAGGATCTCAAACGCCAGGATGAGTTGTTCGTCGGCTTCTTCTGCGGACGGCCTTCCTATCCCACCTTTCTCAAGCACGAGGAAAATGAGAGGAAAACAATACGCAAGAGATACGGTGTCCAGTGGTCGTTGCTCGCACAAGAATCGAAGCCGATAAAGAATACGTGTGACCAAGTCTCCGATGTTTTCTGCTTCGTACTCGTCAGACAGTTGTATGGAACCAATGGTCCTCAACGTAGCAACGCCAACAAACGGACGCAGTGGTCCAAGTCGGTTGGAGATTCGTTGTGAACATGCAATGAAAGCTGTCGCTGGTAGATCTCCGAGGAGGAGACCAGCGCCCGCTCGAATCGCACGGATAAGGAGATCGACGGCTGGACCCATCCAGCGTTCAGCTTCAGTAGGTGGGCCAGTTGCAAGGCTGTGGATGATGCCGACTCCTCGTCTCATCCTCCGTTCTGTCGCGTTAACGCCTTTTCTGATGGCCGCCTCTTTGGCTAATTGAGCATTGACCTTGGCTTGCTCGTCTGAAGTGAGCTTCTTTGTCTGGCCTTTCTTTTGCGCAAGTTGTGCACGGAGCTCTTCTTCCCACTTCAGCGTGTCGTAATCCTTGGTGTTCTTGTCGATCGTGGTATGGGCCTTCTTGGACAGCACATCGATATAAGCTGTACCTTCTGGCGTGCGGAAGATAGCAGCTTCAGTTGGGCCTATTGATTCAAGCTGACCCGGATCCATATCTAGGCTGAACTGTGTCACAACTGCGGGGAGGGCCGCGTCCGGTGCCACAAAAGCCATATCAGTGTATGCGCTGTACGCTGCAAGGCTGATAGAGAGAAATTGATCGTTCTCCTGGTTCTGGTGAAAAGTTAGTGGGATACTTCGAAGTTAAAGCGGATAGAATCACCTCAGTTGTCTCGTTAATTGTGCTCACGAAGCCACCTAGATTGTCGCGCACCAGCTGGCCTGGGTCCACGCCCATCCGAAGACATAGATCGATCCAAGATGCTCGAGGCATGATTTCTGGTCTTGCTAGCACAACGAGGCTCAATGCTTGTTTGTGCAGACTTTCTTGGTCGATGGTCGATTCGAGCTTCTTCACAGATTCCAGTGGCAAACAAAAGGCGCTCAGGACAGCACTAAGCTCACTTGAACCCGTCTTCGACGCAATTGCTGCACTTTCCTTGTCTTCTCGCTCGCTCGATCTGTACCAAGACCATAGGCCTTCTACTAGGATACCGCTGATTTTCTCAGGCGAAACTTGAAGATATGTCTGTGTCAACGCTTGCTTGGCTGCAGACTTGGCTTTGGCGGACACGTTCTGCGCCACTATGAAAAATATGAACGCTTCTGCCCATGCCTCGCCAACCTCCTTTGAGGATGATTCTTCGATCAGAGATGGTGCGACAGCTGTCAAAGCACGAAGCACAATTCCGACATCGTCTTCAGTAGACAGCTTGGAGTATACTTTTGGGTTGAGAAGAAAGGAGGGTTTTGGTTGAGTTGTGAGGGACTGGGCGAGAACATCGGATTTCTTGTAAATGGCGGCGAGCTTGTCATCTTTCGAGTAGCGTACTCGTGTGATGAGAAGAGCCGCGACATAATAACCTACTGTTACCAAGCCACTCTGTGTTGCGGGAATGGGATTCGCGACAACTTCCTGCCACATCTCCACAAGTTTCGGAAGCGTGGCTTGACAGAATGCGAGGATGTCTGGTTGTGCATGCTGCGTGTCCGAAAGATCCCACCAGATGTCTGCAGCGCGAGTTGCCCAAAGCCGCCGTACGAGTACGCGTTTGTCTGCCATGCCCTTGATGAAAGCATCCGCCACGGTCTTATCAAGAGAAACTTCATTTGACAATCCAAAGGTGAGATGCTTTGTCATTGCTGATACCTCAGCTACCACAGCTGGTTCATTCGGCTCTTTTAGAGCTACAGGAGCAATGTTCGCCGGGATCTTTCTGGACAAGGACTGAGATTCTGGCAACGCCGATAGCATCTGAGCATGTAGAACTTTTTGGTCAACACCCGAAACCTTGCCCTGCTTCAAGGGGTTCAGAATCTCATCTGCGACCTTGCTGATTGTGTCGTCGCTCCGTGAACGCGAAGCTAATGCCTCGAAAGTCCGCAAGGCGCCTGCTCGAATAACGGGATTGCTGGACTTGACATTGGAGAGCAGAGGCTTTAGCAAGTTTCCTAGTAAAATATCGGAGAGATCCATGGATTCAGGCAGAGCTGATATCATAGGCGCAACGAGATCATTCAGAACCACTTCGGGCGCTCTCAGCAGAGCCTTTTCGACGGGTTGTATGACCTCCTTGCGCAGCTCTTCTAGTGTGGGATAGCTGTGGAAGAAGTCGTGCAGCGCATTCGACACATGGTCGGGCAATTGACTCCGCGATCCGATGATTTCTCGAACGTAGAAGGTGTAGTAGTCTTGCTTCCGTTGTTCAAGCCACGGCTTAACGGTCGGTAGTCGCGACGAGACACCGGCAATGACTCCGAGGAAGACAGCATTTCCAGCTGTGGGAGCAGCGCCTTTAGCCGTGAGAGTCGCCACCAGTTTGTCAAGAGCGTCCTGTCCAATCTCCTGCGACCGGAAGACAGCGCGCAGAGCCCGACGTGTCGATACCAAGGCGGAGTCCTGAATACGGACTGCTCGACGGCTGTTGCCTGCGCCCATGCATGTTTCCAGCACCCGCGCGGTCGCGAGTGCTGTGTCCAACCCGTACTTCGACCATCGCTCCGGCGACTTTGCGAGTTCTATGAGGATGTCTGAACACCAGTCCACCAGGACAAATGCATTGACGTGTGCAATACCCTTCTTAAGGCATTCCTGTTTCATAAATTTGACGATTGCGGGCAGAACAATGTCGCCATGTGGGCCGATTATAAGCGACTTCAGCACTGCCTCGACGGCGCGGCGTGATTCGCGGTCCTCGTAGAGTGGATATGTTTCGATGAGCAGCTCGAGGAGAGCTTGGAGATCGGAAGAGAGCAGAGCTGAATGTGGACATGGTGGTCAGCCTATGTTGTCCTGTGCAATGCGCCTTCCCGCATTATTTGTCACTCACACTCGTCGGTGGCCTTTTGCTGTAGCGCAGACAACTCGGTGATTCTGCGCTTCGTAGAGCTTGTCACAAGCCCGTGTCGCAACTCCTCGCGATCAACGGCCTGCGATTTAGCGTCCCCATTCACAGTCATGTCGTCTCGTCCTCATCGGCGTCCGGAAGGCGGGGTGTTGGTGGGGTGTTTGGAGAGGGTCAAAATGTCGACTTGGTCGGTGCAAGGATTTGCCGACCAGATCATGACATCGCATGTGGAGCACGTCGCCCTCCAAACACACCCCACATATAACTCCACCATTCCACGCCGCGATTGACCACCGGCTTGGAGCAAACTGCGCCCTACATGTGTCCTGCCAGCGTCCCTAGCCTTCCCAATCTTGATCTAGTAAAAGATCAAGCGCCAAGATACTCTATACGCTGAGTTTCTCCCCGTTCTCGGAAGCCTTTGTTCGACCTCGCCAAAACCAGGACGGAGACTAGCTCGCCATGGCGAAAAAGAAGAAGCCCATGGGAAACCCCGCTCGGGGGTTTGCGACGACGTCCATAGCAAGCAAACCGAAGCAAGAAAAGGCCGTCGCCGACACTCTTGTCGAGGAGAATATAACAACGCCTTCGAAAGAAGCTGCACCCAACGCTGGACCCTCCTCCCAAGCTCCCAATGCTGCCACACCGCTCAAACAAGAAGCTGCCCAAACCCCAGAGGAGCTAGAAGCCCAGCTAGAGCGAGATGAACTTCAATTGCTCGTCGAGAAGCATGCCTCCAAGGTCCGACGAGAATCTCACAGACAGGTCATCAAGTTCCAAACAGACCGCAGGGTCCTTCGTGGGCAGTCTCATTCCATGACTGTTCACGATTGGCTGTCCGGCGACATCTTGGACAGTATTATCGCACTGGCTCAGGCTGAGTCCAACGACTCGAATCGACAAGGGCAGCAGCCCCTACTCAAGTCCCTGACTGAAGAGGATGCAATGTCCAAACTTTGGACTCTCGACATCACACTGCGTGAACTGGGCTTCTCTAGTGATCATATACAACCTGTGCTGCGATGGCTCTGTGCGACTGCCGCTGGCGTTGATACGTCTGCAAGCATCTGGGGGTTGCAAGAGGCACTTGAATGGCTTGCTCTGAACCAGTGTGACGACCATTCATTTTCATATGAAGAATCGAAGCCAAAGTCTTCGCTACCGGATACTCCTGAACCATCTCGCTCGGGTAAGTGTTTTCAGTTAGATATAATATATGAGTCCTATCGATCCGTTAGAAGAACCTTTTCCCCATTTCAACGAGTGCAGTTCCGTCATTTATCATCATTCCTATAAGTACTCGTTCGTCTCGCATAACGCTGACTCAATTCAGGAACGCCTTTGCCGGAACTTTCAACCAATGATGCTGCAAGCCCTGAGAAGGACACATCAGGGACTCCTGCGCCAGGAGCACCCACGTCAAACGGTATCGTGTCTACCGATTCGGACCATGACGGTATATACGTCAGTGATCTTGACAGTGATATCGAACTTGACGAGCTCGTCCCGACATACCTGAGAATCAAGGGTAAACTGTACGAAATTGATCCCGAACATATTGATGCCAAACAACGTAAGCAGCCGAAAAACAACAAAGGCAAGAAAGCAAGTCCACGAACGACGAATCAATCTCCAGCTGTTCGGAAACTTCTCTCTCAATTGCAGTTGCTTGAATCTGATACTTTATTCGATGAGCGGGAGGCTGAGGCGCTGTGGCCTACCATGCGCAGCCAAATTGCCCAAAAGAAAGCGGCGGACAGGCAGCAACGAGAAGCGGGTTTCAATACTCATCAGCAAGACGAAGAGGACATAGTACCTGACAATGCTGTAGCAACCGAACAAGAGCCAACGCCCTCTACTAATACCATCGACCCACTGGCAGGTGAAGATGACGCCGATCTACTAGGAGATATGTTCTCTGCTATCCCTGACGAACCGACTGAGAGTAAACCTGCCGGGGATGACGCGGACTCCAATATCTTGCTACGCGACTTCGGCAAACACAGTGGCATGAGCCCAAGGCGACTGCTGGAAGAGGCAGTGCGCTCGAGGTAAACAACTCACGCTCTTCAAAGATTAGTATTACAATGATCTAACGGATACAGGGATCCGAATGCGCGGTTGACATACAAGATGATTTCACCCACAGTGTATTCGTGCCGACACTCTTTAACCATAACATGGTCCAAGGCTCACGAAGTCGAGTACGACGAAGACATCGCGGGGGTGCAGTGCTCGGCCCAAAAGACTCAAGCTAGATTTGACGCGACTTCCGTTGCGACTATCTCGGTCGACCAAAGCGAGAGTTACGTCTCTACAGCTGCACTCTTCTCAATCTCCGCGTCTTCACCCAAAGAAGAAAAGGTCTACCTACGATTACCTTCCAATTGGAGAGATCTCTATCGAACCTTTCTGGAACACCGCAAAGCCCGTATAGAAGCGGCTGACTGCGAATCTGTCAAGCACTACCGTTCTATCATCCAGGACCAGATCGAGAACGAGGAATCCGACGGTGTCGTGCTCACAAGTCGATTCAAGATGCGACATCAAGCTGCGGTCAGCTCTAGCACGTTGAACTCTGGCTATAACACTCCAGCTCGTGAGTTGGAAGGCCTTCGAGAGATCTGGATGCAGAAGGCGTCAACGTTGTCCTATCAGCACATGCTTATGGGTCGAGCCAATCTCCCTGTGTACGCGTTCCGCGAGTCCATCCTATCCACCGTGGATAGGAACCAGGTGACACTAATATGCGGTGAAACGGGGTGCGGAAAGAGTACGCAGATACCATCTTTCATCCTTGAACACGAACTTTCTCAAGGCAAAACTTGTAAGATTTTCTGTACAGAGCCTAGACGTATCTCTGCTATATCGCTGGCACAACGCGTCAGTGAAGAATTAGGAGAAGCGCCGAAGGAGCTCGGCACAGCACGTTCGTTAGTCGGATACGCTATTCGCTTGGAGTCAAAGACATCTGCCCAGACCCGACTTGTATATGCAACCGTTGGAGTAGTGCTACGCATGTTAGAATCATCGAGAGGTCTGGAGGAGGTCACGCATTTGGTCATCGATGAAGTGCATGAGCGAAGGTAGGATCTCCATGAAGCATACTCTAGCATTGACTAACTGTGCCCAGTATTGATACCGATTTCCTGCTCATAATCCTTCGTTCATTGATGGAACGCCGCCCCGAGCTGAAGGTCATACTTATGAGTGCGACCGTAGACGCCGCGCGCTTTTCCCGGTACCTCAATGACGCACCGATTCTGACAGTACCTGGCCGTACCTTCCCAGTCCAGACTCGATACTTAGAAGACGCGATTGAGTTGACTCATTATGCAGGATCTTCGGGAGATGCGCAAAATAATGGCAATACCAGTGGTAATGATGATGATGAAATCACGACTGAAAAGTCGGGCATTCCTAGCAAACTTCCTGGGTATAGCCCTGCCACACGCAATGTGCTCTCCAGCTATGATGAGTATGCCATTGACTATAGTCTTGTTGTCCGCTTGATTGAGACGGTCGCATTCAGCCCACAGTTGAGTCGGTTTAGCAGCGCGGTTTTGGTGTTCCTTCCAGGCATCGCTGAAATCCGCCAGCTGAACGACATGTTAGTCAGTCATCCTTCTTTTGACGCCAATTGGCTTGTCTATCCATTACATTCGACTATTTCAAGCGAGGACCAGCAAGCCGCTTTCCTGCTTCCACCACCCGGCGTCCGTAAGATCGTACTTGCTACCAACATCGCAGAAACAGGTGTTACGATCCCTGACATCACTTGTGTCATCGACACAGGCAAACACAAGGAAATGCGTTTTGACGAGCGCAGGCAATTATCTAGATTAACCCAATCTTTCATCTCCAGGGCAAACGCCAAACAACGACGCGGGCGCGCAGGTCGTGTACAGGAAGGGCTATGTTTTCACCTGTTCACCAAATACCGCCATGACAACCTTATGACAGATCAACAGACCCCGGAGATGCTTCGATTGTCGCTTCAGGACCTTGTCATGCGTACGAAAATATGCAAATTAGGTGATATCGAAGCGACCCTTTCTCAAGCACTGGACCCACCCTCTTCAAGGAACATCCGCCGCGCTATTGATGCGCTCATCGAGGTTGATGCGCTGACTTCAGCTGAAGAGTTAACACCCCTCGGTCGCCAGATTGCGAAGCTCCCATTGGATGCGCATCTTGGCAAACTGGTGCTTCTTGCGAGCATGTTCGGCTGTGTTGATGTCGCTATCACAATAGCTGCAGTCTTGTCGTCGAAATCACCATTTTTGACACCGTTTGGCGCGAAGCAACGAGCCGACATAGCACGCTTAGCATACAAGAAAGGCGACTCCGACCTCTTGACTACCTACAACGCGTACAAATCTTGGAGAACAGTGTGTACCACGGCAGGACGCTCCGAAATACAGTTTTGCCACAAAAACTTTCTCAGCGCGCAGAACCTAGGCAACATCGAAGACTTGAAAGCCCAGCTACTCTCCTCGCTCGTTGAAGCTGGTTTCATACAGGTCTCGCAGGACGAACGGCGTGCACTGAGTCGATATCGCAGTACCTCGCGCCATCGTGCGTTCGTTGGCGTACCACCACAATACGACATACACTCGGACAACGATATACTCGTCAATTCTGTTATAGCAACCGCGTTCTATCCCAAGATTCTAACGCGAGAAGGCAAAGGCTGGCGTAACATTTCCAACAACCAGACCGTCAGTCTAGCACCAACATCAGTAAACAAGGGTTCAGCGACTGCCAAGTTCTTGTCTTATTACCACATCATGCAGTCCAGTAACAAGTTTTACAATGCCCACTCGACATCTGCGACATATCCACTCCCTATGGTGCTGATGGTAGCCGCAGACATGGACTTCAAAATGCATGCCGGCGTTATCAGCTTCCCGGGCAGTGTACTACGGTTTGCGGTTCGAGATTGGAGAGCTGCTGTCGCCTTGAAGGTTTTGAGGCGACGCATCAAGGAGATCCTTGCAAATAGCTGGAAGAGTCCGGCGCGCCAGATGAGTGAACGTGAGAAAGAATGGTTGGGACTGTTCCTCCAGATTTTCGCGCAGAAGTTCGAGAAAGAGGAGAGAATTAGAGAACGAGGTGGAGGGAAGGCGAAATGAAAGTCTTTTTGAAGGCATCTGCTGTGGCATGGCAATTTGGAAATGTTCATTCCCTCGGGTGTTAAGATGTGGCTAGAATCGTCTTGCAGGCTAGAAAGATACATGAGTTTCGAAGTGTTCAAGGAATCACTACGCTTTGTTACTAGACTCCAAGACAGACAACTTCCTACGCATAATACCCAACGATGATGAACATTGAAACAACCGATTCGTCGAGAGTATCAGTGTGTGCGCGTACCTTTTGCTCAACCTTGGTTGAAGAAAGACTAGCGCCCCAACTTGCCAAAGTATGGACATCCTGTCCAAGGAATCCCATAAGCACAAGAGCGAAGTACATACAAATACCCAAGCCCTCTCAGCTGTGATAGATTTACAAAATACCTACACGTTCCAGGTCATTCTCACTCAATCATGTATTCAACCCACCTCATGAACGGAGACAACAAGACATACAACAAAGACTTCCCACCACTACCAGCCACCAGCACCAATACAGCAGAACTCTTCACTCAACAGCAAAGGTCCCCAAGAGATTCACCGCCACACCATGGAGCAAGACCCGAAGCTGGCAAATCTGGAAGTCTGCACTGCACGTGTTCGAAAAGTTTGGAAAGCTGCCAGACGAGCTCAAGATTCTGATCATCAGATTCGCAGTTGAGAACTGGGGAACCTCGCAAAGTCACCATCGGCTTCAGCAGTGGCTCCTACTCGGGATGGAGCGAATCCCTGCTCTCGCCTTTTTTCACGGTAAGTCGTTTCTTTCCCACGATCTTGAAGAAAGACATCCCGCCTGCTTTTCGCGATGGGGTTTCCTTCCCTATTGCTCCCAACCACAGATCAAACGACATATACTTTGTTCCGGGTTCCACAGTCCTGTCCCTCGACGTGCGCGGCTGGAAGCTGCCTACAAACTGTATGTCGTACTAGTCGCCCGAGCTAGGGGGAAAGTCAAACACCTCAACCTGGTTCTCCCTGAGGCGATGTATGAGGGTTCTAGAGAGCCTATGTAGTAAGGTGTTTTTCAATATATCGTTAGTGGCAAGTTCTAATTTTCTTGCAGTCTCCTGGGGTTTCAACATACTTTGACATTCATCAGTTTGTACCACTATTGATTAGTTGTGTGTTTGTAGATTTCCAAGCACCATCAAATTCGTAGCTGTGAGTTTGGTGTTGAGACTTGCATCAACACTATCCTATGTACAGCTAGCCTGTTCTCAACCCCATCATCTCCAACCGATGACATCATCTGCTCATTCACCCGCGCCCATAACCTCCCTTCTATCCCCCAAATCAGTCCTTCAAAATCATCCACGTTCCCTGAATCATACAGCCCAAATCTAAACGCCCCATCACAATGTCCACCCCAATCCCCACCCTCCACTCCAAAGCGGCCTACCTAAAAGCCGTCAACCACCCTGGCATCACAATCCTCGAAGGCACAGCAACCTGGTGCAAAAACTGCCACATCATCGCGCCCGAAGTGCAGAAAATGGTCGCCGAGTACCCGGACGTGCATTTCTACACGTATGATGTGGAAGAGTGCGACGATATCGCGCAGGAATTGGGGGTGTCGCAGATGCCGACATTTAGCATCTTTAAGGATGGGGATATTCAGGAGGGGGTTACGGGGGCGAAGCCGAAGGAGATCAGGAAGGCTATTGAGGGGTGTTTGTGAGGTGGGATGTGGGTTCTGAGGGTGGTGAAGGATCGGAAGTAATAGGGAGGCACTTGCGACGGGTGTGAATGATGACATGAGAGTAGCTGACAAGGTCATGAATGTGCATGCACAGCTTACAGACATAGTACTATATATTGCAAATAGATGAATTACCTGTTATGATACAACTGTTGGATTAATTGCTTGAGATCTTCGGTATCTACTCGACCGCTGCTTATGCTTGTGCCCGTTCCATTGTTCCGAATTTCTTCTCTTCACAGCACCTGAATTCCTCAGTAAAAACCTGAAGTTCCGCCAAGGAGCTACAATGAGTCCAAAGCTTACCAAGCTCCTGCCAATCCGTTAAAGATGAGTTTCGAAATATCCCTCTGACCTGCTTCTGAAACCCTTGACGGCTAGTCCTGTCGATCTTGGGATGTGGATACGAGAAGTGTCGCAGTAGAGTATCGATATCCTCACGCAAGCTGTTGTCCACGTCGATCATGTCCACCCAAATGTATCCATGTCGCATGATTCCATCAGTCCTGCCGCCCGATATATTTGCCTTCCAAAGAGGACTATGCTCTATTTCCTGGAAATCAATTCAGCATTGTATACGTGTCTATCGTGATTCGAAAAGCTGCTTACTTGAATATCAAATTTATCGCCTTTGTTAAATGTTATGAGATTTTTTATCCGCGATGTGGGTCGGGTGAAAGTACGGTTAGTGCTGGCTACGAAACTTTTACGGACCTGAAATGCGATTACAACGTTCGTACGGTGGAAGATTCCAGGTGGCGAAAGTTTACCCTTGTGATGGAGAACCTGCCCTGAGTATCGACTGGCATCGATCTTCCTGATGTTCTTAATGTACCAACATTCCTTGAAAGTAAGTTCTTCGGGATTCGCAGCAACATAGTGAACATTGCAGATCGCGCATATGTCAAAAATTCGAAGATTCTTTACCGCCAATGTCATAGCGTTCGATACCCTCATAAGATTAGACACACTGGGGGTGTGTAAGGCCTCGTCATTGGCTGCCTCGCCCTCGATAATCGTGCGCGCATCGTCAAACTCATCGCCTGGGTGGGATACAAGGATACCAGTGAAAGCCTTGGAGTAAACCTTAGAACTCAGAACGACAGATTCGAATCCACCGTCGTTGGAAGGACATGCAATGTCTTCGCTGTCAGCGAGCTTGTTGAATATGCTGTCATTGGTCTTGTCTGTACTGAGTATGGATTCCGGTGCGTCGATCGAATGCGTCCGTCGTAGCAATTGTGTGTTTGCAGCTATTCTACGTAGATGCGCTTCTTGTCTCCTAACGAGTGTTCTGATCTCGGATATAGAGTCTCTGTCGAAGGGATTAGAGGTGGGTACAAAACGATGAATCAAACTCACATTTGCAATAGACCCACCAAGGTGGAGATAGCGCCTTGCTGTGTGTGTAGTTGCTGCGACAACTCTTTGACCTCGTCTTCATTCCACAGTGTCTTGAACTTCATCTTCCAGGTTGATTTCGAACCGTCCAAAATACCCATTGTAATCTTCTGAATGTACTTTTCCAGCCATGTCGAAAGCACCAAGCTTGCCGTCAACGTGGTGTCAAATGTCGCCATCAGGTCCGGTTTATCCATTAGCACACTGTCATCGTTCAGGAGCAGCGACTGAATCTGCGATAGCGATGCGGCAGTGAGCTTCAGCTGCGAACATAGCGATGAGACCGTCACGGGTGCGCGTGTCCACGCACATCGAATATCGTTGAGCTTTTTTGCTGCCTCTACGCTTATCGTGACAATTCTAAGCTATACTACTATTAGTGCAATTATCTCAACAACATGAGGAAGACCGGTTCGGTGTTACCAGCACACGTACGTACCACGCTGGCCGTGATGGACAAGGCTAATGATGCTTCCATATTGCGTTCTCAGCTTCTACGTCAGATAGGTAACAGTTTCCGCAATTCTCAAGAAACATCCGCTTTCCGAATGTCCGAAAGAGTGCCAGATTGGAGAAACAACTTTGTGGGCGATGAACAGAGTGTTGTAGGAACAGTCATTGCACAAGGCTCGAGATGAACAAGCCATGCAGGCGCTCAGCTGCAGGAGCTCGCTCAGCCACCACTTCATCGCAGGCGCGCGGGGCACAGCCTGCGAGTATCAGCCAAGGCAAATTCACAGAGGCTTAAGAATCAAGACGATTGAAGTGTAGAGACAGGTGATGGTGCATCATAGAGGCGAATTGTATGATCAACAAGTTGAGTCGCTTGTCAGATTAGTGCATACAAGATGCTCTTGCCTCACTTGAAGACGGTCAATGTGACATAGCATTGGCGCAGGCTGAAAACCTCGTGGAACGCCCACAGTGAGAAGTCTTGAGTAATTGACAGCCATTCATAGTCTTTACTAGGTGCATGTGTGCAGGGAATTAATTTAGGTGAAGATGAGAGCCCTACCACATAGATATCGCTCAGATACACTATTATGGTGTAATTTTACACGTGCTTGGTCACTCCCAAGGCCTATGCTAATGCTTACCGTTGTCTTCACATTATTGTTACGAGACATATGAACTGATTGAAGGAAACTAAAGACTAGAAATTCGAAATGATGCAGGTACGAAACGGTGTCACTGACCTCAATGACACCAAATTCTTCCCCCAGAACAGCCTTGACATAGCCGAATGCTTGTTGGCTTTTGGCGTTATCGCTGAACCCTATCTGGACAGACTCGGTCGTTCAACCCAGAATCCTCGGCCCGTTGGACTTGCCCTTCTTCTGAACACCTCTTGGGATGAACGCGACTGGGGACGGAACGACGGGAGCGGTACTGGTGGCTTTCGGCTTGTTCGTGTTGTTGTTGTTTTTGTTCTTCCCCTGGTTTCCATGCTTCCCGTGCTTGTCGTCACGCTTTGTGACTGCCTTCACTTCGGATGTTGCTCGCTTGATGAGTACGGGATGACTGCCAATGTACTTGCCCTGCATTTCCTTGGCAGCACGGAAGTAGTCATCTGTATCGGAGAAGCTCACGAAACCGTAACTCTTGCTCTTGGTCGATCGCTTGTCTCGGACGACGCGGGCTTTGGACAGGGAAGGGTATTTAGAGAAAGCTTTGAGGAGCGATTCATCCGTGACCTCACCAGCAAGATTGCCAATAAACAGTCGTGGATGTAGAGGATTCCACTCCAGGAGAGTTTCGTCTTCCCAGTTCTTTCCGCCCCCTTCTCGGACGACCGTCTTCCGCTTGCCATCAGCTGACAAGCCGGCGTTGGCATCGGTAGTGGCGGTCGTCTCGGCACGGGTGCCAACGTTTGCGCTGCCGCCCTTTTTCGCATTTGCGTCGTCCCTGTTGTATGCGCTGTTCCATGCAGCGATCTGGGCTTCTTCTTCTGGATCATATGTACCAGCAAAGCCGCGATTTATGGGCGGTGCAGCTGAATACGACGCAGCAGGAGGAGCGGCAGCAGCATAGGCTGGATACGCGTTGTTGTAGTAAGTATTGCTGGCCGGATAAGCGGTAGCTGGGTACGGAGCGCTCACAGTGGCTTGCGAGTACATGTCTGGTGCAGCAGAGGCCTGTGGAGGGGCGTGAGCTACCACTGCGCGCGGTGTAAACCCAGCAAAGACAGTGGCATTAGCCGGACCTCTCGCGCCAGCATTGTTGGGTCTGGAGGGTGGCGCTGAGTACGTCGAGGGTGGCGGTCGTGCTGGCAGCGAGGGATGTGGGTGCAGGTTAGAATCCCTGTTGGCCATTTTGAGGAAAGGGGTGCGTCAGTTCAGGCAATCTTCAGCGAAGTGATGACTTAACCAGCTGCTGGTTGAGTTTGCGCTCTTGTTGTTGTGGAGTGGCTGGATCGGTGGTTGGTCGGGCACTTGCGCAGCAACGTGAAACTCTGAGGGAGGCGAACGCGTCAAGGTAGTTTGTTATGGCACGGGCGCGGGCGCGGACTTGGGCTTGGATGTGAGGCAGAGTTTGGCAGGGCTGCACGATATGGACCGCGATCTAGCCGTAGGGTGAATGCTACTGGTGAGAGCCTGCTTTGGAACGAAGGCGTGCAGAGACTGGATTACGGTTGCTGACTGTGCAGTCCAAGCGATATTGCGTAAAGCGCGCAGTCAAAGTCCGGTCGGCTTTTGAAGCGAGCAGAGTGGGATGGTGGGTGGGGCCGTCGCGACATGTAACCACTACTGATGCTGCGCCATATGATCTTCTGGTGCTGGGGTTTCTGGATCGTGTTGGGTGATGTTGTTGGTGTGAGGTCGCTGATTGCCTGCTTGACGACCGGAGTCCAGCACACGTGACTCGATGAAGTTGGTCGCGTTGGGAATACAGCATGAGATATTAAATGATATTTGCTCAGCCTTGACATAACCAGCGTATCCATTAATTCAATAAACGGAGTCTGCACAGCCAGGTGAGGTCATCCAGGCGGCCCTGGCGAGCTAATCCCTACCCCGTGCCCCTCCTTCCGATTTTCCATGCGGTAAGGCTGAGACGGAGGGGTTCAAAGAGCGCACTGTTAGAGCATCTTTGGTAGTAGCTTTTCCGCGGGTGCCCGCCGGAGTAACTGCTCATGTCGAGCAAACACTTGGTAGCAGAATACGCACCAGTGGCTGAATTCTTTTGGTGTGTTTTCCCGCGGCCGAAGACATTGTCCGATTGCTATGTGGATTAGACAGAAACTGTAGGGATGTTGACGCAGACATGAGCCCCGCCGACGCAGCCGCTACCACACCATTGCCAAACTCTTAAACTCGGCGAACCCCCACCGTAGCCCGTCATTCCTCTTCACTCATCCTTCACCAGTCTTCGATTACTCTATACAGTTGCGCGCCAGGCCGCTGCGACTCTTACCCGTTGACACTACATACACAAACTCTACATCGACTCTCGCACACCATGTCTGACCCCGTGGGAGATTTCGGGTTAGTACAGTCCGGCTCCAGCGGAACTGACGCATTTACTGACTTGACATGTTCTTCTTAGCCTCATTGGCCTTGCTGTAGGTTTCTTGCAAATAAGAAACAGTGAGATTGGCGCTTACAGTTGATGTCCAGGTTATGGGACAGAACTTGATCCTCAACGCGTAAGTCGCGCCTCACCACTCAACTTGCGTACGAGCATTGCTAACGAGAAGTAGCGCCGATCATGGATTCACAGTACGGATTCTGCTCCAGCACACTGCTAAGATGTGGCACTAACAAACGTGCAGGTCGTTGCGTTCAACAGGACGTAAGAACATCCAGACTAAGCCAGCACCATACACGGACTAATAGACCGGCAGCGTTGCCAAGGTTGACCGATTCCTGGACGATGGTAGGCTTGGTTATATGCGCTTGTGATACATCTGAGCTAATACAAAACAGAGGCCAAGGGCAAGTCCATCGTCGGAGCCCACTCCATCAAGGAGTTCGTTTCGAAGCTCAAGAAGCCCCGCCGCATGATGATGCTCGTCATGGCCGGCAAGCCCGTCGACGACTTCATTGAGCTCCTCTTGACTGAGGGCGGTATCGAGGAGGGTGACATCATCATCGACGGTGGAAACTCCCACTACCCCGACACAAACCGCCGCACCAAATACCTCGCTGACAGGGGCATCCGATTTGTTGGTACCGGTGTTTCCGGAGGAGAGGAGGGTGCTCGTTACGGTCCTAGCATCATGCCCGGTGGTAACGAGGAGGCCTGGCCATACATCAAGGTGGGAGATTCGCAGTTTCTGCTTGAAATTTATATCTAACAACGGAGTAGGACGTCCTCCAATCTATCTCCGCCAAGTCTGACGGCGAGGCCTGCTGCCAATGGGTTGGTGACGAGGGTGCTGGTCACTACGTCAAGATGGTTCACAACGGTATTGAATACGGTGACATGCAGCTGATTTGCGAGGTAAGATTGTGTTTTTGTACTAGGCGAGACGTTCACTGACAAGGTTAGGCCTACGACATCATGAAGCGCGGTATCGGATTGAGCAACAAGGAGATCGGCGACGTCCTGGCCAAGTGGAACACCGGTGTTCTTGACTCTTTCCTAATTGAGATTACCCGCGACATCATGTACAAGAACGACGACGATGGTGTTGCCATTGTCGAGAAGATCTTGGATTCTGCTGGTCAGAAGGGTACCGGCAAGTGGACAGCCATCAACGCTTTGGATCTCGGTATGCCCGTCACTTTGATCGGAGAGGCTGTCTTCGCTCGTTGCCTGAGTTCGCTCAAGTCCGAGCGTGGCCGTGCTGCTGGACTTCTGGAGGGCCCCACCCCCAACTTCTCTGGTGACAAGCAGGAGTTCATCGACAACCTCGAGCAGGCTCTTTACGCTTCCAAGATCATCTCGTACGCCCAGGGCTTCATGCTGATCCAGAATGTAAGTGTATTCAGATTTGAAATGCTGGCTCATGCTAACGTCCGAATAGGCCGCCAAGGAGTACAAGTGGAAGCTGAACAAGCCCGAGATTGCTCTCATGTGGCGTGGTGGCTGCATTATCCGATCTGTTTTCTTGAAGGATATCACCAAGGCGTGAGTGCTGCAGAGCTTCTGGACAGAAAGGACGCTACTGACTAAGATCTAGCTACCGTGCCAACCCCGACCTCGAGAACTTGCTTTTCGACGACTTCTTCAACAAGGCTATCCACAAGGCACAGGCTGGATGGAGAGAGTGAGTGGTCGTCCATGATTTGACGATGCGTGATACTAATGTCCACTAGCATTGTGTCTAAGGGCGCTCTCTGGGGTATCCCCACTCCCGCTTTTAGCACCGCTTTGAGCTTTTACGACGGTTACCGTGCGAAGGACCTGCCCGCCAACCTGTTGCAGGCACAGCGTGATTACTTCGGCGCGCACACCTTCAGGATCAAGCCCGAATTCGCCAACGAGACCTACAAGGAGGGCGAGAACATCCACGTCAACTGGACCGGAAGGGGTGGAAACATCTCCGCTTCGGTAAGTTTCAAACTCGCTGTTCCGAAGAACCAGAACTAACATCGAGGACTAGACTTACAACGCGTGATCTGTGAGTTCTTTGTCGGTTGATAGAGGGGAGCATGCCGCTGCCTAGGATATGCGGGTGAAAATGAATGATATGATAATCAAAGATAGCTGAATCATGACGATAGTCGTTGCATATATTCACAATACTTCTGACAGTGATGCGACTTGGGGATGTGAAGAAATGCTGTTGTCGACTTCCAGACCCTGGAGGCAGATCCCCTGTCAGTTGAATAGACAAAGTAGGACAAGGATGTGATTGGCCGACAGCAAGCGTGCTTGGCATTGGGATCTACCAGCATCCCCTCCCAGTCCCGCATTCACCTTGGGCCACTCTAGTTGCCCGTCGCGCTGCCGCTCCTCGCTCGTGTTTGATCGCGTGCACGTGGTCGCTCTTCTTCTTGTCACTCCTTTCCATTGTTTGTTTGCTGCTTGCATGCCGTTCCGGCGTTGGGCTTGCGGGACCTAACAAGGTCGCACTCAACACAGCTGCGACGCAATCTACGTCGCTTGCAAAACACCAAAGCGAGGAACCCCAAGAGGTGGGAACGGGGATACCGCTATGGCAGAAAATAAACGCCAGAGCATGGCGGGGAAGATTGCTACTCCGAACTTGAAGGTCACTGGTGGAGTGAGCAAGGATGTCGTGGATGCGGATTCGAACTTGTACAAGGCGGTCGGATCACGGTAGGTTTTGCGCGAATCGATTCACTACGTGTAGATGGGAATGCTGACAGCAACAGTATCAAGATCACATGCGCCCCGAACAACAACGTGCTCGAAGGCACCCTCTTCACAGCCTGCAACCTCACCAACGCCATAGCCATCAATACCGCGCCTGCCCCTCCGAACCCCTCCGCTCCTCTCTCTAGCCAGCCCGGCGACTTCCACATCATACCGTTCGCACACATCGTATCATTCGAAATTGTCGGTTCAGGCGAGCGGGCGCCGCAATCCACACCAGGCTTCGATGGGGTACAACCCAGCATTTCGAAGGTGGATATCGCTGCGCTGCATGCGCGAGAAGAGGCGACAATTCGTGAGATGAAGAAGAAGGATGCGCAGAAAGGCAGAGGTGTTAGCAAGGAGGCGCAGGATATGTTCGACTTCATATCGAGGACGTGAGTATCTAGGATCTTTGAACTACACTGGGACATTCAACTAAACCAACCACAGCCTTCCAACTCGCTGGGCCGATGCTCAGATTGTAGTTAACGATGCTGTTCTGATCCAACCTCCCTACACGCTAGACAGCATCAGAGCCCCCGCCGATAAAACACAGAGTGAGGCTCATGTTCGCAAGGTCGTCGAGGCATACTACCAGCGCAAGAAGGCACCAGGTGGAGGAGCTGGTCGCGCTCCAGTCGCAATGCCAATTGCTCCGCGAAAAGGGGGTTAAAGACAACAGTTTAGCTATGGTCTACACTAGGATTCTCTGGGGGAATTCATGCTTCGTGCATGTGGACGATGTACTAAGCTTTAGGCGATGATTTTACTGTTGGCTAAAGACTGCCATAATTATCGTTAGCTTCGAACAGTGACGAGCGTTTCCAAGGCTGGTTCCATGACACGAAGGGAGGTCGGCAGTGGAGAAGCATCGTATGATGCGCTTGCTTGAGGGAGCAGATACGCTGAATAAATCAAAACTTTCAAACTTTGGCTGTGATGTAGTTATTGTTATATGCGGCTTGTTGCAGTCTGGTTCCAACAAGTCCACTGGTTGGTTTGATGAGGGGTTCTCACGTCGTCTATACACAATGGGTTCAAGCTTACAGTTGTTATTTCGGCATTCTTGTTGAAGCAGGAAAAAGGAGCCGCTTTGCGTCACTGCGTTCACTTACTCTCCCTATCTCTCGTTCGAAAATTCAGACACTCTGACAACATTCTAGTACTCCAACCAGCTTCCTCTTAAGCTTCAGGAATGTGTGATTGGACCTGGCTGAGATGATAAGTTCCTCGATCGCACTGTCACAACTAACATCTTTTTTCCACAAAGATCGCTTCCTACAAGATCACATGTTTCCCAGATCAGACCTCTTATCAGCTTTCTTCGAGCCTGATGTCTTCTTGAAAACTTGTTCTGACGGTCTCGTATCATAGCTATTGACAGGGGCGCCCGTACGCTCGTGAATCCGGGGTGGGCTGCTGCTGGTAAACTTGACACATGGAGGACATCCGGTAGAAATTTCGGGAAGCTTAGCCCGTCGACTATTTGAGTATGAACTGAGGTACGCATTGGTGACAAGCATGTGATACTTGACAAAATGAACGCTAACAACTCATAGTCGGCATGTGTATATCAATACCTCCTTGTGTGAATTACCTCTCAAATGTGTATGGAATGCGTGGAACCAGAGATTCTCAAAGAATCACATGCGACTGAAACAGTCTGAAGTGCATTGAATTGCTTACCGGCAAATATACTTCGTATTAAGTAGCCAGTTCTGACGACAGTTCAAGTCATCTATTCATTTGTCGGATTCTTTTCGAGGATCAGCAATGAAAAGCTCAATCAAACCAATCAAACCTCATTCAAACTTGGGACACTTGGCTCTCGACTGGCAATTCAGCGAGCAAGGAGGTCCTACGCGTCTTTGCATGTGCTAGGGATGCGAGCTTCATCCTAGATGCCTAGCTCGCGGAACCTAGTTGTGAACTGCATTAGCTTACATTTCGAGGCGCTTTCACGAGGGAATATTTTCTCAGCGGACATTCTGGAACACGAAACTCCGAACCCAAATATTACAAACAATGTTATCGAGAACAAGCCTTCCTCATGCGGGGTTGTGGGGTCCCTTCACTACGCGACTTATACGTTCACAAAGACCTGGTGTTCTTGCGTTGTGCTCTTTCAACGGAACGAAGCTGGCACGGTCACTACACCACGACCATCTCCTGTCACAACTTCACCCTTCTTCTGCTGCTCCCGGAATGGATATAAACTCAAATTCCTCCAGCTATTCCACAGAACCCAGACAGATACTCACACACATTCAGCAGCAACTTCAACCAGTACGCCAACGAAAACTTCAACTCCAAAATTCAACAGACTGTAGTGTCTTGCCATTCAATTCAACGCACTTCAACATCAGGTCGGTTTCTACAAAAGGCCAAGGTACCAACACAAATCTTGCAAGTAACACACGCACCTACTCGACTCCAACATCCGACTACATCATGGACCCATCTACACCCAACAACAAATCTATGCGCCAACCGATCAACGACGTTGATAGCAGTCCTGAGACTGAGGGCTCCAGCTCCTCAACCCCATTTACCACTCCATCTTCAACTCCTGCGGATCTGATCCGCAAGCTCGCCAAACACGATCTGACCGTGTTCGACTTGCAGGATGTCCATGACCTACTCGTCGAGATCGCCAAGGATGCAGGCAAGATCATGATCCAGGCTGAGCACGAGGTGCTTCAAGCAGCGGGTCAGAAGAACAACTCGAGCGACATCGTCACTAAGTACGACCATGAAATCGAAGTCATGGCAAAGGAGCGCGTCCAATCCGCTTACCCAACCTACGATTTCTTTGGCGAGGAGACCCACAAGGAGGGCACCAAGCTCAGTGACGGGCCAACAGTCGTTTGTGATCCCATCGACGGGACTCTAAACTTTAAGAAGGGTGTGCCCAACTGTGCGATCTCGCTGGGTTTCACTCTCGACAAGAAGCCTGTTGTTGGTGTTGTATACAACCCTTTCCGCGGCGATATGTACACCGCCATCAAGAATCAGGGCGCATTTCTGACAAATGCTACCAACACGCGCATTCGACTTCCCCAACACCCCGTCGCGCCCCCAATGCCTGACCTCCAGTCATGCCTCCTCTGTGTTGAATGGGGCAATGAGCGTAAAGGCCCCAACTGGGAGACACGTCTGCACGTCCACAACAAGCTGCTCACTGACAAGAGCGAAGGCGGCGCCATGTGCAAATCCGTCCGTTCAAACGGATCCGCGGCGCTGGATTTCTGCTACGTCGCCCAGGGGTTTCTTGATGCATTCTGGGAGGGCGGTGTGTACATTTGGGACGTGTGCGCCGGCTGGATCATCCTTGAGGAGGCTGGTGGCATCGTTGCCAGTGCGAATCCGGGCGATTGGGATCCTACGCTGGAGGGCCGTTTGTACTTTGCTGTGCGACAGGCGCGGCGTGAAGAGCAGGAGGGGATTGTGAAGGAACTGTGGACGATCATGGGAGATCGCAAGTTCGTGTATAAGAAGCCTGCAGTCCAGGACGCACAGGTTGAGGACTCGCAAGTTTGAGATATACTGCGCCTAGGACAAGGCGGCTGAGCTTGGATAGAGATTTCACCACTCGAGATGTGTTACTTGCGATGTTGGTGAAGGATTAGGGGCGGCTCTGTTTTTTCTCGTTTCGTTACGGTTTCTATGGAATGTAATGTGTGGCGTTCGTTTATAGAGATAGGGGTTTTGATGCTTTTCAGTATACCCTGTATTTTGGAATGGAGTAGGAGTTTTCGATATGAATTCATGGTGCTGTTTATATGTGACCGAGCCTGCGCTTTGTTTGTGATGATCGCTTGTTCACGCTAGAAACTTCCTGTTTGTATATGAAACACATAGAACTAGTTGGCTCTCATCGCGTCTTACTACATGTGGGCTTCGGGAAGGTGCCATTGAGTTTTCGACCACTGCAGATGTCTTTCAAACGTTCTTTCCAATATCTCTCTCTGACTTGCCAATCCTGACAACTCGCTCCTCCTTACATACGTGACACAGTGAAAGATCGCCAGCCATTTCCCTCTCACTCACGACGAGAGCGAACCAACTATCACCGCACGGCTTCTCCAGAACGCAAACCTATACATCCTCACCGTCAGTACACACTGCAGCATCATTCGCTCATCATACTCATACTCTAACATTGATACCTACCACCGTCGTCACATCCATCAACGAAAATCACTTCATAGACTCCATGTACCACTGAGTACTCAGCGTACATGCTCAAGATTGCCATTCTCGATCGAATACGCTCACGACGCTCTCGCTCGGCCGAAGTCCACAGCCCTAAAGCAGGAGTAGCAACAACACGTCCACAACCTCCACAGCGTAGTAGGGCCTACATTGCGTCCAGAGCATATTCATCGCGATACCACCCATTGCCTAGCAAACTTAAGACTTCCCCAGCACGCAATCCAGATTCGTTTCGATACCACGGTCGTCCTTCCAACACGGGCCAGAGGCACCAACAGGGAGACTCACCTCTGCGAAGAAGAGATACACTGAGGCTTTTTTTCAAGGAAGCCGTGGGACATAAATTTTAAAGCAGGTTTGACCTTCGTACGTAGATATCTCCAGCCCCTTCGCTATCTTCCTTTTCCACGAATTGCAAGGCACTCTTGACTTCTTAGGGTCTCCTCATCAACTTCCTACTGACAAGCATCACGTTCAGGTCTATTAGCAAAGTTCATCATCCATCTCACGCGTATGCCCTGCGGAGCATCAGTAGCAGGTTGCAGTGCAGAACCAGGCGGGTGTACCAGCTCTTGTACAGAAACTTCGATATCACCAGCTGCATCATCTGCTAACACATCTGCTGCCCCCATAGTCAGTGAAACGACTTCAAAGCTCCTTTCACCAGAAGAAGGCGAGATACTCAAGCAGGAGCGAAAGGAACGTCACGACCGCAGAAAAGCGAAGATAACACTGAAGAAAAAGAGCGCGAAACGGCTTCTGAGGAGAGCTAAATTCAAGGCAGTGGGCCTTTTCTTTGGCAAGGTCTGAGGTCTGGGCACGCTCAATACACCACAAGCTCATCAAACTCTCGCTGGCGGCGGTTCAAGATCGACATCGAAACGCGTGATATACTGCCTGGATGGAGAGAGCCCGGTCCTCGAGCAACGCGCAAACACGAGTAGACGAAGATTTCAGTCGCTGGCCAGGCGTTTATGTGCATCCTGGAGAGTTCAAGACAGCCACAGAGCAATTTCGAGATTCGGATGCTTGGGAACGATACTGGGATCGGATAAAGAGACTTAAGGCACGTATCCAAAACCGAAGAGCCAAGGGCTCGTCGAATGCCCACACCTCCTGATGTCGAGGTCAGTAAAGAGAGATTGCCATTACGCGGTTGATTTCACGACTTGGGAGAGTGTTGTGTTGAGCGTCGAGGCAGTGGTTGCGGAGTTGTCGCGGAAGTGACGAGCGCACGGACTGGCTGCCCGCAATATCGCGTTCATCTCACCAACTCAGACGTCACGCGATGCTCACCAACAAGACGCGCACCGCTCTTGCTGCCGCCTCGAAGCGGCCATACATATGTCAGACGTGTCTGCATCGAGCTGGGCCGTCCCAATTGAATGAGGCGCGCTTTCCCTTCCGCATCTCAAATCGATTCCTGCAGACAGAAAGCCCCTCAGCAGTCCAAAACGATGGCACCGCGTTTCGCAAACAGCTCAAGGATGCCGCCAAACAACAGAAGATGAAACGAGAGCCTGGCTCTGGGAAGAAACCGCAAAAGGGCGGCAATGCAAAGCTGGAGAAATGGGAACTCACCGTCGGCATTGAGATACACGCCGAACTGAACACGGCTAGGAAGCTCTTCTCGAGCGCTGCCACTTCAGTCAGCGAGACGCCAAACTCGCACGTGGCCCTGTTCGATGTGGCCTTTCCTGGTAGCCAGCCCCAATTTCAGACAGAAACGCTGATGCCGGCCATCCGCGGCGCCCTCGCCCTCAATTGCTCGATCCAACACAAGAGCAGCTTCGACCGCAAGCACTACTTCTACCAGGACCAACCCGCGGGATATCAGATCACCCAGTACTACGAGCCCTTCGCCCGCGATGGCCATGTCGTCCTCTACCATCACGACTTCCCTGCCGGCACTGCGCCCGCGAACTGTCCCATCACCATTGGCATCAAGCAGGTGCAGATGGAGCAAGACACAGCTAAGACAGTGCAGCAGCCCCCCTCGACCCACCTGCTCGACTTCAACCGCGTCTCCCACCCCCTAATCGAGATCATCACCCTCCCTCAGATACATGATCCTACGGTTGCCGCTGCCTGCGTCCGTAAAATACAAATTATACTCAAGACAGTGAATGCTTGCACTACTGGCATGGAGCTCGGTGGTCTGCGCGCTGATGTCAACGTCTCTGTACGTGAGCGCAGTGGGCAGTCGGAAAGCAGCCACTCGTATCATGGTGTGACTGGCCTAGGGCAGCGGACAGAGATCAAGAACCTGGCCAGTGTGAAAGCGGTGGAAGAGGCCATCATCGCCGAGCGAGACCGCCAAATCGACTTGCTTGAGAGCGGCGGCGCTGTTGAAGGCGAAACGCGCGGATGGACATTGGGGAGTACGACGACCAGACGCCTCAGAGGCAAAGAGGGCGAGATTGATTACCGTTACATGCCCGACCCAGATATTCCCCCGGTCATCGTTGCACCAGTATGTCACCGCCTCTTTGACTATGATCATAACGTTAACCATTCGCAGGAAGTTACCCAATTGCTTCATGAATCCCTCCCCAGTCTTCCCGACGAGACGATAGACAGCCTGGTCCAGATCTACGGCCTCTCCTCGAAGGATGCAGGCACCCTCATCTCTCTCGATGATGGTGACCGTTTGGAATACTTCTTCAATGTCATCGGTCCCCTTGCACAGTCATCTGGAACAGTGAATGATGCTGACAAAATTACCCGTCATGGCAAAATAGCTGGGAACTGGTATGTGCTCGATCAGATCCATCACGAAGCGACTGTTGCTAACCAGAACCAGGGTATTGATGGAGCTCGGAAGCCTCTTCAAAGACACCGAGTGGGACGCGTTGCGTGTGGCCCCCAGTCAACTCATCGCTATTATACGCGCACTGCAATCCAAGCAAATCACCTCCCGCTCCGCTAAAGCTCTTCTTGCCAGAAAATTTGACGGCGACGACCGGGATGTTGAGCAGATCATCGTAGATGAGGATATGGTCCTGAAACCCTTGTCTAGGACCGAGTACGAAAGTCTTGCACAAACTTTACTGGACGAGAAACCAGATATGGTCAGGGATATTGTGGAGAAGGGCCAGAGCAAAAAGGTCAAGTGGTTTGTTGGTCAAATGATGGCGAGGGGTGCGGAGGGGAGTGTGGAACCCGATACAGCGGAAGCGGTTCTGGTGGAGTTGCTCGAGAGGAGATAGTGGGTGGAATGAAGCACGTCCCTATTGTGAACTGAGAATGGCTGATGAGTGAGTCGTGAATTGATTGTGATGGTGAGGGGCTCTTGATGTCTATGGGATTGAGGTATTGGGAGTCGAAGATTATCATCTGGGACGCGCACATGGAAAAGTGGTATAAGAAGGGCATATATCGTGAAAGACTTCTCTTATCATTTGACTCAACTTATACAATCACCTACATAGCCACTCACCACGCTCACCTGGTACTCATATAACGACGCTTGAGGGTCTATATCTCAAGATATGTAGGTAATTATCATCTGACTTCTGTAAAAACTCGCTAATAAATATATGAGTTCAAATTGACAAATCCACACAACTGAAGAACTATCCTACGTAAAATCATTACGTGGCTATCCCTGTTGAAGTGTCGCCCAAAGCCGAGCAGAAGCTTGATGGTCTACCTCGGACCACGGCTCCAGCGAAAAATAATTGTCACGGCCAAACAGGCTGAAAAGATACAGAAGTCGAATGAGCTTGAAAGTGTAAGCCAACGCCTATTTTCTGGTATGAGCTTGAGGAAAAATAACCCAAGTCAGCATTGTGAGGTGTATTATTTGCAATATATTCTAGGGCATTGTGATAGAGATCTCATTGAACTTTGTTTGAAGACGCATCTCTAACATCTACTCAGTCAAAGTCGATTATGACAAACATAGATACTCCACAGCTCAAACTATACTTGTGTCTTATTAGTGATGGACAACGCCGATGATCTCGAAGTTGATCCTAACTTAGTGTTCAGCGTTCCAAAAACTCTGCATCGTTCTTAGATCGTATTCAAAAGTCAAGCTCTAGATCTCCACGGGTAGGGTTCAAGTTTTCGGCGTCCAAGTTTTGATTTCGATGGTCGGAACCGTGGATAAACATGCTAGATGTCAGTACGGTTAGTCTGACCATTTGCAATCAAAACGTGCAGTCACACATGGTACAGAAATCACTTCTCACGTCACAAAGACCATGGACCTTCACGCAGCATAGGCGCTGCGGGATGCTCGAGAAGAGCGACGGCTCCTGACGGAGACCGTTGGGCCAAAGGTTTGTTCAGGAATGGATGTATTCGCTATGAAACACCATTCCTCAGCCACCACGCTGCAAGAGTCACATGTGCGTCCGTAGACAACACAGACCCTAGTGCCCATCATAAGAGTGACTTTTATCCATTTCCTCCCAGACGCCGTATAGTCATGCCTTTCATTCCAGACGTTTATGCGACGAGCTGAACAACACCACCAGCCTCCTTGATCTTCTTCTCGGCCTCGGCGCTGACGTAGCGGGCGCGGACGACGATGGGAACGGGAGGAAGACGGCCCTTGCCGAGGACCTTGGAGTAACCGAACGAGAGGAGGTCGAGAACGGGGGCCTTGTCGGACTTCTTGGTGAGGTACTCATCGCGCTTCTCGGCGGGGATGAGCGACCAGAGCTTGTCAAGATTGATGACGGGCTTCCAGAACTGGTTCTGGAGCTTGTGGACTGGAAAGCGCATTAGCCTTTATGACTGAAGAGATGCTGCGCAGAAAACATACAGTATCTCATTCCGACCTTTCCGAAGTAACCGGGATGGTACTTGTCGATGTTGGTCCTGTGGTGGTGCTGACCACCGGCCATACCACGACCACCGGGATGCTTCCTCTGCACGGGCGTCAATGTATGTTCAGGACTTCCGTGAAGCGTGGGTACTAACGTGCTTTCCGACACGTCCGTGACCGGCAGAAACATGGCCGCGGTGCTTGCGGGTCTTGGTCAACCTACACAGAATGTATTAGTATGGCGCATTGTTTCGTGGGTCGCAATCGGTACGAACCTGGTAGGCATATTGTTGGCTGTGAGGTTGGTTAGTACTGAGGAGTCCCGCTGCACAAATCGAATTTCGAAGTGGTCAACGGGTCTAAGCGAGGACCCACGCGGGCCATTAGTTTCTCCGACAGTCACGTGCACTCGCGTTGCGTTCAAAACACGAGCAGCACACACAACAAGATGGCAATAGACGAGTGAACGTTGTTCATTTTGATTGTATACACATAGTTCTGAAGTAATAGCTCGCTACATTCATCGACCCGCTATGCAATGTCCGCCGTGAACGGTGGCATGACACATTATTTTCACCAATACGGCGTGCGTAACCCAACAAAACTTGAGCCCACGCTGTCTGAATCGTCCTTCTTCCGTTGTCCTGCAAGCTGCGCGTGTATTAGCAGGATACAGCATATTCCAGTCCCAGCCTAACGAACCTCCAATTGTATGTGCCTATGGACATAAACAAGCCAATCAACATAACTCTGTGCCTCATTGTTACGATCCTCGTAAAGTAACCTGGCGAACTCATACTCTGCACCGTCCAGGCCTTGTCGAGCAAGTTGTATTGTTAAAGCCTTGGATCCTCTGGTGCCTTCCAGGTAATGGAGCATGTTCCGCACTTGTGCATTCAAGTGCGTTTCGAGGACTGGAAGTGTTGATTGGAAGGGGTCGAGTGTTTTTAGACTGTTCTGTTCGGGGCCAAAGAGATCCTCCAGCAGATTTGGCGAAACTTGCGAATGCAGCCATAAGAGGCATACTTGACCGTTGTCGATGAGATAGGCACCACCCTCTTCAATCTTGGCGAACGATGCTCGCACACTTTCTGGCATCCTCAAATGACCGTTCTCATTGGCGAACCCATCCCTCTCGTCAAGATTGTGTATGGAGATGATCCGCGGGTATAGATATAGCGATAGTTCCAACGCTCCCATTGACTTGATCATTCTCATGTCATGCACTCTCCTATCAGTTGGTTCTTTGCCTGCCTTGAACGCTCTGGACTTGATCAACCCGAGAATGTACATGCTGAATTCCTTCAGGTTCTCTGGCAAGACAAGCTGTCCTGGGGGATTGTTTCCGGTGAAATTTTTCCTATAGCCCGCAAGGATATCCACAGTCTTTTCGGTAAGAGCTCCTCGGATCTCTTTCAGGTTCTTTTCGGTCATACGAGCGGCGGCTTCTTTGGCAATGATGTTAACGACGGCGTCCTGATCTACAAACTTCATACATTCACCCGCGTTTTGGCCAATGCTCGCAACAATGTTACTACATCGCACTCGACGCTCGCCGCTAGCAGTAGTATAAAGAAGCGCACTTTGGAAGTGAGCATCGAGCTTCGGGTCGAGCTTGCCGTCGTAGCTGAACATGACGCCAATTGCTTTGTCGGCATCAATGACACCAAATTCGAGGTCAGCACCAAAGGTATGGTGGTAGAAGTTGCCGTGGTAAGCGGAGACTTGGAGACCATTCGAGCATCGGACCTTCATCAGCGCTTGATAGCCAGTCTCTCTCATAACCGTGTGTGTAATCTCCTTTGACAGCTTGAGCGTATCTCGGGGTGAGTGGAAATTAGGATAGTAGAAAACTTCTCCACCTGTTGTTGCTGAAATGTGCCCTGTATCGCATTAGCACGCAAGAGTTGCTAGATGAGCTTTGTTCGCCTTACCAATTGTCGCAACATCGAGATAGCCACCGCTGGGTGCTGCCATGAAGAAGTCCACTCCGATTCCACCTTGAACCATTTTTTCGGCGGTTTTCCGGAACCCAGGATGCTCTGTAGTAAGCAGCTTCTTTTCAGCATCGGTACTATGCATGTTGCCATCGTCGCGAAGGATCAGGCGTCCTGGACCCCAAGTTGGCAGTGCTGATAGAGAGCATACAATCTTTCCTCCTGTAGCCGACAGTGCCGCCACTGCTGAGTCCAACGTGGGCAGTAGTGCTGGTTCGGGATTCTTGTGTTCTGAGAACATGCCTGGAAGTTGCGTGAGAAGCGAAGTTATGACAGCCTTGGACTCTACAGGATCGACGAAGACGCCTTCGCTGAAAGGTAGGAAGGGATCCTCGATGTCCGGCATTACCAGCATCTGCGCCGCACTTAGTTTCGAGCTGAGATTGTAAAAATGTATGCTCTTGTCGAAAGTCATGATACCGACTTTCGCGCCTTTCGGAATACGTGTTGTAGAGTCTGTTTCTTCGCTACTGTCGTTAGACCCGCCGTAGAGTGCGCTCACGATGCCTTCACAAAATGCGGCGAGGAAACCCCGATTTACCGCCTCAGCAGTAACGTCGATCAAGAAAAGCCATCGCAAGCCAACAGGTTCTTTAGACCAATATTCCTTGGGCACCATGAAGTCAACGGTACCCAACATCAGCTCGGGGCGTTGAAGTCTGTCCACTCTTACACCGGTTTGATCTGTGGGGGAGAAGTATTCCCCGGGGACGTCATTCGGGAAGTTGCACATGTTGCAGACAAACTTGTTTCCGCCCGCCTTGAACTGCATGAAGGGATTTATGTACGCTCGACATCTCCTGCACCTTGGAGGGCCTGTCTCGCCGAAGTCTAGCACTGGAACGGGTTGCTCTCCTTCCTGCAGAGCAGCCAGTGGCTGCAGGACGAGGCCAAGTGGCAGGGCCGTTGCAGCCAAAGCCTCAGCTGATACCGGGATGCTGTTCAGCGTTAACCTGGCATACTTGGGCGAAGAATTGCCCTGGTCGAAGGCGACATATGGGACAGTCGCGGGAGGCGGCAGGTGATGCTCCATGGTCGGGTATATGTGCTCCAGATAGTATTTAGCAGGGGCATCTCGAGACCTTGCGACGCTGGGTATCTGCTCGGGATCTACACGTCCCTGAGCTGACGAAGCCGCAGCTCCAACGAGCGGTGTGCCTGGGGACCGCGCAGCATGCTGCATAGGCGAGGCCTGGCTTCCAGGATTGAATATCGGTGTCGCTGCAGGGAACTGGCTCATGGCGGGGGTGATCTCGGGCTCGACCCATTGTGGTCCTCCTACTTGGGGCGAGCCCTGACCGAAGTACTGTGTGGGTGTCCCGAGCTGCGGCGTGCCATTGAAGGCCATCGGGCTTCCCCCAGGCCCTTCGATCTGGTGGTATGCGTGCCTGTCCTTCTTCTTGGGCCTGGGTTGCGCCGAAGCGTTGTCCCCTCTCAGCCCCACCGCGCCCATCTGCGAGGCCAGATTGTTCACATCCTGGTACGATGATTGCTGTCGCAGGAGCGGTGGCTGCTGCGGGAAATAGCTCTCGGGCTGGAGAGACGCGGGTTGCTGCGCCGGCGTGCCTAGGTGTTGGTTCGGACCCTGGCCGAGGACGGGAGTGCCAGTCTGCTGGTAGCCTCCGGGGCTGGCTGCAACAGGCGGTCGCCACCTAGTGGGATCATCTTTTCTTTTGGGGGGGCCGTTTGGGTTTGGCGAGCCCTGGCCGAAGGCGTTGTACACAGGGTACTCGGACATGGCGGCGGCGGCGCGGGGGTGCGAGAGGGTACAGCAGAGTCCGAGTCGTGGAACACGTCGTCGCGCCTCACAGTCAAAATGGAAGGTTGCTTGCGCGCGGAGGAATATGGGCGGTGATCATGCCGTGCGAGAAGAGCATGCTGGAGCGAGCTCGACGTGGATGGGCAATTGGAGATCTGGCCCAACCATGGTGCTTTCTATCTGTGGAGGGGGTCCAAGCGTCCATGTGGTCTTCACATGCGCGAGCGTTGGAGACGCGCTCCCGTATGCGGTTCGTCATAGTCGTTTTGGTGCCAAAGTAAGTTTGGGTGTCTTTGGCAGGTCCACGCATATCTACATATCTTCCAGAACAGCCTCCATAGGTGATTAGCAAGCTCACATTTGAATACACGAGGAGCAGGGGTCTGGCCTATGCTGGTGACCGTCCATAAAATACCTAGTATAGACGCATAAATATAACACGAAAGCTCCGCTAGTGGCTTCTATTACCCAAGTCGACAGATATGCCATACGTGATTCCACCACAAGTTCAAGTGCATATCCTAAACTCAGAACTCCACCTTATCGGCTGCTGAAATGGGGGGTCATCGCCTCCTCCATATGTAACTCTGAGCCCAGGCCCAGTGACCGTTGTTATTGTAGCCAATTATTGGTCTGAGGCGTTGCCATAGTTTGTGTCCGCTCCTTCCACAGCGTCCCTTTACTCAACCACTACCCAGTTCACTCCAGCTTATCCAAGTGAGCCAACCGCGTCAAAACAACCTGTTTGCTTGTCTCCTCAATCTCGCCCGCAAGGAACACCTCGTCGAGAATGGCATAGACCTGCACGCTGTTAGTCCTCCGTTCCCTAACCCCTCGCCCATTGTATGCGTCGACCCCTGATCATCTTCCCACTTGCCTTGTAGAAGTTGAACACCAAGTCCAGCTCACACACGTTCCCAAAGAACGCATCCAACACCTCGACAAAAAAGTGTATGGCCTCGAGATACGCCAGCTCGTTGTCGTTTGTGTCTACGCATGCGCAGAAGAATAGTCCAGCGTACCGCCGATACACAATCTTGGACATGTTGCGGAACTCGACGAAGTTGGATTGATGTTTTTGGTCGCGGGGCGCGATGAGGCGGTGGACCTGGTTTGCTTGGTCAAAGGCGGTCGAGGTGGAGCTTCGCGTGGAAGCTGTCGAGTTCGTGGCAAGCAGTAGGGGGACATACCTCGCCCTTCAGCTTGACTTTCTCTTCATCCTGCATAGGTATCAGCAACAAAGTCTCCAGTGCAACACAGAGCAGAGCATCTTACACTGTACGGCGCATACCATTTCGCCAGCCGTGTCTTCCCTCTGCGCAGCCAGATTTGTCAGAAACTGTAAGGGTTATGTTGATTCCAGGTACGTACTGGCGATTCTGTATCAGAATGAAGGAGAGCACCATCTTGCCGGGCGGCTCGTGAACTCGACACGACGCGCAGGAGGTCGTCGCGGTGTCGGCCCGCAGTCACCAGCGTAGGGGCTCCATGCGACTAGCGCGCGTTTGCGCCATCCTGCATGACAGCCGTACTTAGGCCCGCTGTTAACCGTGCATATCATACTCGGAGGCTGAACGCTATGCGTCGTCCATCGTCTTCTAGAACACAGTATAGATTAAATGGAGTCAGAGAGAAGCTATCAGTTCTTGCGTCGAATCAGGAACTAAATATGACAAAGATGACATAGGCAAAGGCAGACATACAATACATACGACTCTTCAATTGTTGTGCACCAGATACCTGCTATCCTGACTCCACATCCTCTCTAATGTTGCATACTCACACAGTGCCGCTTCTGAATCTGTAAGATCTACCTCGTTCTCCTCTTGTACCGTAGTCGACTTGGACATAGTAAGTGTTGGCGTGACACATGTTATTTGTCCATCACTGCCCGATCTGGACGACCGTCGACGTCTCACAGTCTTCCTCCGCATGAGATGCTTGAGCACAACCATAGCCGCAGAACCCGTCAATGAGGTGGAAGAGACGTGGTTTGAAGGTAAAGGACATTTTCCACTGTCTGAATCGACAGTTGTCATGACCACATCGCCATTCTGGTCCATTGTCGGTTCTGCATCCGGTGCCAGAATAGCAAGTGGTGACGAAGCAATAACGTTCGCGCGCCTCCTCGCTGTTGCGCTGAGTGTCTCCCAAAAACCACTCTTCTCTTTACATGCGATAATCTCTTTGCAGTTCTCCGGCTTCAAAACGCCTTCTAATTCCACCGGTGCTGGTAAAGCGGGCGTCGCATCAAACTCGACAGTAGGAAATTCGGTGGCCACTGGTGTGTGGATGCCAAATTTCTTGCCCCATCTGCATTCACTTGGATAAGAGCACATGTTCCAGCAGTCTTGTTTGTTGACTGACCTCTTCTGCCCACTACCCCTCCAGCGACTCCATGTCTTCCATCCTTGATAGTCGAATTCGCTTGTACAAGCCCTGTGTCTCTTGTGCCTCCTCACGCCGACAGGTTTTCTCCATTGCTTGACCGTGGTTGTGCCAGCGCAGAAATGATGGCCATCGTCGAGGCAGCGTCTTGTCACGCCGAGGTGGTAGCTCCTGTGGCACTGATGGCAAGTCCAAACCCAGGCAAGGGGGCTTGACGGTGCTTCCGAAGACGGCGGAACTCGGACTTCCGAAGACAAGTATCGAGTGTGTTTCTGCGCGAGTGGAGGTGGTGTGAGTGGTATCCGTGGTGAAAAAGGGGAAGGCGGAATAGCGAGGAAAGAGGACTTGAAAGGCGTGGGACTGATATGGAGGGACCTCCTCGGCTTGAGTCCAGGCATAGTGCTGATTGCTTCGAATGCGTCGACTGTCGTCAAGAAAAATAATCAGAGACTATACCTGAGAGGTTGTTCACCAGGTTAGACTATCAAATGGAGTGCTTGAGAATTCACTTTCTTCAGAATCAGATTTCGTAATTGGTCGGCCATTTATATGGACAGCACGAAGGTGAAACGGCATCGTAGCAAAAGTACAAACCCAAACTCTCTCTTCAAAGAAACAACTCAGGCTATCTAGGAATATACACATGGCGAGGACACCAACCCGCAGTGCGACTACATAGAATCTTTGTGGATAGCTAGGCGGGTTCGGACAAAGATGGAGTGAAGCAACATTTCGTCCGCATCAGCTCGCCGTAGAACTACTACGGTAATGGATGTTTAGAGATTCTTTGTCTCGTTGCGGAAAGCGAATGGTGTTCATGACCTCATAGCCATTTCTCTCTTTGTTTGAGATCACTGCTGCGCACCTCGATGTTCTCGAAAGATATTCCTTTGATCAACATCGATGCTCTTGGAGTATGAATGCCGCTTGGGAACCTTTACAAGAAAGAAGAGCTATTAGGACGGTGGCGAGACGCACATCTTGAGGAACGGCTTTGTGGCTGGGCGAGGGAGAGCATCACTGGGACCCTGCACTATCGGAAGTATTAATGGCGACGAGTCAACATTTGCAAATGTAAAGACTTTTCGTTGGCCAACGTCTCGTTGTCATGCGAAGCGGACGGCGAATACATTCGACCATGACTGCCAAGCCCAGATCCCCGCGTGAATAGAAGCGCCGATGCTGTGCAGATTAGTATGTGAGAGATGAGCCAATATCTTGGCATGGGGAAGTGCTTGTTGGCAGTGATAACGCTGAACCCTGTACTCGCTCCAGGCGGAGTTTATTCACTCATCACGGCTAAACGAATATCTGGTCTTGAGCACGATCTTCTGATGTGTATTAAGCTGTCAACTTTCCAGACCCTAGGTTGATCCGTCAACGATACGCATTCACCTTAGTCCCATAAGACATTATATGGGATTTGTGATGACCAGATGGTAGTCCGAGATCCAGGGCGGGGAAGCATGTCAAGATCGAGAGATTTCGTTTGTGGAAGAAGATTCGGAAGAGATAAGAAGACGTACTTGGCTGAACGCCACGCGACGGATGTGGAAGCCTGCCATGCTGGCTCTGATAAGGAATTCGCGTAGGTTCTGTGACGAAGGCCTGCCATGTGGTTACGCTTCGTGCATTCTGAGAGCTTCAAGCTCAGACAAGCGGAAAGTGGTGTGTACGTTGAATGATAAATGTGGAACGGAGAATTGAACAATGTTCTGGCAAACGATGTAAATATGTCTGTTGCAATTCGAACCAAAAGCTGAAGAATGTGTTCTTATATTATATATATAGTACAGATGAGAGAGTATCAAGCGGTCTAAAAAAGGGTTTGCTGCAATATGCATACCAAGACGCTCAGCTCCCGATGTAACCAGAAAGACCCAACTCTAGACGCGAATCTGTGCGTTCATCAGAATTGGTCCCGCCAACAAAGAAGACAAGGCGCAGTGGTATCTAGAAACTCCAAACAGGCTAAAGACAGAATTTAAGCAAGAAACAAGCAACCTGACTTCTAGGCGAGGCGCTGCTTCTCATGCTCCGTGCCCATGGCGACAGCGTGTCTGTCACCCGCAATGCCTGTGTGTTCATTGCCAGAGTTCTCGCTGGGAGCCTTGCCCTCCAACATCTGACTGTGTTGAGGAATGCCGTGGCGTTCGCCCTGGGGAACCGAGTGTTCGCTGTCCATAGGCTCGCCCTTGGCCGGCGTCCATGCCAGGTAGTCTCGGCGAACCTCAACGTAATCGTAGGCGAATTCGCCAAGTTGGTCGTCGTCCATGCCCAAAAGCTCAGCTTCCTCGGACGCACGAAGATGAAGACCGGGAATCTTGTTGATCACGAAAGCGAGGATAGCGCTGACAACGAAGGAGTAGGCAGTAACGGCAACGACGTAAGCAATCTGCTTGTAGATAGCCTCAGGAGTTCCAGTGATGGCACCGCCTGCGAGGCCGGCGTTGACGCCGTCGAGTCCGATGATGTAATCGGCAGCAAAGATGCCGTTCATAAAGAGTCCCCACATGCCGGCGACGCCGTGCTCAGCGAACACATCGAGGGAATCGTCGATCTTGATCCAGAACTTGACTAAAAGCCGTTAGTAAAAACATATTCAAGATATATGCAAGCAAACACGTACTCTTGGTGGCAAAATTGCAGACAATGCCAGTGGTGATACCGAGGACAACACTAGCCCATGGAGGTAGGAAACCAGAGCAGGGAGTAGCAGCGACAAGTCCAGAAATGCAACCTGAGCACCAACCGACCATGGACCACTTGCGAGCCAGGCGCCAATCGAGGATAACCCAAGTCATGGCTGCAAACGCGGCAGTGATGTTGCTGTTCCAGCAGGCCATGGCCGCACGTAGGTTCGCGCCGAAAGCAGAGCCTCCGTTGAAGCCCAACCAGCCGAACCACAGAAGGATGGTGCCGAGAGTAATGAGGGAAACGTTGTGAGGACGGAAATTCAACATCATCTTCTCCTGGCGGCGTCCGAGGATCAGGGAGTAGGCCAAGGCGGAGCAACCAGACACAATCTCGACGGGGCCTCCACCTGCGTAGTCGAGGCCTCCCCACACGAAAAACCATCCGTTCGAGTTCCACGCCCAGTACGCGACCGGGCAGTATACGATGGTGGCCCACAGCCAGATGAAGACCATCATGGGAATCAAGCGACCGCGCTCAGCAACACAACCGACGACGATAGCAGCAGTGACAGCGCAGAATTGTAGCTGAAGCCTAAATTAGTGCATGTCAATGCACAGCCTTTACGAGATGACATACCTGGTAGAAGGAATATAGCAATTCGGGGATCAACGGACTGCCAGGGCTAGGAGCACCGAGAACACCCTTGAGACCAAACTTGTCGAGGTTGCCGATGAAGCCATTGGTGGACGGGCCGAAGGCGAGCGAATATCCCCAGAAATACCATTGGAAAGTGATGACGGAAGAGGAGAACATGCAGGCCCAGATGAGAGACAGAGCAGATTTTCTGCGCGCAAGACCCGAGTAGAGGAAGGCGAGGCCCGGGACCATGATCAAGACCATGGCCGAGGCCACGAGGATGTATGCCTGGTCACCCGCATCGTACCATTGGTTCAAGTTCTCCGTTACTGAAGAGTCTCGTCAGCATGGTGAATCGACGGGACGTGGCAGGAATCTGCTCAATTGTGTAGCGCAAAATGGTCATGTTTGCACTCAACGCGTGCTAAGTCACATGGAATAGGGTACTCACGAGAATCTCCGCCGGTGATGGCGTCAGTCCCGTTAAATTCGGTGGGAGCACCGATCCATGAATACGACATGGTGACCGAATCTCTGGGATGTGCGACGAGATGTCGGGTTGAGAAAGGGCGTGTGTAAATGAGGGTTTGGTCCAACGGGCCCAAGAAGTGAATTAAGAAAGAGAGCAGTGGTCGATTGCTGGAACCGGGGCAGTAATATACAACCCGCTATGGGAGAAGTCGGAGCCCTATCGCTGGTTGCGGTAGTTCGGCCGGGGGCTTTATGGGTGAAGCTTCTGTACTACTCTTATCTATCCTGGTCCACGGGCCCAGAGCTTAGGGCAAAATAGACGAGGCACATCACCCACAGCCGCGACGCCGTGGGGTTCGCAGTAGACGGGGAGCCTTGTTCCTTTTCTGCCGGTTCAATTGATGCTGCGTCATCGACGCGGCTTATCTCGCCGCTCGCGGGCCAGGCAGCCTGCGGTTGCAAGATAGGCGCAGAGGGTGGTGCGGACGACCATGTCTATCGGCGTCTTGTAGGGAAGCCCTCGCCGTCGCAAGAGCAGCGCCCCATACGCCGCCAGCAGCCATGCCATACACAGCTCATGAGCACCGTGTTCAGTGTCATGCCAGGCGGGAAGCTTGGCGGCGTGGGGATCGTTGCTAAAGGCTTTTGTCCGATGATAAGTTGGTCGACGCTGACTGGCTGGCCGCGGCAGCGTTCTCCTGAGCACGCCCTCGACCAACGTCTGCCGCCTCGAGGCCATGCGCTCTGAGATTCGTAATTTGCCCTCGACGAGCGATAAGAGCCATGGCTGGTGTGCCAAACACGGCCTGCCGAGACGATGCTTTCCCTTGCCAACTCACCACCTGGGAGCTCACAACAGCCGGGCGAACAGCGGTGCGCCGCCCAGCTTCACCTCTGCATCCTGACGTTGCGCACGGCGCTATTCTTGTCCGCTTGTGGGTGGTGCAGAATGAGGCTTTTTCAACCGCCCATCCGGCCCACCGCGTCTGTCGTTGTCGGGTTGACCGCGGCCACTGGCGTCGACGCCATCCAGATTGTCCCCACCGTCTCCAACAACTAACAACTAGAGCCCACAAGGGTCGTTGGTGGCCACCAAGCGTCCCTGATGTCAGGGAATAACTGCTCAGTTACCATGCAGACGTTAGTGACGCCGTGCAAGCATAGGCCGTCGAAGTCATGTACGACCTGTTCCAGAAGTGAGACGTTCGTCTGCACTCGACACAAGGCCCCCATCGTTGTTAGCCTGACCCCATCAGCTGAGAGTCTTGTACTCTCCGTCTTTCCACATGTGTGAGTATGAGCTTGAGCATGACTGTGTGGGTGTAAGCATCAACGTAGCCATGAGCGTCGTCGTGCGCCACCTGCAGTTGCTTCCCGCAGCCGCCCCGCCCGCTTGGCGAAACTGGTCGTCGCGAAAGCATGTGAGATGGGATGGTCCAGGGCTCCCCAGCTGCGTGGAAGCGAGCCAGTGGGGATAAGCTCGTGGAGGTGTCAACAGTGTTTAGGTACATGTACGACACCGCGTGGGGCATCCAATCATCAATTGTCCGTTTTGTTTTTGGACTGCCTGCCTCGTCTTTGGTTCACCTGGAATCTGCCTCTTATCTGCCCATGTCAAATCTTCTACTGCCCGCCTATCAACACGCGCGTCCGACCTCGGAGCCATGACCGCGCGTTTGAAGTAACCTTCAATACAATATCCTTGTAATCGACCTGCTCCGCCTCACAATACTCAAATCCAAGCTCCTAGCAGGTGCTCATCACTTCTTGTAATGGACCTGGCAATAGGTGGAAATTGGCATGGACTCTACAATGTCATGACTAGGTACTGAGTCGAGTCTAACCACAGTTGCCATGTTTCCACCAGTCAACACGGGTCACGGTTGGAGAAGTGTCGTATAATTCCTTTCTACATCTACACAAATAACTTCACAACCCATTTGGACTTGAACGCCTGGTAAAATGCTGATTTTTGCCACCATAACGCTCCTCAATGCGCCGTCCCAAAAGAGACCATCATTACATCTCACCACCCCCTCCTCTTCCCCATGTGCTCAGCACCCCTTTCCTTCCTTTTCACCCGCTTCACATCATGCCTCCTCCTCTTCTCCTTCTCCCACCTTTCCGGGTCTGCAACTGCCTCTACCTTCCTTTTTCTGCGTCTCTCCTCCCTGCGCTCTCGGACAGCTTTCTGCACATCACTCATCACTTTGAGATACTCTGGTGTGCCCATACGCTTTTGCAGCGTGTTCATCACCTCACGCGCCTTGTCGATGAGGGCCTTGTATACGTCAGTAGGTTCATTGAGCGTAGTGGCTTGCGTAAAAGAGCGCGGGATCGTGGTCGCGGGGTCCACAAGCGTGTTTAGTGTTGTTAGGAGGTGGGGGATGGATGTGGCGAGGGGTTCGAGCGGGAATTTGGCCGTCATTGTTTCGAGCAGACTCAGAGTCGCCGTCTTAGCATTGAGAGAGATCTTGTCGGGGCGGATGAGGCCTGAAAGGCGAGCTACGAGGCGATGGATTGCTGCTGGTGGAGCGGTATCATCGCTCTTTGGCTTCGCCATCTTGGGCGGAGGAGAGAAGCCGCTGAACTCATCGTCGGAAGTCACAATGCCGTTCAGAACATCCTTTCCTTCTGTTGCTACATCTTCCGTTTCATTGTCATCTTCGCTCTTCTGCCACTGCCATTTCGCTCCGTTGACAGCCAAGCATCGTGCCAGGAAAGCAATGTTCTTGACGCTCTGCGTACAAAGCTGTTCGGTAACTTCCGGATTGACCAAATTCTTCAAGAATGCGTTAGTCAAATGAATCATGTTCTGCTCCGCCAACTGCAGACCACCGGATCCTTTTAATGGTAGTGCGTCTAAGCTCGTATCCTTGTTCGAGACGGCAAGATGGGCAAAGTAAGTTCCCATGAGCTCGGCTGATTTGAGCTTGACCCAGGCGTGAGGGTAGGATACGCTGGCCTGGACAGCAGTCCACAAGCTCTCTTTGTTCGAGGAGAACATGCCCTCCGTATACAGCTTGCATGCCTTCGAAAGCAGGATCAACGAGTAATAGAGCAACTCCCAGTCGTCCTCGTCGCGTCGTGACAGGCTCGCGTCGATCGTCGAATCAATGCGATCAAGAACGTACGACAGTTCCTTCGGTACACCGTCTTCGATATCTACTGCTTCAAAGTAGAAGCCCCAGCACTGAATGCCAAGTCGCTTCAACCCTGCGTTGTCGTCCTGTTCTAACCACGACTTCAGATCTGTCGCGAAACTCTGTCGTCGCTTGTCACTTGCATGCTGAAACAGCCTTTTGATAAGCAGACTTGCCAACTCCCTACACTTGCTCGAGTCGTCGTTTGCCAGGGTATTAATCAATGGGAGGAACATCATACCGTAGTACTCATACTGCGCCTTCTCGGGGAACCTTGGAAGGGCTTTCGTGATGATAAGATCCAAGGCTTCCATGACAGACTGTCTGCCCTCCACATGCTCGTACCGCAAGTTCTTGAGTAGGAACTCCATCTGCTTCTTGAACCGTTTCTCACTTTGCGTGTATGATGTTAGGAATTGGAAGTAATGGCTTCGCGCGACATCCCTTGCGGATTTTGTGTGGTTCGTGATCATCATCTCCGCAACCTTGTCCATAGACTCATAGATTTCAGGAACATCGAAGTGGCGATTCATGACGGCCTTGAGAAAACCGAAAGTAACACCTTGGCGATCCGGCTCGTCAAGGTCAGGTTGCATGCGTTTGAGGAGATGCCCAATATCTCGCTCTTTGACTTGTACATTCGGCCTCTCACGAAGCATAGCTGACACTAGCTTCAAAGAAGCCTGTGCAAGCTCAGTGTTGGATGAAGGCGCACCCTTGATAGCACGCATCGCCTCGTCCACATAGACTGGGCAATTCGTGTCGAGCTCCGACATCGGTACTTTGATGATCGTTGTAAGTAGACGGACGGCCGACACTTGCACCTCTTCTTGTCCTTGCACCATGGCGTCTCCAATCACCGGCAAGAAGCCAGCCAGATTCTGCGAAGTTTGGAGATCGTCATGCTTGCGTAATACTGTGCGGAGGATGTCCAGACTGAAGCGAGTAATCTTATAGACGTAAGACGATGTCGAAAGGCGAGCGCCAGACTTTGCAGCTCCCTTGTTGTTTACCAAAAAACGCTTGGTTTTTGGGTCTATCTTTGTCTTCTTGTCCATGCTTGCGCTGGCCTTGTAAACCTCTTGAATCAGCTCGTAGCAAAACACGAGTATGTCCCTGCTATTGACCGTCGGATTCTGGAGAACGCCGAGTCCGATGCGACGGAGCAACTCGTCAATTTTCTGCACCATTCTCGCATTCAGCTTCTCGAGCAGAAGCGACCTGATGGGAATGACAAGTTTGACAAGATGCGCAGGAGTGGTCGAACGGGCGATAATATCCATGGAATCAAAGCTTTTGCTGCTCTTGACCTCTTTCATCTTGCTGATGTACTCCTCTGCGTCCTTTTCTTGTCCAGCGATACCAAAAGTGTCATCCATGACAACATCCACGATGTCCGAAAGGCAGTAGTCCAGATCGCCGGGCTTTAGCTGGTCCGAAAGCTTTACCATGATGTGGTGCAACGTGAACGAGAACACGTGAAGTTGATAACCGCGCTGGAGCGCGGTCCGCAAGGCTTTCAGTATGAAGCCCACATAGCTAGAACCCATAAGCACTGCAATATCGCTAAGTGTATTCCTGGCCATGTCCCGACTTTCCTGAGCACGGCTCTTGAGGATGTAGCAAATATCCAGCAGGACTGCAGGGAGACGTGCTTCGGTTTCGTGTACGGGTAGAACAAGAAGAACCTTTGTCACTGCGATCGCAACCGGGACTCGTAGACTGACAGTTGATTCGTCTTTCTTGTGTAGGAATTCGGTCAATCCAGGTAGAAAGTTATTGATTAGATCGCTAGTAAGCTTCTCTTGCTGTGGTAGAGTCTTCGAAAGGGTGGATACTGGCGAGTCAATTTGCATAGCGTCCGCATCAACCTCTGCTTCGGTTGCGTCATCGTCTGTTGGGGGTACTTGTGTCGTAGTGATATATCCCTTGGCGCGTCCCGCTCGACTTAAACCATCCATCAATCCTCCGATGAGTCTGATAATGGCCTTCTGCATGTCCTCTTTGCTTGTCAGGTAACCAATGTATCTTCTCAGAAGGGAACGGAACTGTGGCCACTCCAATGACTCGGTCAAAGCAGAGAGCGTCTTGACCGTCTCTCCTGCAAGATTGTCAGCGCCTTCGTCATCGGCCTTATTGAACACGAAGTGTTCCAAAAGTGGCATCAAAATGTGATAAACATTGCCACCCCGAAGGTGAGACGCGTTTGCGGCCAGCCGGCGGAGGGCTCTCAGTCGACGATGGCCCTGAATGTGAAGGACGTTGCTGAAGAACGAGGCCTCATCATCATCTGATATGAGGACATACAGATCAGACACAGGGGCCCATTCGCGATGCACCTTCACTAGCTGCTCGAGAACAGCCAGGTACTCTACTCGGACGAGCTCTGATGCTTCGCGCATTCCATTTTGTAGACCAGGAAGGATTGCCGTAGAAATGAATTCCTTGAACTCTTCGCTCTCTGAGATTTCAATGAACCGGCGGAGGGTTAGAGATGCATTAACGCGAATGCTCAGTTCCTCATTGTCTCTGATAAAGTAGAGCATGTTGTACACCAACGGCTTCCACTGCATGAGAGAGTACGAGCGAAACCCACCCTCGTTGATCTCGTTGAATGCCTGCGAACGGCGGTCGAAGTCAGGTTCATCAAGTCGCGATTTTGCGTTGGCGTTGGCATTGTGGCACAGTTTTGCAACTGGTACCAACTCCTCTCTGATATCGGAAAGGTCCTGAATGATATCACACAACACTGTTCTTGACGTCCGGTCATTAAAGAAGGCAAACATAGGGCAGATGGCATCGTAGATGCTGTCGAAAAGCTCGTTCAAACCCTCACTCTCGCAGCGTTGGATAAATTCGTGAAGGATCCTGAGCAATCCCAGCTTTGTACGGGGATTAACCCGCTTTGATGGCTGACGGAGGAGGAAAGTCGCGATCTCAATCATGCTGCGAGATTCAGCAGATCCTACAACATGCGGAGCCAACTCTGCGATAGTCTGTACGCCGGACTCGAGCACCTCCTTGCTAGGGCTTTTGCGAAGAAGATTACCTACACGATTCAGAATGGCAGTGGAAAACGGCTGGACTATGTCTGTTTGTATGCGGTTCCTCAGGATTTTAGCTTCCACGGACGGTGGTTCCTTGGCCACAAGAGAAATGATGTTCCGAAGAATATCATCAAGAACAAATCGCAGAACCTCGTCCTTCGCCGAGGGGATTTCCAAGCAATCAACGATCTTGATCAGAATGTCCGAATTGTGTTCTACTAGGAATGGAGCTGTCGACAGAGATTTCGCCCAGGCCGCAAAGAGTCGAAGGAGCCCAGACACTGACTGAGCGGTTTCAATCGGGAATTGGTCAAGTCGTGGTTCAACGAGTTCTTTTACTATAGAAGCGGTGTACGGTTGCCAGGCGAAGTCAGGACATGTTTCGAACAGCCTGCCCAATGATTGCAGAGCACGCTGGCGGATGGTCTTCAGTAAAGAAACTTGCAATTTTCGACCTTCTTCAGGTTCGTCCTCGCCTGTAGGAGGGACCGTTGATAGATCCCGGGAAGCTTTGACGAGGCAGTACAAGACAGGATCTACGATTGTGACGGTGTATGGCGTAAATGTGGTCTTGAACGTGCTGAGCAGGTCCTCCAACATGTTCAAAAAACCAACTTGCTTGCGCGCATCCATTAGATCTCGCTGGAAGAGGGCTTCGTCCAGTATGCCATCCTGGAGGATTGAGACGTCGCTCAGAGGACCGAGCGCTATCTCCAGAAATTGGCGTACAGCCTCGTCGCCAAACCTGTTCTTCAACCCAACGAAGACGGACTTCCGCTTAGACTCAAGACCTTTCTTGCCGGCTATGACCTTGCCATATAGTAGGCGGAGAACGATCGGAAGAACATGCTCCAGGTCTTCGTCTTGGAGTTTGCCCTCACTGAGGAAAACTGGGAGTTCATCTCGGAAACGAGCATCGTCAAGGAGATTGAGTAGGTCCTCTTGATATGGAGAGATGGCGGGGTCCTTCCAGGTCAGGAGCGCTCTCAACGCTGCTTTTTGTATCTCAAGATCACCGTTGCTCAACAATGCAAGAAAAGCCTCGTGAACTTCGTTTGCTCGGTACAGAACTTTGGGGTTGGTGAATTTCGAGAAGACAGAGAGCATAGCTTTCTGGTCCTTCCTGTTCCAACGGTGCGGCAAGAGATCTTGGGATTCCCCGTTCACAACATCGTCCCAGGGTTCTGGCGTTCGTTGGTCTAAAGCCCAGTCAAGAAGAACAGGAACCAGAAGTCGCGAGCGCTTCTCTGCGAGGTGTGGCAACGAATCGAACAACCTAAGCGCTTGTGTTCTGTTCATCGAATTGCTGAAGGGTATACTGGTGTGCTTATCTTCAAATATCGTCGCAAGTCTTCCCTCGACATCGCTCCACGAGGCCTGCATACTGACTACGAGCTCTTGAAGTTCCATAACATTGGTACATTCGAATTCGGTGGCATATTGTTTTGGTGCAGGATTTGGTGTGGCGGCTGCCGCACTATGTGCAGCATCGTCCTGGCTAGAAGGCTCGCTCAACCATTCCAATGCAATCTTCGTAACAACTCCTTCGCCTTCTTTTGTGCTACACATCGCTTTCAACGCCCGACATGTGTCGTCCCAGGCGGAAGATAATCTCACATGTAGAAGACCAAAACAGAAGGTGGGTATCGCTTCCCCAATCCAATCATCGGAACACAGTGCTGGATAGAGGTTCGCGAGCTGCCCTATGCGCATTGATATGGACCGTTGATTGTCAAGGCCTGGAGGTGTCTGCTCAACCATCATGGCTACAGATATTAAATTCCGTAGCTCTTCGTTCTTCCCAGCTATAATTTCGAGAATGTAAATGGCGATAAGTCTCATGTCGTGCGAAGGCGATCTTAAGCAGAGCATGAGCGCTTGCTTGAGAGGTTCCATGTGTGGGCCTTGCATGAGTAAGTTCGCCTTCTCTCGTTCGACTAGAACAAGTAGTGCACGCCAGAATGACAAGGAATGCCCATAGACAGCTGACGCTTGACACACAGAAGTCCACAGATCCGTTGCGAAGCTACGATCCGCCGTCCTCTCAACGAGCGATAAGAACCCGTTACCAGTGGCAAAAATGTCTACTGTCCGTAGCGGTCGAGGTACTTCGATTCGGACAGAGCGTTTAAATGCTTCTCCAAGGCCATCCCACACAGACTGTGATCGCTCATCGGAAACACCGAGAATGGCTATGACATCTAAGAGAGCGTTACAATGGTAGGTGATCTGGCGCAGCTCCTCGTCTCCCTTGTGTGACCGGGCCAGTTCCAGAAAAGGCTGATCCATGAGGGTCTGCCAACGCTCCGACGGCTGTAAAACACCAGCCGATAGCGTACCGTTCTGGTAGAGTTGGGGTAGAATGGCGCAGAGTTCAGACCCATGATCGTGGGCTTTCTGAGCGACGAACCTGGAAGGGCTGTCAACCACTGTGCTAATGAGGAACAATTTGCAGAGAAAACGTACCTTTTGAAATATGGCAATAACAATGACCTGAATCTCTCTGCACCAAGGTCGGCGAAAAGGTTGCAAAATGGTAAGAAATACTTCTCCCACTGGCCTCGAGCAAGCCCCTCGAGCAGCTTTTCGTGGGGTATTGCAGCGTCCAATGCGCAAGACTGGAATACAACGGACACGGCTGTTAGGATATCCCACGCATCGGATGTGTCGATGTTTGCAGATTCTTTCACAGAGTCGAGCAAACGGCCAAGTGAGTCCAATACGGGTTTCCAGTCTCCTACGCGATCGCCTCTTCGTACGCCACAAGCTACCAACAACAGGCGAGACGATAATCCGACATGACGACTATCGGATGAGGTGGAATCAATGTGCGCGAGGATGACGTCCAAGAGTGGCTTGAAGTTCTCTGCGTCTGTATGGTGGATGCTCGCAGTGACAACGCCCACCAATACTGGCTCGAGCGGTGGGGCACGGAGGGCGACATGCTCGTCGTTGAACGTCTCGGTCAGCAATTCCTGCACTATTGCTGTGGCACTTGAGTGGAAGCCTCGTTGAACGCCTTTTAGAGAATCAGCCAGGAGGAACTTGACGCCCTGCTGGAACGCATGATCTTTTGCGGAGTCTTGTAGCTCCTCCACTTGCGCCGAGATGTGCCTAATGATCAACTTCAACGGCGTCCTGTCTCTGTGGTAGCTAGCGCCCGCCTTGCGGATAAGGAAGCTAAGAGATTCGGCAGCAAAGCGTGAGACAAAGGCTTTTTGCTGTCGTTTCCCTAGCAGAGGCGACATGAGATCGAAGACGGGCCTCAGATCCGGCACGAGCAGTCTGGAGAGGTACTTGAACAGCCAGGCAAGGCACGAGAAGCTCCACTCGATGACCTCGACGGCCGGGTGCGTGGCTGCCAGCTGCGACACGGTCGTAACTGCCTTTTCAAAGTACTTTTCAAACTTCTCGCCCAGGTCGTGCGCCAGGTGGGCCATGAGACTGAGCAGCGGCTCGGCCCCGAACTTGTCGCCCTTGGCGATGTGCTCGACGAGCAGGTCGAGGATGCGGTCGCTGTGGTGGAGGACTTGCGGGAGGCTTTCGCAGAGCGGCGCAACCTTGCGGGCGAAGGCGGTAAAGGCCTCGGCCATGTTGAGTTCGCGCCATTCGACAAAGGCGTCGCGGAAGTAGGAAAAGGTGGTTTCGAGCTCGGCGTCGTCGAGGATGGTGCTGCGCCCACGGCGGATGGGCTCGATCTTGATCTGGGCGACGCGCTGCGAGAAGCCCTTCCATGTGTGGTTGCGGCTCGACGCTGTGCCGCCCTTGACTCTCTTCGGGGCGCGCTGCTTGGAGCTGGGCTTTGTGACTGGACCCCGTGACATGGCTGCCATATCCGATGTGCGTGTTTGTGCGTGTTCGTGGTGAGGGCTCACTTCTCTTCACCTTCTTCTCCACTAAATTTTCCAGCGCCAAGATTTCATTCTGCCGCCTCGGGGGATCCGTGCACGCGCCGACGCGAAAGGAAAGTCAACACCACAGGGCACGTCACGACACCACGACCTTCTCACACCGCCACTGTTATGGCTTCGAAAATGTGCGTCTCACTCCGTCGTCCCCAGAGACAACATGCTAACTAAGCTACAGAGTCGTCATTGGCGATGTGAATGGTCAGTTTCGGACGGTTTTCCAGAAGCTGGGCGCACTCCATGCAAAGAACAACTTCGCCCTGGCTATTGTTGCTGGCAATCTCTTCGCAGACGCCCCAGAAGCCAACGGTGTCAACGATCCTGACGTACAGGCGCTAATCGACGGTCGCATCGACGTCCCACTGCCCATATACTTTGCTCTTGGCAGCCGCTCGCTTCCATCAGCAGTCGTTGATAAACTGGAAACTTCAAGTGACGAACTCTGCCATAATCTGTTCTTTCTCGGCAAGCGCACGACGACGAAAACATCAGAAGGCATCCGCGTCGTAGCATTAGGCGGACAATTAGACGCCAACGTCACCGCAAGTCAATCCAAAGACAAGTACTCACCCGTCTACGGCGAAGTGGATGCGAAGACGCTCAGAGGAGCTACGACAGCCGACATTCTTGTGACTAGTGAATGGCCAGAGGGCATCCACAAGCGTTCCAAGGTAGACTTCAACCCAGAGGTACACCCTCAGGTTCGCCAGTGCGTTGCAGATCTTGACGTGGTCTTGAAGCCCAAGTATCATTTCTCTACGTCTGGCGTCAATTTCTATGAACGAGAACCCTTCTTCCACGCACCAAATGCTGAGACGGACAATCTTTACCCCATGACTCGATTCATTAGTCTTGCAGCTTACGGCAATCCCAACAAGCAGAAGTGGATATACGCCTTTTCGCTCGATCCGTCCGCAAGCAACCCCATCTCACCGCCGACCGGATCTACAGCTTGCCCCGTTACGCTTTCAGAAAAGAAACGACAAGCGCAAGAGCCTCGCGAACAGACGTTAGTCTACGATGACGGAGGTCGCGGAGGCCGACGATCCCACAAGCGGCGCAAAGGTGAGCATCGAGGCCCGATATCAGCGTCTGAATGCTTTTTCTGTCTTGCAAACGAGAACATCGCAACACATCTAGTGACATCAATTGGCGAGAACTCGTACATAACCACAGCAAAAGGACCTCTGTCAACCTCCCAGACCTTCCCGCGGCTCGGCTTTCCTGGCCATATGCTGATAATCCCGTTTTCACATCAACCAACACTCGGCGCAATGGAAGAAGAAGAACGTCGCTGCACGTATGCTGAGATGCAAAAGTATCGTACCTCAATGAATAGCATGCTGAAGGCCGCAGCCGAAGAAGACTATGGTTCGGTTACATGGGAAGTCAGTAAGTCCAGCTTACCACACACCCATTGGCAATACCTACCGGTCACAACGGACCTCATCCGAAAAGGATTAGTCGAGGCAGCTTTCAAGGCCCTGGCTGAGAATTTGCATTGGCCCACGTTCACAAAAGAAGACGTTGGCGATGGATTTGAAGAGACTAGCGACTTTTTTAGGGTCTTGGTCTGGGATCCCAGAGATGACACAGCGAAGCAGTCGAGCTATATCATGCGTTTTGATGAAAAAATCCGATTTCACAATCAGTTTGGCCGAGAAGTACTCGCAAAGTTACTGAGGCTGGATAAAAGGCTTGACTGGCGTGACTGTGGACAAACGCAAGTTGAAGAAGAGCAAGATGTGCAGAGATTCAAGGAGGCATTCAAGGATTTCGATTTCGCCGATTAACGATTATGAATTCCCTACATGCCGTCGGCAGTGTACTATCTCTCATATCTCTTCGGTGTTGTATCAGCCCTGACGGCCCATTCCGAACAATGGTGAGTGTCTCCTTCTACAACGAGTTGCTTTCTGCATCATAATCATGTCTATCTATGCCCCTGTTCGCTATGGTCGCACACATAGTCCCTTTGTTTCAAGGATTTTAATGGCCACGCAGAGCGAACTTCGAGAGCATCTTGTGAACCACATCAGGCGTAGATGCTACTTTGAGGCATGGCTTCCTGCATCGTGTGAAGCTCTATCTACACCCTTGCGTGTGTCGGCGCCTTCCGAATGACAGCGAGCACCACATGTCCTTAGGCAATGCTTTGTCTTCATCTATATTTGCTTTGTCTAATGCACACTTATACGAAACCCTTGTCAGATCGAATAAGTGTGTTGTGGAGTATACGAGACGGTAACTTATCATGTTATTCATTGATTGCAGGACCACAGAGTTAGTTTCTTAAGCTTCGATCTAGCCGTATTTGCACATCTTTCCGTGGACCGAGGTGCTCAGTTTCGTTATTAGAATCCTAGTATCCTCCAAACATACAGAATGCTCCGCTGCGTACTCCACTATCTCTACCGCGTGCCAGGAGATAGAGTTCCGGGCACACGGTCTGTCTGCTACACTGAACACATGCACGGCTCGTGTACGCTTGAATCAGTCGGAATCAAGCCAAGCGATACCTCAAGTTATTTAGCACCACCAAGTAAGCAAACAGCATCGACTGTAAGACAGCTATGTAGAGCAGAAAAGCAACCAAACTAGCTCGTTGGATGTATACTTTACATTCAGATATTGTGTGCGACATTGTTGTGAAGGACGTTGACGGCTGATTACTTCCAGCACTCAAGGATGTACGAGAGCATGCAAAACTAGGCGTGCGGATCGTATTGCCAGATAGTCAACGCGGGGTACGCCCGGTCTCGTCGTGGTGCCAAGAGGGGATCGCTCCAGTGCGCAATATCTGGCTCGGCGCCATTCCTCATTCCAGTTAATACCTGTCCCTACGTTCTCCAACTCTTATCTTTCATTTGCTTCGTTTCCATTTGCTGATGTCGATGACAAGGTAAATTCCTTCCCGAACCGTAGACGACGCCGCCGTTACCGCACGTTTCATCTACATGACCAATGAGGTGAATGATCTACAAGCTACTGAATTAAGCTCCGTCGCCAATCATAATCTACGATACGCGCACCTGAGTGAGCGGAGCTCGCTGTTCGACACATGCATCGTTTGGTCAATCTGCTCTCGCGGCCAGTCAGCACAATGCGACAGGCATGTAGGTCGGTGCCGACTCCTAGTGTGGCAGTTCGACAATGCTGTAGGCTGAAGAAGATATGTTCGTGCAGATGGTCAGGTACACATGGCTCAGTGCGCCCAAGTAGGCAAGTGATATACAGGACGGAGACTCTTGGCTGGTATACCCACCTGCCCAATCTGGCGTCGCGAGAGTACTGGTGCGTTGTGGGACAAGAGTATAGACAGTAATTCCGCGAGTGCGTGGTGCTTATCATTGGTATGTAGGGGTAGGGATACACCTCTAGTGATGGTGGACTCCGAAGGTAGATGAAGACGGTGAATCTGTATAAGAAAGGCTGATATCTTCAACTTGAAGGTCAGACAGAGCAGAGTCACCTTTCCTCCTACATCGGGCAACCTAGGCACGTGTCTTCGAGCTCCTCTCCACCTCGTACCACCTCCTCGACTCAAATATCGTTCTTTCCCCTCGACTTACTCCATATTCATCATGAAGACCACCATCTTGCTCACTTTGGTTGGCCTTGCCGCAGCTGCGCCAGCTCCTCTGGTCTCCCGTGCAAACATTCCCGGTATCCCAACGACTGCGGCTGCCAAAACCCAACTTGCAGGCCTCACCGTCGCTGCCCAAGGCCCTCAAACCGGCTACTCGCGCGATCTATTCCCCCACTGGATCACACAATCTGGCGCTTGCAACACCCGCGAGGTCGTCTTGAAGCGCGACGGAACGAACGTCGTACAAGACTCTTCCTGCGCCGCTACGGTAAGTGCAAGAACCTGGCTGACCTGCTTCAGCCCTGTCTAAAGATTAGGAAAAGCAAGTTGCTGACCCAACAATAGTCCGGAACTTGGTACAGCCCCTTGGATGGCGCCACCTGGACCGCCGCAGCTGACGTCGACATTGATCATCACGTTCCTTTGAGCAATGCCTGGAAGTCTGGAGCTTCAGCCTGGACGACTGCACAGCGTCAGGCCTTCGCCAACGATTTGACAAACCCGCAGCTCAGCGCTGTGACGGACAACGTCAACCAGGCGAAGGGTGACAGTGGACCTGAGGCTTGGAAGCCAGTGAGTTTTGCAATCTCGAGACATGCGACTGAGACAGTAAAGGCTAATGCAATGACAGCCTCTAGCAAGCTACTACTGCACCTACGCAAAGGCGTGGGTCAGGGTCAAGAGCGTCTACAAGTTGACGATTACGAGTGCGGAGAAGACGGCGTTGACGAGCATGATAAACACATGCTGAGGAGGAAATCGATGGAGGAGCCATGTGCGAGTCTGGGTAGCTGAAGTGTATTGGCGTGAGGAAAGTTGATACGCGGTTCACCATTCAAATGAGATTCTTTTACACTCCAAGGCATATGCAAACCTCACTCAAGTCCTGGTTATGTTACAATGTGGTTCACTCGGGTACCGCGCTGAGGTAAAATACACTGGGCCAGGGAAATCCAACTCGCATACGAGGGTAAATCGACAGAGCACAAGTGGGTACTTGGTAATTTCCCATCACTTTTCATTATTGGTATCGCTGTTGTTCGCAACGGCGTTTCTGTGGCCGACTGACAGTGTAATACTGGAAGCATGAATCCTTGCTTGAAATATGAGCTTGAGTATACGCCTACTTACTAGCTCACGGTTAAGTTCACCTACGGTTAAGACAACCCAAAACTAAATCCACTCACGATAGAGCTTACGATTAAGCCTACCTGCGAGCCTGACCACAACCGAACCCATATTTGAGCTGATTTTTATCAAACTGAGGAACGTTGTATATTACTCACTACAGTGCTTATGGTCTTACTACGGTCAAATAAAAAATTAGTGCAAGCTAACATGTCACATGTTTCCGTTTAATAGATATCGAGCATCATCATTGATGAATAATATTTCTGAACAATAATTATCGCATAAACAGGTACATATCTTGAAACTACTAGCCTAAAATCATCTCTAGGATAGTAAAAGCCCCTGTTTACATTTGCGCTAACTGATGCGATTGTGAATCATGGTCCCATTTGAGCGTGTATCTCTGACCCGACTGTGCAAGTTGTTGTTGAAAACTTGCAAGTGAGTTGGCGAGCCGTGCTTGAGCTACCATAAGACCAGGAGCATTGCTTGTTACCCAATCTTCGAATGGCCCTGTAGTTAAGCCGATCTCTTGTTCTGTTTTATAATCTTTGTGTGCTTTGGCCAAGTTTTAATTGTAGTAGGCCAAGGTGGCTTGTAACTCAGGACGTGCCATTTGCACGAGTGGAGATGTTGGCTTGCACAAGCACACGTTAGACTCATTTGTGTACATGCCGGTTCATCGGTAGGTAATATGGGTTTGGCAGACCAGCTGGAAGGATGTAGATGGAATTTTAACGTACAAGACTCTCCTCTTGTAAGAGACTATTGAATGGAAGGTTAGCATATGCCTAAGCCCAGGGGAGAGAGCAGTTGTCTCGTTGTATACACAGTGCAAAACAGGAGAGTTTAGAAGAACGTACAGCTCAGCGAAGCGCTCCGGCGTAGGTCTTGGAATTCCCATATTTTCTTGTATTGCTTGTACACAAAGTATAGCTCGAAGGTAAATAGTGGGTTTTGTTCAATCAATGATGTAGCCTTTAATGTTGGGGAATAAAGAAAAACAATTGATAGTTGCTAGGGGACTTTGGAGAAGAATACTCCAGTGAAAGGCAACGAGACATAAATACTTTCCTTGAAAAGCCCTAGTAAATCATGGCCTGTCTCGTAACGCTTACACGTCACAATGTAGGCTGGAAAATTCCCCTACTTAGGAATAGTTTGTATGAAGATCTCGTTTTAGCTCTTAGACACTAGGTCTTAACTCTAGTAACTAGTACTTCTGGTGACGCTAGGCATCATCATATCCGTCTCACTGAGAGGTTCACGTTTCTAGTATTCGATTTCATTCGTAGCATACTATGTTGACTGGTGGAGAGATGACATGAATGGCTTATTATTTCGCGAAGCATTGGCTAGCTGCTGAATCCACTTACGCAGATCTACAGGACACGCGAGATCTTCAGCTTGGGCCAAGTAGATATGAAGGGATTCACATCCAACCAAGCTCTCCTTGCACGAGAGTATTCGCGTCCCTTACTCGTTAATACCGAAGCCCAAACCGAGAGCATGTTATACGCCTCTACTGATCTACATGATATTTATGCCTCTCTCTGTCCTGAACATGACTGTTACTCATACACCAGAATGACTAGACAGACCAATACAAACCATTGAAGAGCACTCAAATTGTTCCCAACCGTGAATGTGACACGTGGATTAAACGATCCGAGCTGTGAGATGGAGCCGACCGCTTTCGTCGTGGGTTCACCGAGATTGCAGATGCCCATGACTAACAGCCAAAAAGTGGTCAGACCATGCTGCCGAACCGACCAATATATGTGGTTACCAGTCGAAGTTGACTCTTATAACCCCGTCATCGGCTGCCTGGGCTCTCGAATACGCGTCCGCACCGGTACATTGAGCAGCTAGTCGTCAAGAGACGGTGTCTCTCTGTTACTATCACTGTGTACTCTTACTGATTTTTACTGTGTAAAAAGGGGCTGGGTATTAGCTTCTATACTGAGTTACTATATTAGATTCTTACTGTGTTGCGTCTATCTGCTTGTACTTTAAGCATGAATACGCTATAAACCTAAAATAATAACCCCGTCATTGTTTCTGCGTTCTTTCCAGACGTAGATTGATTGATCTACCTCTCTTACATTGAACTACGTTTGCTTCAAACCATCTTCAGGGTCTTGCGCCGACCACAATAGTCCAATCGAATCTCGATACCAAAGTCATGTGACAGCTTCGAGGTGAAGACACTGGAAATTCCTCGAGGATTCCGACATAGTTATAGTAGGAGTTCTTCTCTACAGACACATGTGCTGTCTATCACTCTATGTTCTTCCTCTGTGTTAGTTCCTGCACATGTGTAGTTATCTAAATATGTGTAGTTGTAGATATCTACTTACCTAACGAATACAAGTAATTATGCTGAGTCTCTTTGTAACAGAACATGCTCGATGCAAGTTACATGAGGATCGAAGTAAGTTCATTAGATGCTTTGACCTTTACATTACTCATGCTATTGTTATTAACGACTTTTGATGGAGACTTGGTCTCCCTTGCTTCGTATCATACCTATTGGACACTGCCTCTATATTTCACAGCCCAAGCCCGTGATTATTTCGTTGTAAACGGACTGCATCCCAATTAACCGAGACCCAAGGACAAATGGGATATACAATTGCCAATTTACTACACATGGACAGGAAGATCACTTTTAACATCTCGAACAGCATTGTATACCGCTGCAAGGGCTGCATTCGATGATGAGGTTACTTACAATGAAGGCGTATTGATATTAACGGACTTGTAGCTATGTCACGTTAGTACGGGACTACTCGATTATCATTACCGTGTGCAGACGAGAATATATCAATTAGCACAATATCTACCACTTCTGCCTATGGACCGGATACTAGTCTACAATACTAAAAGACTTTTGCTACTTCGACATTGAGACAAGGTCAGCAAATTGACACTCAAGAACTAAAGTTGCTGTACAGGTCTAAAGCAATTTTTCCTAGCCATTTGCATTTCTTTGCACGTCGATCATTTTTATCAGATACGAAAAACCAATATGTACTTGTGTGTGAATGTTGCAGTATACATTGGAGGATGATAAATAGAGCTGTATTATGTGTCTGCTTGAGTGGATGAGATGTTTCATGGTAATAAATGTATCTTCGTTCAACGTCGGCAACACCTAATAACTACAACAATAAGTACTTTCAAGTCGCAATTAGGCTGTGTATGACAGACACAACTGCCACTGTAGATCGTTTATTTTTGGCCACGACAATAAACTCTGAAGTTATTGATAGTGATGCCCTATGCGTACATGAAACCCGTTGATCTCAGGTTTTGCTTAATATTTATACGAGTCTGCCATAGTATGCGGACGGTTTCCAATCTTTGTCTATCTCGGCGACACATTGTCATGATCAGACCCATCGGCTAGTGAATTGGAGCCAGGAGCACGTTATGAAGCTCAGAGCCCACTACACCCAGTACAACATCTGCAATTGTTAATGTAAGCAAGTATGATATCTACTCGACGTTTGAGTGTAACCATGAGATCTTGATATATGTGTTGTTCGACTTTAATGTTCACTTCTTCAGGACCCATAAGAAGCCAGTATCTCGGACTCTTTGCTCTAACTATCCACTTGACCACATCCAGTCATAGTCTCTAATAAAAAACGACCATGAATCAGACCAGCCGATAGCCTAACCATTCATTACACGCCCATCACTCTATACAGCAGTCAAACCGCCTCAACCAACCCACCCCTACCACCCACCACCCACCACCGCCACTAATACAACTACAACCAGCACCCATCCCCTCACCACCCCCCTCCTAACACCCCCATTACTCTCCCTCGTCCCCTCCACACACTCAAACGTCGCATCATACGGTACTTTCCACTCCCTCCTCCCCCGCGCCACACAGGCATAACTCGGATCCTCCAAAGTGCATGTCTGGACCCTGCACGAAGCGAGGCGAGCGCACGGCGTGTCGTTACGGGAGATATACGTGTTGTCGTAGTCCGGGCAGCAGAGGTGTAGGATGTCGGCTTCGATGCGGGTGCCACCGAGGGCGATGAGGCCTTGAAAGTTGGGGGAGAGAGTGGGCAGCTGAATGGCACAGGTAGCTGGGATGTTGGGGAGTGTGACGCTCATGGTGGCTTGTCGAGGGTTGTCGGCAAGTAGAGTGTTCAGGTAAGGCTCTTCTAGGTCGGCGCTGACGGAATCAGTTGAATTCTGTATGCTGATATAGAAGCTGTGGGTAGATTGTTGGGATCGAGGGTGCGGGAGTGGGTTGGGCATTTGGGATCTGAGGGGTAGATTGGTCGAAGTGAAAGTGAAAAACCGTGCGTTGCAAACGGATCCACCGATCAATAGCGCTCGTGTATTGTACATGACTGGAATAATGTCCGTTCTAGCGCAAAGAAGAATCGGAAGAAGGAGGAAAATACGTGTCTCTTATAGCGGCTCTTGCAGGGCAAATCCATTACATTTCATCTAGAAGCGACATAATCATAAGTCTATCATCCTCATCTGTCTACTTCTGCTTTGTAGCCCCGTCTACCACCTCCTCCTTAGGATCAACAAACATGGTCTCCTGCACACTCCATAGCTCACTATAAAGCCCTGCACGGTCGACAAGCTCTTGATGTGTCCCGCTCTCCGCCACCCCTCCTTCCTTGAGTACAATGATTAAGTCGGAGTCATAGATTGTGCGCAATCGGTGGGCAACGAAGACGGAAGTGCGCTTCTTTTCTCTGACAAGGGAGTTGATGTGTGAGAGTAGAGCGGATTCTGTGTGAGTATCCAGTGCAGATGTCGCTTCGTCAAAGAAGAGAAGCGGAGGATCTTTCAGAATAAGTCTGGAAACGGCAAGTCGCTGCTTCTCGCCTCCTGAGATCATCATTCCCCGCTCACCGACCATGGTACCATATCCATCTGGGAATTGACTGATGCTATCATGCAAACGTGCACGTTTGGCAGCTTCGACGACCTTCTCTGGGCTCGCGTCCAAGTTTCCATAGCGGATGTTGTGTTCGATGGTGTTGTTGAAAAGTGGTGTGTCCTGGGGCACAACTCCGATAGCTTTTCTCAGGCTGTCAAGAGAAACGTCGCGAATGTCCTGACCATCAATCAAGATGCGACCCTCCTGCGCGTCATAGAAGCGGAAAAGCAAGCGCAGTATGGTCGATTTCCCGCATCCACTGGGGCCTACAATGGCTACTTTTTTACCAGCGGGAATGGTCAGGTTGAGATGTTTGATGATGGGTCGGTCGGGACGATAGCCAAAAGATACATTTTCGAACTTGATTTCGCCTTTGGTGAGGACGAGGGCCTTTGTGTCCGGCTTGTCTTTGACGTTGACGTTGACCTTTTGGAGGTTGAAAAGTGTTTCCATGTCTAGCAGACTCTGACGCAGCTCGCGGTAGACGGAACCAAGGAAGTTCAGAGGTACAGACAGCTGGAAAACAAGCTGGTTCACAAAGACGAGATCGCCGACAGTCAACTGGCCGGTTGCGACGCCGTTACATGCGAGGTACATCATGGCAGTCAAAGCAGAAGAGAAGATGATGTTCTGGCCGGAGTTGAGAAAGGCAAGCGATGTAGCGACTTTGATGGAGGCTTTTTCGTAGGCTTGCAGGGATTGGTTGTACCGGCCGACTTCGTACTTTTCATTGTTGAAATACTGCAGGATGGTCAGCAACTGGTGGGTGTGGACAGACTCGTCATGTGCGTACTTTGACTGCTTCGTAGTTGATCAGAGAGTCTACGGCCGTCGTGGCTGCTTTGTTGTCGGCGGCGTTGGCCTGCTTCCTGAACTTTGTTCGCCAGGAGGTGGTCAAGATGGTAAAGGCTGTGTAGGCAGCCATGGTGGCGCTGGTGATGGCGGCGAACTGCCAGCCATATTGGTACGTCTTCAGTCGTCAGCAACGCTGTATGGCCCAGCTGGGCAGTTGCATCTCACCAAAATGCCGCACACGAGGGAGATTTCAAAGGCGGTGGGAAAGATGTGGAAGACCATGGACGTCAGGAGAAAGCTGATGCCCTTTGTTCCGCGATCGATGGCCCGCGTCAAGCCTCCCGTTTGCCTCGCCAGATGGAAGCTGAGGTCAAGGCGCAACAGATGCTCGTAGACGCTGCAGGCAACCTTGCGGATGGCCTTTTGTGCGACGCTCGCGAAGATGGCATTGCGAAGCTCCTGGAAGACGGTGGCGCCGATGCGCGTCATGCCATCTATCTCGTTCAGTCTCAGTCCAGGGCGTCATGGCCACGGCGCTGGTGCAGCTTACATGCGAGGATCATGGAGCCTGCCACGGTGCCGGCGGTGCCGCCCACGGCCACAAAGTCGATGTTCATGGCGTCGACGATGTTCTTGAAGTAGAAGGGGACCTGGACGTTGAGCACTTTGGCGCCGAGCAGCAGGCCGACGCTCAAGCCGACCCTGAAGCGGGTGCCCATGTTGTCCTTGGGCCACAGGTAGCGCGACATCTCCGTGATGATGGCCCAGTCGGCCTTACGCTGGGCCTTGTTGGTGAGCACCTGCTCCTGCAGCAGCGGGTCTGCCCTGGCCGCTTTGGCTTTGGCGGCATCGCCGGCGAGCTTGTCCTTGGCGAGGACAGCTGCAGGCCGCTGGCCGTGGACGTCCTTGCGGTGGAGCGGCGACGAGGTGAAGACGCGCGTGGCGTGGTGGAGCGAGTACAGCGGGCGGAGAGGGTGCGGGCGCGAGAGCGAGAGGGCGTCGAGGCCCGGCCGTCTGGCAGCGCGGGCAAGCGGGGGAATCAGCATGGCGGAGCTTCACATGGTCGAGCCTCTGCAGCTCCAGAGGGGTGAGTAGGCGCACGAGGAAGCTTCAATGGGCGAGGGGACGCTTCCATGGGCGAAGAAGCGTGATTGTGTCATGGGCTGGCGGGATGCCGTAATGACCGCCCGCCGCCCGCATGTTTGCCGTGTTTGTGCTTGCTGGGCGTAGGGCTGCGTCGCCCAGCATCGTCGCACACGCAGGCGCACGCCCAGCTCCACGCCCCAGCTCCCGCTCTTCGCCAGCTCTCAGGCACCGCCATGATGCGCCCGGCTGCCGCGCCCTGGAGGTCCCTTGCCCACCGCACGTCGCCTGCGACTGCGCGGCGAGGCATCAACATGACGGCGACAACCTCCTCCTCCGAACCGCCGCCCGACTCGCTCGCCGTCGCATCGCCAGGTACCCGCCCCGCGCGGCCATTGCCTGCCTCTGCATGTGCTGACCGCACTCAGATGCTCGCTTCGACGTCGTCGGCTCGCCCTTCTCCCTCCTCTCCGTCTCGCTGGCCGCCTCGCAGACGCTGTACACGCGCCGCGGAACCCTCGTCAGTCTGAGCGGCAACCCCGAAAACGTCGTCTCGACCCTCTCCTCCCTCGAGCCCTTCCGTCGCGCGCCCGTCGGCATCCCCTTCCTCTACCAGAAGGTCTCGGCCACCAGCCCCGTCACCGCCCTCGTCTCGACAAAGTCGCCCATCTCCAGCATAGTCTCGGTCAATCTCGATGGCCGCCAGGACTGGGTCATCAGTCAGAGACAGGCCCTGCTTGCCTGGACCGGCCATACGCTCAGCCTGAAGCCGCAGTACAACCTGAAGCTAGGCTTGGCGCATTGGGGCAACACGTACATCACAGGCCGTGGCTTGCTGGCTCTCGCAGGCAGTGGGCAGATCTACCAGGTCCACATCAAGGCTGGAGAGGACTACATTGCACATCCCAGGTATGTCGCCTGCTGTTCTGTCTCTTGCTAGACGCTGACAACTCTCCCAGCAATGTCGTCGCATACACAGCCTCCACCACCCCACCCCTGCCCTTCCGCTTCAAGTCGTCGAACCTCCGCTTCCAGATTCCCGATCTTGGTATCGGGTCCCTTACACAGAATGTCAAGTTCTTCAGAGTCATGGGCGAGACGGCGACATGGCGGACAATGGCGACAGTATACCACACAGTGAAAACATGGCTGCGGCGGACGGTATGGGGCGATCGGGTAAGCTATTCCCCCCAACTCAATTTTCTCCACATCACTGACAACAACAATAGTTGTTTCTCCGATTTGAGGGCCCAGCAACCATGCTCCTACAGTCGCGTGCCTCGCGTCTCAGCGACAGCCTTACCCTGAGAGACGTCAACGAGATTGCCGAGAGCCCGCCCGGTACCGTGCAAGACGCTGTCACGCGCAAGATCAAGGACGAGATCAAACAAATTGCCACAGGCTCTAGTCCCACAACTCCACAAGTTCCACAGAGCTCAGAAGGGACCGTCAAGTATGCAACCATTCGGAGTGGCAAGGCAGAGTTCGAAAAAGAGAAGCCGTCTGCTTGAGACGGATGTACGATTATGTAATATGAGGCCCAAAATGCAAACCAAATATATTCATCTATCTCCATTTTTTGTGGCTTCGTATCGAAACTTGGTACAAAACATACCACGCCATCACATGACAAGTTCCTTACCAAATAACAAGCAACTACCATCGCGGTGCATATTGTTGAACGTTGTTCCAAGGCAGAACATCTCACCGCCAGAATTACCCTGTAAAGCCCTGGTAACGCTTGGCTCACGTCATCATAGAAGGACCAAGAATATGGACCTCCAGACGTTGCGCATCATCTCCTCTGTTCGATTCATTGATCTACATTAGCATTGCCATTCCCGCGCGTCTTACCCTTCGAAGTACACCATCTATTGTAACACCTCACCATATATTTCTCCTCTTGATTAGCTCCATCGGTCCTTCACAGCCTCCCTCACAATCACCAAACAAGAAACAACAACATGTGCATCATGAAGACGTACGAAACTCGCGGCCGAGGCGTTGTAGACCCTCCACCACGTCGCGGAAACTTTACATCCCACCCTCCTGCCGGCACAATGCGCTTGCCACGCGAATGGCGCAGAAGCGAAAGTTACAGCGATGATGGACGCGAGCGAGTCGTCGCGTACAGGTAAGCACACCATCAACAACCAGCAACAACCACCCCGTATTCATGCCCGGTATAGCAGGACTTCACAGCCGCGCGCCATCGAGTACGTGGAGGAACCGAGGCACAGTACGAGGAGTGTATCGCGCGTTTATCATGATGATGCGAGGAAGAGCGTTGATAGGCGGAGGAGCGTGAGTAGGAGGAGGATTACGGATGTGGATATGGTGAGAGATCCGAGGGCGAGTGCCGGCTATGTGGATGAGAGGTCGACGAGGAGGAGCGTAAGTCGCGTTAGGTATTGAGATGCAAGAATTGCCTTTTACCGCGCCCAGGTGTTGTCGCACGAAAATCATTTCCTAGCTCTAGTACTCTACATAATAATCTACTGCGTACATGTACAAGTCGATTTCTGATTTCAGGTACGGGCTAGCCTTTTTTGGAATAGGCACATCACTCATGCGGCGCATCCAAAAACAACCTTCACTCGACCACTCCGAATAAAGCTCGTCCTTACTCTGGCTTGAACCATCATGACTGAAGATCCGCACATCTCCCTTGCAGACCTCCCAGATGGCTCCCAGGTGCACATGGACTTTTTTGATTCCTCGTGGTTCCAGAAACAGAGTCCAACCCGTGCTCTTCCCTCTCCTGAATATGTGCGATCCTTTTCAATACCAGGCCAGCGACTTCGGCCTGTAGTATTCGAGGACTTAGCCCTCATCGTCAAACACGGGCCAAATGTTTCCACGTCGGAAGCCATAAGTCTTTGGGCAATGCGAAAAGTATTTCATGATCAAGTTCCAGTGCCGGAAGTGTACGGCTGGAGAGTAGTTGGAGGGGAGGGAAAGATTCCTGAGGTCTTCATCTATATGCAGCTCATTCATGGTCCTACTCTCGAGCAACGATGGGACTCGATGTCTCACGACGACAAACAAATGGTGTGCGTGGATCTCGATAACATCGTGTCTCAATTCCGCAAACTCAAGCAGAACGGATCGGAGCAAGTCATTGGTTAGTGTGCTGATTTGAGGGGTATGCCGTCCCTAATCCTTGACAGGATCACTATCTCAAGGCGCTGCCCCAGATCGATGCTTAGAGTTTCTACCACTGCTCAGGCCTTTTTCTACTCGTGCCGTTTTTCACGACTGGCTCTCCTGGTTGTGGCGACGGCACGTTCCTGATCCACAGAGTATTGAGGATCCTTGGAGGAATCTACTTCCAGATGATGGGCCTATAGTATTCACACATGGAGACCTCCGTCCAGCTAATATCATCGTCAGCGCTACGAGTCCTGCTAGGGTCGTGGCGATAGTTGACTGGGAGCAGGCTGGCTGGTATCCTGACTATTGGGAGTACTGTAAGGCCAGTTTCACTGCGGTATACAACGGAGAATGGCGTGCATGGATTGGTTCATTCGTTGTACCACATGAAGATGCGTTGGAGGCTTTTGATTTTTATACTAATACTTTGGGCATATTTTGATCAGCAGAGCGATGTATATAGTCAATCGGTGAATGGCTCACATCACGGGACACGGAGGTGGACTCCACCCGTAATAGCGACCTTTACTTGAGTAGATTACCACTAAAATTGCATATCCTGATATTTGGACTGGCTGTGTGCCTTACTGTATCTAGCTCACTCCCGCTACGCTCCCTTTACTCAATCCTAATCTCTGTATCGAGCGTGCTCGAGGTTCATAATCCGCTCACTGCCAACAGGATTGAAAAGTTCTGGATCTTAACGCTGCACCGACTTTAAACACGGTTTACCGACTGTCGAATACCAGGCAAACCGAAAAATAAATTGAGGGGTCGTCGAATTTCTGATTTTGGGTCAATGTCGATCCCCATAAAAACGTCTCGTCCTTTTGGCTAAGAATTTCAAGACTACAACATAGCTTCAATGAAACTCGACTGTGGAATCGATGGGCTGACGTGGAAAGGCGCACGAACAGTATGCCACCAGAATGCTTGAAACCATAGACATGTCGCTGGCGTAGAGCGTGATCTAGAACGATAAGTAGTTGCCCATCAATGGCTATTCATCCAATGCACTGTTAAGCAGAAGTAATCTATAACATCCTCACTAGGTTCTATGGGCGCTTTCTTGTAGCCAGCAAAGCTTCTCAAGCTGCGAGGTCTAGAATATGAACCACCAATAGGACTCTGCTACGCTGGTCCACCAATATTTCATGAATCAGCGGCCGGGTCCGGCTGAGTTTGACACAGACGCTAAGCATCATTGAGCTGACCTACCATCTAGCGCACAACTTGATTTGCTAGCTAACAGTATAATCGCAGAGCTAATCCAGCTATAGCGTCCGGGGGAAGGAACTTCATGCTCTAGTATCGCTACTTTATCTGAGTCAGAGTTTTTAGCACATACCACATATCTACCTCTTTGTTCTCTTGACTGAGTCTTTTTTTAATTTACATACTGTGGTATCCAGGGTAAGTTTTAGCACTTTGCCACCCTACGCATAGGCTGTCCAGTAAGTCTCTGCAAAAGTGGCGAAGTGATAAAACTTACCCTGGGTACCACAGTAGTCAAATGAAATCTTGACATGGTTTCTTTTTGATCACTTACTAACATGTCACAGTTTTCATAACGACGTAGTTCTTTTGGTAAGGTACACTTCAGAAGTACTTATATTGTATAAGAAAGGTGAGAAGATAAGAAAAGATTCTTTCTTGACACTAATTATATGATCTAGTATCTCAGCCTTATTTTAACCTTTCATTATTTAATCTCTCCTCTTAACAAGGCATTCTACAGCTGAAATTAGGTCCGGATTGTTGTTAGTCTGTTGTAGCGGACACATTTCCTAGCAAAAAGTGAACACGCCAACTTGAAATAGAACGTTACCAAGCTTGATTTTATTTTCCCTCAGACACTCCGCAAAAGCTTTTGCCTCGGATGATGTGACTAATGTCCGAGCGGTATAGAGATAGTGGCGTTGATCTAGAGCTTGAAATGGCCTTAGAGAAGGCGCTTGTAGAGGATCTGATTCATGGGATAAGTCCACCATGCATAATCCCAGGAACAAACATCACTCATGCGGGATACTGTTGGGGACCGGTTGAAACAAGAGGAACTTCGAGTGTATAAAGGTTGATTGGTTGCTTCAGAATCCCATGGGCCTTCCACCTTGTCCAAAACTACGTCCTCCCAGTATTGCAACTACAAACCGACCAATATGAGCTCCGTCCACACAACATATTTACCACTCACGACCACCTTTACGGCTCCAGCGGATTGCTTGAACGGCCCATGGATCTATCAAAATGTTCCCACCACGTGGTGGAAGCAGGGCGGTGATAATGTTGCGAGCTGCTTCCCCCCAGCTTTTCCTTTCTCCAACTCGCGCATCATTTACTCGCCTGGGATTTGTCCAGCAGGGTGGACGAGCGCGTGCGATCGAGTCATCACGACAAGTGGAACTGCAACAAATGTCGTATCTTGCTGCCCGGCGTATGTAACTCACTCGGGTGCATGAGTTTGATCAGGGCATGACTAACTTATATGTCAACCGTAGATCCTTTCAATGCGCATCAACAAGCAGCGCGGTGCACGACTGGGAAGATCAGTTTGGTTGTGCATCGCCATATTCCGTCGACACCGTGGCATGGGATATGAGTTCAGATGCGTCGTTCGTTAGTAGCATATATCAACTGCAAGTCATGATTGTTGAAGCAACTGTAAGAATCCTCTTATGCTTGTTTATCCTTCAAGATTGTTCTAAGCATCATCTAGCCAACCACCATCTCATCGATCGCTTCCTCGACTCCAGCGTCAGTACCGAGCCCTGCTTCCACACTTGCGTCTACCTCTGCGCCGACGGCTAGTAACACGGTGTCGCCAACGTCGACATCCACAAGCAATGGAGGGCTGTCGAAAGGGGCGATCGCAGGAATAGCGGTTGGATCAGTGGTGGGTGTGGCTATCATTGCCTTATTTGCATACATTACATGGAATGTTCGTAGGAAGCATCGGGCGGTTGATACAGGTCTGCCGCCAAATCCGCAATACTCGGAATACCCCTCGAACGTACCACATGAGGCATCACATTACTATAAGACTGAACCGGCCGAATTGGATACATCAACACAGCCAGCACCTGTGTATGAGTTGAGAGCACCTTGAAAAATATTATTCACTACGTTCCATATGACGTGCACTGCTTGTGTCCGATCTCATTGATCTATCTATTAGCAACTTGCTGATATGCTGCTGAATCTACTGTGGAGTGGCATGTGGCGGTTGTGAACGCCGTTGTAGACGAAAAGCAGCTGGGCGTAGTCCAATGCCAAAATCCGGTGCGTCTCGTTTCGACTGTACAATTCCGATCGCCGATTCATCGAGATAGTGTAGGTCAACAAGGCGGCGAACAAAGTCCATGGTCCACTCTTGGCACCGCCGATTTGTTGTCTTTCACTGTGAGCAGATTTGCGAAAAGGATATGTGGAAGACGTTACGTCATTTACTGGCGCCATGAAGTCCTTGCTGGCGCGAGGTGGCTGTATTTCAGCGGCCACATGTTCGAGATCACTTGTTGGGGTTGTGTCCACACCCCTGTTGCCCTCAAATGTGTGAACATGTTGCGCGTTTATCAGCCCAATTGGGACCAACACATGAGCGCGTGCAGTCTGCTTTGGAGCGTATCTTCGTTTGAATTGTAGCGCGAATCCCGACATCGGGGATCCAACGACATGAATAACCGTTCCGACGTCACCGCCTTCATCGTCAGCGAGCCATATCGCAAAGTGGGAACGTTGACCAGCCTGCCCAAGGTAGACGAGGAGGTATAGTGTAAAAGTAGACATCATTTGGAAGTGGTGCTACAAGAGACGTATTATTGTCACTGAGGTACAAAATCGGGTGGATTACCCCGCAGCTTTAGGGTGTAAGAAACACAAAAGAAAGACCGTTTTTACGCCGCATTGCGAAGGAAAAGGTAAGGTAAGTAGATATAGATATATAAAGTACGATACTAATCTTGAACTTAATGCCTCAGCTTATAAACAGTCTATGGATATAATTTATTAATTTTGTGCTCTCTTTAAAATGTCTATAACTAGCGCAGAAACTTTCCATACTAAGCTTAAGCTCTACAACTGTAATACGCGGACCTATATAATAGACTACGATAACAATGTACCTATTAACTGTATTATTATTATTATTAAACTAAATTATACTTCGTAGCAGTTATTAACCTCCTAGGTATAGAACTAAGTTTATTAGTAAGGCTTAAGCTGGTATTATAGTATCTAAGCTAAAAGATAAGTTCTAGTAGAAACAAATTAAAACTAGTAATTTAATTTAAGTAACTATCTATTACCTTACTACTTACAAGGCTTTTTATAGTAGATTTATTCTAATTTTATTAAACTTTAGTAGAAAATAGCTCTATAGACTAGTATACACTAATATTAAGATTTACTATATAGAATATACCAGCCTATTAGTATTCTATTAACTTAAAAAAGCTCTATTAAAATTACTTTATAAATAAATCTAATTTAAATCAAATAGCTAGGCCTACGCTAGTAAATAGGTTAGAGTTAGGTAGGGGTTAGGTCTTATATAAGCATAACCTAACTCCTACCTAACCTTAACCTAACGTATAGTCTACCCTAACCTAACTCTAACCTAATATTTTAATGCTAGTATTAGGTTAGAGTTAGGTTAGAGTTACATAGACCCTAGGTAGGAGTTAGGTTATATTATATCTACCCTAAAATATTTCTAGTAATTAGAATTTTATATTATATAGGTAAGTATTTTAGTAAGTATTAGATTAGGGACAGTAGTTATTATAGTTATTTATTATAGCTTATAGAAGGTTTTATTTAAACTATAAATCTAAGTATTCTTATATAGAGAAAGCTAATTATATAAACCTATTTATTTACCTAGAATCTTATTATACTAAACCTACTATAGTAACGTTTTACTAGTACTAAGTCCTTCTACTAAATAGTAACCTATTTAGTATAAATAGTATTAATATTACAGTCTTTTATAGTAAGTATAGTGCTAGTAGTAGTAGAGAGAAATTAACTATACCTTTAAAATAACTAATAAGGAATAACTTAGTTACCTCTTAAAGGGCTTTAAGTATAGTTTTCTAATAGTATATACTTATACTCTTTAGTAAGGCTTTAGTAATCTTATAAATAAGGTAAGAAAATAGTAACTTATAAATAAGAAGCTTAGTAGACTTCTAATACTTCTTAATATCTCTTAGGGCTACAGCTAAGTATTATTAGTATCTATCTATAATTAAAAAATATAATAATATACTATCTTACTTAAATTAGTATTTCTTCTTTACTAGTATCTACTTTCTACTAGTTATTTTCCTTATAGTAGTCTTTTGCGTAGCTTTAGTAGCTAAATCTTTCTTTAGCTGCTTAGTAGTAGTAGCATTTAGCTTAGGTTTTCTTATTCTAGCTATTATAGTAGAGTAAACTTTAGATAATATAATTAAAGTATATAATAATTAAGTATTATTAAAAGTATAATAATAGTAGGATAAGCTTATTAAAGTTTTAAGAATAATAAGCAGTAAAGGTAAGTAAAAATTTACTATTTATACTAAGTAGGTAATATATATATATAGGCTACCTATACTCTTTTACCTTAAGTTTTCTATCTAAAACCTACTACTTACTTTAACTTAATAACTATACCTATACTACGTTATTACAGACGTTAATTATATAATATATAATAAACACTATTAAGAAAGAGCTTAATAATATCCTAGAGAGCCTACTACTAGCCCTAGAAAATAACTCTCTAATAGGTTTTAAGTATTAGGAGTAGTTTAATCTAACTAAGGTATTAAATATATTTATTTATTACAGTAAATACTTACTTATATTAGAGTTTAATTATAAGAAGTATAAAGTCTAAAATATCTTTATATAACACAGTTAAGCTAGTACTTAAAAAGGTTACCTAATAAATTTTAGAAAACTATTTATAGGTAATCTTAGTAATAGTAATTATACTATTACCTAGAGAGACTAAACTACTCTACTTAGTAAAGAAGGAAAAGCGCTTCTTACTGCTAAAGCTATAGATTATACTATAAAGTATTAGCTTAACTAGTAACTTAAAAAGATAGATTAATACATAGCTATAAGTAAAAATAAGTAGGTAAAGTATTTTAAGGGAAAACTTAAGGAGCTAGCGTAAGATTACTTTAATAATTAGAAAAGTAGTAAGTTAATACAGATATTTATTATATAATCTTACTAATAAACTCTAGCTAAGTAGTTAGAGACTAAGCTTAATAAAGTCTATAAGAAATAGAAAGATCTATACTAGGAAGTTAATATATACTAATATTAATAAGTTCTGTAAAAGGTTACTTAAGTAGGCTAAAGTAGCATAAGTACTAAACCTTAATCTTATACCTAACTACACCTATTTAGTACTAGTAGTACCTTTAAATAGATTTTGTACAACACCTATAAAGAAGAATTAGTAAAGTTAAATAGCTAATCTTTTAAGAGTAAGAGTATAAAAGAAGAGTAGTAAGCCTTTATTACTAGGCTTATAGTAGAAGAATTAGTAATAGTAACTAGTAAAGATTAGTTATAAGTTTAATATATACCTTTATTATATTTACGTACTAATAGTAATAGGTAACTTAAACCTATGCCTGTTTATAAACTTCTAGGCGTAAATATCTCTACTTTATATAGTAATCTCTTATATATTTAAGAGAATAATAGTAATAAGTATAAAGAGGAGGTTAATATTAATTTAGAAATTAATAAATACTATAACTAGGGTAAAAATAAGTATAAGGGTATTAATAAGTATAATAATAAGACTAATTTTAAAGGCTTTACAAATTTTAAAGGCTTTTTAGATAATAATACTAAGGTTAAAAGCTTAGGTTAGATAGTAGCAATATTAGCTAATAGTTACGTATAATAATATAACTTAAAACCTACAATATTCTTTAAATAGTAACTTAGATAAAATAACCTAATAGTAAAGTAGATATAAAGCACTAGCTATAAGGTATTTAACTTAGTATTTTACTAACTTCTAGTAATTAGTTTAACTTCCTTAGTATATATTATTATTAGAGTAAAGACTTAGAGTTTTATAGTTAAAGTAAGAATTATATATAATAGTAAGATTACTATAAGTTTATCCTAGTTTTTATTATAGCTTTCTATTACAGTTCTCCCTTACTATATTAATTAATACTACTAGATATATAATTAACCTATTGCCTAAGCCTATTTAAGAAGTCTAATAATCCTATAAGCTACTACCTAGCCTTTATATATTAAGGTTAACTACTCCCTAGATTATTAAAGGTAGAGAAAAATTAAACCTAGAACTTATTAAATACCTACCTATAGTAATAGAGCAGAATAATAATAATAAAAATATACTTTTAACCTAGAATAAGTAGTAGAGTAGGACTAAATAGGCTGTTAACCCTATAACTAGTTATCTATATTAAAACTCTACTATACGCTATAGTTAAGTATAGCTATATTTTAGCAAGGCTATAGACTCTATAAATAGTTATCTATATATATACTACTTTAACTATAACCTTATACTTTAATACCTATTAGCTAAAAAGACTATTAGAATAAAACACCTACTTAACTATCTAAACTTAAGGAGCTGTAAGTCTACTATTATTTTTATATACTTACACCTATTAACGCTTCTTAATTAGTCTACCCTACTTAGTAAAAAAAGAACTTATAATCCTTCTCCTCTATATTCTACTTTAGACTTTAAGAAAGAGCTTATATAGCTAGTTATTAACAGCAATTTATCCTTCTAAATAATTAAACAGCTATTATTTAATTACTTTATTTAATTTCTATAACTAGAGGCTGTAATAATTAGCTATTATAAATTCTAGCGTAACTTCTATAATTAATACTATAAAGTAAGGACATCTATTCTCTATAATCTTAGTATAATAACTAAAATCTTAATTATATTAGATAGGTAGTCTATAAGTAATTACCTTAGTTTTCTAGCTATTAAAGAGTACTATATTAATACTAATTAGAAACTTTAAAAGAAGCTACTAGATTTTATTCTAATACATAGTAGGTATACTAGTATTTCTATAGTAGAAGAAGTAGGTAAAGTACTTTCTAAAACTAGTACTAAGTATAGGCTTCTTACTATTACCTATAATAACGCTAGTAATAATACTACACTTACTTAGGCAGTTAAAGCAAACTTATAAAATAACAAAATTACCTAGAGCTTATAAGAAAATACTATTCTATACCTTACCTACATTATTAACCTTATTATTTAGGATATTATCTAGCATCTAAAACTAGCTACTCCTACTAAGGTTATTAATACTCTATAAAGGCGCTACATCTAGAATATTAAAGCATAGATATTAGTTCTAAACTTACTTTGTAAGGAATATACCCTTTTATTATATATATTAATTATATACTAATTAACTACTAGCTTAGAGCTATTTATATTATAATTAATATCTTACTACAGCATTATAAGCGCTTTGTATTAATACAGCTACACCTCTTAGTAAAAAATTAGCTATCTATTATTTATAATATAAAGATAAGATAGAATTCTACCTATAATATATACAAGCATGCAATTAAGCTGTAGAGATATATTAATAAATAGCTAAAGCAAGAGATTGTCCTTAAGGCTAGTGTAGGTACTTATACTAGTAGTATTTTAGCTAAAAATAATACTAGTAAGGTAGACTTTTATAATCTAAAACGCCTTTAACTATCTTCTATTAAGTAGTATTACCTTAAGCTAATAATAAAGATACTTAAGTAATTTAAAAACATAACTAGCTTCCTAAGCAAGAACTAGAAGCTATAGATCTAGTATA